AGCAAAATTTATTTACCATGCTTCAGCCTGTGAAATCAGATCAGCCATTGTAGTCAACTTGGGAAATCCAAACAGTGGATCCCGAGGTAGTATGTCTGTGGTTGAAACTCAGATTCAGCTGCAAATAGCAGCAAGCATAGCACAATGCCAGTTTAGTGAAAAGTGGGAACTTTATTGTCTGGTGTGAATCTAGTTTTATAAGGGTTGGTAACAAAAGTAAACTCAGGTGGCACTGTAAAATGGGCACCGGGAACTTCATTTGAGTATTGCTAATCCTGGCCTAGTCCATTGATGCCATTGTAACTTGATCAATCTTTCAATCATCTTGATCTGAAATCTAATTTCCTCTCATTGATGCTGATGAAGTTTCAGGTTCGAGACTAGATGAAATAACATGATGGGATCATTTTTCATGAAACTGATCAGACATGCATATATTTACAGGTCCTGATGTGAGAATTCATCCTTACAAGTGATTTCAATCTTTCTCCCATGCCACCTCTTCATTATACATTTAGTTTTAATTCCCCCTTATATGTACTCATTAACTGATCAACTCATTTCAATTTTATCACCTCATTCTGCTGCCACGGTTCAGAGTCCCAGACACATCTAGATAAATAGATAAATATTTAAGTTAAAACTAAAGTTAATACCAGAGCATACCGCATTATATGATTTTATATCTACAGCTTTACCTATGCAACTGTGAGGCCCCGGCACAGAAGGCCTGCTCTGGTCTTACCCAGACTGGGCCTAAGCGAACGCAGTAGCCGCCTAGGCCGTATGAGGAGGTATGGGATAGTGCCGATACTGGTGAGGGGAGCCTAACCAGGGGTAGTTGTGAAGCTTGGGTAGACCTAATAGAGGGTCCTGGAGGTGTAGAACGTAACACGTAACCACCGCTTCGATGTGGAGGGGAGGTGTAGCCAATACGAGTGGGAAGCTGTGGGGAGCTTAGGGAGCAATGAAGCGGAATTGGGAACCTAATGGGAGGTTCCAAAGGATGAAGGACAAATTGTAGAGCCTCGACGTAGATGGTGAGTCGAAGGAGAGGCATAGACAATACGAGGATTGACAGAAAGAGGCCAGAGATGGGAAACAGAGAGGAGAAATAGAGTTGAGGTGAGACAGAGATAAAGGAAACAGATAATGAGGAAATATATGACAGTTGAGACGTGTCAGGCCCTGTTAGCAAGTACTAGTAGACTGTACTAAAGGGACCAAGCCAGGTAGGAAGAGTTTCCAGGTAAGATTTGACAATAACATGCTGGGGAGCTCCGAGGGGAGTCCCCAGCCTATATACTGTACATGAGGCTGTCAGGTACATATGTCATGTGGCTCTGGAGTGACAGGTAATATGTATCATGAAGATCGTAAGGATGGTGCATAGAATATCGGAAACATGTATAAGTGATGAACCGGAGCTCTGGAAAGGAAAGGGAAAGGTACGGAGAAGCAAGGCATGACAGCAACCCCATACCTTTGAATATACCATCCCCTCCCTGTCCCCCAATTGAACTTATAATGTACTAGCAAAAAGATAACCTAAGTAATACACTCACCACAAACAGAAAGCCATGTCATGCGACAATCTCCCAGATCCTAGCACAACCATGAACGTCAAGACTTCAGTACATCAGTACCCCCACCCCAATACCAACATATCCAGATCATAACTCACATCACCTCAAGTGAGTCATGACACAGCTCAAACTTCAACAACATCATGATTTCCATCTTCCACCATCTCCACCATCTCCACCATCTCCATTTTGTGAGATACAGATAGGTATTTCAGTGGACATTCTAGCCATTGAGTAAATAAAGAGAAGAAAAAGTGAGTAAGTTACAAGTGACTATATGTGATGTTCTTCGTGATGGTTACCATTGGAGGCCACTAGCAGTGGGTGCTTCCAACTTTGAACTACCCAATTGAGAGTGTAGCACAAGAAATGACATGACAGACTGAGATCATGTAAGACCTGGGTCAGAATTGGTCTTATGGGTAGAGTTGGTATGAGTAGTTTATATTGTAGTGTGCTGGGAGCAAGCTGGAGCTCAAAGGGAGCTACGGGAACCGCAACCAAGGACTGGAATGACCCAGTAGAAGTACAATAGCATGAAATGTGACCCTTGAGGAGGTTCTTGAGAGGTTCCAGCAGGTGATTGGGGTGATTCAAATTCCTTAAATCCTTGGAGAGAGGGACTGAGGTTGAGGGGTGTATGTTGCTTTGTCCAGCAGATTTCCTCTCGGTTGTCCAGATGCCAGCCTTGTGGATTGTCCAGGCGCGATCCTTGTGGGCCATTCTCGTTCCGCAGGTCGTTCAGCCTGAGGTAATAGGTTCTGCTGGTCCCAGTCATCTCCCTCAATCATGTTTCTATTGAAACTTTGAAAGTCGTTGGCTCGATCTATTACTCCCCATGGTGCTTGACATAGAATCATAAGACTCCTGAGAAAGATCAAATGGGTATAAGTTACATCTTGCATGAATACTATTCAGCTAACAGGTTACTGGTCACCAATTGTATCCTAGCTCAGAGTCACTACTATGATCTTCAACGTTACAAAAGACATTTAGGCAAAAGAATGAGAGCAAATCCATTGAGAGAGAGAAAATACTGCATAATGACAAGCCATGAGTAGAGACCGAAAGAGGTTGTAATTAGAAAGGAAAATGATATTTTCAATGCAGCTGTAGCAAATATCCAAATTAAAGGAAAAGAAAAACCGTGGAAGCTCAAGCCAAAGCTCCTTGAACCATCGAATTGATCCGAACAACAGCAGGGGATGAAAGACGGTCACGAGGAGGAAATGAAAGAAACTCCCGGTGTATCAACTCAGCTTCAAGATCCAAAGGATGAGGAGATGGAGCTCGCTCCCCATCTGCGAATCCTCCTTGGCCTAAGGAAATAGGACCGTAATGACTCATTGAATAAAACTCGTCCTTGATGTCGGGAGTAGATGCAGTCGAGGTGAAATCAAAAGGTCGTTCTTCTTCTTGACGAATATGCCTGGATTCCGAATTGCCAAGTTCCTCCTCCGTGGATTTGGGACTCGGAATGGTCCACAGCCCAGTTTCTCTATCATAGGTATCTGGTATTTTGAATGGAGGTGGGGATACTGAGGGATCAAAGGCAGATGTGGCGGAGGTAGAGGAGGCATACGAACAGTTAGAATCAAAATCAGAATCGTGTTCACAATTGTCTTCGGAGTCTCGTTCTTCCTCGTCTATCTCTTCTGCATCATCAATCTCAACATCAGAATTGTATGTTGTTGACAATGGGGATAGCGAAGAGAGAGAAAACAACTGAGAAAGATGTGGACCATCGTCTTCATACTCGGAACAATCACAATAATCGACCTCCTCCTCTCCTTCTTCCTCCTCCTCTATCTGTGTTCCCTCCTCTGGAGTTCGAAATCGGACTGGGACTCGGACTTGCGACTCGGAGTGACCAATTTGGACATCAAGATGAGCGCCAGTGTATGATCTATACAGCTCATCCGGCTTAGTCATATCATCCTCCACCTCGCAATCAGAATCATCGTATGGCAGTTCTCGGAGAGATTCCCTCCGAGCTGGATGTTCAGATCGTTGATCTCTGACCGAGACAGCATTGTGGGGCGATGAGGGCCACACGAGTTCAACCTCCACTTCCTCGATCTTTATCACAGGAGAAAGACAGGTACCTGGAGCAGGGGGAGAGGAGCGAGTTGAAGAAGACGGATATGATTGTGGGGGCAAAACAGAAGTAGAACTCTGCTTGGAAACAGCGTTCGTGGATGTCGACGGAAGAAACCGAGGCGACAGAGGAAGAAGTTGATCAGATTCCACCAATTCCTCAAACAATAATTCTTCCGCCGCATCAAACACGTCGAACAAATAATCCTCCTCTGTACCAGCTTCAATCCTCGAGGATTCAGTATCCTGATTAGGAGATACAGTAATCTTCCCGCGAATCGCGCACTCCGATATCCTAAGTCGGTGGTACTCGATCTCCGCTTGGGATATGGTTCCAATGGCTGCCAGTTGGCATGGCCCTTGTTCAGGCCCAGCAATGTACACGGGAACGTGAGACGACCTGACTAACTGACGAAGATTTTCAAAGTCTCCTGGATAAAGAAATAATGGACAGTCTTCGTGGATTTGTTCCATAAATCCATTCCATGCCGATGGCGAGATAAAAAGCGTGTAACCTAAAATCTGTAGAGCCGCTTGTTCGAGCCTGATAACATTTTTCTTCGTCAATCCCATGAGCTTGGACCTGCGCACCACCCATGAAGAAATAAGTCTTAGATGAACAGCACATTCAAACACTCACCAGGTTTTCGAAGTACAACAGTCATCGTGGAACCAAGCTATACCGAGCTGGAATCCCAAAAGGAAAAGTCGGACAACCAAATGAACGCAATGGTGGTCCCGGATTCCGTAATACGGGATACCATCTGGGAAGATCCAGAGCATGTACAGAACGGAGGAAAGAGCGAGTTTGCTGGAGCAGCCGATATCACACAGAACATAATAGATTCTTCTGTAAATCTCTTGCAAGACGAGAGGACGTCCTGCAAGGCATGCAACGTAAGATAGATATTGAGCAGGAAAGAAATCGGAATCGTACTGGAAAGAGGACGTTGAAACTTTACAAGTGAGACCAATTTGCAAGAGATATACGCTGCTATAAGAGGATAGCGAGATAGTTCCGGCTCCTCGCAAGATAGTCGAGACAGAAATTTCATGGAAACGGTTGGAATCTCGAAGGGAGTTGAATCAACAACTGGTATCATTCTCGCCTTGGGCTTACGATGCGGATGGCGAAAATTTGCATTGATGTTCCGCCAATTGATGGTCCGTCCGTCATCCCCATTCTGCGACCTGGAACGCGGTTGTAGTTTACAAGGATCACAGAAAACGTGAATAATTAGTAACACCTACCTATCCTCGTTCCGTGTAACAGGATTCAGCAAACTCGATATGGACATCTTCACGCGATGGCTAGACACGAGGCAGGAAGCAGTGGAGGCAAAGTTAGATTTAGGATCGACACTGGTGAGAGTAATGAAAAGAGAAAGACCAACTAAATTGAACGCACTTTAAGCCAAAGCCACAACACCACACACGACGAGAAGGGCCAATGGAAACGTGACCATGCACTCTTTTGCCATAGTAGGATTATTGAACAATAATTACCCTCTCATTGTTCTTGGAACCGCCGAGCCATCCAGTGGTTACCAAAAATCGGAGGCAGAAATTTGAAGGTTGACGTTGGCCAAGTCCATTGGGTCAATTCGAAACGTTCATGATAGGAATGTTAAACCAAATTCTTCCAGGAATCTCTAGTCAATAGTCGATCTACCAATAATTTATCGCTTATATTTCGCTCGAAGTAGTCATGGATTAGTACAAACACAGAGATCCAGCTTACATGTCATGTCTTGAAGCCGTCCCCTCCTGTCCCCTCCTCCTTTGATCAATAAATCCCAAATTTTCACGGTTCATAGGCGATTCTCGAATTGGTCCCGTTGGGCTTGTTTTGAATTACAGCGGGGAGGGGGGGGGGGGCCATTAGAGTGGGAGTTGCGATTATAGCTATACACAGCAATTCCAAATAAGCGCCCAACGATACAAAACGGGATTATATAAGCTGGTTTATTCCAGGATGGCAGAATCAGCTCTGATGCGCAATAGGGAAAGTAGAACATGATGGACGGTCTCTGGATGTAATTGAAACCTCTCATGTTGGACAGTGCAGAACTGACTAGATTGGCCAAGGTAAGATTTCCTCAAGTTTCCTTGCGTCGTGAACATTTCCAATTTGCTATTTTCTGCAGAGTAACTCTTCCATCGAAAAGGGGGCTTTCAATACGTTTCGAAGAAAAAATGGCGCTGTATGCGGCAAGTCATGACACTCTGATTTCAGCTAGTATACACTATTCATATCCTATCATATCCATTTGCACTGGATCGGAATGACCTATCCCACACCTTCCTTTTCCAAATAAAAACATCACACATTCAAGAGTATTTGACTATCGAACTTCAAGCCTCCTTGATCGATGAATCTTGACGGATATCTTCAATTTCCGTATATCGAGCCACGTCCTTCTCCGATTCTGTGAGGTCAATTCTGCCATTCCCGGTAATCTCTTCAATAGCTTCTTTCCCATCGAACAACGCGGCTGTTTCTTCCAGTGTAAGATTTTTCGTTTCGACAACATCTACCACCAGGTAAAGTTGGTAGCAAGTTCGGCTCAGAAAATCTCACTACTCACAGATGTATAGGAAAACTATTTCGAATGCAATCCAGCAGCAGTATATGATCTAGGATAGGTTCAGCAGATGTACCGGTGCATCTAAATCGATAAAGCAGATACACGTACGTAGTATTTCCATGCGAGACGGCCTTGAGCAAAGATTCACCCGTGTATCCATCAAGCAGTGATTGGGCTTACCTAAAGCGATAGGATTGGTATATTGGTTGAATATCAATGCAAGGGATATGGTGAAATTGAAGACTGTGAACCCTTTAGCACGAAGGTGGTAGGGCAGAATTTCAACGGTGTATACGACGATTAGCGGTGATAATGCAAGGCTTTGAAGTGAGACCCGTGAGTATTCTTTCACACATTCAATCTACCAGTTGATTACGCACCCATAAAATGCGCTGAACAGGAAAATGAAAGCGATCAAAGAATGAGCAGCTGCTGGTATTCCGTGTTCCCAAAATACTGCAAATGACACGGTCTGTGCAATCCAGGCGAAGAGTACCCCAATTGTTGAACTCAAGAAGAGAAAGCGGCGACCTAGTCTGTCAATCAGTCCTGATGCTAGCAGGGCCCAGAAGAGACTCCATATTGTGAGGATCCCGTTGATGAGGAGCTAGATCATGTCGGAGATCAGGTTCGAGTTTTCATTGATAAAGAAAAAAATTTAGCGCTTCGTCGTTCCGATGTTTGAGAATAAAGACAAACAAACCTGAACAGTTGGATCGGTGATATCGATGTCTGTGAGGATCTGGTTGAGGTAATACGACGCGATACCGTTTCCGGACCATTGCGAAAAGACAGCGATGGCGACGATGATTCTCATCCGCTTCCTGTTTCCTGGTGTACTGAAGAGGGATTTCCATCCCACATTTGCGACGACTGAATCATGAACTCAGCCCGAGCTGGGGAACAGAAACGGGATAGCAAACACGGACCATTCCTGTCAAACTCGATGGCAGCTTTAATCTCGTTGAACTCATATTGGACTAATGGATCGTTTCTGTTGAGCGAGAAATTTCCATACATAATATGAGTGGGTTGGTGAGAAGTTGGACATATATATAAATAAGGAATATACACATACGGGTTACCATCGGCGTGATAATACGCCAATGTCTTTAATGCTTGATCATCTCGGCCTTTACTGACCAGCCATCGTGGGGATTCAGGTAAAAACCATGCTAGAAATATTTGAAGCACGGATGGCAATCCCTGAAGTGCAGAAGGCGTACGCCACGCCCAGGTGCTAGCAATCCTGAATGTACCAAAGGTCGTCCAAGCCGCACTGTGAAAGTTAAGTATGTTCAGAGTGCAGCGTGTTCAGTGTACAGAGAAATAACGCCGAATTGTCTACACGTACATGATAGCTCCCAAGTTCCATAATGAGTTATACGCGGCTGTTAGAGGAGCGCGATATGGAGGGTACGAAATTTCCGAAACTAGCATAGGTGCAGCATTGGCTGAATATTTGCGATGTCAGTCAGTGTTTTCGGAGCATTTCTCAAAATCAATTCAACATTACTATACTCACCAGCGAATGTCAAGCCAAACCCGATCAAGAATCTGAAGGCAAAAAAAGTAACAGACGAAGGGAAGCTCTTGTGAGATCATAAGCCACTCGAGTAGGAAAATAGATAACGCACCGGGCACCGATGAACATACCGACAGATTGAGCAGCTGCTTGAATGATAGCTGCAAAACACATTATAGATGCTCCAAAAATCACTGTTCGGCGCCGTCCGATACCGTCAGACAAGTAGGGTGCAAACGGGTACGCTGCTAGAGATCCAATGTTCTAAAAAGTTCATCCGTGTCAAGATTGATCTCATTGAACAAAGAATGTCAAAGTTCGACATGCCTGAATAGCGTTTAAGAGACCAAGCTGACTCGGTGACGGATGGTTGAAGTAATCCTTCCATTGAGGACTGATAAACTCATTGCAAGTTTAATTGGGAGCACTAGTAAAAGGGATTGAAATGGAACCAATCTGATTACTAACAGTGATTGCAGACTGTTCATCATGCTTCCATCGTATCCATTGGTACAGGATGTGATAAGTCTTCCGGAGACGGTTCAAGGAAATATATAATGATTAATGGGAGAATTGACATACAGGAGAACAATCCAGGCGTTGAGGGTTATCAAGCTACGGCATGAGGCCAAATAAGAATAAACGGCATGCCCTTCGAAACAATTCTCAATCACTTACCGCTTATTGTTGAACCATTTCTTGTTCGGGTCAAGGAGATGAGTGAATCCACTCTGTGTTTCTGCGGCCACGATACCTCCGACCATGATCAGCTTCAAGGGTTCGATAGAATGGAAGGAGTGAAGGAACAAAACGACTCGGAAGAGAAGGAAATCCGGATTTATACTTATCGTAGGATGAAATTGCGAATATACATAGGTACAATTTCAGCCGTATAATATGCGCTATGAGCACAGGGAGAGCTCAGGTGACTCAGTTTTTGGATATACCAGAAACTCACGCATTCAAAGACGATATACATATGTATAGTATCTCACTCCCAGCATGAGACCTTGAGGTACGGAGCCTGTATTAGATTGTGGCGCGAAAGCATCCGGAAGTGAGGGTTCAACGTTGAACATCGAAGTCTTGCTCCGTGGTTGGGCCGGGATGAAGTCGAAGAGTTGTGAGGGCTTTCATTCCAATTTCTCCAGGTCCTGACGAATGTATTGCCTACGTTCGCAGAAGGTTTAGAAAAATCGAATGAAGATCTAGAGGAAGTAGTACACTTGAATATCATCCTTCTTTCCGGCGGCTGCTACGCACATTGAGAGTTCAATAAGGTTCGGAGCGAGTCTTGAGTTTCATCCATGAAGCTTCCGAAGCCAGAAGAGCTGCAATGAATGAAAGGTCGAGATGTACAACAACTTCGCGACGAGCAACCAGAACAGATGAATATCATCTTGTAAACTTGTAAACATGACTCGGTAAGCCTGATGATTGCAACCCATACGGACAGTCTTGTATGCCAATCGAAGGTAGATGCCACCTCTCGCGTCGCACATCCCTCAATCAATCAATCTTGGATTATAGTAGAAGTGGATGAGCGAACTTTTTTCAAAAAAAGTTGCCACTGGGAAAAGGATTAATTATTAGGCGCTGAAACCCGGAGGTGCTCCGAGTCAAGCGCCAATGTCTTTTTCTGTAACTACAACTACCGTGGACTGGCGAAAGTCGAGGATCACGCCAGTCCGTGTTCGCGGTGCAAATAAAAGCCCCAAGTGAAGCCTTGGTGATGATATAATTAGGAGCTACCATAGATGTCGATCCAAACCATTTCTATGTCGACGTCGGATCTTGCTAGTTTTTCTGGATCCAAAAAGACCTTTGGATATCCTGCCCGTAATTAATGGTACTCTGCTCACTTCACCAGACTTCACCCCATCCTTTAATACACTTTATATAATTTATAGACTGGACTGCTTCACGTCCACCATCCTGAATTAATTCTCCAATACTCTGCCCCCGTGTCTAAACGATTCAAATATCCCAACACTTCTATGAAAACCTCGTAGGTAAGAAGATAACATGGGTGAATACAAAATAAAGATACATAGGAATTATACTATTAGTAATCCAGAACTATGATGCAATTGAATGCGATATACAGTAATGCGAGAAAAAAAAATAACCAACAGAAACACCCAGAGAATCACGTTGAACGCGCTACTAACGAGACCTTGAGGGAGAGACAGAAAAAAAAAGAAAACTGAAAACAGAACACTACATACGATACGATACGATACCGGTGTCGAGTCTTTCAAAGCTTTCTCCTTTATCATCAACACTTCATCATCTGACCTGCTCCACATCCACCCCCGCCTTTCCCTCTCCTGTCCCCCTTCCCCTCTTCTTCCCCTTCCCCTTCTTCTTACCCGACAAATTAAACCCACCAGACATACTAAAAAGTCTCCTCGCTTTCTGATACTCAACATCCTCGTCGCTCGAGTCTGTCCAGATTCCATGTATTATTCCCTGTTCCCCCCGGTCTATATTCCTGTTTGCGTTCCCATTCATATGTTTCGGGTTTAAATTCGGATTCGGCGTTTGTCTCCGCTCATGGTCTTCGCCACCACCCTCATCCTCATCTCCGTGATCATCCTCGTACGCATCATATTCAATCGCAGGCGGTGTAACAGAATACGTCGGCTGCAGTGATACTCGCACGCTTTTTCGTCTTCGAGGAGGAGTATTGGTGTTATTCCCGGTATCTTCAGGATGGGATGTGGTTGTTGTGGTATCAGGAAGGGGATTGGGATTTGTATTGGGATTGGGATTAGGATTAGGAACGGAGATGGTGGATGAACCTCGCGCTAGAGTTTGCGCTTGAGTCTGCGTGGTTACGGTAGTACTTGAGGATTGTTGACCTATCTCCGTCTCCGTCTCTGTCTCGGTCTCCGTTTCATCGCTCCCATCTTCGACCACATCCACCCTTGCATTCTCCAAAATCTCCGAAACCTGCCCATCCCCATCCTCGAAATCATCAAACACCTCTCTCCCAGTCTCATACGACGATATCGACACCGCATCCGACGAGTCTGAGCCCGAAGACTCCGAGCTGGAACCTGAACCACTCGAACGCCTCTTTGCACGTAACGGCTGTTGATCTGGATGGACAAGTCGTGGTGGAGAGTTGGGAGGAATAGATGGAATGGACGAAGAAGGGTCGAGAACAGGGGTAGCAAGACTCGAAGTCGGAATACAAGAAGTAGCAAGAGGAGTAGGAGGAAGATAATACGAAATAGGACGAGGCGGCGATGAAATTCCGGCAGAAAGATTCGAAGGAGGCGGGGAAGGGATAGAATCAGCTCTGGTAGATCCCATAATTGCAATAGCGCCAGAATCAGTATACTCATCAATGGTTTCTCGGCCTTTTCCCTTGACATCTCTCTGAGATGTAATCGTAGGTATTACAAGCGAGGACGCCGTTCTTGGAGATTGATGCTGCTGCTGTTGCAGTGGGTCACGTTGACGAGGAAGTCCAGTGCTAGCTCCCGAGGAACCCGCCGTAGACACGCTGGAGCCCATTTGAGATCCTTCGGGGGAAGTTTGTTGAGATTGAGGAAGCGGCTGCAACTGCGACTGCGGTAACATCGGTGACGGCGTTCGACTGGAATTCTTCAACGCGCTTCGTAGATGTAGCACCGCCTGTCCAGGCCTATACGGCATGTGTTTATTCTGGGGGTTTCCTTGTATTCGGGTTTGGGTGTTATTGACGACCGGGATGTCGGCCAGAGGTGCTAACGCAGGCGCAGACGCAGACGTCGTCGGTCCAAGATCCGAATGAGATGTATCACGTACACCGCGAGTGGGTCGTCCAGATATCGCAGCTGAAGCACTACCAGAACGAGGTCTACCAGTAGATGCAGCTTTCTCCGTATCTGTGGAATTAGTCAAAATCAACGCAGAAAAGAGCGAAAGATATTTCTTCTTACATTGAGATAGAACATGACCCCGTTTTTCTAGCTTCTCTGCCCTCTCCCTCTCCATCTGTTCCTTCAAATCCTCGAGATCAATACCTCTGGGCGCTCTGACGTCCTCCAACGCGATACTTGTCGGCTGTTTCCTCTTCGAGGATAACGTATTCGCGCCTTCTTCTTCCTCTTCTCGAACTCGCAGCTCGACACCCAGACCAGAACCCGCTCCTATATTTTCTTTCTCTTTATCTACTTTGCCCCATCCCTCTCTGTTCGCCTTCGCCACGTCTTCCACGATGGACATCAAGCTAGTACCACCGCTCAATTCTGCAGGTCTGCCATGGCCATTGGTACTACCGCCAACAGGCGGCGCACTAGATCTCCGATCGGGTTTTGTATTCGTGGCCTGATTTGTTGTCTGTTTCGTAGTTGTCGTCGACGTTGACATCGACGAACTAGTAGGTGCACTAGCGGCGCTTCGGATAGACGAGGTCCTCGATACAGAAACAGACATCGATTTTTTTGGCGTGTCACCTGTTGGCGGAGCTCGAGGTGGTTTCGAAGGAAGAGGGGAGGAAGATGAGGGAGGAGAAGGTGATGATGATGTTGCTGAAGAAACAGGCAACGATCTCCGCTTATCAGATTTTCGCCGCTTCACACTGGTCTTTTTCGTGAGAGCAGAGTTTTCCTCCTCCTTCGTCTCCATTGCTGACGCTTCACGTTGGTGCTGCTCGCGTTGTCCCTGCCCTTCGACCCACTCCTCTGCTCTCGACCTCGGTCTCGGCACATTTCGACTCCGTACACTAAGTTCCCCATAATCCACACTCGCGCTTCTTCTACGTTGTGCAAGTTCAGTAGGAGGTACATTGTTGGAGGGAGTACGTCCTCGAGGACCAGAACCTGGTCCAACACCCGGTGATTTCTTGAGTTTCTTCCCATTCCCGGTATCCGTCGTCGTCGTCCCAACACGAGAAGTTCTTGAAGGAGATGTAGGCGTACGTATAATCGTTGAGGTAGAATTTGTGGAACGAGTACTAGGCGTATGAGCCTCGCTCATCGTTCGTCCTCGTATGCTATACGCCGTTGGCATCGCGGGAGTAGAAGAAGAAGAGGGAAAGAATGGAGGGGAAGATACGACGCTCCCGTCTTCCTCTTTATCCCTTTCATCGTGGAAGATACCACCTATCGCTTTCTTGCTGTCCTTGCCACCCTTCGCATTTCGTGTGAACAGCCCGCGCAGACTGCCGAAAAATCCACTAGCAGAAGCTGAACCCGAAGCGAAAGAGTTCGAGTTGGAAACTGGAATAAGGGTATGATTCATATTCGGATTGGGAGTAAGAGCGTTCACAGGGTTTTTGATAGGACTATTTGGTGGATGTAGGGATAACTTCGAAGTCGACCTGATGTTCGAGTCGGGATCAAGATGTGTATCGTCATGTCTTGATTTCTTTGTACCTGAGGAAAATCGTGGATTCTCAACGACTCGAAGGTCGTTGGCATGAATATCTTCTGCATCCGAATAAACAGTTCCATCGCTTTCTTCATCGCTGTCCAAAGCATCACCATCAGCCTTTCTTTCCTCGTCGCCTCCATGGTCTACCGACAATCCTAGATCCTCCTCCGTAATCCTACGCGGTAAAACGTGTCTTCTATCACTGTGGGAAATCGTGATCGTCGCGTCAGAATCAAGCGTAGGTAAAATGTTCAAGGCGTCCTCTATCGAATGAGCTGGAGGAATATGCGAAGACATAAAATCGTGGTCGTGGTCGTGGCCATGCGCTGAAGATAAAGGCGAAGCGCCTGAGATCGCCTCGAAATCAGAGTAAATGTGGGATGTGTGTGGTCTGGGTGATATGACTGGCTGCTGAGAAGGAGGAAGCGGTGGTGGTGGTGAAGGTCTTGTGAATTCTGTTTGCGACGCAGACTGCGACGGCGCAATAGATGACAAATCCGACGATGGCCTGTCATCACGATGGTGGAATTCCGGAGGATGTATTGGTACGGGCGCGATAAGCGGTGGAAGAGGTTTGTGTTCGGATGTATGCGGAACTGCGATTTATGAACATTTTAAGAAACCTTAAATAAAAGTCAAAATACCTTGCATTTGCCCATCTCTAGAGCCAAGCACTACCTCTCCTTCTTTTCCAATATTTATCCACCGCCAGCCACATTCCGCGAGCGCATGGAATCTTAATTTGAATGCACCGCATATTACAGAAGCGCGTTTATGTTCCAGCTCGGCCTCTTTCCTGGCCAAGTGAGCTTCGCAGGCTTGGAGCTCGGCTTGGGCTAGGTGAAGTTTCTTGGTAGTTTTTCCAGGTAAAGAGCTCGAGTTAGAGGTAAGAGTTGAGAAAAAGGATGTAGAAGTTGAAGTTACGTAGGACGTGGATGGGTCTTCGTTATTAAGAGATAGCGTGGATGTAGACGTAGACGAAGCAGGAGGAGATGAGGGAAACACTGCAAATGGTGATTGTTTTGGCGTGAATTTTGATGCTTTCAATAGACGGGTTACGCTGTAAGCATATAATAATTCAGGACTTGTGATGAAAGAACAGTACAAAAGACTTGATACACTCACAGTATTTCCCTATCTCTCAGAACACCTCCAACCTCATCTTCTAAGTCTTTCAGCTCGCCTAAAAGCCTTACCCATTCCTCTACGGCTCCGACGTACACTCTGAACGCTTCATCCGCGTTCCGTAACGTATTGGCAAGATTTAGGATAACTTGCGAGTTTGGGAATGGGTCTTGGAAATTTGTGGTCTTTGTTGAGACTGTAAGCGCAAAAGAGGGAGGTGGAGATGAAAAAGGTGGTGGAAACGACGCCGCATATGCCTCTAACGAGGTCACAGAGGCATTTGACTGAACCAAAAGTCCCTGTAGATTGCTCGTATATTGTTTTTCATTTGTAATAAGGTGTGCGAGGAGCCGAGAATCTGTGGACCTGTGAACCATTGAAGAAGGGAAACAAGGTTGTGTAGATTTATGATTCAGTGATTACTACTGTCATAATGAAGAAGGTCAGTTGTTGGGCGTTGGGCGTGATGGAATGATCTCGGAATGGGAAGATTATTCACACGAGGTGCTCATAGGCGCTGGAGGATTGGCGCTTTCATTTACTGTGGATACTTACCGCCTTCCCATTGCCATCGGTACAACTGGTTTGACTCCTTTGCATTTGGTACTTATCTCCTTCTTCCATCCTCCATCCCCCAATACACCTGATGGTAGGCTTGTATATTGATCCTAATACATCCTGATAGCTGAAAGTGCTCAATCTAATTGCCGGCTCAGCCGCAGTCCAACTCTCATTATGATGGTCCCTCACAAGGATAGAAAGATAGATAAATACGCGGCTCCGTCCGAGAACGAGGTCCCACAAGGGAACCAACTATCTCGACTGCAGCGAAATATCATCATCGACATGTCCTTTGACTCCTTTCTGGCAGATGACTTCGATTGATATCAGAACTTAAGGAGAAGAAACAGATATCACTGCGAACGTTTTGCGATCACCATGCGGAACAATCACTCTCGAGTCAAATATGTAAGGGCGGATGAATGGCGGTGTCCAGAAATCGCTATCTGTTAGATCGGATATGCATTTACATAAAAGCTGGTCCGCAAATGATTTACCTTCGCGCCCCAAGTCTAGAGCTGGTTCTCTAGTAAGAGCAAGAAAACCTCAACCAAAAAAATACTTCTTCGCCTACTACTCATCGCTGATACTCATCATGCATATCTCGCGGTCGTTCCTCTTGCTCCTAGCCTCCTTGTCACTGTCAATTAGCTGCTATGCTTCTCCGCTACCGGAATCCTCCAAGCAAAGTCCGGAAACAAGAACGTGGGGTAGAAGAGACGAGCATCACAGAGTTCATCTCGGGTATAGGTATGTTATATGTAGCATGATCATCAATTCAAACACGATTGACATATTGCTCTCAGATACGTAAACAGGGCAAGTGCTAATGCGATAGATTGATATAGAATACCGACGTTTCCCTCCAGAAAAGTGTCTTGATTTATGCGAGCGCAGGGAGGGAGCTCGCGAAGGCAGCAGGAAAGGTCGTACAGGCAAAACCTAAAGGAGACGAGGCAAAGTGGGTAATAGAAGGAACTCTGACAGTTATAAGGGCTAAAGGTACCTTGCTAGGGGAGGGTGCATATCTGACACCCAATCTGGGTGGATGGCAGGGAGACTTCGTGGTATGAACCACTCATGATGAACCTCGAGATACGGATGGTTTCAACTGACCGTGCGATCTTTAGTGTGAGGTTTGGGCAGATTTAGAAAAGTTCAAGGAAACACCGAAGGCGAGTTTCTCATCAAGTATGTATAAACCACAAAACTGAAAGCATTGGGTTATCACGGATAGTTTCTCGCCAAGGAGGAGAGTGAGTATCTTCCATTTGACGACAAGGCATGGGACAGAATGCTATCAAAACATGACAAGACGATGAGCCAGAATACAACAATTATTGCTGCGCGAATTCCAGGGCAATGTCGTTATACTATGCGAATTCCTCCTCATTACCTGAAGCCATCTCCTCAGAGGATGATGGATATTCTGACTGGTCGAAAGAAGCCTAAGGTTGATCTTGGTATAAGTGTTCGCTGTGTTTCAGAAAGTATGTGCTTATTTGTGCAAATATTGTTTTCTCTGCAACTGATTTTAATCTAGAGAACAAACAAGCTCTGTCTATCCATGATCCAGCTAACTGGGAGCAGTGGTGGCCCAAGCTGAATCCTAATAATCCGGGATGGATGGAGTCGATACAGGATCTTTAATGTATATGATTTTTTATCGTTGGTAATGATAGGTTAAAGTCCATCTATCGTCTTTTTGTACTTGGTTGGAAAGCTCTCTACTACATAAAGGTCAAAAAAATGACTCGTAATCGAGGGAACCAAACGGTGATATTGAAAATAAGAGTGTGTGTTGTCCAGCTAAGCCAATTCCTCAAGAAGAAGTGACAGAAAGATGCACGTACGTTCTCTAGAGGTTTCATTTGAAGATATTACCTTTGTAAAAGGCGGAAGCGCAGGTCGGCAGTGCAATGGCAATGATATGACTGAGTTGGAACAGGCAAATTTGAGTTTTTCGTTTGCGGTGACTCCTTGATGTAGTCCATGTATAGCATATAAAACAAAACAATCTCCACTTGCCATGTCTAGAGTCTTCGGGGCTTGTCGTACATTATTGAATCGAACTCCTTGACGCCAATTTCACGGTTCAGTCTGGCGTTTGTGCGCCCAGCTATGGGTTATCTAATGTTATGGTGAAAATACCCTGAGAAGCGTCTTCATTTCTCTCAAACAGGAACCCACCAACTGGCAACTCGTATGTATCTCACCGATTATCATTAGCAGGAATTGTACATGAAAGAGTCCAAAGGGGCATACAAGATGAACTTGAAACTTCAAATTCAGTTTAAGTATCACGCATCACCCCCCACGAGGAAAAGTACAACGAGAACTATGGTACATTGAGGGATTATCTAGTTCGATACGGCGCTCTGAGCGTACGTAGGAGGATACTACTCACATTTTTTCTCATCTATAGCGCGTTTGAACGTGTCCTCCAGCCTCTCCAACTCCGAGAAACGTGTTACGAGACTAGAGCGAAAACGGGTAGAGCGATGCGTCGTAAGCTGGGAAAGGACATGGCTTCCTTGAGCATTGGGACTGATGTAGATGTAGAGTGTAATGTGAGTTGGAGCTGGAATAAGGAAGAGGGGGACAAGGGGATCTCTTCGGATAGAGGGAAAGACGGACTCGTTGATTAAATCTGTCCATTCAGCAGAATATTCAAACTTCAGCTTCCCCAAATGAATATGCATTAGAATACCTTCATTTTTACTGGGACTCTCCGTCCTTTCATCCGCCACTCAACCCGCTTGTTCGTTGAAAGCGAAATGGGATGATGGTCAACGGATGTCAATCAGGTATTTCTGCTCAAAGTGATGCACACGCGTTTCCTGTCCTCGATGTATGATATAGATAATGATAAGATGGAAATCAGCTGGTCGCAGCGTGGCTGTTGGCATAGATTTGAAAAGATGATAAGCGCCATGTTGGACTTGCTAACGGAAGATGCCAAATAGAAGTCTCTCTCCACTAAGTTTCACGTTGGTCTTTACAAAATTTAAGCTTCGAGTGACGTGCCGAAAATTTACTCAGTGCTATAATTCACGTACAGCCTGAGATGAGCAGTATCGATATCGCAGAATATGAGAAAGCATTATTCGATGATGGTGGGAGTTAAAGAACCACAGGCGTCTATGATTGGAGGAAATTTTCGGACCGGCGGCGGGAACCTCGACTCTTCAAATTCTATCGCGATTTCCGTCGCTGGAACGACCAGAGCAATCGTCCTCTAGCTTTTTATCCCCTGTTCAAAAATCCTACCCTATCCTATCCATAAGCTAACATCCGGACAACGTACGTGAGGGAAAAACTAAAATAGGACAGCAAAATTTACTCCTTCTGAAGATCAAACCGCCTTTTTTGCTTTACATATAAACGGCACATCTCCAAACTAATCGTCCCTAGAATCTGCTGGCCAGGTTCTTTCCCCCTCTGCTGTCGCCTTCTTATCTGACTTGTTTGTTCGTTCACCCACTCTTTTTTCCCTAAAACCACCAGTTCGTACTGTTCTCGATGCGCTTCAACTTGGCGGTCTATTATATTGTCTTGGTGTTTCTCTTCGTGACTGCCTTTGTCCAGGCTGCACCTGTCAAGGTGGATTGTTCACCTTGTTCATTAAATGACAATTGGGAATTGCTAATATATCCTTATTTCCAAGTCTACCGATGGCACTGAGGCTTATAGTCCAGAGGTTCAAGTTCGTGAACTACGGTTGGATGGAATCATCAATTGGAACATCCGAATCCGATTTACATCATTGGCATATGCAGGTGCTGACATACCGGATTCCTCTCATCTCCCTGAGAGATTTCATTCGGTAGAAGAGCGTATACTCAAAGCGATTTGGAACTACCTGCTTCTCCTACCAACAGCTAATGGCATCGATATCAAGTTTGTCAATGAACCTACCGACCGTTCTTTGCAAGACAAATTTGTCTCATGCTTTGTCGATCTCAGGGAGGTGGAGCAGCCCCATTCACGGATGCTCCATCTCGATGTGGATAAAGCGGGGATTCCGCGAGTAATGCAGGATTCCGGCGGACATTTTCCCTTTGCAAGTGTGGTTGTCAAAGGCAAAGCGCAGGTGGATCGTGAATGTAAATGGTGCTAATTTACCATTTAATTGTTGTTGCTTACTATTCTCCGTGTCTCTATCTAGGGCCATCACCGGCGTAGGAGGGAGGTGTTTGGTCAAACCGCCATGGTGAGAATGAGGTTGTTCCCGTTATAGATGTGAGTATGTTGCTCACTGAACCAAGAAAGGACAGATAGATAGATAGATAAATAGATACACGGCACCACCCGACAGTAATACTTGAAGGACAGGAAGATTTTTGAGCAAAGCCAAACCCTTGAGCCAGTAACATGCCGAGCATGCCTCCACTATCCACACTGAGAATTGTCTTCAAGTTGCTCTTTTTTATTGGATTTCATTTTGGGCTACTGTTCAGATCAATGTGCCAATGGCTCCAGATATTCTATGCAGTAAAAGGACCACAGGCATACTGACATATGGTTCCACTTCTTCAGAGGTAACATCTTCCGCTGAAACCTCCTGAAAATGTGTGCACCTGGCCCAAACCTATTCCGCCTCCTTCTCCCCTTCTCCCCTCACTCTCTTTCCAATCCGTATATCCCCCCTTTTTCCTAATTACTCTCCTACACCCCCACTAGCTGAGCCCCCTCATTCACCCTCCGAGAGCGACCGGTCGGCTATCGAGACCCTACAAATGCAATCTTCTTATTTTGAAATCATCCTTCTCCTTTCCTTGCGATTGACACACAGTACCGACACTGGCCACCTTCGACGTGTCTTCTTATTTGATCAACTTTCTTTTCCTGTCAACATACTAGGGCTAATTGTGCCCCATATAACGCAATTATATTACAACGTGTCTTGATCATCATACAGAACGGATGAAATCTTCTCTGCTTGCCCTTTGCTCTATCATGTCTATCACTTCTTGCGGATATGATATCTAGGATTGGACAACATATAGCCTCATTTTTTTAAAAGATCACTGTTACTTGGTTCCCTCAATGACAACTCTTTTTAATATGCTGCAGTCATTTTTGACCCCTTTGAACCTTATTTGCACACTCCTGAGACTCCCATTGAAGAAATTTCCATCATTTACAAATATCAAAAGACGATGATAAACTTTACTTCTTGATATTCAATAAGTACCTACATAAAACTCATACGTATCGATAAATTGTCCTCCAGTATAGATTTCTAGGATTCAGCTCGGGCCACCATTGCCCCCAGTCAGCTGGACTTTGAATAGACAGAGCTTGGGTGTTTTCTATGTATTAACTTCAGTGGTAGAAAAATAATCAACACCGGCACATACTTTGTGAAACACAACGAACAGTAATTCCAAGATCACCCTTACGCCCTCGTCGACCAGTCAGAGGAGAGGGCTTCAGATAATACAGAGGGATTCGCATAGCATAACGAAATCCCCCTATAAGTCGCGCAGCAAGAATAGTCCTGTCCATTTTCTTCTGCTTTTTTGACAGCATTTTGCCCAACTCCTCCTCTAGACCTGAATACCTCTCCATCATATCATCAGTCAAATACTCCTATGATGATATCGAATGCGTTTCAGTCTCATGAATTATTATATATACTTGATAAGAATTGATTCTCACATTTGGTGTTTCTTTGAACTTTTCTAAATCTGCCCAGACCTCACACTGAAAATAGCATGGTCAGTTGAAAACACTCTATTGCGAAGTCCGTGAGTGGTTCATGACATACCACAAAGTCCCCCTTCCATCCACCCAATACAGGTGTTAGATATGCACCCTCCCCTAGTATTACCGCGGAGGCCTTTATTTCTGTCAGAGTTCCTTCTATCACCCAGTCTGCCTCTTTTCCTTCAGGAGCATTTGCCTTTATGACATTTCCGGCTGCCTCTTCTAGCTCCCTCCCTGCGCGCGCATAATCCAAAACACTTTCCTGGGGGGGAAAAAGTTGATATTCCACTTCAATCTGTAGTGTTAGCACCTGCCTTGTTTACGTATCTGAGAGCAATACGTGAGGTGACCATATTTAAACTAATCAGGGTACAACATACCTATACCCGAGATGAACTCTTCGCGGCTCATCTCTTCTACCCCAGGTTCTCATTTCCAAACTTGGCTTGGGGGAGTCCGGTAGCGGCGAAGCGCCGCAGTTTATCGACAGTGACAAGGAGTCTAGGAGCAGGAGGAACGACCACGAGACATGCATGATTATCAACAATGAGTCGGCAAAGAAGTATTCTGAGGTAGGCTAGATGATGTTTGTCGAGATGAGATCTTTTCTTGTGCTCACTAGAGAACCAGCTCTAAGACTTGAGGGCCGAGGCGTGAACAAAAACCGTCTGCGGGGGAAGCACTGGGGAGAAGCACGCTTATAAGCACTTGAAGTTGGCTAAATTTTAGTCTAATAGATCCGTCGCACGCATCCCCTCGATCCGATGGAAATCACAAGCGAGCTGTTGCGCATCATTGCCTTTCCTGCATACTTACATAAACTTCTCCTCACGCCGGAGTTAGTATGAGATTTATTTATCATGCCGTAACATATTCGTGAGGTGAGGCGGTGAGGTGAGGTGAGGCAAGAATTGAGCAGCCCTAATCCTTTAGAATTGTAACAGGACAAGGGACAGTGACACCGGGGAAGATTTGCTCATATGTGGCGGGCGGATCGCTTCATGCGTCTTGAGATTGTCGATGAGTGCATCGGGAACTTGGATGGTGAAAGAAGGAAGGATGTTTGTGCACAAGGGTGCTTCAAAGAAGAAGCCAGTCGCAACTATTCCAATTGCTTATACCGGGGCGGATTGGACCTGCAACATACGAAGAAAATTGTCATCTTCAATAACTGGATAGTTTTGGGAGTCGAGACGAAGCGACAGATGCACTTGACAGTGACCAGCGCTAAGCGCTAGAAAGTAGGACTCTTTCCGCCAAATTCTTTTGATTTTTGCACAAAAAGATACACGAACTTCGCGATAGAATTTGATACGCCAACTCGTGCGACGTGAAAGATGTGGAAAGAAACGAAAAACAATGTTCGGAAGCTCGGTCCGTAGCTTGCCTTGTGCAGTGCAAAGATAACAATTATCATTAACAAGCGACGTCAGACGAGTACTCAGTACTGCGAAGAAACTTCAACGATGCAACTTGGGACACATCCAGTCCTCAAGCTCAAACTCGGACTAAGGACTCGAATAGGGATATGAATACATTCGAATACGGAGAGTACAATGAGACGTACAGAAGAGTCGGATGAGAACAATAAAATAATTTGTGGGGAAGTGGCAAGGGGAAACCTGATGGCAGATTATGGTGAGGACCGCGGAACATATGCAAAATTGCAGTGCATTGTATCCCGATTCCCCTTGATACATCATACATCAAAGTTTCAATTCTCATCCACTCTCCGAAACAGCTTTTTGTCGCGTATTCTTTCACGGATAATCAAAGAGCTTGAAAAAACACAAATTACTCAGCCGATGAAAAATCACATTTATAACTTGTGTCGGTTTAGTGTTCTTGGTAACCGGTGATAAATTTTCACATCTTTGCGATGCCATTATACTTGCGATTAACTGTCCATACGACTGTAGCTTCAAGTTTAATTCGTCATTAAATCCTCCTACTCCTTCTAAGCCACGCTTTAAAAATGTGCAAGTCACGGAAGTCAATGCCACCCTTTATCGTTAAAGCTACATTTTTTTCAGACCTGGATTCAAGATCATAAAATCAGCATCCTATCCGTGTGGAAAATTCCATAGTGTGTATTTGCTCTCTAAGTTGAACTACAAATGATGTACACAAATTACAGTTATATGGTACACTTATCCATTTCTGTGCCAGGGAACCCATGTATAAATTAATGATTTGAAGCTGACAGACTTCGGACCCCCGCTTTGAGGTAAGATCACGCGAGACTCTCTAACATGCGCAAGGCTTCTTGCAACGTTGTATCAATCGATGTTGTCCAAGCTGAAGAAAGACATCATTAGTCTATCCAGATTCCTCGATAAAATGCATCGGGTACACGCACTCCATTCCCAGTTCTTTACAATTCTTGACCCAAGCCGTTGTAAATTATCCCATTGCTGTTTCGGTGGCAATTTGTCTAAATCCATTGCTCCGGCGGCTTCATCAAGCTGAAGAGTGAAGTAGCGCCCGTTTATTCGACTAACCTCCATCACTCTATACGCAAAAGGGCACCGAATGCTGTCATAGACACGCAGCGCACGAGCAATATTGGTACGGTTAGTGGATGGGTGACCCAAAACAGTCGCGAGGATGTACGCATCCTGTCAAGGCATTCTATTTGAGATTTTCTGCGATATTCTCAGAGATATGTATGTACGGACCTCGATAGCTTGTCCTGCACCGGAGCCCTGATGTGGTGTCATTGAATGAGCCTGGATAAAAAATGCACCTTAGGGAACAAAAAAATTGGTGAAAAATCAGCTACCCACAGCATCTCCTAGTAGTGCTACCCTTCCAGAAACAAATGATTGCATTGGGCGGACAGTGTGGATTGCCCATTGCATCGGTTTTTCAACACACTGACGACACACAAGTATGTTTATATTCGGAGAACAGGATGAGAGAGATTCAGACTCACAGCGATGAGAGCTTGTACTTCTGGTTCCCAGTGAGCAAATATCGAGGAAAAGGCACTAGTATCAACAGTTGACATCCATGGACCATTGAACTGGGTGTTTTCCAAGTGATGCTTGACGACGAACGCAACAAAATTGATTAATTTCCCTCCAGAGATGCGATATGCTATGATGTACTAATAATATATGCAGTGTATCAGCCAAAAGTCATCCCAGAAAGTTAAAGTTCAATAGACTTACACCGTGTTTCCCAAGATACTATCAAAACAAAGAAATATTGATGAACTGTACTTTCACCTACGAGTAGAACGCTATTGAAATAACATACCTGGACACCAGGAGTGTTTAGTACCCGATGATTAGGCGCGATCGTCTGTAGCTTTTGAACGGGGATCAAGGCTCGGTACGCGTTAGTTCCAGACCAGACTGGCTCGACGTGCTGGAGAATCTCCGCAGCCTCCTCCCGTCTTCCTTCGCTCCTAGCCCACTGAGCCTTTTCGCCTAAGACTCCCGCACGAACGGCAGATTTCACGCCATCTGCACCAATAAGCAAATCGCAAGACGCCGTTGTGCTATCCTCAAACAAGAGCTCAATAGGGCCAGATTGACGTTGGGCGTAAGATCTCAGACGTTTAAGACAATGCGTTCGGCATCGTTTGGGAAGATGGTTGAGTAGAGTTTGTTGATAATCCGCTCGATGGAAAAGCATTAGTGATCCTATAACGGAAAGTAAGTAATCGAGGGGAAAAATAAGGATAAAACGAAAGTTAGTTGATATGCCACTCCGAAAAAAGTGGACTTCCAACACTGACCTTGAGTAATCAAAGTATAAAATTCAATGCCTTCGTATTGATCGCTCTTGCGGTAACGAAAGGCAGAAACTAGAATACATCTGAGGTGGATCGAGTGGTGCAGCAAACATATACTTACCCGGGCCATCGACGACTTTCGTCTCAGTTACTTTGAGTAGATCCGCTTCTAATCCGAGCATTTTAATGATTTTCCAAGGACCTGAATAAGAACAATAAATATTATCGTCGATGATGTTCGAAATACTCTTACGAGGAAATATTCCAATTCCTGCGCCGACCTCTGTGAGTGCTCGCGCGCTTTCATAAATATCAATGTCGATATCAGTGTAACGCGATAGAGCCAGAGCGAAGGTGAGTCCTCCGATCCCTGCCCCGCTGAGACAAATAATGAGATGTGATTGCACAGAGCTAAGCAGTGCACCTACCAGATAGCTACATGTAATCTCCTGGTATTTGCGGAGGTCATCATTCGAGCAAGCCGTTAAAGTTTAGGTTGCGAAATAAAGTGTACCAGTGCAAGTCGAGAATATAACAATAAACGGAACGAGCCTTTTATGCATATTCTGCCCTGGTTCTTTGACACGATTTAACCGGACTGCGTAGCGACTTTGTGCTTTCAGCCCAGGTGCATCGTGCCGCAGAAACGAAATGATCTCCTCAACCTGATACTCACTTAGACGCCCCGAGATGTCCCACGATTTGGTCGCGCTCTAGTTACAATCTGGGAGGAAATTGCCTTTTCCGCAACCTCTGTCTCTGGGCATCAACCTATCAACTGACCTTCTGGATACTGATTTCAGGCAATGAGGCATGATATTCTTAAAACGACATACTTACAGGGATAAACTTCAGCCGTGTCGAAGGGAGACTTCGGATTTTCCAGCACTCGAGTGGGCTAAGAATGAAGGTCGGAATAGAGCGAAGCTATGACGAGTTATCAACACCCTAATAGCTCTTTCAATTACTTCGAAAAGTCCCCATCGTCTAGGCCAGAACACAATTGAAATGATCGCGCAAGACATACAGACAGACTCGGTGCACTTTGTCCCTGCGCACATGCATTCCTTCCCTAATCCACCCGAAGTGCTTACTCGCGTACCACCAACCCTGCTAAGCCATGCTAGCACGAGGTCGATAAAATCGGACTTCATTCAGTCGGAGGAGGTTGAGGGAGCCCCATCTGTCGATGGGGTTAGGCGCATGGGAGCAGGCTTAACCTGGGTTTGACTTACTTGGATTGAATACAGTTGGATACTGTAAAATTATTCGAGTTTGAGGACCGAAAGTCGAAATGCTTCTCCATCCAAATTTAAATTTTTACTGTCTCTGAGCTGCCCCGAGAGAATCTGACCCTTCAGACGAAATACCGAAGGCGAGGAGTTCGAAGTATTCGTTTTGCAATGATCATGAAAGAAAAAAGTAGGTGTGACAGTGACTATGTGACTGCCCGCTTCCTAACTTTCTGAACAAGTACAACAATGATGCAAGTCACTGAACTGACTCCCTGCCTGCGCTTTTCCTGGTCACTATCAGAGAATTTTAGAGCATGGCTGCTTGTATGAAATTTCTATCGGTTCACTCATACATTTTCGCTCAGCGTTCTGCTCTTCACACACTCATTCACACCCAGCTGCATTCTGGAGCTAAGACGGTAAGCGTCTTGAGTCTATTATTCATTCATATCTTCTCTTCTCATGTCGGTTCATACTTAGAACATGAAAGGCACAACCTCTCTAAGCTTGAGCACTGGACGGCGGCTGACTCGGAGGTAATAGTCCTTGGTTAGAATATATAGCCTCGAAGGTGCCATGATTCTTTGCATGAACAGCTCATCTTTTTTTTCCGGGATGTCAGAGAAGGAGACAGGCGAGTCGCTTCTCTGAAGATTTTCGCGGACCTAACGGCTTATTCACACATAATCGCACATCAGAAACATTTCCCGGACCAATTCTTGAGGCTTCCTTGCGACATTACACGTATGTAAATTTTCCTCTTGTGTTAGCCGCGGAAAGATGAACATTCAGTTCCATCACTCATTTCCACCGATAAAATCTGTGGAGGTTGTAAGGCGGCTACCCCACCGCTGCTTACCCCCTTTGTTTCCCGCTGCTTGTATGGTGGCAAAGCAACGCGTTTATTGACCCGCACGCCACTATTGGATCAATGGGGCCAAGAGACCCCATTGAAGATGGGTGATTGGATCACGACGTCGACCTCAGTATCGCTTTTGTGCTACTGGAAAGAAAACAGGAACCATTTGGAGTACATGAAGGTCCAAGCAATATCAGTAAATGTACGACAGAAGGAAGGTAGGAAAATCCAGTCTAACGCATGATATAAAGCTATGGGAAATTATAGGAACTAGATGCTCGTGGAGATTTCGCCAGGGTAAGATTCAATTGCAATAAGTTTCAAGGGTTCGGACAATCATTCTACTTTACATGATATTTTACGAGGAAGTTGATTCACTGGAAGCTGAAAGTAAAGATGAAATACCTAAAGGAAATGTAGTACCTAGGAATCATCCTTATTATAAAGTTCCTCTGTTATTGGTAGAAATTGGTATGTACATATGTATACCATCCTTGTCAATGGAGATTTTATCCTTTCGTATCCCAAGGATTCCGATGACTTCATATTCGAGGCCCGAGGTAGGCGCTATACTCCTATCGTGCTATACATGTTTTTGAACAATCTGTCGCGCGGTGAAACCGCACGTTCATCCTCCTTCATTTCCATGGTACTCGATATACGTTTGAAGGGTCCTGTACACCGAGAAGATCGTATGTTTTCCATGGTCCAATCTTTGCTGGTCACATCTGTAAATTGGACAGAGTTTTCGACGTACTGGTGGTTACATACGGTCAATGGCATATCGTTCCTCGACTGTTGACTGCAAGTCAGCTCCACGCGCACTTCATCAATGGCGATGTCAGCAACAGAGGAAAAAGTCTGTGGATTACTGCGAACGGTTCTGACGTCCCATAATGAAAGGTGCAATACATATCCACGCGGCAGCCAACTAATGACAAAGAAAAGTCCGAAGACAAGATGCACTGGTTCTTCTGATAGGTAGGGCACTTACTGGGCACTTACGAGGCGGGGAACAGGCTGAAGTAGATTGAAAGGGACCGCAGCCAATACTGATCGAGATGTGTGCCGGGATTCTTTTAAACAGGCTACATAGAGTAAGTTAATGATAAAGGGGAGGAATGCGCAATAGTTTTGGTACCAAAATGAAACGACTCATCTTGGGCTTCGCATTATTGGAATTATATATGCAGTCGGCGATTCTGAAATCGCGAGGGCAGGTAAGGTCATCATGCACCTTAATCAATTATGGTAAATCGCCGTTAATGTTCAGCGCTCAACGTCCAAGCTTTCAAGTTGAAACTCGAGTTTTCAGCACAACAAACCCGTAACATACCCTAACATACCGCCGGCCTGGAGAGAAGCAGTACCTACCTTACGAGAATTGCTCAAGAAAAAAGGAATTCCATCATTCGTCGCTCCCACCGAACAAAACAAGTACCTGCCAAGTACTTCAGAGGAGGCCGAGGACTCAAGGTGTAAGCAACACATCGAGAACTCGTTTAGAGACGATGAATAGGCCTTTCCACCGCAAGGAGCTCACCCCGGTTCCGCTACTCGCTTTGAAAAGGTATTATGAATGCTGTAAATCATAATTTATGTGGAAGACAACTTGATTCAGCACATCCTGGCAAGGGAACGAGACCTGTGACAAATATTTAACACCCCACGTATATGCAGCATCTCCCCCAATCTGGTGATGACCTGGCCCTCGAAAGAGGGGAAAAAGAACAGGTTGCCGTTACAGATAGTCGGTGACAATGCTCAGCGTGGGCTCAGTCACCTTCAGCCACGATAGGGGATTGAGAATGTGGTCCGTCCCCCAACGAGACCCTTAGCCACGTAAAAACCGTGATTTCAGCTGACTCGGAACGAGTTATAACGAGCCCACGTTGAAAGCTATTAACGCTTCGTACGACAAAGCATAGGATCTAGACTGATCGACATTATGATTCACCGAGGGGTCCATAAGTATTCCAGCCGCGATCCGTATCTTGAAGCTCACACAATGATAAATATCATCGCGAGTCATCACGATGTCAGTGGCGAGCTCAGGCTTGTTTTCGACGCTGTTCTCCCTCCTGTATTGGTAGAAAAGTTCCTAGGATGGGTCAGAAGTAGAGTACTGAGCTATTGATGAGTAAGATCTGAGTGTAACAGAGCGAGGAGGTGGTTCCAGTGTACGGAGGTGAACGGAGATGGAGAGCTACGGGCATTGATCTATATAAGCGCCGGCCCGTCTAGTGTCGGCGTCAAAGTGTCAAAGCTGGTTTTATACAGTATGTTGTATATTCACTGCACAGCATGACTTGCGCACAAGGTAATCGATGTCTCTTGAGTACATTATCCACTGTCTGCATTTATTGGAATTTGGCTATGCAACTCCTTCAACTTTCCCAAGTCTTGCTGGACAGGGAGAAGTTCAAGGGTTATTGCAAGCCACCACGATTAGAGGAAAAAGTCCATTTGTTCCATTGCGACCACCTATTATACGTATAGCGTACCAATAGAAAGAACAAGTAAAGAGAGGATGTGTATGTGCCAGAGACAAACGAGTCATGGGCACATAGGTAGTAGGTCCTAGTAAAGTCCCATTTGGGGTCCTGGTGAGTGTAAACGAAATAGACCGATGTATCCATAGGTAGGGAAGTCAAAGGCAAAAACGTAGAACATCAACGTAAAGTAGGACAAACGCGGAACGTAGGTGGAAGCAAAACGCGGGAAAAAGGAAATGCGCAATTGCGCGAGGTGCGATGATAGAGCAAGTTATATATGCAGTAGAGGGGTTGTAGGTATACGAGTATTGATATGTAGATAGAAGACAGCTCGTAAGACGACAAAGAATATATTCCGTGGGTCCTTTCGGGGAAAAATTATGCTAAAGACAACGAGGTGGGCAAGAAATCATAAAGTTGGGAAAGTCATGATGACCACAAGGCAAAATCATGCGCTTAATGGAAGGCAGCGATCGCGGCAATGGCGGAGATCATCGACAATACGGTGAGACCCTCTGACATACCAGCTTGGAAGACACGAGCGCCTGAAGCAGCAGCGTTGCTCGACGAAGAGGCTGCAGCGGTTGTCGAGCCCGAAGATGAACCAGAGGCAGCACCAGCAGTACCAGTAGCAGTGGCAGCGCTTCCGGTGGCAGTCGCAGTCGCGCCGCTACCAGTCGCAGTTGCAGCACCCGTGACACCAAGGGATGCCAGATCAATTCCGTTGGAGATAGTGGCAACGGTCTGGCAGTTGGACGACGAGGGAGTGGACTGAACAGTGGAGGGAGTGACGAGATCACCCTGAGTATATGTGACTCCATCAACGACACCGGTCCAGTACTGAGCGAAGGAGGAGAACGAGGTGGTCCCATCGGAAGAGCCCTCAACATACCATCCAGGAGGGTATGCAACATCGGCTTCACAAGTCTCGAAAGTACCGTTGAAGTTGTAATTACCGGGCATGACAAATTCACAACCCATCTCATCAAGCTCGTGCCAGCACATGGCAGCGGCGCTGTACGTTGAATTGGCCCAAGTGCAAGCACGGAAACAGAATTGCTCGTAGGAGACGTAAAGCATCCATTCGGCAACGTTAATGGTTTCACCGTCGATGGTCATGTTAGTGGTGACATTTCCGCCGATGGGATTACCAGAGCCGTAGGCACCGTGAGGGTCGAGTTCACCTCCCCAGTCACCAGAGGGAATGTTGATTTTGGTGAGGTCACCGTAGCCCATGATCTGGACGTACATATCTAAAATAATTGAAGATTCAGTTTTCCACGACGCAAAAAAGGCGATGCAGGAAAAAAAAAACGAACCAGTCTTCAACAAACTGACACCTGAAATTGTTCCATCAGGAATAACCCTGGCATCGTTTCTTTGTTGAGTACACCAAGCGACCTCAATAGTTTCTGAGTCGGCAATGTCCTGGCTCTCGGGAGGAGCGAAAATACACCAGTCATCGACAGAGTTGATACTCAATAACCTGGAGAAGGAAGTTTGGTTGATAGCGGTGCCGGTGGTAGGTTCAGGAGGGTTAGTGACACCCATAGTGCCGGTGGCGACAACACCGTCAGGAAAAGTCGTCGTCGACTGCGCAAAGGCAGTGGAGGCCAAAAGAAGAGAAGCTGTTGCGATAGCGAGCATTTTGGAAAGGGGAATTATTTTCTTTGGTAAATGTTATCAAACGAGTGTCTGTTGAGCGTCGATAGTGGCGAGTACAAGTGGCGAGAGTTGGGACAGGAACAAAGCCAAAAAGGCTGCTAGTGGAAAGGAAGAAAAGAACAACGTGCAGGGCTGTGTAAGTCGAATGCACGCTCTAAAAAGTCTCTGCGGAAAGCTATTTTAAGATCTTTGACATTGTATCAGCGGTTGATCGCTTCCGCAGCCTAAAAATAATGTCTGTCATTTCTTCTCCCCCCAAAACCGAGTGTACATACATAACTTGACGAAATGATTAACGCAACAGATATCAACTCTCTTTCTTTTAAGGACGTTGAATATTCTTGAATATCTTCAGCAGAACAAGCTATTCGAACTTCCTTCCAACTCCCATCAGGCACACCGAAGTTGATCCATCGATTCGGAAATTTACATAATTCATATAATCTCCAAATTCTACAACTGCGGCGGCTCGAGCTGGTTGTTATCCTCATGGACCTCAATTACGACGTTTCACCCTCGCGCAGGTCTCTTGTGCTTACGATCTGGAATAGGTCCTGTTTCGCTAGCCAGTATCTACATATCCAACTATCCATCCTTTCTTCGAATATCCAGTACATGTAACGTACTAGTAATCACCTCCAGATCACCTCCAAGAAATCAAGTGCCTTCTCTTCGTTTACCCCAGAGCTTTGTACCGAGGTGAAAACTCAGTCCAAACTTCGATATCATTCCTCATCACCTCTGCATCATGGAGAACTTGCACAGAATTGGCAGTTGCCGTGTCAGGTATTGATGTACAAGGCCATAAACAAAACCAACCACGACCGCCACGGTGTAATAAGAAAGATTCGCTACATGGATGTTGCCTCTGTCCACCAGTCTTTGACCCAGTCACTTGAATAGAAGTCCTTCGAAACTTGTAAGCTTTCTTCCCATTGCTAAGCATCTGCGGTCATCGAATCCCTTCACCGTTTGACTGGTGGATTGCACGGAGATCCGATGCCGTGAAGCGTTGCATTGAGGAGAATACGCATCCAATTGGGTCCACTAAGATCCACGACCACGATTTTGAATATCGGATTGTCATTGCTGTAAGTACAACCAGAGTACAACTCTCGCAGCTCGAAAACTTGATCTATGAATTCACTTGTTGTCTTCGAAGTATCCGAGTACTCAGTACATAACATCTACATATAACAAACGAAGGCCGTTTGTCGACATATGATTGGTCAGATATTCCGAGTGGAGACCACAAATTTCGCTCTCTCATTTTTCACTGCACGGGCGAAGGGAGCGAGTGGGCGGAGCAATGCGACGCCCCGAGCGGAACTGAGCTTCTCATAGCGTATTGCAAGGGTCGCTGCTAGTTCTATCTGAAGACATAGTGTAGTATGAATAGAGCAGTTCTTTTAAATACTATTTATCTCAAATCTTGTTCATTGTAAAATAAATAGTGGTGTGCAATTAGAGCTGAATAAAATAATATCGATGGAGGTGTTCGATAAAGCTGCTTTGACCCTTCCAAAAAAGGTAAGAAGGTGCTAAATGTTTTAGACGCTGACGCTCGTCCACGTCATCAGATACTCATGAATATCCTTCCAGCATGTTATCGAGAATAGAACCACTGCTACCTTCTCCTGGATTTTTGTAACTTCTTCTGCCTTCCTTTGACCGATACTTATCTAGTCTCTCGAGTATGGACAGTCCTTTCCGTGATCCGCAGCCTTGCGATGGAAAATCACTTCGAATTTTTCCATATCAGCGTTTATAAGCTCCTCGCTGCTCCTTACAAGCGTGTACATCCAATCCAGACCGCCTTTTAACCCAAACTCGACATATACTGATAGGATGAAGTCACAGTATTCGTAGAGAAGCAGGCTGGAAGTATAAAGAACGTAGCCTTCAATGTGTGGGTTTCTTTTTCTTTTGATAAAAGGGATTCCACGTTTATCTTCTCCCGAAGGCAGCATAAGTACAGATCGCAGCGATATAACCACGGAGTAAGTCCCTCCCCCCTTGGAGACAATTCTTTGAACAGCTTAACGCGTATTCTGCACACTGCCACTTCTTGCTGCATCTATACACGTACCATACACTTTTCAATGGTCAGGGGTTGACTGACAATTTATCGATTCCTATGACCATATTGCTAGATGCTAAATAATCTTGACTGGCAGGTGAGGTCAAGTTGACCCCTTTCTTTTCTGCACTGATGCTTAGGAGTTGATCATACCACGTCGTCATCTATCTCACTGAATTTGAAGGTTTATTTTCCCATCATCGTCAGTAACGACACCCGTTTCGTGTGTCGCTCCCGAGTTTGAAGGTGAATTTCAATTCCTTGTTCGATGCGCTCGTTTCAACCTTCTTTTCGTACAGGACATCGCATGCTGAGATTGCCGAGACTCGAGTGGCACGCACACGTGAGATGCTGTTCGTTGTAACGCAACGCGCAAGTCACGCACCATTAAGCATTAAGCGCTGGGAGATTAAAACCGGTTCGCAGGAAGCCAAAGTAGTTTTTTTCAACTTCTACCACCACTGCCCTTGCTTGCTTGTGCACCTCGTGCTATAACTTCTTCTCTTCATCTTGTTGCTCTCTTGTATTCCCTTCTTGTAATCTTCTCAAATTATCACGACTTTAATGAACAGTCTCGAGGCGATGTTGTCCGGAGCTGGCGTAGAGGAAGGTGGTCTTTCCGCTTTCGATGGACTCAATGATCCACTAGAGATCAACGAGGACATTATTAGATCGAACTCTGATGGGTGAGTCTCTCTCGTCTCTTCCTCGACTGATTATTAATCTGGCGATCCCTGTTTTATATCACATTGCTTTCCTCGACCCATTCCAATGTGGACGTCGATTATGTGATAAACGATTTAGTGATGACCACCACTCATTTGATGCTCATCAGGACCGGGAGGCCTTTCTTGCAATCACAAGAGATGCTAACGCGGAGGTCGTGGTGGAGGGTGAGGATTCGATTTGGCGAGACTTGGAACATTTCGCTGCTACCGGAGAATTCCCACAACACCTTATCCAAGAAGGATCTAACGACCAGCAATCCGTGCGTACTGGCACTTCCGCCCCTGCACATGTCGTAGACGACCACGACGCGTCCCGTTCGCAATCACAGTCAGGGATTCCCAATCAGATTGAAGTCAGCGACGATTCCACAGACAGTCTCTTCGGCGACTCACCGGTCGCTGTGTCTCCTGAACTTGAAGCCGATGCACCACTGGGCGAATACCCTGCTTCAGCCGAGCCCAATTCTAATGATCTCAATGTTAACATCGACGCGTTTTTGACTATGATGCAGTCCCACCAGATGTCAAATGGTCCTTCCTTGAACATGGAGGAAGAACACTGCCCAAATGGTTCAGTTCATATGGGTGGTCAGCAGGTTATGAACGAGCCTCATACTATCCCTGAGCTCAGGTTTAGTCCAACAAACACCCCACCCGAACCCTTCCCTATCACGCCTCCGGGTGCTGTCACTCGGACTGGGTTTGCGAACGACTCTATTCTACAAGGTTACCAACCGTTTACAGCAAATACGAGGCGAGGTGAAAAACGCAAGAGGCTTGAAGAAGAATTCATGCCTACCTCTAATCATAATCACGATGATGGTGATCTGCATGGCATGGGGTCGTCGATTATGCATGGGTATGTAGACTCCCTGCAGATTCATTCCGGTGCTCGACTGAGAATTATTCTAGATCGCACAATGCAACAGCTCTCGCTCTGCCTTCTCACTTCACTCCAGGCTCCTTTGGAAGCGCTGACTCCGGCTCTGGCATCTTTCACTCTTCTGGACTGGCTCCAACTTTCCCCTTCACAAACTTCGGAGCTTCTAACGTCGCTCCTCAGACCTCAGTTCAGCAAGCACCGCCGCTGAACAAACTCCCCCTCTATCCTAATGTCTTTTTACCTTACTCCCACAACTCTTCGTCGATTCACCCCTCGACCTCCTCGCAACAGCATCAAAATTGTTCTATGTCTGTTCTATTTCCCGGGCATCAATTTGGGATGTATGGTATACCCCATGGACCTGCCGGACTCATGTCAGGTCCAAACCCCCAACCTCCTGTTGTCCCTCAGCCTCCTGGGCAGTATAATACACACACTGGCGCGATGAATCTGGGAGGTCTTGCTGGGAGAACTCAATCTTCTGGCTCGCAGCATCAAAAATACATGGAGAATCAAGCTGAGCTACATCCTGTTGCTTTCAGCCAAAAAGCTACAGAACCTACATCCGGCCCCGAGTAAGTGTTTTTTCCCGTACCTTCTTTTGCCTTGCTGATTGTTTTCATCACATATATAGACTCCAGATCTACTTCGAAGACGGCAGTGGGAAACGAACCACTCGGAATCCGCTCAAACGCAGTCCATATATAAAAATGAAAAAGTCAGAAATTCCGCCGTATGTCGTTTGTCGCTGGAAGGATTTTCCAGAATCTGCGGAATGCGGTCAGCACATCACGTTCGAAGATCGAACCCGCCATTTCGACAACTTGCACCAAATATCTGCCAAGGAGTGCAAATGGGTCGGATGCGAAAAATCTGTTGGAGGGTCTCGTTTGGCAAAACACTTTAACGCGCAACACCACCCCTATTGCCGATATTACTGTGATTCCTGTGATCTGGGCTTCCAAGAGGAAAAAGGATGTCAAAATCATAGGTCACAATGTCGTGCAAAGCTTCAGACTGAAACGAGTTCGGGTTTCACAGTCGTGGAACCTTCCCAACAAACCGGCGACAATGAAGAGGAATCTTTTCCGAATAAAAGACGTCGCTTCTAAACAAATTCGCAGGCAATGCGTATCATGAATCAACCATTTCAAATAATGAACTATAATATCATGTATCGGTAGGTACTTTCGTTTATCTCTTAGCTGTATCATTAGCATTATTGTCTCTGTAGTTATTACACCATATATCCGTATTACGTACCCTCTTTGATAATGATAGGACTTTTCGAACGTGGCGTTTGATAAGGCTAGCTTTGACCTAGTTAGAAGAACATGCTTTGACCTTTCCAAAAAGGGCACACGCACGTGTAAGTCTTCGTGTCGCCGCGTCAACTTGATTCTGTTTAGATTTTAACCTACTTCGACTCTTATACCCCTCTCGATTTGTACTATTTTCTATCAAACGCAACACTCGAGCCACAGTGCTGTGCTTTAATTCGATTTAGTGTGGGCGGAGAAATTTGTAGAAGTGATTGGGCATAATTCCAAGAACTGAAGAAGGGAGATATCCAAAGACTAGTGGAGACAGAGGCGTAAGATGAGCTCTTTGGCATTTCTAGTCACTGAACTTCAGGTCCGTTCTATAATCTCGTGCTTAACATTGAGCTCATTCTGTTTTATTAGTCACTGTCCAGCGAAACACGGCGGAAGCATCCGGAAATTCGCGAGGTACTATCTGCAGTCTAAATCCAACAGCAGCTCTCATACATCCTCTTCCAGGCCGCTGAAAAGTCTTTGACTATCCTTAGAGCTTCACCAGAGCAGGCAAATATTAATCTTACCACAGGTCTGTTCATACTGTATTACTTACTCCGAGCTGAACTTCGTGTTATTCAGATGGACCACAATCTTTCGATCTCCTCAAACCAGTATTCATGGGATGCGCTACCAAGTCTCCGAAAGTCGTTGCGATATCTCTTGGTTCTCTTCAACGTCTCATATCCCTCAAAGCCGTTCCGAAATCCACTGTGCCGGAAATTATCCGTATAATGGGCGATGCAATGAACCAGGGTGTAGATATCCAGCTCAAGATATTACAAACATTACTCGGGTTGATAACAAATTACTTGGAAGTGCACGATACGTTGTTGGGCAATGTAAGTCGGAGTATGCTTTACATACCATTTCATTCACTCAATTCAGTTCGCTGAAGGCATACTTTGTACTTTCATAGGCTTTACTTTTGTGTTTCAAGTTACAAGAATCACGAATTGCAGTCGTATCTAGTACGGCCGCTGCAACTCTTCGGCAGCTCGTCATGGTTGTGATGGACAAAATGGTCGATGAGGATCACAAGAACACAGACGCAGAAATTGGAGAGGCGGATAATAGGCTCGCAGAAATGACATTACCAGATGGCACCACCACTCCCCTCAGTCCTTCCGCAAAAGACGCGTATTCCGTATTCGAGGATCTATGTCTCTTGGCCAATTCGGAAAAGCCGAATTTCCTCAAGCTTGAATCTCTCCATAAGACGTTCGCACTGGAGTTAATTGAGAGTGTTCTGACGAATTATCATGCATTGTTTCGAAAAGTAAGTCGATTGTATCAGTTGATTTTTCGACCCGTCTAATTGATAGCCATAGCACCCTTCCCTGATTCTCCTTTTACAACATCATCTCTGTCCCCTTCTCCTCAAGGCGCTCTCAGACCGACCGACATTCCCTCTCATTTTGCGATGCACCCGCGTCGTGTTCCTCCTGCTGAAGCAATTTTCCCTCGAATTGCAGACGGAAGCTGAGGTGTTCTTGATGCTCCTTATCCGTATTATTACGGACGATAATTCGGTGTCGTTGGATACAAGCGGAAGCGGAAGTAGCATCGCATCGAATGAATCGTATGGTCATAATCACGGGTCAAGACCTCAGTGGATGAGGGTGCTTGCAATGGAGATTATGCGAGGGTAAGCGTTATTTAACATGAGTTCATTTCGTCTCATAATGTTTGCTTCGTCTTGGAACAGTTTGTGCAGCGATGCGGAACTCATGCGTAGTGTATGGGATCGTTACGATGCACAGGAACATGGCTCAAATGCTCTCAGCACCCTTATCACTGCGCTCAAACGACTTGTCACAGAAAAGCCCGCTCTGCTCGGGGTAGGGTCGCAGATGTTCGGTGTGGGTGTCAGCAGTAATAATGATAGCCACTACGCATTATCACCCAGTGGTTCTGCTTATTCGTTGGATGGAGTAGCTGGGATGGTTGCCACTGCGGCTAGCGCCACGGTATCGAATGTAGTTGGAATGATGGGCTCGAACGCTGGACTAAGCTTGCAGGGTTCAACTATGAAACTGCAGTGGTGAGTGCCGTTCTGCTCTTCCTAAATTTCTTCTACTGATTGTGATGTTTCAGTATTGACCAACTGGACAAGGCCGACTCTCCTCCAATTCCTGAATCATACGTCTATCTCCTCGCCGTGCAATGTCTCGTCTCTCTTTGTGAAGGCTTTGCAACATTCGCCGCACCCCTCTACAACACCATAATCATCCAAAAACCTCGCGCAGCAGGCGAGGCTCCTATCCGCGCACCACCAGCCTTGGACTTTACCAGCCTTTCTTCGGACGATCCATTAACAAAACAACTCCAAATCGTACGGGATATCATCGAAAGCAATTGGCCTGCTCTACTCGCTGCGCTTTCCTTCGTCATCGCAACGAATCTTTCTGATGAAATTTTTGTTGATATCCTGGCAAGTTATCAAGCCATGACCAATGTCTCTGGGATGTTGGGTCTTACTACACCAAGAGACGCCTTCTTCACGAGCTTGGCGAAGTTCTCTGTTCCCACACGGGTCGTGTCGAGTCTTGATTCGTATACAGACCCGCAGACTCCTCGCTCTGCAACGACCTCTTTTTCCGAAAATCTTGGTCTAAGTCTAAGTGGGAGCACCGGGTCTACATCCCCTGGTCTTTCTGAACGTAATCTTGCGTGCCTCAAAGTTCTAATATCGAGTTCAATGTTCCTTGCTGGAAGCCTCGGCGAGAGTTGGTTCGGGATTCTGGAGGTGCTACAGAATGCTGATTATGTTTTGACAAGCAAAGGCATTGCATATGGGGCCCAGACACCAGGGAGTAAAGGTGGTGCATTTTCTCCTGGGAGAGGCGGTCATACCACTCCAAGTCGGTCTGTGTCCATGGCGTTGTCTTCATCAGGATCTGGACTTGGACTTTCCTCGGCTGCAGTCTCATCCTCTCAGCAACCTTCCCCACGTCATCCGCTCCTCAGTGACCTGGACCCGGAAATGATGTTAACTGCAATACAGCGCCTGTTTGATGCGTCAAAGAATCTGGAGGACGGGGCGTTCAAGTTTTTCACTGATGCCCTGTGTAAATTGAGTGCAGAGATGATTGGGATGCAAACAGGAACCGCGGATGGGTTGGGTTTGGAAGTCATTGCGGAAACTGGAAGTGTGGAGGAACTCAGTAGTCTTGATGGAGTTGTACTTTCTCCGCCTGCGCCATCGATTGCAGACACTCCACATCGCCGAAGAGTTAGCGGTATCCACCTTCCAAGAACATTGGTTCGTTGTTCTCTTTTTCGCTTTTTGAGCTACATTAACATTGTGGTCTACTCCCAGCGGTCAGGCGACTTCGGGATCAATAAACTCGGTGGTGTTATTTCTCAAAACATCCATCGCTTGGTATACCGGCCTCCAGAAGTTGCATGGACCACCATTACAACACATCTCCTTTCCGTTATTCGTCTTCCCACTGCTCCTCCACCAATACGCATTCAGGCCGCGAGGGTCCTTGATGATATTCTCATTACGGTCCCTCGCAACTTGGGTACCGCGGGAGAATTGCAAGCGCAAGTTCAGCAACGCGTCTTGGAAGTACTCTCCTACCAGGTCATACCGGACTACACCTCCCTACCTGGTGCTGCTACGGCGAACGTTGGTACTACCGTAGAGTTGAGGCGGATGGGTCTAGAGACTTTGCATGAAATTTTGCAAGTCTCGGGACATACACTGATTGTTGGTTGGGAGACAATATTCTCCATGCTTGAAAGTGTGTGTAGACCTCCGCCACCCACAAAATCAGGCTCCGTGGACTCAACCATAGCAAGCCCTACTGCTTCACCCCCTCGTGCTAAACCGATTCTGCTTGGCCTTGGTGTACCTTCCGAAAAGAACTACACCACACTAATCAAGATTGCCTTTCAGTCTCTCAATTTGGTTTGTGACTCTGTTTCCGAACTCTCGCCCGAACATCTTCGTCTCTGCATTAGCACATTAGGACAATTCGGGCGGCAAGCCAATACCAACATTGCTCTCACTGCTGCCGCGAGTCTTCTATGGAGCGTTTCTGATGCGATTCAGGCGAAACGAAAAGATGCTGAGAAGGAACCGGAGTACAGTGCTCTGTGGATGTTTCTGCTATTAGAGGTCCTTGGTCTGTGCTCAGATGATCGCCCGGAGGTCAGAGATGGTGCAATACAAACTCTGTTTCGGACCATGCAGCTATATGGCGCAAGCCTTAGTCTCCAAACATGGGATGAGTGTATATGGAAAGTCACATTCCCGCTCGTGGAATCCTTATCGACGGAGATCCATCGTCGTTCGGCGCTTGTTGAACCCTTCGATGGCGCCGGTGCCGGAGAACAAGCGTGGGATGAATCCAAAATTCTTGCCTTCAATTCAATTGGCTCCATCTTCCACGATTTCCTTTCCTCAAAACTCGTACATCTCGAATCATTTCATTCGGCATGGGATACCTTTGTGACGCGCATTCAAGATTCCGTTCTTCTCGACAATCGATCCATAAGCACGCCTGCACTGAGGTGCTTGGAGAAGGCTGTCAAGGCATCCTCAGCATCCATTTTTGACGTGAGACAGAAGGTGGTGGAGATGAAGGAACGAATTTGGATTGCAATTGATGCAGTTGGGAGTGCAATCTTACGTCGTCGGAATGGAGCACAGTCCCCCTCGCTTGACTCGGCAATACTACCGAAACCATTCACGCAAGAATGCCTGGTCGCTTTTGTTGATGTGATACAGTCTACTCGGGACCTCAGTCGTGCGTTGGAAGGTGCTGAATGGCCTTTAGAGAGGATAACCCGGTTGATGGTCATTTTAAAAGGTGCGTCGTAAATTTTTTCATATTGCATCTCGAAATGATAATTTTACCGTAGGAGTGTTGACTTACCCGAATTCCCCTGATTATCGACCTGACATTGACGCACTTCCTCCTGTTCAGGTATGTTCGAATGGTAGTGCCTATGAATACTTTTACATCTCACCTCTCATAGACTGTCGTGATGACCACAATCGGCGGAATCGATCTGTCTGGCTCTGGCATACCATCCCTCGTTCTCAGAGACTTGTCAGAATTTGCTACGCTCCCTTTTCTTGCCGCATTCGACATTCCTCCAGACCCCAAGAGTTCCACTCCCTCCAAACGCATAACATATATAGCCCTTGCAAAGAAAACCATGCCCAAACTTGTTGAACTGTGTCTTCAATTCAAGGATAGATTAGAGCTGTACTCTGAGGGGACTATAGAAGCTGTCTTATCTGTATGTGTAGTCTTTGAATGTCTGGTTCGAACTTGATCTCTTACTCTAAATTCTAGGCGTATTCCATCCCAGTGAAACTCAAATATGACTGCCCTTCGCCTTCAAAACATGGCAAGGACCCTCCACTATGGAAGACAGCCACAACTTGTTTCTTGCGCATCGTCAAGGAATGTGCTCCTCAGGTCATTGCTTTCGATGAAGGTAGATTGCCAGATCTTCAATATATAAGTTTCGCTGAAAGATCGACATATACATTTAGAGATATCCGACGAGCGACTTGAAGGCATCTGGCGGCAGATCATAGATGTCTTTCGTGGCGGAATCCTCGCAGATTGGTTCGTGTTCATTCCGAAGCACCATTCCAACTGTTTCCTCATTCATATATTCATGAACAGTTCCACTGCCGAGAGCTTTCCATTGGACATTCAGGAAGAGGAAGAGAACTTTGACCTTTCTCTCGTCGCTTCCCTCGAAATCGACGTCGTTCCACATCTTAGAGGTAGCCGGATCCCTGACTCCGTTTTCACTCAGCTTGCCAAAGTGCTAGCGCTAGGCAGTGGGCTGTATGATTCTTCCTTGTCCTCAAGTCCTTCTGAGAGCGAGTTTGGGAGAAATGAATACGTCCACGTCGGTGCAGATCAGCATTATCCACATGGAAGTACTGACCCCGGACATTCTTTACCCCGCGAACGGTTCTCGTACTGGTGCTTTGATTTGTTGTTCTTGATATGCTCAGACACTACGAGAGGTTTGTGGATGTAATCTTCAGCAATCTGTGCCGCTCAATCTTCGTCCTTTTAGAACAAGAGCATGCTCGAAAACGTCTAGCCGCCCTAAGTTTACCAGCACTACTCAAACGTTGTCGAACGACGATGGTTCAATACGTTGCGGACGAGGCGCTAAGGGGTAATTTACCCTTACCAAGGTGTGTTAATCTACCTTCAGGGACACAGTTTTCTAAGTTATATTGCCCAATTTAGGGCCCGCGAAGACGAGCTTCTCTACGTCCTCCGCAAACTGCGAGAATTGCGATTATGGCCTGGATCGTTATGGGCTGCGCTGTCCGATGATCCAACGAAGTACTCCTCAGAGCAGCCTCCCTTGAGTCCATCGGCTGATTCCAAAAACACAATGCCTTCATCACTGACATCCAAAACACTGATCTTGGATGCAGTCAATCGTTCTTCGGTCGGGCATCTGTTCAAATTCTACACTTTACTTTGCGAGATAGCCTCAGTGCCTAGACGTACACCAGAAGCATGGGTTCACATTAGGCCTGCGTCTGCATCCATTGCGTCGCGGTATTCTGAAGAACAGGATCCCAAAGTCGAAGGTCGCATAGATCACCAGCTCGAACATCTGGATGCACGCACGCTCGCTAAGGAATGCTTAAAGATTATTGGGAGTGAGATGGGTGTATCATAAAGTTGAACAGGATACCAATGGCGTTTAAAATAACAATGGATTGGAACCCATGCATTTGCAACTTCATTGAACTAGACCTCGTGTGACTAGACGGAAATTAAAAGGCTTTAATAAATTTTTAGGACTTCCCGACTCTTAAGATCTTTCAACTTCAGGCGCACGAGGTTCAAAGAAGACGGGCTCCACAGAGTTGTGCGTGCTCTGGTCATCTCCGTGACCAATCTGATTGCTACCTCGGACTTATCGACTCTTCCAGACCATGGACCGCATGAAAGTCGTCAGTCATTCGATGCGCGCCTCGTACCCGCAGCGCACTGCTTAACAACGCACTCGTTTCACAGTGGTAACGTGTACCCATCTACATATACTTTAAAGTTTTGATTCATTTTGGATCGAGTACATTGACCCACATTCACTCGCCGTTTGTCACGTTTCCTGGTGAACCATATGCATCCATACATTCAGCAATTTTTCTGTTTTCTCGGTCGCACACCCGCTATGCCAATATTTACTCCACAATCATTTGGGAAACCTGGATTACATTGTTGGTGCTTGCATTTGAAAACTATTTTCGAAGTGTCACCTCTCAGCCTTATTCGGCATGATTGTTTGGACTGAGCTCAAGAGAGTATAAAAGGGGTTTGATTGAGGAGTGCATCCTCATCGACTTGTTTGCTCTACTTGAATTAATCTTCAGCGAACACGCTATTTCTTTCCTCCTTAGGCCATTACTACCCCTAGTTGCTACTATGATCGGAATTATTTCTGTGGTTTCTTTCCTTCTCGCTTCTGGCGCAAGTGCAGACCGTACATTCACGGTCACAAACAACTGCGACTACACCGTCTGGTATGTTTCATCTCATTTCCAGGTAGATTCAAAGAATTTACGCTAGTCATATCGTAGGCCTGGAGTATGTTCTTATTCATACCTTGAGTCTCCGGCCTTACACATGTTTTTCAGATGTTCACCAACCTCCAAGTTGGTACTGCAGTCCCAGATCAAGCTAATGGGTATGCGAATGTGCTTCCTCATCGAAATAAGGTCTGATCATCAATATCTCTTTCCTAGATGGGAGCAAGCCGCAGGCGCAACCGTCAGCTTTACTGTCCCGGATAACTGGACATCAGGAAGAATCTGGGGTCGTACAGAATGTGATTTCACAACAGTCCAGGGACCAACTTCGTGTGCTACGGGTGGTTGCAACGGAGGTCTGGTCTGTGATGCTTCCACTGGAACTGTGAGGCCTGTTTTTTCAATAAATGGATCCGCAGTCGATCTTGAGAATTCTTTTTCTGACCGATTCTTTCCGTGACTCTGTCATCAGGGAGTGCCACCCGCCACCGTGGCTGAATGGACTCTCTCGGGAGCGCAGGACCTCGACTACTACGACGTTTCCGTTGTTGATGGTTTCAACGTTCCGGTTGCTGTTACTGTCAGTGATACCTCCTGCAGCACGGCATCTTGTCCGGCTGATCTGAACTCTGACTGTGGGATTTCTTTCACTCCTACGTGAACGTAAACTCAATCTTGAAATGCAGGCCCGGCGGACCTCCAAGTCCTTGATTCCTCAGGAGCTGTTGTCGGATGCAACAGTGCTTGTAATGCTAATCTTGACGGTGACCAAGGTATGTCGCAGTGCTTTTGAAACGTTCGGATTGATTAAATGCGTACAATTGTGTACAATTAGCTGACTCTGCCAATTGCTGTACCGGTTCACATGACACAGCTGCTACCTGCCCTCCCTCTGGAGTAACAGACTATGACTTCTTCAGTATGTTCCGCCTTAACAAATTCCATCATAAACTAAATTACTTTTCCACTTGTTTCACAGAGGATGCTTGTCCTGACTCCTACGTCTACGCTTATGACGAATCTAGCGGAACTGCTTTGTGGACTTGCCCTGATAGCGCAAGTCCAGATTACACTTTGACTTTCTGCCCTTGAAGAGGAGTTGCGATTGACAACCAACCAAAAAATTTAAACTTTCTATCCCATACCCTCGCTCCTTTGTTCTCGTTATCCTGTATACAATCTTTCATGTACATGTATCACTTGTATGGAAAAACTTTGTGTGAGCCTTCCCCGCAATGAGAATTGAAGTCCGAGCACTAGGCACAACCGCTGTTCAAACAACCAAAGAATGTATCCATACCCATTTGCTGTTCAACAAAGCTCCATGAATATCATCAGCGTATGGGCGAAGTGCCGGGTTTTCTGTCCAACAGCGAGTCGTGAGGTCCCAGATTGTATCTGGACACCAAACATCTTGTGGCCGAGCAGGTCGTTCTCCCAGCATCAAACTGTAGATCACTGCGGCATCAGTTCTTTGATCGTGAAAAGGAACCTTCAGCGTTAGAATCTACGTCCAATCTCAACATTTAGCGACTGATATTAGGGGGAAGAGGCTTACTTCCACAACAGTACAGCCAAATGCATAAATATCTCGCGAAGTATGGTGTGGGTGTTCGTCGACTGCCAGTGGGCCTTCAAAGATGAGCTCAGGTGCCATCCAACGTATTGCCCCTTTCATGCCAGTACTCGTAGTCGCTGTAGACCATGATCTGGAATCCGCAGTAACCAATGCTAAACCGAAATCTGCCAAGCAGCAATGAAAGTCGTCTGTCACCAGTATGTTAGCCTTGGGAAGACTTTAGTCACTAGGAGCTCTTAAAAACGAAAAATTTGACGACACCCACTCCTCGAATGTCGCCATGTATAATAGGAGGAGTTCTTGAGTGAAGATACGCCAAACCTGCCGCGATCTCTGTAAGCTGGTTTCATTAATGAGTGATGACATTTCCATCAGCAAAAAAACCGGAGATGCTCACCACATTGTGTCGGCTATGGGTGGGATTCCCTTTCAGATAAGTGATGATATCCTTGTTTGCCATCCAGGGAGAGACTAGGCAAAAAGAAGGTGAAAAGATTTCTTCGTTGACACCGAGTAAGGGAAGAATGTTCGGATGCTTGAGTTGTCTCCATAAGAGCGCTTCGTTGCAAAATTGCTGTTACAAGTTATCGGGGTCTATACATAACGTTCAATTGTTCATGCTAACCCTCCGAATTCGTTGACGAACTTCCTCGTCCGGTTCGATGACCAGTCGTAAAACTTTCAAACACACAGACTGATTGTTCACAGCTCCACGCCATATATCCTTCAAGGAGGTAACCTTTATGTAGTAGATTTTGCGAATGGATGCACTCACTGCAAACCCCCCACCACCAACTGGGTTTTGACCTTCTCGCTCGATTTCTCGAAGAATCATAGAGGAGGGTAGAATTTGATATTTTTTTGACAAACGACGAGAGAATTGCAGACATTTCTTTCGATATATCTCTAGAAGAGAAGGCGATGCGTCGATTCCGACTGAAGACGCCCATTCAATGAGGTCATTGGAAGTGGTGTCCATTTCCTTCGGATAATGCACATCTCAGTGAACTATATCAAAAGCCGGATCGGGGAAGAAGTATCACCAGTTGGAAGAGGTCCATAACTTGTTGTACCAAGATAAAATCGTAAGGCTCAAGAAATTTCTTTTCCCAATCCGAATCGATTTCACCATGACGGAAAAGAGCATACCGAAGATCATCGGCAGTCATTCCATGTGAATCTGACCGGGACAACGCTTTCTCCTTCAGTGCCACATACTGCCCATAAAACAATTGGAATCAACGGACCTCCATCAACCTTTCCCTTGTTTGCGACTGCTTCTCCTGGAGTCCGATCCGACCAAACGAATGATATTTCCTCAAAAGACCTTCCAGCAGAATGCTCTAACACAAGCAAAGGGGGAAGTATAATCGTATTTGATCCGGTGATGTCGAGGACAAAATCATCGTAGCATGAAAGACTAGAGCTACTCCGTTTGAAGCTGGCCAGGATGTTTACCGTTCTTCTCTTGACCTTTTTCCTGAACCAAGAACTGAGCCGGCTTCGCGAGGAGACTCTGGGAATAGCCATTTCGACTCTCGATGGAAGCTGAGATTGAGAGATGTCCTGTCGAGGGACAGCATCCGTTGGACTCGGAGGGCTATTGACTTCCTCGGATGGTGGTCTGTTGAACATTGTCAGTGGAGGATCAGGAATCGATACTAGTGATTCCAGCGAGTTTGAAAATCTCCATCCTGTTTCAGGCCCGTCAGGTGAATCTGGCGGTACGGAATAGGGTTCGGGGGAAGTCGAAGGCGTCTCGTCGAAAGATGCCTGCGAAATAAGCGAAGCCAAATCCGATGAACCGAAAACACCTACCCATTTCCTGCTAGGCTTGCGAGAGTCTCTCTCGACAAGGCCAGGCCACGACTCAGCAGTGAATTCGTCCACAGCCGAAAAATTATCCTGATTATGCGAAATTATATCATCTTCAAGTACCACATCCTCTTTATCTGTCGTGTTGTTTATCTTGTTAGAGAGGTATAACAACAAACTGTCTTCTGCAGTCCAGATTCCCATCTGAGGTTGGCTGTTGGGGCTTGTTGGCGGTAGATACTCAAAATGGACCCAAGTTGAGTTTGTAGAATGCAATGCGGATTCTGATACTGCAGAACGAGGAAGAAGCTGTATAATTTAAAAAGGTGGCGCTACATTTTGGTACAAGTCTATTCATTAAGATTGACAACTAATAGAAATGTCATGATTCCGCGGAAACCCACGAGAACCAGCCTGTGTCCAAGTATCGGTAATCGGTTTGTTGACGATACAAACAAGTGGAATACTCATGATGTACAAATACAGGCGAAAGGTTGATCATAACTAGCCTCGCTGATAAATTAGCAGATCAGGATTTCAGGATTTCAGAAAGCCGCGCAGAAGTTCAGCAGCGTGATATAATGTTGACTGGATCGAGCTGATAGAAAATGACGGATATTTTGTCGGTCCAGAGTGACTGAGAGGGTCAGTGCAGGCGTGCACGCATGTAGAACTTGATGATAGGCAGTGTAACATCTTTCCCTTTTGGTCACTCTCTGACGAATCATCGTATGTAGGGCGCCGGCCAATGTCCGGCGATGTGACACCAACGAAGATTTTGGTGCGTGAGGACTCTGTGGATGTGTCGCGTATGGTGGGACTCCAATCGATGTCCAAACGTATATTGGGAGTTGGCTCTGTGGCGAGTTTGGAATCACTATAGGATGGCTGAGTCGGACTTATGTAGAGAGGAATGTATAAACCATAAGTGATACAGTCCATCAAATTCTGTTTTCTTTCCGCACACTCTTCAATGCATGATATTGCCGTTGTCCAATCTTTATCAAAAGGTAATCCATTACATGGTAGACCGTTGGGAGAGAGGAATTCGGAGGTAAGGGAAGGTCGAATAGCGTGTATAAGCTGACCGACTGTACGGCGTTCCTCTAAATGATCATCAAGGAATGCTGGCAGATTTGAGAGTAGATGCGAAAGCCAGCGAGCGTAGGCGATGTTTGAAACGCAAAGGTTATGACCAAGGAGATGGAGCACATGAATGTCTGCATTCCGAAATACTGTCTGCTCCAAACCTAGATGTACGTGCCTTGATATCAAAAAATTGAGATCGTATTTGCAAGTACATTTTAGTGGAAGCCTGGACTCACCATTGGAAACGACGAGCGCGAAAGTCCCAGAACTCGGACTGGTCTTCGAACCATTGTAAGGCCAATCGTATGCATAATAAAAATAATCTTTGCAAGGCGGTGGCACATTCATGATCTGGATTTCCGGAATATGGGATCCGGTCTGGAAAGATACGATAGAGGTATAGCAAAGCGATGAAAATCACCGGTGTCGGTGGATTCACTAGTTGGAAGGATTTCGTCAATTGACATATCAATGTACGGAGCAATTCATGTTCGTCGAATACTACAAACAATTACAGGTTAGATTACTTCACAGAATGACCTTAGTGTACGTACCGATTCCCGGGTTCTCCATAGTCAGCTTGCTCTGGATCATCATCAAACCAATCCAGGTAGCCAATGCGCGATTTTCTGTTATACGTCGACGACGGAGAAGTCCAGATCGCCAGAGCATCTGAGAATTACTGGGTTCGTAAGGTGGACACGATTGTGGTGTCGGGGGAAACATGTTTCGCATCAACATCGACGAGGCGTTAGCATCAGATTGTTTGCAGAAGTTGACACAGTGAGCAGTTGTTGGGGATAAGATTGTGTTTGGGACTGCTACTTTCGCAACAGCCTTGAACGACGCATAAGAATTTTGATGATAAGACGACTCGGTGCTCGCGGAACGAAGTGATCTGGTCATGTTGTAGAAGCGACCAGACGACCAGAGCCTATGGTCTTTATACCAAGTAATTTGAGCGATTGGCGTGCCATTGTTTGACCTTTGTGGTATCCCTCTGCGATTATTCTCGTAGCGACCGAACAATTAAATATTAATTGCTTGCCACAGCGGTGACAGAGCCACGATGAAGTCACGAGAGGTGACCAATTAACGCGAAGTCACATATTATCATATCATGCGTACAGTAGTACAACCGGGCCGTGGGTAGTATAGCTAGTAGGTACATCGAAAGTTCTGTGGATTACATATACTGATGAATATACAGTTGCCATGAAGAAACGTCGTGCAAAAAAAGATGACAAAGTGAGCGTCTGGGCCCCAAATCATAAAACGCTGGGAAGCAGATCGGGGTTGCTAATCATCTTGCGTCTATCTAGAGAACGCGACCATTTATCTAGGGAGGGCATCAGCCTGCTGTATTCCATCTTCAATCATAGACGACTTGCCCGGGCACGCTAAGAAGTATCTCTCTAGTGCGTTTGTAAACCGTTCTTGATATTCGGCTGGCGGTATCACGGTCACTTCCTTCCCATTTCCTGAATTAAGCCCCTGCTTGGCTTTATACTCTAATGTTTTCGCAAATGTATAGCTTCCTATCACGACATGAGTAAGTAAAAAGTTGTATAGATTTGAAGTAAATAACGGACCTATAGTATCAACAAGACCGCAAGCAATCTGCTTGTGTTCTGTGTCAATGCCTAAGAGGAGCCTAAGACAATCTGTCAGTGCTACACGCAGTAACGTATGATGGAGGGCGTACGAATAATCCATGATATTGCTCTTCGAAAGGAATTCAGCGTCGCTTCTGATAGCTTCACGTAAAACAGCTTTTGAATGCGGTCGGACAAGCGTCAAGGTTTGTTGTAGGCCTAGACCAGAATGTTGGTCGAGATTCAGTAAGGATGAGGCAGAGCGTACCCTCGATCCATTCACCATCGAATAATGTTTTGGAGGTCTGGACAGTAACGTTATTACCAGATTTTACCTTCCGACCTTGGATGCCCTTGAGATCGAATGTCTTGTCAATTTTCTGGTCGTAGAATAGATTCTCCATCACAAGCAGGTCCGCTTTCGACTGCACAGTCCCAGTTTCCAAGTTGCGGATCTCGATGGTATAGAAACCTATCAGTTTGGCGAGCACAGTAGCTTTACTGGCCGTCGAATCCATGTATCGAAAGTATGAAGGGCTGAGCTCGATGAGCACTTGACTAAGGAGAAATCCTGACGATGATGCTCCGCCTCTGAATGAAATGAGGAAACTTACAGATCAGCTACGTTCCACGCATTAACCAAAGTCTTGATGATAAATCTATCGTCTGCCGTCTTCCAGAAGTTAGATTTACTCTTGCCACCTTCTGCAGACCAGTTTGCACTCCTAGAGAGACTCTCCAAAAAGATCGAGTCGACGCCGCAACGTTTCCTGAGACTGTCAAATTGCTTGGCGTAATATACCATACAACTAAACTTGAGTCGTTTTCCAATAGTCCAGTCGTATTTGATATGAGGGCGTTCATCGATAGCGTTAACTTCAGCCGCTGTGAGTAGCCCATGGTGTCTGTCGGAACCTGCAGACAAAGGTCGAGGAATTTGAGTTGGAAGCATAAGGCGCATTGCATTTGTGAGACCATTCGTGAAAGAGTCAAGCGAAGATTTGGCAGGAACTGGAGAAGCAATACTGTTGGGGGCAGATATTGTATCTGATGGAGAAGGAGAGTTTTGAGAAATTGTCTTTGCATGGTTACCGGCAACGAACGCGCCTTGTGGAGCATGTGGGTCTGGCCTCACGGTTGATGCATCCAGGGTACTCGAATTATAGCTGCCGACAACGGACGAATTAGGACGCGACTCTGTGTCCTCTGTCTCAATGCTCTCAAACTCAAGTAGCATCCGGTGCACATCATCCCTTCCATGTGTCAGTCCACTAGCAACTTCGCCCTCTGCTTCCTGTTTGGTGACTTGAACATCAGGCTTAGCCCAGGCGGAGGGGGGCACTCCATTGGACAACATCGACGGACGATCGCCTCGGCCTCCATTCAGTTTCTTTGACGTCGCTGATCCCAGGCTTGCAAAACGCGAGGCCGAAAGGAGATTAGAGTCGGGTGATTTCTGCCTTAGTACTTCTCTGATTGACAGTATAGAAGTAGGATCTCGAGGGTGGTCTTTCCTGCAGATAACAGCCGAATACGCTTCTGGTTCGTGCCAAATGACATCTTCTTGGTCAGGATCAGGTTGGACGAGTGCGGATGTCCGGAAAAGCTTGTAACCACTTGCAGTAGCGGCGGAAAAGAACGATGAAGCAGAGGTAGAGGGGGCAATAGGTGTATTTGGAGGATCTGCGTTAGATGCGGGGCGCACGACGGACATTGACGCTAGTTCACGTTGATAATCCGGTGTGCTGTGAGATTGCTAGATTAGTGTTTGTGCTTGAGGATTATTTAAACACTGATAGTCTCGTACCTTAGGGTGAACGCGATGATACTCCCCCAATCATCCTCCCGGATGATGATATTACCTCCTGGCGCAACATGACATGTCGGATTCCACCACTCAGGTTCAGCGGCACGCAATTTCTCAGAGGGGTTTAGCTCGTCCGAACGCTCTCCATTCTTAACCTTGTTCTTCTTCTTTCCCTTCTTTTCACCGAGATGCTTTTTCTGCCACGCGGTCAACCTCCGTTCTGCACCCTTGGCAGCTGATAGAAAAGCTCGGCGGACTTCGTTCAATGACGAAGCTGGAGTTTTAGCCAGTTGGGTGTACAGTGTTTGTTCAATGCGATGGAAGGTCTGGCGTAGGTTGGATAGAAGCTGCATTGGGTCACGATTCAAGCCTTCTGCGTCTGCCGAATGTACGGAGGAAGCAGAAGAGGTTGTAGGGGTAGTAGATAGCTGAGAACTCGATGATGACGATCCATGATTCAGAGGTGGTCGTGGATTCGAGGGGGCTGGACTTGGAGAAGCGGTTCGTGAGATGTCATCTGAAGACGAATGTGGTTGCGGGGGTATTTGACATAGAGGTGCAGTTGAGGATGAGGCAGAGAGTGTAAATGGATCTGACGAAACGGAGGATGGATTCTTAGACTTATTGAAGTAATCACTCGTAGCAGTGACTACAGTTGGGGTGTAGCTTTCGGGTAAGCCAGAAATCTTGAGTTTCGGCGTCGGATATTCTTCCGGTTCTCCAAAATCGTCATCGTCAAACGAATCGTATGCGTCATCCGTAGAAGGTAATCTGGGTAATGCCTTTCTGACCGCTATTTGGTCTTCGGCAGAAAACTTCTCTTCCTACAGTACATGTAAGAGATGGCCTGGATTACATCAAGTTTATGGTTCGAACTCACTAATAAATCCATATGATCGGCGACACCTTCCCACCAAGCTTTAATCTCCCTCCTCAACTTTTTCTTCTGATCATCCTCCTTACTTGCATAATGCTCCTTCTCTCCTTTGTGGTTCAATGTACTGACAAATCCCAACGTGTCACTGTCTCCTTCTACTCGCCAATTAGAAATCTGCAACCTCGGCACACGCAACTCAAATATATCCTTGACAGGATCAATCTTGAATGATACTGTATATTCTCTCCTATTTCCATCGTTACTACTAACACCACTACTACCTCCTTCGTCATTTTCAGACGAGGAAGCCGAAAAGTGACGGATGATGTTGAATCTCTGGGGAGGTAAATTCGAGCTAATCGATCTCGTAGACGAAGTGGAGGAGGAGGATGTTGAAGAAGGGTCTGTATGTTCGCATAACCGCGGCGAGAGCTTGCAAAGAAGTGGTGAATAGATCAGAAGTTCGAGGTACTTCGCAAACGAGAACAAATATGCTCCCTCGCTCAACTCGTTTTTCTTAGTCTCCGCACCGCATATCGAACAACTTTCCCATACAGAAACCACTCTCGCATCTGGACTTTGATCCTTTTCATCGACATTGCTTTCGTCACTGCCGCCCGCACTAGTAGCGATAGTGGGGAGAACCAGGCTTGTCGCGGCAAGGCTCTTGACGGCAGGCCATTCGATACTAGCGCTGACTTTTACTCCGCCATGCACGAACCTCCTCTCATGCTTCCCCACCTGAACCTCACACCGCTTCTCCGTCGTCGTCGTCGAAGATCCTCCTAATCCATGCATGAGCCCGATTCCGCCGCGGTGTTCTGAATTAGTGCTTACAGCACGAAGACGATCACATGGAACGTCGGCTTCATCTATCCAGGATTTAATAACTTCGCCTAAGCACTGGTCACGGTCGTTTACGCACAAGCGTGGGCTATCTTCAGGAGGAGCATTATTATCATCGTCTTTGTCGTGGTCTTTGTTCAGCGTCCCGGAATCTGAATTAACGTAGTAGCGATATACTGTCCAATGAGGCTGTTCGCAGGATGTGTGAGTGGGAGCTGTTTTCAATGGAGAAGGTTTATTCGTGGTTGAAGAAGAGTCGGAAGAGTGGGAGGCCTGGGAGGAAGAAGATGCTTCTCGAGGTACGGAGGGAGCGGATGAGGTGGACGCGGACATAGATGCTTCGGGTCCAATTTCTTGTGGAACACAAGCACCGGCAAGAGGAACATGACTTGAAACTAGGATCGAAATTTCCTGCTGATTGACAAATCCACATATTCCCGTCATTCCTTTGCCTTTTTTTATCCAGCTCTCGTTCCGCTTGTCTTTGTCTAAATCAAGCTGATTAGCCTCAGACTCGACCGTCCCCCAACCGAGTAAACTGTTCAACGCAACCCGTTCGTCACCCGTTAAACAGATCTCCTTCTCGCGATGCGCTTTTTCCTTTTCCGCTAACCGCACTAGAAGCATCGGAGGATCGAATACAACACCGGTAGAACTAGAAAGCACATTCCTCTGAGCTTCTATACGAGCGAGCGTGTCAGAGAAGGGCGTAGATGTCGGCCCTTTCTGGGGTTCAGCCTCAGGGGCAGATGATGACAAAAATGAGAACATTCTAAGTCGAGCTGCAGAGTTCATTTCGTCCATGGAAGAACGGACTGGCTGCACTTCTTCTATTGAAGGGAACGGGACCGAGTCTGATGAAGGACGAACAGAGGACGCATCTCGTGGAGATGAGGTTCGTCCAGGACTCCGTTTAGAAAAAAACGAGAAGATACCGCTAGGGATAAGGCTCCGGGGTTTATGACTAGATGCCGCATCGTTCGTAGGAGTATTTTGGTTATGAGAAGGGAGAGCTGAAGGCTGAAGAGTGCCTGCCTGTACTCGTACACGAGGTTGGGCAAAAGTGAGGTGAGCATGAGAGTCAATCAGAAGCTGTTGCTCAAGGAGAAGTGAGAGATGGACATAGACGGTGAGTTTGAGTGCCTTTGACAAGGCACGATGTTGCTGGAGTGAAGGTACGCCTTTGAGTGTGAACGTGCCGCCCACAGGGCGCGTGGACATTTCCTCAACGGATGCTATATCGTAAGATCAGTTCAAACGAAGAAGTAAAGATTTCATAACTCACTATTCCATTCATGAAATCCATACAAAATTGCGTCCATTTCTTCACCTCCTTCTGGCAATACGAAAACACTGTTTCGGAACGAACATCCAAGAGTCGACGGAACCAGATTGAATCCAGAATCTTCGTCGGGTAATGCGACTCGACTCCCTAGTGGCGCTAAGCAGAGCAGTAAATGCCTGGATTTCGGCGTACGAGAGGGCACGTCCGGTTCTGCGACAATTTGGCGAAGTCGTTCGAGCCGTTCTGAGTTCGAGGAGGAAATTTGGACCTCAGACTTTTTCGACCCATTGTCAAATATTCCATCGGCACCTGTAGACTTCCTAGGACCAGTTGAGTTCTCTGTCAGGTCAACCTTTTTGTCCAGCTTTCTTTTCTTCTTCGACTGCTTTTCCTTGAGTGCTTTATACTTCTTAATACCGGTCAACCACCTGCCCTGGCTCATGCTGCTCGCTAGATCATCTAAAGCATCTTCCAGCACCCGAGTCCACTCTTCTAGATTGTTATCAATCCATGCATCGTTCAATTCGGACAAGACGAATCGAATGAACCTTTCTCGATGCTTCTGTGCTTGTATTGAGAGTCGAGCGAGATTCGGAGTCTTGCTTGTACTTGGGAGCTCAGGAAGAGGTTTATGGTCGACCATTGCTGTGTACTAAACGTTCTTTCATCGACGGCTGGAAGCAAGCGTCATAGAAACGGTAAGTATCATAGGCAAGAAAACCACGTGGGGCGGGGTAACGGCCCGACACATCGACCTCACGCGGGATCATATCTATCACGTGCTGCCCCGCAAATTTTAAGCGCACTGTGGGGATGAGCCAATGTCTTCGCGGTGAAAATCTAGAGAAAATGCAAGGATTTTTACCAAAATTCATCAAAAATCCTGGGCACGAATTTTAAAACTTTTCGTGTGGCGATTATTGTGAAGCTATCGTGAATTTGGCGGGGGGCCGTGCTTATTTTAAATTATCTTTTCATAATTTTACCATAACCTCAGCTCAATTCCTTCAAAATATCTGCTGCCATATTTTTGTACATAACCTCGAGATAAAACCCACATTTTCGCCTCGAGGAAATCGGCTCATCCCCACAGTGGCGCTGAATCTCCAAATTCGAGGGTATCATTTGTGCACACGTGTCACATGGTGCATTCCTGAATTTATATAATTAATACAACCGCAATAACGTTCTTCTTCGTCCACGATGGTGTTTTCATTGCGAGCATTTCTGCTGAACCTGTTCACCTCCAGGTGGGTCTGGCCTTGTATCGCAAGATTTACTCCTTTCCGAAAGGTAACTTCCCTCACGTACTCTAAAATCAAATTGGTTCAAGGCATCACTAGACATTTTCGATGGTAACTTGGCGAGACACTCCCCGCAATGAAGTTTGGTCGTCGTATCGTTCATTTTTTCAATCCTGCGGATACGCCCTTTGGGTCGTTAAGGGATACAATCTCAAGCCTCCCAACGACAACCCGCGCACTCCAGATGGTTTCAGCTACGAAAATGAACACAGTGCAAATGGGCCCCATGGATATGGAGCTGGGGTGAGTTTGATTTTGACTCTCCTCGACTAATTTGATTTGTTCACTAGTCTCCCTTACACTTTCCAGCGCGTACCGTGGATTCCCGCGATGTGTTTATTGTTCTCTTAAGTGACGGCGTTATTGGCGACAACTGTGTCGATGCCTTGCGCTCAATAGCCACTGGGGTGAATGCTGCTATTGACAGGAACCATACACTGCCTATGCTCCAGGAGATCCATTGTGATAATCTTGTTTTCGGAGTGTTTCCCTTGGTCGGTAGCTATTTTGCTCCTGCCTGGTTTTCAAATATTGCCCAGGTTCTCGAAGCAATGAGCCAAGTCATGGAGGTGCGTCTTCCGATAATAAAGTATGCAAATTGCAAAGCCTATCATCTTCACACAGGGTGTCGCATTTCTGCATGATCACCTTGTGGCACACCGCGTATGCTTCTTCCACTCGCAAGTGTTCTCACAACCTCATATATTTACATAGGATCTTTTCCCCAGTAACTTCTTGTCCTCGCGTCGCAATGGACTTTGGATTCCGGGAAAAAGCCAAGACTTTCTACGACCCCGATACTACATCATTGACTTTGAGTGGGCTGTCCGATTCTCACCAGATTCCGACCCGGCAACTCGCACAGTCACTGGGCCACCGCTTTCTTGGGACATCTATAGGCGACCCCCTCCTCCTGAGATGCTGTCTGAGCTTCCTTACTGTCCATTCAAAGCTGATGTTTGGCAAGTAGGCAAATCATTCATCAGGATTGTGGAGGTAAGCATAATAAACAGGTGTTTTACCATGGCTGGACTAATGTAATCATTCGTACATAGCACATCGAAAATCAGATCCCTGAAATCCTCGAAATCCTGCGAAAAATGTCCACCGATAGGGCTGAAGACCGGTCATCAGCACGCGAAGCGGTGTCACAGTTAAATGAGGTTATTGCTAGACTACCTCCGCAAATTCTTCAGTCTCCGATTGAACAAGTGGATGATTATTACATGGATGAGGGCGACTCTTTGGAGGAGGAGTAATATTGACATTATGCATGTTAGTGTGATCCTGCGAACCTTTCTACCGAAACTCCATTGTCGAGTCGTCCGATGTTGGTAATTTCTACTACCGACTGAAATCCTGTCTTCGCCTTCTATCGCTACCTTACTACTTGCTATAATCGGGTTTTCTGGTAGTGTCAGTCTCTTCTTCCACAGTTCAATGACAATGATATTCAATACTCACAATTAATCTTGATTCAGAGGAATGGCCAGGCTCTCCTCACTTTGAACTTTACTGATGGGTCTCAGCCAATTGAAACCTATAGGATGGTTCCGTATGTATATATTAGCTGCTTTCCTAATCGAATCATGCTCACATAATTTTTTTTGACTGCAGTGTTCCCCGTGGGACCTCCGTACTGATTTTGGTTGTGTAAACAGCTTTCCCTAGTCGTGCTTCCTCAAAATATAGAATTGAGGACTCAGACGCCTATGAAATTTCTTCCATCTTGTTATTCGAAACTGAGGAAATATCTTGGTACTTCTCTTTTGATTCTGAAGTTCCAAAGCTCAATGAAATGTGTACATCTATGTAGAAGATCGGCTCCTACGTTGTCGACCATTTTGTCCGCCAATTTTGACGCAAGATGAAATCCGTTCGTTCTACAGGATAGTCTGGTCTTCGAATAAGTTCGAAACATTCAGTACTTTGGGTTCAATCCTCGTTATCGCTTGGTTGTAACGCCGTCATTCCTTTTGTCAATAGAAGAGTGGAAGGAGCTTTGCTGACAAGTTGCAAATGTGGTATTCCCTTCATAAGAATGTCATTCATCACTATTTTGCTACCTCTGTGAAATCCTCAGTTTTTATCCTATACCTGGCAATACGCGATGAGAATCTCAGTTTGACTTCTGAGAATGATCTGGTAAGTTCTTCTCTGTGTCCTTGATATTTCTGTTCTTCCAGTTCCTCGCTATCTCGGCTATTCACTAAGGTTCTTCTGTTGGAAGTAATTTTTGTGAGTGTGTTCTGCTACCTTCTTGCTTCTGGGCCGATATAATGTGTACAGACTACTGTCCCAGATAATATTGTGCGCGCCATGAATCCATGATGTTGATTGGGCCACATTCTTTGCATCGAAGGAGTTAGGGGTTCATTGGAGTTATCGTTCTTTCGAACCTACCAAGCTTTCGTGATTATTACCCACTGAGCGTGACTTAAACTCCAGATAAATGTTGCTCATTCCAGGTCACAGGACATTTGAACTTCGAAGGCCAGTGAAGGAATGATATGTATGAAAGGTTCGTGAAAGTTACAGGACATGATTGACTTATTGTGAATTGAGGTGAGAACAAGCACAAGTATTTCAGACCAGGATTTACGAGAGGGTGAAATTTAGGACGCGTAACCCGCTCGGCAGATATTCTAGTGAGTGTCTGGTGCAGCTTTCCCACTAGTACTACGTATGATGCATCCAAGCTTATCGCAACCTAGATTCAAATAGTTTCTGATTTTTCACAAGCAAAGCTTTGTTCTTCGGACTTGTAATATTAGCCCCTTGAGCTGTGGGAGTGCCTTACCTGCAGAAAACAGGTGAAAATTCGTCCATTTCCTGAGCTCTTGTCGACTGCCCACAGCTGCCCACGGGATATACTTCCGATTTTCTTCAAACCACCGCGTAGAATTTATCTCGGCCAGGGCAGCGGATCCAAAACGATGCTTCTGATATCGTGGGTTCCTCGTGGATTGTTGAAGGCTCTTGCTTTGATCACGATGCTAATATCCCCACGAAGTTCTCGAGTTCAGAAAGCATCTTTAAAGGAAAAACCCGTACGGGTGATCATGGGGTCTTGACTTCGATATATGCCTGATATAGAATTTCGAAAAACGGAGATTGGGCGTTGATAAACTTGAATGGGTGGTGTTTTCGACGAAGCAATGACTGAACAAACAATTCATTCGGTAACTTCGAAACAATAGAGCGGTAAGCTCAAGTCTTTTCATCCTGATGCCCACGTTTGGAGTCGTTGGAGACTTCACCTCACAGATTTGTTTGCAACACACAGCAGCTACTCATTAATGAGAAATGGCATTTGAGGGTTCTTTGTTTCGATCAGAGTACCCGAATGAAAAGGTTTTTAATCAACGGACTTACATATTCGAGCATTCGGGCGGATAGAAAGGTGAGTAGGATCGGGTTGTTATAATTGCCGGAGTTCTCAGTCCAAAGTATACTTAGAAATATCTGAAAATTGTTGTCTTCGAAGATAAAACGGCGGAGCGTTGGAGATATAGTTTGTCAGATCTATAGTTGTTCAGGAAAAACCTGAGCTTGCATTTTTCAGCTTCTACCATGCCCGGCTATGAAAAATATTTAGACTCAGCAGAGAGTTCCTGCTAGTTCCTAGCTAGTTCCTGTGGGACCAGTGAGACCAATCTTGCCCGCGGGGCAACAATTCTACGTTGTATCCGAAATTCATGAGTTCTGACAAAGGAAGGCGCTCTGATGAAGAGTTCTGAAAGGCACAGTCTCGCAAACACTCGTTTAATACGAGCACAAAGCAGTAAGTTCGAGAAAATATATCCTTAAAAGGACTAGCACAAAATAACCGATTTTGCGCAGAGCGGCAAGCGTGTCTTCTTTCTCCAATCCCCTTCAGTAAGTGCCTTTTGTTTTTCACGAGACATTACATGCTCCCAATTTAATATCCGAGTCCTCTAAATGTACACTGCAAGTAGTAGCAGATGTATACTTAGCGTCGGACCACTGCAATTCTGTTGAACAATTATTTACAATTATTTAGTAGTAGTAGTCTGATAATTATTGAATCGCTGAAAAAAGTTGAGAAATCGAGCACCGAACCGGCGGCTTGTACATACGTGACCATGTGGCGGGGTGATCCGGGGTCAGCGCTTCAGTTTCGAAGTTCCAACTTCGTTTCTCATTCTTCTTTTGGCAGACTGCATAGCTACGTTCTTCAACGTTCTTCCCTTTGTATTTCTAAACAGGGATCGCACGACTACTTCTAAGGCTCAAAAAATTGCTGCTCGCTAAATCGCCCGGGACCGACAGCGTTCTGGCCTTTGAACGCCTTTGCCTTACACAACGAATTTTTGTCTTTTACTGATTTCAAGTGTATATTACCAGATATCGCCTATTCCGACAATGGCGACGGGGTTACGCTGACCACTTATCGTCAAACATTCATTGTTATCATGCCCATATCTGTCTTCGCGTGATTCTGATGGTCCGTGCGCTCAAAGCACACGAGGCGGAGGTGTGCAACATATCATATTTTATGAGTTCTTGGAGGTTCTTGGCTACCTCAATGATCAATCGGTTTCTGTCACTCGGATGTTTGTTTCGCTCTCTGGCAACCAATCAACTTCCTACTACCCTTAATCACTTTCAATGTATGCTACGATCGGTCTCGGAGCTCCATGGGCAGGGCCTGGGCTTTCGTATGCGCCTGTAGGACAAGGACTGCCGCGTAACGATGTGGAATTATCTCGAGAGATGCTGCAAATAACTCTTGAACACCTCTCCACAGTCATTGCTTCCGAATTCTCTGGAAATCCTATCCGCTTAGTTGCCCATGGTGGAGCCTGCATGCTTCTCCATCCCGGCTTATACGAACTGGCAAACCGCAAGCAAATGTATCATACCAGCAGAAGTGAAAATCCATCTCGAAGAACTACTACCCGAGACGTGGATTACATACATCGCTCATTCGTTGCAGAGAGTGAGAGTAGAGGGATAATTAACGCCGGAGAGCGGTTGAAGAAGTGTATACAGATCACAGCTCAGAAATTCCAGTTAGGCGCAGATTGGATGAACAGCGATGCGGATGTAGCACTCCCTATGTCGATAGAGTGAGTGTTTATATCAAAATGTTTCGAAGTGCTCATAGGCATATCATGCGGAGCCCAAATACAGGCATTCCCTTTGATCCAATCTACGCTCAATCAGTCAAAGAAAATAATATACACCTCTACACTGTGTTTACCTCTTCAAATCAGCAATTGACGATCGTCAATGTGACGCCCTTTTGGGCGGTAGCATTGAAATTGGTGAGATACACTAAATGGGATCCAGGAGACATATGTCTTTTGCTATTGTGAGTAAAACCTCCCAGAATTATACGATCCAGCAATCCTCGATCACTTGGATTGTACACATTCTCGAAATTAACCGTCAGCTCAGCGACTGATATGAATATCTATTTCAGATATGGTTCTGTCACTCGTAAAGTACATTGGAACGCTCAGAACCTCGAAAATTGGATACGGTACAATTGCTCTGCGATGAATTACCATAACTGGGACTCTTTAAGGATTGCGGATATGAGGAGGAAGATAGATCATGCTGTTGCACTAATATCGTCCATAGGCAGCAATATCATGGCACAACCAGACGACCCGCCTCTTGCTAGTCAATTTGACCACAAATCTTTCTCTAAATTCGGAAACACTCGTACTTCTGCCAATGTAAAAGGGTTGATGCATGCTACCAAAACAATTCATTCCAATGTTGTCATGCCGTCAACAGGAGGTGTTCCCTGGGCCGGCCCTGCGAGTGATGATCTTGCTGCTCGAAGCTCTGATCCCGAGTTGGAGCTCGGAAACTCTTCACCTCGTACTTCCCAGGAACGCGAAGGTCTCATATATGATCTTGGACCTAAAGCTCCATCTCGCCTCATCCAGTCTCCCTCCACTGAAGACCGTAAGCGTAACGCCCGTACTGGGAAGTCTACAGATTGGATTCGCGAGCATGAGGAACATATGCAGAGGCGGTCAAAATACATGTTGCGGTCTGATGAGCCAGATGATTCAGACGATACCGATGCCAGTAGTGATATTGTTGAAACAGTAGAGAAAAGTCATGGAAGAGCTCCGGTTATACCTATGGACCGAAGGTCGAAATCGGTACCTTCGTTGTCTACTGATCAACCAGTGGTGTCGCACCAATGGGGATCTGCCGCAGCGTCATTCTCAGACCATTCATGGAGAACGCAGGAGCCTCATTCTATGAGCTCTTTTGAGACCTCAGCACTTCCGCCTTGCCCGCCGCCTATACCTGACCGACGAACGCGACCTCCGGTCACCACATTCACACATGGCCTGTCCCCCAACTAAATCACTCGCCTCGAGACGCTGCCATTACTGGAACATACAGAGTATCGATTTAAACGCTCGAAATCATTCCGATTAACGGAAGTCTGACGGCCACAAGTTACAATCCACGGATTCTCTGCTAAAGCAGGCCATAGCTTGCCTGTACTTTATATCACAAAGTGATCTCGTTAAGTTTTTGTGCTACATAGTAACCTATTACGTTGTTAACACAAGTTCAGTCCCTCGGGGCTTGTCGCCTACTCCCTTATTTGATCCTGCCAGTGGGATCCTATGTAAGCCTTTGCTCGTCTCGAAGGATAGGCAAGAATACTAAGAGTTCTGCTGATGAGTTAGGCCTTGGTATCAAGGGGCGCTAACTCGCGCCTTTCTATCTTCGCATCTCTCCGTCTCGATTACCGAGTCGACTGCGAGTCTCATAGCCCGTGTTGGAGGTCGCCACCGGCTTTCCCGACCCTCAGACCCCATTCTGGAAGCGTTCATAGACTTATGCGACCAATAGATTGAAGAGTAGAACTAGTTCCCTAGCCCCTTCACTGGAAAATGGGGGTTCAACATTTAAAGGGTCATCATGACGACCTTCTAAAAGATGAAGAAAGTTGCATAGTACCACACACTCACCCCGGGCCCCCCTTCGAGATTTCAATACCTAAGAATACCTTCAAGCAGGACGAAATTGTTTTTGTTCGTTGCTATGGTGGAGTAGGATTACTTTGAGCAGACTACCTGTAGCTTTGCCCTACAACGTCCCCCTCCGAGTTCGAGTGATCCAACATTAATAATGACATCAATGATACTGTCCAAAGCCGCTATTCATAGTGCCATCGCTAGGCCAACAAGACTCGGAATAGCGTGCTTGAACTTATCGGAAGCTTCACGTCGTCAACATCTTCAATTGCTTTAATTCCTTTGCGTTATGGTGATGTAGTAGTGATATATCATGCACTCAAATGTATACCAACTGTATGTCCTGTTTCCTTCTCATTTGATTTTTCAATAAAGCCTTAACAGGAAATTTAGATGTGCCACGGTATCGTTTCGAATCTTGGTTAAAATGAAAGTTGATGACTGGTACAAGTTTGGCTTGGTGGAAAAGGAGGCTCTCACAGTTTCGTCGAATTTCATGAGGGGGGATTCGGCGTGCTTACCGAAGTTCCCCCAGGAAAATATTCGATGTCGTCTCTGGCTAAATATCAGTTACATTAGCCTCCAGCGATTCATCAACCTGTAAGGCTGGCTGTTTATCCGCCGAGTAGTAAAGAAGAAGAATCTTTGACTTGCTGGATGGAACCGGCATCTCTACTAGTAACAATGCGCGATGCGCATGCACAATAATTGCGGAGGTCTAAGACATGACATTGACCACCTGGTCGGGTTTCTTGCTTTGTTCCGAAGGCTTTATGAAGGCAGTTGGGACCATGTGAGAGGCACTGAAAGCTTAGCAGCTCCAGTCTTATCACAAAATTGTCATTATTGAGGTCCGTTATTAGTAGGACTTTACTCTCATCCCCGCGCCTTCAAATTAGTCTTTTACTATGCAGATATAAGTGATTTATCCCATCGATTGAGCTGTAAGAGTCTAGAACTTCATGAGACTTCGTGGGCCCATAATTTTATCCAGGTACAGGTGGAGCTGAATCTCGTTCCCGCGATTTACGACAGAAAACTCCCTTCTCTTTGACAATCATGAATGCGACATATGCATGGCATCTCTGCAGTGTGCATCCACTCTGTACCACGGTGGTGAATAATCTGCCAAACAAGGCATTTCGAAACTACTTCTCTGAGACGACGACCGAGGTGTAATATAATCGAGAGACCGAAATTCATGTAACAGTATCTATATGTATGTATATACGCTGTAGTACGTCAGTATCTAAGTGACTATAGTGCCAACCTAGGATTTAATTTTCTTTCAAGTTTTCGTCAACTAGAAACCGACTAGAAATTAGAATCAAAAATTTGCCGCTCCGAGTGTGTCGCGACAATTGATTTCAACACCAAGTCACGCCTTGGTCAGGTTGGTACCTGGTAACATTTCAGTGTGACATTCATATTCTGTTGCCATTTGCCATTGGTATGCGTCCCACTGGAAACTTTCGTATTCACTTACTATATACTGATGCTCGCTAGGCAGACGACAGACCCCATAGGAATTTAAGTATTCTTCAAAGGCGTCACAAACCGATGTAACGTTACGCGCCCATTCCTTCCCATTTCCATAGTTTTGGAGCAATTTTGGAGGTTCATCTTCGGGGAAGGAAAATCTATGAAATATTGTTACCGATCGCCCTTACGAGATCGCGTGTCCTGACGCTTATATTCAATATTTGGTTGCTAAATAGCTATCGGCCCTTCCGTTGGTAGTGGTTACACATGCAGATATGTACTCAAAGCTCACGGTTACTATTAGGTCTACCCTGGCTAATACCATCACCTATTTCCTTTTCTTCCTTACCTTCGTCTCGTAGGTCCTGGATGCGTTAAGGCTGCATCGAGGACCTTTTCCTTTCCTTTCTTTTTCCCTGTTATTCCTTTTCTGAATGTCTAATCTTCCATCTCCGCAACCCGTTAATAATCCGAATCCTACCAATACACCATCGTCGGAGGTCCCCTGTACTTCACGAACTGAAACTCACGAAGTTACTATTGCTGCTGTAGACCATAACTCCCCTGCCTCCTCGCCCCCCACATTCATTCAGCATTCCACTTTGGAAACAGACCGGTCTCGTATACGCCCACGAGAAGACGACTCCGAACAACCTATCGCCAAACGTTTTCGCGCAGAGACGATGAGTCGACAAAGCGACCGGTCTAGTCCTTCATCTGACTCTCAGGGTGGCATGGCAGATACCGAAGAAGGAGAGCAGAGCCGTAGATCGCCCCAACCGTCTGAACCCCCGAAGAAAAAACGAACGCGAACCCTCACTACACCTCACCAATCTGCGGTCTTGCATGATCTTCTTGCGCAGGTAAGTTTACACATCGTTGTAAAAGGTGTTCTCATCAATGGCCTTATTCAGTCACGTTTCCCGACTACTGCAATGCGAGAAGAAGTTGGAAGAGCAATCGGACTCAGCGCCCGGAAAGTTCAGGTCAGTATTCTGTTTTTATCATCGCCCATCCTTCCCTTCACATTGACCCGAATGTTTTTAGATATGGTTTCAAGTAAGCTAATGCGTGCTTATCTCCCGCATTCACTGACCAACATTCATGTTAGAATCAACGACAGAAAGCAAGACGACCCCGCACTAATAATGATATACCAATGACGCGTCCTCCGCAATATGGCCCGTTTCCGTCTGGAGGCGACACCGACTTCCTTAATCTTTATCCCAGAGCAGAGCAGGGTGGAACTGTAGTATCGGAGCCCTACAGCCCAGTAACACAGCCATATTATTCATCCCCCCAGCATCCTGCATATGCTAGTCCTATACCTTCCGGACTGCTTGGCCCAGGCGTTCCGGGGCATAGCGGATCTAGGCAACCACAAGAAAGTTTATCGCCAGTCTCGGCCATTGCAGGCCCTTCTACTTCACACTATATGAGGCTAAATTCACCTAGTCCTCCAAGGAGTTACAACTTGGAGCAGGCCAACCTGGCTGCGTCGCAAGCTTCCACCTCCACGCGGCGATATAGGGATCCATCGAGAACACTCCCTCCGTTGATATTCCCTCCGCCGTACCTTCGGAACACCGATGCTGAAATACATTCAACCCGCTTACCTCCCGCCAATAATCCAATGCCTCCACCTTTGCATCATACTCGCTCTCCGCAGTTTGCCTTCAGTCCGCCACCAGCACCTACTAACCTTGAAAGGGTTCATACTGCAATTCCTCCCCCATTCGCGCTAGAGCCTCAACCACAATGGAACGATCCTATCTACACCTCGATGCCTCGATTGGGGCCAACTTCCCGGTCGCATCGTGGCTCTGAGCGTGAGCCTAGTATCTCTCCAACACGAACTCGCACCATCGAGCCTCTTCGCGCCCCATCAGAGCACAATCCTTCCAGAGACGGTCGCTATGATCCAGTGCGCTCTACCGTTGTTCCATACAACCCTCCAACAAGCCCTGACGCGTCTCACCACGAAGAGGAATGATTTATGGAAGATCCCTTTCCCCATTTTGCTGAACTTAATTTTTCCCTAACGCCTTTCACGGACCTTTTAACGTCTCTGACGACTACTTGTCCTTCCTTCATTTTGCAACGCTCTTTAGATATTCCAGTCGACAGGCCTATAGCCATCGTATAATTCGTCAAACTTACACTCTTTTTCGCCTCAGTAAGAGGACTTAATTTTGTCCGCCGATATGTTTTCTTGATATTGTCTCTCCTCTCAAGTCCTAACTTTCGTTTTGTTGTACATGTATACAAGCTCTTTAAATGTCTCTCCTAGCGTATACCCCGACTGTTGGATCCTTTATTGATCTTGGATAATATAAAGTACTGTAGCATCTCTTCGTACCCTTCTATAATCACTACGAAGACCAAATTCGATTCTACATTGATTCCTGCAGACTATCTTGGAAGTTCTGAGGCGCGTTTTTCAGATGCAAGCCTCATCTTCAATTGAGCACGAGCTCGAAGATTAGCTTCAATAGCTTGTGGGTCTGTCGCAACAACAGAATGTTTACCCACGACCACATCGCCCGAATCCTCCGAATTAGACAATGTGGCTGAAATGTTATCCTGTAAACGTCGCTTCTCTTCTTCCAGTTTGTGGAAAAGCCGCATGCTGTAAGTCGATACGGTGGTGTGAGACCCATCAACTGGTAAGGAGGACGGGCGTGGGTTTGAACCTAATGCTTCGTCATTTATTCGCGGTTCGTATGTGAACCCAGGATCCACGTGGGGATTGTCATTAGGTCCTCCGAGATCATTCGAAGTTGATCGAAATCCTCTCGTCAAAAACGCGCTCGCGCGGCTGCTTCCTTCATTCGTGTCGAATTTTGGCAAAAAGACTGAATTTTTCATGTTGTTGGTCATCGTTCGGTTGTCTCGGCCTCGGCTTTGTGTGTCCTGGAGACCGCTAAGCACATTGATTGTGGACGTACGCTCGGGAGAAAACGGATTGGTTCTAGGCTTTTCGGGAACCTCACGAGTCAATGGTCCTTCATTTTGGTCGCACATCCTAGGCTTACTAGCATGTCGAGAGTCAATTGACATACTGGGTGATGAAAGAGCCGTTGTGACCGGATTACTATTGACAGGATTAGTATCTTCACCTAGGTATGTGTCCGATAGGCGGGAGAGCAACGAGGGGGGATTTGATTGAGACGACAACGAGGGAGTTCCCTGGCCTTTAATTGAAAGCGAGGAAACACCATGAGCTTCCGAAGACAACGATGACAATGAGGCTTGTCCTTTAATTCGTAAAGGAGGGGCCTTCCTTGTCCTCTCACTCCGCTCACTCCGCAAATGGACTTGAATTGAGTCATGCAGGTCGACAAATCGAGGGGGTCTCTTAGGCGCCGAGGTAGTCGACGAGGTAGATGGAACTATAGTTTGTTCCACCGCCGGAGTTGGTTCAGGTGGCATAGAAACATCTGCAACAGCTTTACCCTTTCCTTTGGACGAAGGATGAGGGGATTCTGCGTGCGATATATGATCTACAGGTTGGGGAGAAGTAATGCTTCGTGAACTGACAACATGTACATTTGGATTCGAGGGCAAAATCTCTAAGCTTGGACTGCGGAGCACGAGACCGTCATGCGACTCATCTTTATCCAACTCCCTTCCTTGCAATGTAGGGCTCGGATATACCCTCCCAGAAGGAGACCATGAGATTGAACGAGAACGGGATCTGCCTCGTCTATCGCGCCGCTCACGGGGAGGCGAAGTGCTCCTTTGGCGATGTGTCCCCCGAGATCGACGAGGTGAAGAAGCGTCTGGGGGCGTTTCATACTAGATAAGACGTAATTCAACGATACAGATATAAAAAGAAGGAGCTTCAAATTACCTGGACAACCGTATCGTACACAAAGAGATCTTTGTACGGTGATCTGACGTAGCTATACACCTCTGGGGTAAGTTTCAGCGTACAAGAATCTTTCAGGAGTGCAAAGAAATTACCGTGAGCAAAGTGTTCTGCATTAACATGTCTCCCACCTTCAACGTAGGGGGCATCCATATCGAGAAATTCGGCGAGCAGTTTCACCGCAGATTCAGATCTAATATCTATAGCTTTCATGAGCGATATGATGAACGTTGTCAAGAACTAGAATGGAGCGTGGCATGAGTACGATGCATCATCCACATCTGAACCTTACTAACCTCGACATCAAGATCCATCCAAACGAGTAACTCTCGGCGTAAGAAAGAAGTTGTGCGAGAGATCAAATCTGGGGAAGCAGCAAATTGTGCGGGAGTTGGGAACGGCCGGAAGCGAGTGTACGAATTGGAGGCAACATGCTAGATAATTCGTTGAGTCAGATTTGTCTTAGATATATCTGAAAGAATCGCAATTGAAATAATTGAGAGCGGTACCAGTAGGGGACAGGCTCACAGACCTTGGCATACAGATCGTGCCTATAAATCCATTTCCTTTTAGCCAGTGCACGTTCAAACCTGTCAGCTTCATCTCGTTCATCCCTTTCTCGTCGACTCCTTTCACGGATTTCTCTTGGTATCCGTCGCCTACGCTCGTAACGCCCGGATGCCACAGGTCTATTTGCCATTGGTGCAAGAGGTTTGGGGGAATTCGTTCGTAGAGGGGGTAAATAATGCTTCTGATAATCGTAACGCGACCTATAATTATGGATGAGATGGTCGCCAATTTTCTGGGAGCATAGAGGACATCTGCGAGATTGCTCTAAATGCAGATGAAGAAACTTTTGGATGCAATACAAGCTGCCTCTTACCGGTCCAAATCATCAGACAGTCAAAGCAGAACAAATCGTGACTGCAAATTGGAATCATGGTTCTATCCACAACTTCTTGGAGACATATTGCGCAGTGATCTTCATTCAACTCGTCGGGGAGAAGTATATCTTCATTCAGCTCCTGGTTCTGCTGCTCTATCGTCCCTTGGAGCCCTGGAGAGAGTGATTCGAGTTTCAAGCGTTTGATTGGAGGACTTGAAGAGCGCGAATTCATAGTTTGGTCAGGACTTCGAGCTCAAGGCCTCAGGCCTCAGATCTCAGAACTGGATACAAAGCAGTAAGGTTAAAAGAGCTCTTTTGACACGTGCTTTTGGCGCCGTCACCCTCGAGCTAGCTCGAGCTTCATAGAGCTGTTTCATCATCCTGGTCTTGATCTCACCGTCACGCATACGGATTGCCATAAGCCCCAAGCTTCAAGGCGTCCTAATTCTCGTAAGTTAAAAATATTTCGGAGGAGTCACGAATCATTCGTAAATTCTATGCAATCAACGAGTATTATTATATCTGCGACGGTTGGGTTCAACTCCCCCCTTCCTAGTACTGCTCCTGATCACTTCGGGATGACTTACTTTTGGCCGATCCCCGACGGTCAAACGGCTAATGTTGAGCCTGCATTATCTATTCCATCTTTTTACAGGAGGTCCCATATCAATTCAAGATGATATAAGAATCTGGCAAAGGGCCCACATAAGGGTTCTTACTACATATTATAAAGTCGGGCAGTCAAGTTTTTACTTGGTCTTGAGCTTGCTGGTCGAGTGATCCCCCTCGCTTTCATTGCCCATTATTTCATTCATATTCATTCATACACGCTTTCGTTCCAGTTTTCAATCATGCGGCATCTTGACTTGACGATCATGTTGTTCAACTTGATGCTTGTTTTGGGCTTTGCATCTCAAGTATGCGCATTGCCGCCACCGTCTACTCCTTCTCCAGCCGTGAGTTCCTTCCCTAGTTTATTCACCAAATCTCCATCTCACAACTTACCTGTCCCATTATTGATAGCGCACAATGTCAACCCGCTTATCTTCTATGTTCAAACCCAAATCCGGAGATGTTCAACAACTCGAGATCTCTATACATTACGAAGTCATCGGGACGCAGAAGCTGCCCAAGGTGAATAGTATTGCTCAGAAACTGGTCAAGGCAGCTTCTAGACGATTGAACCTCCCGACGAACGCAAAGTTTACTTTCATACATCTAAATGAAGCGAGTTCCGCGACAGGACCCATTCGTTTTACATTTTGGGGTCCGAAGGCATGTGAGTCGTCGGCCACGGAAGGTGCGAAGGCAGAGTCCTTGAGGCGTGTTCAGACAAGAGTACTCCGTAAGCGGAACTGTGAAGTTTTCATAGAGGACATTAGCAAGAATGAGCTGGATGTGTTGATGTGGAATGCAACTCATGATGTGGTCTATGGTAAGTTTGATTCTGATAAGTGTGCGTTGATCTGAAGAGTCTTTTCCCTCCATGTAGCGAATTGGAAATGATGCACCGTATGGGGCTGTTCACGTTTGTGTGTAGTTCGTACATGTACAATGCAATCTACCGTGATATAATCATAGTTACGAGAGAAAAGCTAGGAAAAGGTTCACTAAATTGAACAAGCGCTCCTCAAAACTTGTCGGCGTCACGGTAAACCTCATTCTAGGGTTCTTCCGATGCTGACCTTACATTCTTTTAATCGTCTGTCGGCCATCTGTTCTATGTACATATTCTGTTCTACATCATATTCTGTTCTTCACGCAAACTGCAATCTTTCTGTCACAGTATCAGAAAATACAGTGCTTCTAATCAGGCATTGGTCACGACAAATGATACGAGGTGATACGACGGCGGATGAATAGTTTCAAAACATGGGGCCGACCTTCCTTTCTCACCACCAATTTTTGCGGACGACAACAGCGTCCTTCTCTTCTTTGTCGACAGACCGACAACCCGAAATCGCTCAGTCATCAAGATGTTCGTGAACAATGTGGTTTATATCTTTTTCGTCGTTGGCCTTGATCTGGGAATAAATCTTGTGACTTTTGGTGCGTTTTTTCACCACCATTCAAGGCCTGTTACCTACATATCTGACTAAATCATCGATATCAAACTCTTAGTCGATGCAGCCGCAGTATTATCCACAACGAACTCTATTTTGGACAAATTCAACAATCTAGCAACTCTTGCTACGATTCCATCGAGTTGCAACGACACATGCAATGCTATAGAGGCTACTATCAGCGTGAGTACTGCGAAAGAAAAAAGCCAAACGGGCCGAGCTCGAACTATATTCGTAGGATTGCATGACAGTGCAATGCGTTTGTACCTCCTCAAATGAAGCTGCATTGAATACTTGCGTTGATTGTTTGGAAGCCGTGAAGCCAAACCAGACTGTCATCTCACAGGCGCAGGATATTCTGAATCGTGCGTTAATCAAACACTGTCTCCTTAACCTCCATACTTTCGGCCTAAAGCCACTACTCAGAATATGCTGCTCTATGTGATGCTGGAGGTATCTCAGTGCCCGTTCAGACTGCCTCAGGGTTTTCTGGATCTGTGGGCCTGCCTCTTTCCACGACATCGGTCGGGAGTGTAACTCAAAGTACGCCTGCGGGTACTGAAACGGGTACGGGGAATCTGACTTCTTTCGAGTCGAGAATTTATTTTGCTCACTTCAAAGGCGCTTCTGCTTCCTCCTTTTCTACGCACACATCTGAATCTATTTCCACTCCAATTTCTACACTACCTCAATCCTCTCGAACATCTGTTTCCCTATCAACAGCAACGAGTCCCGGTCTCTCACAAACAGGCTTACAATCGACCGTTTTTGCTTCGAGTGTATCTGCTTCTTCTTTGTCGTCTTTAACAAGTCTCGCATCGTCGGTGTCGGCCTCTGGGACATCCAGCACAACAGCTTCTGCGAGCAGCGCTAGTAAGGCAGCTCTCAATCAATGGTCCTTTGCCATGGTAGGAGCGAGTTTAGTACTTGGAGTACTAATCTCCCGTCTCGTAATGTTCTGAGCTTTTTACCGGACTTGGATTGTGTATGTATGTGACATTTGTTATCGATATGTCTATGATGTATGTGGACTATATTGAAAAAATCCTTTGCACGTCCAAGAGGCTCCGGTCAGGTTCCGTATCCGAGGATTGAGGCCTTGAGGAAGGGCGGGGTAAGCTCCCTGAGATTGCCAAGCCGAAGGATAAGCAAGGTGCACAAGGCTGCACAGCAACAAGGGGAAGGACGCAGGGAAGGAATTTGCCGGTGATAATACTGATATGTTGTGATTCGCCGGGCAAGCAATTGAAGGATATCATCGAGGTGCGGCAGGGTGCGGCCTGGTGCTGCGCAGCGTACGTATCGGGACCATCCACATCAGTCGTCGTAAGTCCAGCTTTGACCGCTCACTAGATTTGCTAGCTTCTACTCTCCTCTACCGCATAAATTCCTCATTGGTCATAAGCGTCGGTCCTCATGTCCAGGGGTACACGAGGGTACACGTTCAACGTGTCAACACTCATTTGCAATAGGTATGACCATCTGAATCTGTGTAGCGTGCTACTCACAGATAATAGCAGGCTCCTTTGCTAACGCCAGTTGAGGTCTTGGCATTATCAAGCAGTATCACAATACGGAATTTGTCCGGAACTTTCATCAGAGCGCGCAATGTCAATTTGATCTGTCAAGGTACAGCAGGGTACAGCCTGGCAAGGTACTCAGGAGGACTCGAGTCGTCATCGGGAGTGCAGAGAGCCCTCATAGAGAGGCTTCGACGTTGATCACCTTCAATGAACGTACGCTTCATATTCCTAGTTATTCGAGAATTTGAGCGCAGGCTGAGGCTTTCGTCTTCTCGATCCTGCGAAGTTAATCGATGTTCATGTCTCTAAGCGCTTCTTGTTGTCTTTTTGACAATCTGACGTCTGCTAATTTCAGTCAGATTTCAGTCAAATAACGCGTTCCAAATTCCAACCCTGTTTGCCTTGGCGGAGCCTTAAATACTCATCACATCTAACTCATCTCATCCTGTCTTTTCCCTTCAGTTAGTATTGCTTCCGGTGTTCGTCTGCTCAGCCATGAAGATCTCGTCAACATCTACCTTGGTCATGACCGCTAGTCTTTTGGCTTCTAATGGTGGGTGAACCATTGTTCTACTTGTGTCAGGCTGAATGTTTAGTCTTGTCTTTCTTCGTAGTTGCTGCCTCGAGCCTTTTGGAGCGTACATCCAGTGCCTTCGACATTTTGATTGCAAGACAAAGCACTAGCTCGGGTATCGATCCCTCAGAGATTCCTACACAGGTTCATTTCTCTTTACCCCCAAGGAATCGCCTACTTAAATTTTCCATGGATTTCTCTTTAGTGCGAAACGCAATGTACGACTGTACTGAATACTATCAGTGTAAGTCTGTTGCGTTTGCTAAATTACCCACAATTTCTGAACTCCTCTCCTCTCCTTCTGAGCAGGCATGCACCACGGATTCCTGTATTTGTACCACCACCAATGCCGATGAGATGGAATCCTGCGTCAACTGCCTTGTTTCGATCGACCCAACCGCGGATATGATTGAGGAAGGAAACGAGATTCTTCTCTGTAAGTGACAGAGTTCTCCCATTCAGAGAATCACACCAATCACTCTTCCCAATTAGCCCTTGAAGTAGAATGTGATACTGTTTCCGGGTTCCCTTCGCTCTCCGTCTCCGCCTCTACTACCATATCGGATGATACTTCGTCTGTCACCGCTCTGGAAGGCTCCAGTGTGTCCTCTAAGTCTACCGTGACGCAGAAATCCACTGCTACAGGAACTTCAACGACCACTTCGTCGGCGGATAGTGAGAGCACCAGTGACAGTGGGATCAAGGGCTTGAATGGTGCCGTTTCGTACAAGGGATCGATGGCTACGGTAGTGTTTGGGGCATTGGGTTGTATAGTTGGTGCGGGATTGCTTGGGTTATAGTCTAGCTTCTTTGTCTAGGGCACGTAATTATGTGGCAGGTAGTATGTCTGGAAGTAGCTGGAGTTCATCTTCTGGGTACAAGATACTGTGGCCGCTCTTGGCCGCGCAATTCTTTTCTACCACCTGTCCTAATCACTTCGTACATATTCAAACCTGTTGGGCAAATATGCAAACGATGGGTACTAGGATGCTGTACAGGGCAAGATATATGTTCTCGCCTCGGATCCCTTCATACTGTGGTTTCCTATGACCTCGCTGAAAGGAGGCCTATTGAAGATTTAATCGGAGGTTAGCCTCGTGGTTTCATAGGTGTCGTCAGAAGCAAGTTTAAAGTTATGATCAGGAGCGAGTTTCCTGCCAGTTGCGGAAGGAATCCTAAAGTATCCCCTTCGACCGCAAGGTAAGTGTATCATAAGGCAGTACTGGGCGTATACACAAAGCTGCACAGCTGGTTTTGGACTACTGCCAATTCCTTCTTACAACGTACTCGAAGGTTCTACGCTGATTTCTCGCGTTATCTGGCGAGCTAGATTGACATACGATCCCAAGGCTTGCGCGATCGCATTAACCTCCATCAGTAGCCGTAATCAGTCTATCACAAGCTCAGATGGCGGAATCAAGACAAGTATGTATAGTAGTATTGCTGAAGCCCTCAGCCCTCCGCCGATAACGGAATGAGTTTGAGTCTACGCAAAAACTTGAGAGATAGAAGTCGTACTACAAACTTGTATGAGATTATTTTCGCTCTCCATCGTAGCTGCCTATCTAAGCGAAACAGCTATGTATCCCAACTAAGAACGCGAGTTGGAAGGAAAACACGCGATAAAAATCAAATCATGCAAAAAGCATGTGACTAATTATTCGGCGCCGGACCGATATCCGAGATTCGATTTAAACCGCTGCTCTCAAATGCTTTTTGCGTCTTTTCTGTCTCTTCGTAATCGGATGGCGTCTTATACTCGTACTCTTCACGTTCGATTTCCTATGGAACAATGGCCTGGATGGTACATTGCCGAGCTCAACTTGCAGGCCCAGTCTATCACTTCCTTTTTGTCTCCCGACTCGAGCCCTCCACCGACGCCACAATTAGAATCTCCTGGGTTCGACTCTGACTCGGACTCCAACAGATCATACGAGCTTTACAACGATGACTCTAGGCTTACCCTGAAGGTTGACCCCGATACCTGCACTGATTATGGCTCCGATTCTCCCGTGTTTCGTGCTTTTGTCGTGCGCGACCGTGACGATTATGGCAAAGAGTGCCGCCGTTCTTCAGGTTCCTTCTCAATGAATGAAAACAAAGGAATAGCGTTTCATGATCCGAAGACCCCAATTGCTCTCAAGTTCGCTTTACGAGAGGATTTATTAGATGATCTAGCTCAAGAGGCAGAAATATACGAGGGCGCACTATGCTCTTTGCAAGGTGACATTGTCCCGCAATGTTATGGTTTCTTTACCGGCATCGGTTCAGAAGGGCAAAGGATCGCCTGTTTGGTATTAGAGTATTGGGGTGAATCTTTGCAAGTGCCTTTCAGAAAGCTTCCAATCGACGTAAGGTACGTTGTGCTGCATCATACTCTTTGATTCGATCAGGTTTTTTCTAGGACACCAATAACTAACACTCGCAACCTGATTGTTTTGTATTGAGTAAGACTTCGGATATTAGATAGCCTTGGCGAGCTTCACAAGTGCGGTCTGCATCATGGTGATGTGAGTGTATCCCTTTTCCTCACATTTGCTGCCAAATTACGCTGAGCCCACGTTCTTTGTCTTTTCTTTATTTTTCCATTTGCACCCAGTTTGCCGAAAGAAACGTTCTCATGAACGATAACGACATCCGTCTCATTGACTTTGATCAGTCTGTGTACCACGATTGTGATTGTGAAACCACTTTCCAGTTTCGTCTCGAAGTTGGAAAACAGATACCTGATGTGACAGAGTTTGGATGTCCTACGCTCTGGGAGATATGTCGGTCAGATATGGGCATTTGGGGGTGAAGTGGCAGCTAGACTAGTAGGCAGTGAGTGTCTTCTCCAGTTGACAATTGGCAATAATAACTACTCATACTGACCTCAGTGACTTATTCGTAACAAATCGGGATGTACATAACAGATATGTAGAGGGATTTCACTTGTTTGATGTGGCGCAAGAAACTCGTTCTGAATCTCAAGAAAAATCGTTTAATATCTACGGAATACAATTGGACCTCAAGGGCAGACCTTGAAAACCCCCCAAAAAAAACTTCGACGAGAGATTGCCTTATCAAGGACACCATCGCAGCATATATCATCCCACCATAAGGTTATTGATATCTGCAGAGCAGAGAATGTATTGAGGAATACGCGACCTGCCGCTAATATTAATAAATAGTGGATGACTTCCCATAAGGATCATTGTATGCATTCCCTCTAAAGCATTGTTGGAGAACACCATAGTACCCCATCCACGATGGAATTCGAAGATATTGGACAGTAGTTTTTTTCGGTATGTGGATTCTCTGCACAGTTCTGCACTTGCTTAACTGGGCTAAGCAAGGAGCGTATCAACCTGGCATCTGCAATGGTGGCACAAAAGTCCAGGAGCCACCAGTGGGATGTCCGGAAACAATCCAGCTCATCTAAGGGATTATTTCCGGAGCTTTACAGCAACCTCTCCTTGCCATACATAGCCATTAGGTATGAGATAGCTTTAGATAGCTTTCAGCACAACATCAATTGCTTTCTCATTTGACGTTTGGACAAACACTGTAATTGGGCCAAGGCTTATGGGAAGTCATCCACTGAGTGATTTATTTCATCTCATAACACTCCGAGTCTGGCATGAGAACAAGTATGTACAGGTATGTACATACACGCACTGGGAAAGGCAATGATGCGCAACAGCTCGCTTATGATTTCCATCGGATCGAGGGTGAGTAAGTAGGGATGAGCGTGTAATGAATTCATCAGCGTTTTAAAAACCTGGTGCCCCCGCAAATGATTTTTCTTCACTCCCCACGTCTAGAGCTGGTTCTCTAGTAAGAGCAAGAAAAGATCTACGCGCACTCAGCCTTTACCAGCCTACATCAGAATACTTTTTCGCCCAGAGTCACTGCTGATAATTATGCATGTCTCGCGGTCGTTCCTCCTGCTCCTAGCCTCCTTGTCACTGTCGTTAAACTGCCGTGCTTCACCGCTACCGGATTCCCCCAAGCCAAGTTCGGAAATGGGAACGTGGGGTAGAAGAGATGAGGCGCAAAAAGTTCATCTCGGGTACAGGTATGTCATAGCATGATTATCAATTCGAACATGATTGCCCATATATTGCTCTTAGATACGTGGACAAGGCAGGTGCTAATGCCATAGATTGATACAGAATATTGACTTTTTTCCCTAGGATAGTGTCTTGATTTATGCGCGCGCAGGGAGGGAGCTAGCGAAGGCAGCAGGAAAGGTTGTACAGGCAAAACCTAAAGGAGACGAGGCAAAGTGGGTAATAGAAGGAACTCTGACGGACATAAAGGCTTCGGGTACCGTGATAGGGGAGGGCGCATATCTGACACCCAGCGTGGGTGGATGGGAGGGGGAATTCGTGGTATGAACCATCCATGAACCTCGGGATACTTTCAACTAACTATGCAATCTTCAGTGTGAGGTTTGGGGAGATTTAGAAAAGTTCAAGGAAGCACCAAAGGTGAGCTTCAATTCGTATCAAGTATAGAACTGAAAGGCATTCGGTATCATAAGGAGTTTGTGACTAATAAGATCATGGCACATACTCCAGAGAGCGAAGAGGCCTGGAACAAAATACTATCGGGAGGGAAGACAATGGATACAACGATTCTTGCTGTGCAAATTCCAGGACAAGTTGGTTATACCATGCGAATTCCTCCTCATTATCTCAAGCCATCTCCTCCGAGGATATTGGGTGTTCTGACTGGACAACGGAAGCCTAAGGTTGATCTTGGAATAACTGTTCGCTGTGTTTCAGAAAGTATGTGCTTACTAGTTGCGCAAGTATTGTATTTTCTGTGACTGAAATTAATCTATAGCGAACATCCAAGCTCTGTCTATCCATAATCCAGCTGACTGGGGGCAGTGGTGGCCCAACCTGAATCCTAGCACTCAGTTATGGATGATGGCGATACATAGTCGTGGTTGAATTGACCTGTGTGATTTTTATGTAGGTAATGATTGAATCTTGAGAAGTTGAAGTCTATCTGTCCTCTTTGAATATCTGTAAATCATGGAAATATCTCTGCCGAGCCGAACTGGGGAGTGCACATATGCATTGGTCTTCGTACATAGAGCTAGACGCTACTATAGCGCTTAATGATAACCTCTTTTCAGCTCTTTTCTTTCCACCACGAAGCAAAGACTATTTCAACGTAAAGACCTGCCCAAATCTGCATAGACTGTGATGATTGTATGGTCAGAATTGGCGAAAGAGAAAATTCTCAGACTGATTATAACATGCGTTTCAAGGTCGTACTAGCTTAATCTTGGTTTGCCACTCTTACTCAGAGATCATCTCCTTGCGTACAGGTCGGCGTGTATGATGCTAATTGGTCAGACTTGACTCTTATTACGATTGTCCCCCTCGAATTTCACAAATTTCTCATTAATTTTATCCACATCGTTCATTTAGACGACAATGTTAGCCAACAAGCATCCTCAATGATATCCTTACCTGCAGAGCAGCTATAACTCGAACATGCTTGCAACCTGTGCATCAAGACTGGCAATTGCGAAAATACTTGTGAATCTCGACAAAATCGATACCTGACCTCGCCCGTATAATTCATATCCTATCCTATCCTGATTTTGACAATACCTGGATGTCCCAAGTCAGTCGGGTTACATAGGGATTCAGCCGGATCTATTCACGAGGCGGCGAGGCTCAAGGCTTGAGTGAGCAGGAATGCAGTCTTGCTCAGAGTCAGGGCCATGAACGCTCACTGGATCATTTGCTGAAACAGATACACACAAGAACGAACTGCAAATCATTTCATCATTAACGAGCCTGTTCAGTGCTGCAAATGGATGATGGATTGGGTAGATACAGCATAATCGGAGGGCTTCACAATGTAAATCGTGCGTAGAGTGTATCGATGCATGCACCTACTAAGTACGTATCAATTCTATTGGAAATGGTGTTGTAACACTTATTTTGTGGTTTTAGTTCCTCTCTTCCTTTGTTCCTCGCACCGGCTCAATTCCCTCAGTTCATGCTCCCGAGTCGTGATCTATGGCAATCAGGCCTCAGCACTATCCTATCCTATCCAGGAACTTGACGTCCAGCTTCACAACGCCTCATGCGAGCCAATGCGTCTCAAAATCTTATAAACTCATACCTTCAATCATGCTGCAGTGATGCGTGTCTGAAACTTCGACTAGCTTCGAGCCCCGACTGCAACAGCCATCAGGACATCATCGCCCCGCGGCTAATCAGTAATCTTGGTTTTGGTTCGATGTTTTTTTTTCCACAGCCTCCAGGATCGGCTCTTTGAGCTCCGCAAAGCCGACGTCAGGTCGACCTTTTGGACTAGGAGCATGGAAGACTATGAAAGAGCCTGGAAGAGCATGACTCAGAGATCGTGGAGACCAGTGGGCCCGGTCTTGCCCATTGCCCTGCGCACGTGAGGGCATCCGAACAGTCCACCGAACATAATTTATAACTTGCGTCAAAATTGACGGACAAAATGGTCAACAACGTTAGGAGCCGAGTGTTGGATCCGAATACTTCACACATATAGCATATTAGAGGCTTTCAGAGACGAGGATACTCCAGAGGAATAATTATTTCGGCACGCCCCAGCAGTGAGGTTATCCATCAATTCATATAAATGAGAACAGGGTCCAGAAGAAGATGACACGAAGTTTACATGCCATCGACGTATTTGCAGGACTGACGTCAACTAATAAGCCCTAAATCAAAGTTGGCGAGGAGTACATAAATCCCGCGTGTTGTTCGCTTTTACCCAACTTTCTTCCTCACGAAAAACCCCCAGTCGTAAGCACTCCTTCTTTTGCCTCCACCATCTTCCGTCCTTGTTGAAGCTTAATCAAGTCATTGTGAACAGAAAAATCAACATTAACGAACGATGCTTTTCACGAAATTTGCTCCAAGCCTCATCTCGCTGTTTTCTCTGGCAGCATATACGGTAGCTGTGGTGATGCCTGTTCGCTCCGAGTTGGAATCCAGAGTGTACCCTCGAGCGACAGAGTCGATCCAATCCGGCTCAGTATTCACCATTCACAACGTCAAGGCTGACACCGTAGTCGACTTGTCGGCAGGTGATAACACCACTAGTGAGCTTTCTCTTCGCTTTTTTCTTCTTGTCGTCTTTCTCACTGAGTCTCTTTGCTATCTATAGTCACCGGTTGGTCTCTCAACGGCGGTAAAAATCAGCAATGGACTACACTTTGGAGCGGAGAAAGCTGGAATTTTCAATCCGTCGCGACAGGATTGTATCTAGGCATAGTTGGAACCCCGGGCAATGGCACGAACCTGACTGTGGCAAGCACCCCGACGGCTTGGGATATTTGGCACGATACTGTCAATGAGACGAACTACCGGTGTGTCTAACCATGATCAGCAGTATGGAAAGAATGTGATATTAATGAGGTTTTCAGGATCTTTGTTCCCAACACAACTGTGAACTGGGATCTTTGGGGTTACGGAGATGCTACCTCAGGAGACCCGATTACATTATGGGGAACTTGGTACGTTTTTCTTCTGTTCCCCTTTTTCCCCGCTTCTTGTCACTATTCTGCTCTGCTCGGATATTGACGGACTTGTTCTCTTGTTTTAGGTCGGGAATCCACCAGACTTGGCGGTTCGTACAAGGTACGCAATGATTTCTTCATCTTGGTTCTTTAATCTAACCTAACGATATCTGTATCCGCGCCGCTTTTCATCCCTCAATTCTGATACCTGTAACCTCTACTTTTCTGAACGCTCTCTTTCGTATCCGCACCATCACTCCCCGAATTGACACTCCGTCTACCACTGTGCTTTTCTACTCTCACTTCCGGTCCACCACCCATTGGTTCCAACACACTCTAGTGTAAACTTCATGAGAATCACGGTGGCGTTAGAACGAACTTGAACGATTTTACGGATGAGATTTTGAATGATTTCGATGTTTTTCTGGATGACGGTTTTTGTATTGTTGTTTATATATACCTACAACTTATCGTTTCACTACATACTGTTGTACTTGATGGAAGTTTGAAGATTTATGATACCTTTCGTTGCGTTCTGTCACTAGTGTAGTACCTTTTATGTGTTGTTGCTTTTGTAGGGGTGGAGGAAGCGATTGAGTAGTGGAGCTCCTTGCAAATGGACTTTAGGTCTATGCAGTTGACAAGCTCAAGTTCCTTGTCCCGCGTCTACATCGTATATCATGATGGTATACACATACCTCTCACATTTCTTGTTTCAAAAACCCCCATTGAACTACTGTGAGTGAGAACAAAGTTACAATGTCGATGCATACATTGAACAGATAGATAAAGCGATACACATTAATCCTTCGTTGTATCCTCTTCCAGCTTTGAAGCAAACTGATCATTGCGTAACCGGATACGATTCCATAAAAGAACCCTGAGATATATATGCATACAGTAATAGTACTAGGATAGTGTACACAAAAACAAAGACATCGAGGTCGTAACATTCCGACTAGAAGTTACAACAGATCGTAGGACATAAATTTGTCGAGATTCGTCTCATGAGATTATCAAGCTTTCGTATCGCTGTAGTCGTTGCTTCTCGTTGAACCAATCTCTGGACCATTGTCGAGAGCTTTTGAAAGAATTGGCGATTCAGTCAGTACAGTCGTCGATGCGTGAAGGGGGGGTGAAAGACTCACCATGCTCAAACTTGGCAACATCGGCACTTCGTTTTTCGGCGGATACAGATCCAAAGATAATATCCATTTCTTCCAGCGATCTTCCCTTAGTTTCGGGAATGAGAAGCGAAAAGGTGCCCATAGCACCTATATTGACAGTGGCGAACATCAGGAAAAATTTGAATCCAAGATGCTGTTCGATTAAAAGTGTCTGATGAGAGACGACGAAGTCTTTACGACAGAGAGTCGTTAGATGAAATTGATTGCGAGAGATGAGGAGAGACGCACTCCATAACCACTGCGAAGCACTGGCAACAGCTAAACCATAATGTCTTGTCCTGGTAGGGAAGATATCCGAAACATAGACCCATGGGAGAGGACCTATACACAAGTGAGAATGGGTAAATCCCAGCAATAGCAATCATGAACCTACCCCATCCCATGCTGTAGAAACAGACATAAATATACAACATCGCTGCCATTCCTTGACTTGCGGGCGAAATAGCGGTAACAACACTAGTAGAGCTAGTAGCTGGCGGCGGGTGCGTCTTGATGATAGCGCCGATGATAAAGAAACAAATACCCATTCCCATTGCGGATATAAAGAATGACAGTTTCCGACCAAGAGTCTCAACTCCAAAAAAGATGAAGATCGATGTTGCGACCAACTAAAGAAGGGTCAAATGGTAAGTCACTAATGTTTAATCCAGCGCGAATCGCTAAAGGAATTCACGGACGTACTTTGACGACACCGTAAACTCCAGATGCGAGTAATGAATTCTTGTTACCAGTGTAACCAATGGAAGCGAAAATCTGAGGCGCGTAATATCTGAAATTTCCAGCATCAATTAGTAAAGGGTCCCCCCCGACAATGTCAGGCTGAAGCATACCCGACGGAATTTTGACCACACCATTGCTGAAGCAGGAATATAACGAATGCGATCACAAATCGAATGAGATTTCCTTTGCCAAAGAATGCCTCTTTCCAGCCCAGACCTTTCCTAGCTTCGCGCTCCTCCTCAATAGCGGCTTCAATTTCGGCCAATTCATGAAGAAGCTCTACGTCGTCCGTAGGCTTTCTGCGGAGATACGCGAGGTTGTTGAGAGCTTCTTCATTGCGACCTACTGAAGCCAGCCAACGAGGGGATTCCTATATGGGACAGTAAGAATTGGACTTGCGCAGCAGTATGGATTTCTAACCTTGACCGTGAGCAGACCGAATAGCATTATACCAGCGGGCACAAGTTGGAAACCAAAGGGAATTCTCCATATCCTGGAACCATTACCAATGTTAATGCTAACGCCGTCTTCACAAAATGTGAGTATACACGTTGAAATTTAATCAAGACGAAGACCCACAGTTGATGAAATACGAGAGCATCACTCCAGTAGCTACCATGACTTGGAAAAGACCGGTGATACGGCCCCGAACTTCTTTAGGTGAACATTCTGAAACGAAGGCGGGAGACACCTACGATATCATGTGAGCTTGGACTGTGGAACCTTGTAGATCCGGCACTTACAGCACTAATACCACCGATTCCCACTCCGGAGATGACTCGCCCTGCGTAGATCAGGGAAAGTCCATTGGTAGGACTACTCGCTATGGTGGTCAGAATCTAGATAGTTAAAAAGGTTGAAAGAAAATAACTCATGAATTAGGGAGTGAAACTTACTGCGCCGATGGTGAAGATAAAGGTAAAACCAACCAGAGTCCACTTTCGTCCAAACTTGCCTAAAAACACAATTTAGTTGGAAATTAAGAAGGGAGGAAGGCACTAGGACACATACCGGATATAGGCGCACTTCCTAAAGCACCGAAAAATGCGCCAGCCTGAAGGACTGAAACAACATTGGAGGACACCGCTGTGACTTGAGCTTTGTTCTCAACACCATTAGGCCACATTCCAAAGTGCTTCTGGAAATTTGCTTGAGAGACAACACCTCCTGCAATGCCGCTGGTGATGGGGTAAGTCAAGGGGATATTACGGACACTCCGAGGACGTACGTATCATATCCGAATAAAACGATACCCCAGTATGCAATGAAAGCGAGCCCTGCGAGAAGATATTTGAGTCAGGAGTATGATAGCAAACAGAGATAGAAGCTTACAGTAGACCCGGATATTTGTGAATGCACCTGCGTTCGCCATTGTAGAGGTGGTGGATAGGCAGCAAGAGGCAACTTCTGGAACATAGCTGACAAGTATTTAACGGGTGAAGTTTCGCGTAACGGACCGCCGGGGACCGTAAAGCCGGGGCCCCACCCCCACAATTAGATTCCAATTAGCCGGTCCGATGAAGATGATGATCTGCGGATGTTTTTGTGCGCCGTGAAGATTTTGTTTACGAGGGATTACTTGGGTCCTTTCAGGTCGTTTATACCATGTACAGTACATCCCAGATGCACCAAGCTCGAGCTTGAAAGAATATGCATGTCCCACTCATTTTTGGACTATTTGTTGGTTTTACCGAACTTTCCCCGATATTTTTTGACGGGCAACTGAGCGGGACGCTGGAGGACGCCAGAAGAGACCAGGAGACAAGGCCGATGTGTATCAAAATAATCAACGACTTCGAGGCACCAGGGGTAAAAAGGTCAGCAGGTACCTCAATCAATTTGAATCCCGCCCCCGCCCCCAGCTTGCCCCGCACAGTTCTGGGTTCCGTTTTCAAGACTTTATGTAATGCATAAGCCCATATAGGCCCGTATTCAAAATTTATTTCCAGCTGATTGCAAAATATCTTCGGGGGGGAGATCTACTATGTAGTGATGGTGCTTACAATTAGTTATGCTGGAGTGGTAAAACTCCACCCAACAAAGGCTTCGAAACCTTTCTAGCCAATAAGGGATTGCAAACATAAACAAAAATCCTGATGAGGGTTTCTCGACAATTTTGCAATCAGCTGTCATTTCAGCAGGTACTTACTACATCACATCATGTAGCTCTTCTTTCAGATCGCCACGGTCGTCGTACCCGAACCCTGCTTCCAGCAGCGATTTTCATCGTTGAAGCGACGCTCTGTAGGTGTAACGCAATCTTTATTAAGCACAGTACCTCTCTTCGCCCCGTTGAAAATCTTATTAGTTCCTTCGATGCTGTATATGTGTCTTGTATGGTAAACTGGGTGCCCCACGGATGTTATGCACTGGGAGTAGTGTGAATCAGAATATTCAATTCTTGTCAAGGGCAGCAAGAATTTGGAATCAAGATATACATACCTATACCTTCGCCTCTTACCGCCGCTCCTTAACTCCGCTTTCAGTTCATCAGTGCTCAAGTTTCAGTTTGTCCATTATTATGATTATATGCTTCAAATGTCCAACCGTACGGCGGGCCACTTCACGCTGCTGGTATGGCATCTTGCAGCCACAGGGGAGTTACACCTTTGATATTCTCCTCAGAGGAGACAATACAAGTTCGAAGGCAGTTCTTTTCTGTATTTCAATTGGTTGATTGGTTATGCACATCGGAATTACCCTCCGTCGTCAGTGTGAAAACAGAACATGATTACGCGCATGATATAAATTAGGACCCGGAAAATGTGATTTACTGAAGAGAGATTTCACCATTTATTTCTTACTGTGAGAATGGTTGTCGCAAATACAAGCATCACCACTTCTCGTGCGCCGGCCGCACTAGAAGACGAACATCCATCAGTCTGTGTACACCAAAGAGCATCGAAAACCCTACAATCGAGTTCCCAAGTCCAAGCAGAGCGCGGCTGCTCCGCAAGGTAAACGTACGCCTAAGATAACACAGATAAGATGAGCACAAGATACGAGTACAGGTACATGTGCATCGCAGTTTACGGAGATCAGGAAGAACCAGGAAGAACCACAGACCTTGGCAATATCCTCAGCATTCAATCTGATATCCTCATTCTCTACCCAATTGGGTGGGTCATGGAACCTGGAGCGAGAAAAAGGTGTGTTGATGACTATTCGGAAGAGACGCGATTCATAAGGATTCGGCGATAATCATTCGTGGCATACCTCCATCTATGATAGCCTACTCAATCAGCGGAAAAAACATTAGTCATGTATTTGGGATTGTTCAATAAGAGACGCACATGAGCAACGTGGATGTTATATGGACCAAACTCCTTTGCCAAACTCTGACTCAACGCTCTCATCCCCCACTTCGCTGGCGCAGCTGCACTTGTCGTCGTATTCCCCCTTATACTCGTCGTCGACCCGGTAAAGATGATAAATCCCCTCTTTCCAGTATCCACATCGATTTCATTTCTCTTGAAAATCGGTATGACTTCCTGTGCGAATGCAAAAGAACCCTCCACGATTGTCTCCTGCGCAGCGTGAAAATCAGCTAAAGTGATGTCGAGGAAAGGTTTCCGGATGCTATGGCTCGCGTTGTAGAGCGCGGCGCGGATGGCGTACTGAGGTGAAGGGTATCGGGCGTGGATGGAATGGAATACGGATGAGATGGATGTGGCAGAGTAGGATGGGACGGGAAATGCTGTTGCCTATAAACGCAGATCAGGTAAGTCGAGGACAAACTCGAGAAGATGTTACAGACATCGTTGCCAGCCGCCTTCAACTCCTCCTCTAAAGCTTTGAGATCTTCGGCACCTCTGGAAATCAGGGCGAGGCTGTATCCCTTGCGTGCAAATGCGGCACTGTATGGGGCAAAATCAAGATAGAGATTAGTAAAAATTGATATATGAACATAGAAAAGGAATCTGACGCTGTCGCCGCACCGGTGCCTCCCGCTCGTACGCCTATATGATTGTCAGCTTTCCTGACGTCTAACCGCAGATTATTTTCGACATACCAGCCACGACTAATACAGGTCTAACTGCAGACATTTAGCGTTTAGGGAGTTGGACAAGTGACCCCCGGTGCTTCTAGATATATATAAACTAAGAAGGCTCGGGGCCGGAGTCGGGCTCTGTCAGACTTGTTGGCGAGGGCGAGGCTCTAAAACTTGCAAGTGCCAGTTTATCCGGACGAAAACTGACAAAACACGACCGAAGGGTAAACATATCAGAATCTGGTAATAATGGCGTGTTATTGTCAGAAAAGCACACCTCATTCGGATCGAATTTTCCTACTATTGACTAACAACCACAAGGGATGGACACCCGAAAAGTTAGGATGAACAAAACTGGATAAGTCTAAATTGTATTCGTCATCGAGAACCTAATATGTTGTACATTTAATGTTTGTATTTCTTTCATGTGTCGTCGTCAGTTTACCACTTCTCGTGGGCAGGACGCACTAACCATAATGGGTCAGCAGATTGGTGACTACATATGGGGCTTTGGAAAACTTACAATCCAATTCCCAAGTCCAAGCTGAACGCTCCTGGCTTGCGAGGTAAACATAAGACTGTGTGCTAAGGTCAGGAGAGGAATTGTTTGAGTGGGACCGTTAATGAACGCACAGAAGCAATAGCTTCAGGACTGAGCCTAACATCTTCATTCTGTTCCCATTCTGGGTTGTTGCGACGCGACCGGGAGAGAGGAGTAGATATGCCTAAAGATGTGACATGATGTTGCAAAAAACCAAGAGCAGAAGATGATCAAACTAACTTCCGTCAATAATGGCCTATGAATTATCGGTCGATCTTGTCGTAAAGGAGTATTATTGAAGAAAATACAACATACATGTGCCACATGAATATTCTGTTTCCCGAACTCCTTCGCCAAACTCTGGCTCAAAGCTCTCAAGGCAAACTTTCCTGCCGCGAACGCACTGGTTGTCGTGTTTCCTCTAATACTAGCTGTTGCACCAGTGAATATCAGGATGCCGCGTTTTCCGTTAGCAGGATCAATCTCGTTCTTCTTAAAATCGGATAAAACTTCATGGGCAAACGCGAAGGAGCCTTCGACATTGGTTTCGGTGATAATCTTGACGTCCTCGGGAGTGATGTCTAGGAATGGTTTCCAGACGCCGTGGCCAGCGTTATACAAGGCAGCACGGATACTGTATTGCGGCGCCGCATAACGAGTCCGAATGGATTCAAAAGCAGATTTGATGGAAGTGTGTTCGTAGCTAGGAATTGGGAAGGAAGTAGCCTACACGAAGTAATTCATATGCATGATCATAGAAATGCAGCATTATACACACTTCTGCTCCAGAATTTTGCAGTTCAGTTTCCAAGGTCTTTAACGAATCGGTTCCCCGCGCGATAAGGGCAATGCTATACCCTAGCTTTGCAAAGGCACGTCTAGAGGAATTGAATGGCTGCGGTCAATAATCTGTCAAACGAAAGAAAACAAAGGTTTACGCTGTGGCTCCACCAGTTCCTCCGCCAGCACCTATACCTGAAAGATCTGTATTAGAAATGATAAATGCAGATGACCGACTACTAGAAATTCACCTGCGACAACAAGGACTGGTTTAAAGGAGGGCATGGGGGTTCGAAAGTAAGGAAGAAACGCAATGGCAATGCAAACATCATATTATTATTAGAAGACCCACAGAAGCCAGGTGACACAACCTGAGTAAGCCGACGAGAAAATGAAGCGCAATCTTCAAGCAATATGAGCAGATAGAGGTCCTTCCTAGGTCTTCGTTCATAACAAGTCCAAACAATGCCGGTTACATTCTTTCCCGGCTACATTAAATTTCAGCAAATGATTCGTCCTCAATCGCCAACTGAACTGCGTTGCTGTCTACCGCGGAGCCATGCCCGCCGACCGCGATGCCAGTGCTCAAACTAGCTTGGATATGATCAAAGCTAGGAAGGAAACATCCATAGACATAGTCAATGTCAGGCAGTTCATTTACAGTTCGCGCTTTCCCTTTGTTAGATTAGTTCTGAGCTGACCAAAAACAAATAACAAGATGGACGGGAGGAGTGGCGAAGGAAAGAGAAGCTAGTTGAAATAGTATCCAAGGATCCCGTGTTTGACAAAAGTAAAAGGTGAGTTCACCACCCGTCGCATATAGTTTGTTATCTGACTCGTTGACAACAAAGAGAATGGATGACACGAACAGAAAAGTACACTCGGGGTTTAAGAATGACCAATCGAATTCATGAATTGGAACAATTGCTTGGTTGGAGCAAACAGGACACCACGATCGCTACATCACTATTGGACGATTCCTTGCCAATCTCCCTCCATGTCACTGGTATATATTTGTTTCTGGATATAATGGACGTTGACATAGTTTTTATCAGCATTTGAACCTGTCTTCCTTCTCCAAGCTTCGCAAGAACTTCTCGACAAGTATGCTGGTGTTATTGCTTCCCGCGGAATTTTCGGTTGTTACCTGCAAACCGAGTTGGGTCATGGAAGTAATGTTGCGGCTCTCGAAACAACCGCGTCATATATTCCACAAACGAAAGAGTTTGAGATCCACTCTCCTACACTTACGAGCAGCAAGTGGTGGATTGGAGCGCTTGGAAAGACTGCAACACATGGTGTTGTTCAAGCTAAACTTATTTTGCCAGGAGGTGTGGATATGGGCCCGCATTTGTTTTTTGTTCAGTTGCGTTCGCTAGGTCAGCGGCTGAGTTTTCACTGATTTGCCACAAAAATTCATACTGATTGATTTCATTTTGCAGACACACATGAGTTGCTACCTGGGATAATAGCTGGAGATATAGGTTTGTGTCCTTAAGACCGGCAAACCTCAGGCTGAAATTGAAGTATGTAAGGACCTAAATCATTCCATGGATTCGCTGCCACAGACAACGGATTCGCCCGTTTTTTCCACATTCGAATACCCAAGGAGCACATGCTTTCTAAGTTCGCTCAGGTAACTGACGATGGAAAGTATATTCAACCTCCGCATACGAAGATCAGTTATGGTGGAGTTAGTTGTAAATCATTGAAAGCCCACTTGGAAATTTGACCGTGCCTTTCTTTTACAGATGTTGTATATTCGATCGGGGTAGGGGAGGATGCGCTATCACAGCATTCACTGTCTAATTTTCGTCTTCGTTATCTTTTTCTCTAGCATGGTGACCACTGCTGGCTGGGTCACGGCGAAAGGTGAGCTTTTCAACCCCCTTTATCATGACCTATGTAGCTCATTTGGGTTTCATGAAGCTGCCGTCATTGCAATTCGTTACGCAACTGTTCGAAGACAGGGCACAAGAGGTCCAGACGGATTGGAGAAACAAGTCATCACCTACCCCTCGCTGCATATTCGGCTACTTCCTATACTTGCTCGGGCCTATGTGTTTATCGGCCTAGGAAGAGCACTGGTATGTTCGGCAATCTTGCATCCTATCCTATATCACATTGGCAATGCTTAACAGAGCCAGTCATTCCAAACCATGGTTCAACGCTTGTCCGGTGGTGACACCTCCCTCTTAGCCGAAATGCATGCGACAACGAGCGGTCTCAAAATCCTTTGTACAACCTCCAGTGTACAAGATGTGGAAAATGCACGGAGGTCAATGGGTGGCCATGGTTACAGTGCCTTCAGTGGCGTTGGGAGATTGTACGCGGATGTGATACCTAGTGTAACGTGCGTTCATTCCTTCACGCTTCAGATTTGCTTTAGGGAGGGATCATTGATGATCCAATGCCAAAAATAGATATGAAGGCGAGAACTTTGTGTTAGACCAGCAAGTTGTTCGTGCAGCTTTAAAAGCCTTCCATAGCCTGTTTGGCACAGAAGGAAAAATTCGTCCTTCGCCCTCGACCGTAAGAGGTCTCACCGCATCGTCATATTATCTCAGGCTCCTCTCGTCGCCTACGAAAGAACCTCCATTTTTAGAAGACGGCGACGGGTCGAAATCATCGTGGAACGACTTCGAGACACTGATATTACTGTTGGAGTGGCGTGCGGCACTGCTCGTACACGAAATGGCACAGACCGCACATGATCCAGATGCAACGCTTTTCCAGAGGGTATCCAGGGGCACGACGGAAGCCTTCGTAGGGCGGAGAGTTGGTGAGATGATCAATGACTTCAGGAAAAATTCTGAGCTGCAGGAGAGTGATGTGGCGGTTTTGAGTCGATTGTATCTATTGGTATGGTCTCGTGTTCTTGTATGGTCAGTTATTGCTGGTTAACACTAATGCAGTATCTCCAAACCACTATTGAATCTGCCCTCGCCGACTTCCTTTCCTTCGGTTTACTTCGCATCAAGAACCCTTCTCGTGTAAGAGCATCGAGAGACCCAACTCGTGGGCTACGTTTGGCTATAGCTCGAAACTGTCTTAGCCTGGTACCAGAAGCTGTTGGGTTGACTGATGCGCTGGGGTTCTCAGACTGGGAGTTAGACAGTACCTTGGGCATGTATGATGGGAATGTATACCAAGCATTATGGGATAAGGCGCAGACAGAGCCCTTGAATGATAAGGAAATACCGGATGCTTATGAGGTAAACTGGTAGATCCTTTCTGGAAATTTCGTTCACTGATACTTGGCCTTTTCAGGAATCGATCAAGCCTATGCTCACAAGGGGACAACAAAAGCTAACTGAGAGGAAGTGGGAAACAAAACTGTGAATGCCCATACAAAAATCGAGTGAATGAGAAGTTATTTGTCACCGCCGACTTGACCATTCTCACTTTACCATCCCATCTAGGATGAGCATTTGCTGTAGTCTATAAACTACTGAACACGATGAGTCTCATGTACCATATTTTACAAATTTCTCTCAAATCGTATCCATGTAAATCAATTATTAGGTGAAAAAGGGATCTCCTTCAAAGCGTGTCTGCCTTTATACACTGGCCCATTTGGCATTGCCTCTTTCCATCCGTGTTCTGTAAGCCATTCGCCCGGAAGGCGATAGATTTGCACACCAAGTGGGCGACAGCATTCCAATGTGGGATCAAGATTTGTGCCTTCCGTTGCACCTTCCCCCCACATCTGCGATATTGATATCAAAGTCAACGAGGTGGTCGTTAAGGGTGAGGCTGAAACTACACACAGCTTTCGACAAGTCACCCCCAGGGCAGGTGGAAAGTGCACATAGAATGTCGGTTTCAGCCATGAACTAATAGGCGAGGATGCATTTTAATCAACGAAAGGGTAGTAGACGCGGTATATTCAAACGACGAGTAATAACATATGAGTTAGGAAGGGTAAGATGGTAAAACTTATACATACCTCAAAATAATCACCCTTCTTTGCAGGACAGGTTTTCATAAAGTATTGATCCTTGTCGTTCAGGCCTGTACACTGAAAGACGTTTAACACATCGTGCACGTCGAATTCCGTCAAACCATAAGGTAAAATCGCGCGAGTCAGATTGGAGTGACAGTGGTAGTCACTATCTGTTTTGATAATTGGTCATTGAGTCTCGATATACAAGAAACATCGGATACCTTGCCCAGTGAGCATGCGATTAACATACGGATCACATCTAGTCCCAAGTAGATCATGAACCCTTCCCCCTTCTGAATCAGTCCCGCTTCCATCCACACCGTAGTCCTTGAGCGTGTCTCCCGTAATTGTCACCAGAGGCCGGAGGTACGGTAATGTTGACCAAAGACGATCATACACGGATACATGAGCTCGCTGAAGTTGACGCGTTCGTGAAGCCCAGAACCGTTCACGAGGATTGTGAAGTGACCAGATGTTCAAGTCACCGACCTACATTAATAATAGGAGGAGAACAGCATATTTATCAGGACATCGATCATAAGATGTTCGGCACATACCTGGGCGCCTTCCACCGCTACGATACGACAAATATCACCTTTTCGTACCGGCCATGCCTTTCCGCTGCGAATGGGAAGGATGAAACTTTCAACCAGTGTACGCAAAGGTGGTTCTGTGAATGCAGTGGCTGCTACTTCATCGTAGAAGGCTTTGTCAACATCAAGAGGACCTCCAGGGAGACATTGGTACGCTGCTTCTGTAAGCCTGTTCTTGCTGGTCATGGGTATTAGGACATATGGACATATGGTTCTGAAAGTATGTTTTTATCTGAGAAGTCTGAAGCATGCACGCACATGCTGAATCATCGAATGAATTGTCAAGACCGGGTAACGGAAATCGAACGGGATGAGATTACTCAAGGTCACTGGTCACTGGATAAACTGATTAGAGCATTTGTACGATCGCGAGTGGTCCTAAGATATAAGTTACAAGCTCTGGGAGAATTAATAATAGTAAGGACAACACATTAGGGTTGATCCCTATCCTGCCCAAGACATGATCATTAGTTCAAGAGCGCTGACAATGAAAGAACCACTTACTGGTATAGGAGTGTAGTGGCATTAGGCTCAACTCAACGCATCAATATTTTGGTTCCAATAGGTTGTACATATTGTATTGATATCCAATGAATGAAAAGTCCACGATTTTTTACATTCACCGCCTGTTCAGCAGCCATATACCAAGAATCAAAAGAATGAACCAATGAGTGGATACAAGAGATATTGGTTGAGTCATAAGTGCAGCATTCGTCGAATTCGGAGATGAACCTGATCCAGAACCAGACGTTGAGTTTCCTGAGGAGGAACCAGAGCTATCGGAGCTATTCGTGAGCGTTCGGGGAGCATAGCTCGAAGGGATGGTCAGCACGATGCTATCGAGATCTACACGAGGATTTAGCAATCGCAATTGAGCTCTGGTATGTAGAAGACGCACCGAAATACGACTGGTTCACACCCGCTAGATTAGTGATACTCAGCGAGTGTTCTCCTTCGGCAAGGTTGGATGTGAAATACGCCAATGTAGGCTGTTGCTGCTCGCAGGTTTGCCCAAACGCTCCTCCACATCCTGATACCCCGTCGAATATCTGCTCGGTGCCATTGTCAAGTACGACACTGTACAGGCCATGGTCGTTTTTCTTGTCGCCGAAAACATAGATGGCGGAGCCTGTGAAGCAAATCACACGACTAATAACGAGTTTGAAAAAGAGTCCGGCGAACCATTAAAAGGGAAGGACACTGATGCATTGTCGTCATTCGTGTACGAAGACCCGCCTCCACTGAAATTGCCCGATGTATTGCTGCCCCAAGTGCCTGTGTAACTCAGAGATGAATCATTTTCTTGTATCGTCGTGTTCGAAACCGACGCTCTAGAGGAACATAAGAAGGAGTATTCAGTGTAAATTACATAAACGCACCCAGCAGGTGCGAGTTGAACTGTAAAACGCAGAAAATCAAACAGCAGGGAATTTCCACCTCCATCTCCGTTACTTGAAATAGCTCCAAGATTGCATAATGTAATTTCATGCTCTCCATAGGTCAAATTGCTCGTTCCATAGAGAAGGTGAGGTGTTGAACCATTACTCGAGGAGTAAGCACTGGCGGTCACGGAAGAAGAATCTAACAGGACTTCATACGAGCCGTATTCCGGGCCAGAGAATCCATAAATATACAGCGCCGGGCCTGTCTCCACTTTCAGTACGACACTATGGGCAACAATCTCTATACGGACCAGTGAAGTTGAAGTTGATGGACGCATTCACGGTATCGCTCTTGTGAAAAGTACCCAAAAGCCACGAACTATTTTCTGGAAGGTAGTCCGAGCTCGAAGGGTCCGGTGTTGTCCATACAGACTGGTCGGGATACGAGAGCACACTGTCGAAGTCATCCACGGTCACATTGAAATTTACAGCCGACGAATCCATAAAGGAAAGAAGCAACGGGCGCTTGCAACCCAAGCGCTCAAAATCAGAATCGGCTACAGTTCTCTGTAGACGTCGGGAGTGTATGTAATCAGAAATTCGGGTACGCGTGAAGAAATACATTTGTGACTTGGACATGAAATAACAGATAAGTAACACACTGTAGCACAATGCCATCGAAGACATATGTAAATACGGGGAAAAGAAGATCAAGGAATACATAAATTGAGACACCGAGCCACGATATCGAACAGGCAATGGTGGCACACAGAGAGAGATGTGGATGTAAAGCTTCGGTTCATGATAGCGATAATTTTGAGCGGGGAGTATGTCGTCGCTGTTTTTGTGTTTCATTGCTGGAACTGCAAAGGAAGCATCATGACGCAGCAGCTGTAGCTGCCTCGCCCGTTTCCGTTCGGACCTTTTTCGCAGTCTGAAGTACGGGAGGCCCCGCAACCCCACGGATTCCTACATCAGGTCCACCATCTGGCTCCACAGCACGCTTCCTCTTCTCTCCCGCTGCATTATCAGCGTCTGATTTGGAGTCGCCGTTTGTGGCGGGTGTAGCATCACCATTGGTTTTGCCGTTTTCTCGGTCATGCTTCCCACCACCACCACCACGACCTCCTCCTCTTCCTCCCCTACTACCCCTTCCTCCACGCCCTCCGCGGCTTTCTCGACCTCCGTCACGACCACCACGACCACCGCGACCACGGCTGGCCCCTCCACGAGAGCCGCCACGGCCCCCTCGTTGAGGCCTTGATGTGGAGGAGTTTTCGTCATCGTTACGTAGAGCAGCGCGAGCGCTTGATTGCGCTCGTCGGATTTGGAAGCTTTTTTCTTCTTCCTCTGTTCAACCCCACTTCAATGAGATGTCGTAGAAAGCAAGGAGAGGAAGAACGCACCGTCTATCTGGGACCAAGTGATCTCGTTCCCATTTATAGTTCGAATAGTTTTTTTGACATTCAAGATGTCCTCGTCGGATAGTTCCTTGTGAAATCCGACAAAACCATCATTTTTTCCGCGGGTGTAATCGATGAAGGGAGCACGTCCCTCGAATAGGTCTTTCAACGGAAGCTGAACCGAGGATGCATTAGCGATCGCGTAAATGAAGCGTGCTAATGTTATATACCTTGATGTCATTCCATGAGAAATTTTCCCCAACACCTTCGAACTTCAACGTGCTGCCTTTGAGGAATGGAACTTCCTCCTCCTTGACTCTCCCATTTCCATCTTCGTCCCTCTCAATCAACAGCTTTTTACCCATGAACTCAAGCCAGATTTCTCGTTTTGGCTTGCCGTCCTCGACTGCTTTGTACTTCATAAGCCCACCCTGGCTGATAGGGATAGTGAAAGCATTGAAGTTCCGTTTGTTCATTGTGTCGCGTTTTCGTTCAGCGTTTCTCCCAGTAAGGCCCTTCTCCTTAATTTTCATTTCGCAATAAGCCTCCTTGGACATGATGAGAAGATCTTCTCCGTCCCATTTGGGTTTAGGTTCGGCTTTGAGTAAAGCCTCAGCGCCTGCGGGTTCAGTAAATTCGACGAAAACAGAGCCTTTGAAGGATTTATCCTCGCTCCTTCTCATCCGCACTTCGTTTGTCGAACCATAACCTTGGAAGAGTTCTTCTAGACGTAGTTGTAGATCCTTGCTCTCGTCTGTCCCGAAACCTTTCTGCAGAAAGACGGATTAGATATACGACACTGGCAGAGAAAAATGGGGGGTACACACAGCGTATACACTGCGCTCAAATTGACCTTTAGGCTCCTGTACCTCTGTTCGCCTTCGTACATTTTCACCACTTTCGTCTACTTCCAGATATTCACTTGATTTTAGTACATCCGCAACCCATTGCACTCCGTTTTCGCCTGAAGAGTATTGGCGCATTCTTTTGAACGATGCTACGGCACTTATGGGGACCCAATGTTCTGGAGTTTTGGTATGTAATTGCCACATGAATCTGTACGAAAATTTTATTCGCCTGAGTCATTGATTGATATGTGGACGCATACTTGTCGTATGGAAGATTGGAATCCGCAAAGTAAAATTCGACTATTTGGATGTAAGATTAACAAACCAACAAAGGCGTTATCGATAGATTTACCTTGTCTCCTCGCTCTTGCTTTTCTGGCACTTTCAGCATCATCGCCCATAACTACATCTGAAATTTTTGCAGCGGGAGTTTCTACGGTGGACCCGTTTTCTACGACAACATTTTCCTCAACAACAGCAGACATGATGGTTTTCTTGAAAGAAGGTAAAGAGAGGAAGGATTCGACGAATCTGAAATCTTTTGATAACCCGAAAGTAGCGCCGGAGTAGCGCTCAGATAACGTCTCGGCGCTAACTCGTTCTAGTACTACTTCGGCTGATTTTGACCTCTTTGACTAAGAATCTAAAGAAGCTCAATGGTCCATTGAGGTCGTTTCGAACTATCACGTAGATCATAACTCATAAACCGCCTTTTTATCAAATGGAGAATGATATTGCAGTAATCTGTACTTAGCTTAATGAGGTGCCACGACCTGCCCGGCGTCTCCAGAACGTCTGAATTTTGAGATCTGATAGTTTTTCGCTGATAGACTCAAAAAACTCAATCCCTCACATAGGAATATCACTCTACAGCCTGAAATTCTCCAGGTCCTGTCTAGTGGATTCAACTTCTGCAAGATCGTAATCTCCGAACAGCCGACGAGCCAGCAAGGAGAAAATCTACTGTGCTCACCATAATATTCCCTGGAGAAAATCGGCTTAGCTTAAAATGATATCTATAAGACTAGCCCTCAACTGTCCTCGCTGTGTAGAACTTGAGGGTATCAGAGTTTGCATAAACTGCGTCTGGTACCAGGGAGAAATTTGGATGACCTTTACGGCCACCGCCGGTGTCCCCAGTCAGTTCAAGAGCAAAGCTCGTAACCTCAGTACTTAATGTCCTTCATACACGTTGTAGGAGAGCAATAAATCATACCCACGCGGCCTACCATGATATCCTGAGATCAGTGCAATTGCGTTCTTGTCATTCTTGTCTCTTGTCATTCTTGTCTCCTGTCATTCTCTTGTCATCCTTGTCCGAATTCTTGTCAGTAGGGCGGTACCATCCTCAATGAATCAGGAGAACGGCACGACTAAACACTTGGAAGTTTGAGAATCCTTCCTAGGATGAAATTCAACGGAAAGTCACCAGCAAGACTTCCCGCGGCCTGATGGCGAATTCCGATCTCGAGGGTAGCTTGAGGGGAGGAGTTTGAAAGCACGGCGTAACAATTCATGCACAATTCCTCCTCAACAGATAGTCATGACATTTTCGTTGGATAAATGTGGGCACTGTACCGACAAGGTAGCGGCATGCAAATGATCTCTTTGTGCTAGCTTTGACCATTTTGAGTCCCAATCTCATGTCGACTGGAGAATGGATGGAATAAGAGTGACAAGGCGAAAAAAGCAGCGCATGAGGCAATGGTATAAGATACTTTGTCATCATCAAATGTCGTGGATGCCCCGTGGATCTATCCGTCCAAACTGTAGCACCCGAATTTCTGATATCAACGCAAAGATCGTTCTGCTACCCTGGGACTTGACATGAAGAATATGGTATACAATGTCGTTTGGAGCAAGATGAAATGGATGTAAGATCAGAACGTAGGTATTACATGCATCCAGCGAGGAATACGAGGAAGGAAAGAAGACATACTCTGGTCATCGAGTATTTTCCTCCGATGCCCAGGGATACTCCGTCATTTGTATTACTCGTGCCTGAATCACTTCCACTTCCCGACGCTTGTGGCTTGACCGTTGTCTCCGAGTTACTTCCGCTGCTCGACGCCTGTGGTGAAGCCACAACTTGAACGGGGAGAGTCATTGTCGTCGCCGACACAGGGTCAGAAAACTGCCCCGAGTGATACACCGTGGTGGTGGACCCCCCATCCGTCGGCATTTCCACTAGATAATCGGAGTCTGAGCATCCTGCAGAAACAGCACCGGGACCAGCAAAAGAACAAGTTTCGTAATTTCCTTGGATTTCGTAGGTGGATCCAGTGGAAATTGTTTCGGCGTTGGTGACATAGTACCCGGAGACGTTTTCAACAAACGTTTCTACATGGATAGATAAGCCCTCTTCATGGATTTTGGACGTAGAATACTCACCGATTTCCGTTATGACATTCCCCGGGACTACTGTATTAGGAATTAGGGAACCATCTGTTGCTGTTGTTAAGATGGCATCACTGATGATGATTTCGCGTGAATACGTCGTTGCGCTCTTTCCATCTGAACCCGTTCTAGAACTAATTCCGACAACGGAGATGGTAGTGAATTCTTGTTCAAAACCTGGAATAGTTTCGCCACCAAGATTGAATCCTCCAAGGTCGATGGTGGATAAAACGGCAGTGACGGTCGAGCTCGAGGCTACAGTTGCAGTAGGCGAACTCGTTTGTTGTGGATAGGCCCGGACTGAATAAATGATAATTTTGAGTTGCGTTGGAATTGTGCTGAACAACCTCAGAGCTTACCGCCGAAGAGTAAGAGACAAAAGAGCGTGTTATGAAGGAGCGACATGTGCATTTTGAGAACAGTTGGAGGGTTGGATGACAATGGATTGAGGAAAAGATTTGATCCAGTGAATAATTCGCCAATATTTAAGGACGAGCATCTTTGATGATTGTTGAAGAGAACACCCAATTGAGCTGTTTCCAACACTACCAGTCCACCAGGGGAAATAAACAGAATTGTGTTCGGGGCTGTGAATTCGCTAAGCGCCCGACGTTTGCAGTTGCCGCCTTGGCAAAATTTGATTTCATTACGATGACTACAGTGTAATCGACATCTGCCTGTGAAGATAACAGGACAAAAAGGCGATGACAACCTCGTCCTCTACCAACTTGAAATCAAGAATTAATGAACACTCTTTCCGGTGGCTGGACGTTTCCGTAAGTTATCTGAAATATTGGTTCTAATCATCAGAAGCTTAGCATTGTCCTAGCTCGGGGCTACTATAGCTGCAGCGGTCGCTGTACCAGGCGCTCTATATCTCAGGAGAAATAAGCGTATCAGGTTATCTACGCGTCCTGTTGCTCCACGTCGCCACGGACCAGCGAAGGCGCCTTTGAAATCGCTAACAACTATTCAACCTACAAACACTCTATCAGATGACGCTCAAACGACACTAAGAACCAAAGTAGTGAGCATTTCGCCACTCAGGACAATCTCGAACTCTCCGTCAGACCAAGTTGAACCCAAAAACGATTTCAATCCGGCATTGTACACTGCTGGAGCGTTTGGAATCGCGACGCTTCTTGTATCAGTTGGAGCCGTAGCAGGCGTTTGGGCAATAAAGACGACGATGGATGTCCAAGATGTGCGTGCCCGCGAACCGTAGTCCCTCGAATCATTTAAATTTCTCTTTGACTGGTGTTCCTAAACTTTTATAACAGACCCAGGAATTTGCTCGCAAAATGCGTCGGATTGTTCTGACTCGTATGCCTATGCTTTCAGCTCGTATTCATCGGGTTCTCGACGACGGCGGAGACGATAACACGATTGATTCCACGGACTGGAATTGGGAGGATGCGGAAAGACGTCTTAGGGACGCGTACGAAAAGGATGGTATAGTGGCATGGGCAGAGGCTACATTGAAGGAACTTCGGGCGGAAGAACACTCAGAACGGCTGAAACGGAAGGAATTAGAAGATGCGCACGCATAGAAGAAGTGAAGCATGAAGTACGTTCAAATGACTTTCTGGTACGCGTCCATCTGCTAACCCTCTTTATCTAGGCTGTGTTATCTTACTACATTATAGACTTGAGTTTATTCAATTCTTTGCATATTAACATTTTGTTCGGCCCATGGAGACCCTGCTTTGTGAGCAGTTCCGAACACCTGAGAAACTCCCTCATTGGTTCTCAGTGCCGTTTGCGTTGCATCTCGTTTCGTTCATTTTTTCCTAGCCATTCTAAAAGTGTTCCTCCTTCATCACGCACATCTACAACTCGTGACAATGCAAGCCGACTCCAACATATCGTTCCAACTAGTCCGATTCAGGTTCCATCCGCAGTATTTCCGCGTCTGTCGCGCGTTCGGATAGAAACATGTAAGTGGATATTATTCTATATTATTCCACCGCGATTATTGTTGCGTTTTGAAGATCATGAGGTAGGCGCATCTTGTCAGAATGTCAGCTTGATCCCGGCTTGATCTAGCTGTCGTATCGGTTGCTGGAGCTCCTATTTGCAACAGGTGCTTTGCTCGTGTTCAATCATCCGCGGGCGTATGATGTCCCACATTCCGAAAGCGTAGGAATGGCCCTACTGGTTGATCACGTTCAGTATTTCCTTCGCGTATTCTTATTCCCAACGCTCTCCTAGTTCCTATTCTGGCTTGGTATTGGTTTCAGACGGGTCAAATGACAGCACAATTGCATCTGCTTTTGCGTCACGATCTTTCTCAAGGACCAATACTACATTTCTTCTCGAATACTAACGGGTTCTTTGCGATACCTATCTACTCCAAAAGAAGGTGACACTTTCTTTTCGAGCACTCACGGCAAGAAGAGATGAATTACCCTGGATTAAGGCAAACCCACGGCCTCGATACGGGGGTGAAATCTCTTACGCAGTTACCCCACAGGGCGTTCTCACCTTAGCTTTGACGAATAACGAAGGGTTCAGAAGTATTTTTATCAGCTGACGTAGAATGTATCTGATTTTTATCCTTTCTAGTAATCCAATTTGCGAGAGCCAATCCAATTTGTTGTGGGCTTTTCCGCGAGTAAGCACTGCTTCATGAAAAGAACGCATATGACCTCTTCAAGGCTCCAAGACTTAAAAGGACGAGATGGATTGGAAGTCCACTCAAGAGCCACTCACTCTTCTCTCGGGCGTTGTATACAAATTGCACTCTTCTCATCTCACACCCTTCTACTCCTTGACGAAGGTTTTACTTGAACAAGCATGGGTCATCCAGAGGAAGTCGATATCATCGTGTGTGGCGGTGGTCCAGCAGGTACAGTGACCTATGTCGTCGTTCTCGCCGTCGTCGTCTTAGCTGAGTGTTTCTGTGCAGGTTGTGTTGTTGCTGGGCGATTGGCCTATGCCGACCCCAATCTGAAAGTAATGCTCATCGAAGGTCAGTAGTACCATATATTCTCACATATTAGAAGCTCGCTGATGGCGTTTTGCTTCAGGTGGCGCCAATAACCGCGATGACCCTTGGGTGTACCGGTGTGTACTGAATAAAGATGTCTTGGCTATGTGCTCCTTGTGACACGCTTTTCAGACCCGGTATCTACGTTCGAAACATGCAGCAAGACGGAATGTAAGGGATTTCCTGATATGCAGCGACAATTATACTCAAGCTTCCTTACTAGAAATGACAAGGCTACTTTTTACACGGATACCATGGCCTCCTCGTACATGAGAGGAAGACAGAGTATTGTTCCGTGAGCGATATTCTTCAATGTATGACTATCCAGGAGCTGAGTCGTTTTCTGCTTGTAGCTGTGCGAATATTCTTGGTGTGTAACAGTATAGTCAGGTCCGGTGTGTCTTCCTCACTGAGCTCCAAAGGTGGTGGAAGTAGTATCAACTTCCAAATGTATACTCGGGTGAGTAAATCAATGACAATCCAATAGGACTTGAAGCTCATTTGTGCCAATCAGGCGTCGGCTTCTGACTGGGGTAAATGAAATGTTCTTGGATTCCGACAAGTTCTCATTCGCTCTCGCAGATGATTTCAAAACCGAAGGCTGGACCGCTCAAGGTACTAACGTCATTTTTCTCCGACTTCCCGGTGACCTACTTTTAACACTGTTCAATAGACCTTCTTCCACTCATGAAAAGAGTACGTCTATATATTTGTGACCGTTCCTGAACCCGACATTGATTATCCGATAGCTCGAGAATTACCAGAAGCCCACAAATAACGATACTCATGGATATGATGGGCCTATTGCGATTAGTAACGGTGGAACGATTACCGCCCTTGCCCAAGACTTCCTAAGAGCCTCTGATGCAATAGGAATCCCTTTCAGCGGTAAGTTCACGATTCAGATTCAACAAAAATCACCTTTCTGATTATGCCTGGCCAGATGACATCCAAGGTGAGTAGGCTCAGTGTTCGGATTGAGATATATTCACTGAGAACAATCGAAGACCTCGATACTAGCCACGCATCGGAAATCTGGGCGAAGTATATCAACAGGCATACTGGAAGGCGAAGTGATGCCGCCACAGGTCGGACCACAGACTCGGTCTACATTTCGACGAATTCTGACTTCTAGCTATTACTTGACAGCCTACGTGCATAGCGTCATGGATGTCCAGAGCAATTTGTACTTGGTAAGTCCTTTCCATGTCAATATATATCCGTTTCACCGACCATTGCTAACGCGCGCTATAGCGTACAAACGCCCGCGTCAACCGCGTCATCTTTGAAGGCAACAAGGCCGTTGGAGTAGCTTACGTTCCTTCCAGGAATCGTGCTCATGGTGGACAACTCAAGGAGACGATCGTCAAAGCTCGTAAATATGTTGTTCTGAGCAGTGGTACTCTTGGTACTCCTCAGATCTTGGAACGATCTGGTGTCGGTGACTCAAAGCTTTTGCAAAAGTTCGACGTCAAGGTTGTTAGCGACCTTCCAGGCGTCGGGTGAGTTTGAAGATTATCTTACTGTTTAATATTCCATTACTGAAGGTAATATTAGCGAGCAATATCAGGATCATTACACTACGCTTTCGCGTAAGTACTTGTTTGATTATCCATGGACTTGCCAATTATGTGCTTCTTTAGTGTACCGTGTCTCAAATGAGAGTGCAACACTTGATGATTTCCTTCGTGGCGACAAGGAAGTTCAGAAGGAGGTATGAGAACCGTCTTTATTGCCTGACAATCTTATAAAATGTTTATCAGTTATTCAACGAGTGGGAAACTAGCCCAGAGAAGGCTCGATTATCGTCGAACGCCATCGATGCTGGATTCAAGGTTAGTTTCTGCTCTTTCAGTCCGTAATTACAATGTCTCATCGACCGTATAGATTCGACCAACCGAGGAAGAACTCAAGGAGATGGGTCCGGAGTTCAATGAACTTTGGGACAGATATTTCAAGGACAAGCCCGATAAGCCTGTTATGTGAGTTGTTCCAAATACACGACTGGACCCTCGTTCTCACTCCGCTCAGGTTTGGCTCGATTGTCTCTGCAGGTAAAGTTCTACAATTTTGACAATTTGAAAGGTATTTACCTAAGCCCAAGCCTATGCGGACCACACTCTACTCCCTCCTGGGAAGTATATCACGATGTACGTTTGCCGTTCTGTATTCTGGCAGCCCTTTCTAATGAATTGAATAAAGGTTCCAATACCTCGCAAGTGTTACAACGGCAGTCTTAGTTCACTCCTCTCTGATCATTGTTTCTTAGGAATATCCCGCTAGTCGTGGACGTGTAAGAAGCTGTTTATGTGCCTACATGGTCCGACGACTGACTGAACATATCATAGATTCATATATCCTCTCCCAACCCATACAAGGCCCCCACTTTCGATAGTGGTTTCATGAACAATAAGGCTGACTTTGCGCCAATTCGATGGAGTTACAAGAAGACGCGTGAGATTGCGAGAAGAATGGACGGTGCGCTCTGCGTCAATCTCCTACTTTCTAATTCTTACGTTGACCTTTCATTCCATAGCGTTCCGTGGAGAATTGACATCTCATCACCCCCACTTCCATCCCGCATCCCCTGCGGCCTGCAAAGATATCGATATCACAACGGCGAAACAACTGATGCCCGACGGATTTACAGTTGGGATTCACATGGGTATGTTTCTACTAATGACCATGATATCTTCCTCTTTCTTACGATGTTATTTAGGAACTTGGCACAAGTAAGGACTGTTTAACGAGCTGTAGCAGCAAACTGACCGTATGAAGGCCGGGGGACAAGTATGATGCTAGCAAAGTCCACGAGGACATAAAGTACACTGAAGAGGATGACAGAGCGATAGATGAGTGGGTAGCGGACCATGTCGAGACGACGTGGCATAGTCTTGGTACTAATTTGTTCCTGATTTGGTCTATTTATAAGACTCACAGAGCCTACAGGTACATGCGGTATGGAAAGTAAATTCTGTGCATAATCAGCTCTAAAGGGAATTCCCAAACTTTAGCCATGAAGCCACGCGATGAAGGTGGCGTTGTCGATGCGCGTCTGAACGTTTTCGGTAAGATATTATTAGCTTTGACCGGACCACGTGGCATATTCATTCGCCCGGCGCCGTTTAGGTACACAAAACCTCAAGTGTGTCGATTTGAGTATTTGCCCAGTAGGTCATCATACTTTGGTGACATGTTGATCTGTTTTGACTTGGCTATCTAGGATAACCTCGGAACGAACACCTACTCCTCTGCATTGTGAGCTTATTTTTTCGAGCAGTCATCGAATACTTGACTTATCCTACTTACAGACTCGTCGGGGAGAAGGGCGCACAGTTGATCATTGAAGAACTCGGTATGAACGGTTCTCTCAAATTAGCTGTTCATATTCTTATATTTCTTTATATCACAGGCCTGAAGGTCAAACTTCCGCATGCGCCTGTTCCTCATGCACCCGTTCCGAAAGGTGTTCCAGCTACTCAGCAAGTTCGCTGAACTCAACGGATAAGCTTTTCTTCAAGTGAGACAATGCAGTATGTGTATGATTACGTGGCAGAATTTTCGGGAACAGGATACTTAGTGTATGATACGCTTGTACAATACTTTATGAAGCTACATGTATGTACAATCATATGTTTTGACTCGAATGGAGTCTTCACTTTTCTTTCTGGCCCTCTGTTTTAAATACATCGCCGTTAAAAACAAAAGATCCAGTGCAATTCTAGGAGGTTGTATAGTCTTACTCCGAAGCTCATCATGTCCGTACTGGTAACACTGTCGTTTTACAGGAAGTCGTGCCAAAAATACTTAACAGACCTTACTGTAACTTAAAAAACAAAGTAGCATCGTCTGTGTCACTCCTTGTACCAATGCAGAAGATCTACGTACAACGAATATGTGGGTCCTTGTATTCAAGTTCATCAATGAAGTAACTTTCCGACCAATTTCCGACTTCACATTGAATGCAGATTGAATTCTGATAACACCTGCTAAACTAAGTACAAGAGCCTAAAGATTCACCTATAACTATAAAGCAAACCTAGATTCTTCCTCGAGTGTGCTCCTACTCTCTCTACGAATGGTGTTCATATCTACAAGAAAGAAAGGTGTTACATGGTATATACATTGGTATAATGCTACATTTGACTTGCTTAAAGTTCATGCAAAGCATACAGTCCCCGCGTTTAGGTTTATGTAGGTCTATATGATACAAGATCCTTGACTCGGATAACACAAGTGAGTCCGGTTGTCAGCTCACAGCAGAGCAAATCAACTAATTCTTTCCAAAGGCGTCTCTCTTTCATCGTTTGCCAGGTTCAGCTCCTGTATATATCAATATCTTCGATAACTGCCTCCGTCATCCAATGATCCAGCACCAAACGATCCGCAAAAGTCGTCCGAGTCAGTGTAGGAAGCATCAGCGGCAATTTCATCTACGCTCCAATTGGCGTGTGGAATGTTATGGCCTGGACTATAATCAGAGGCATAACTCATCGTCCCTGTTGGATGTACGGGTAGTCTGCTATACCCAAATCCAGATCCCTGTCCGTTCAGCATACGTCCAAAAGCATCGTTCTTGAAATCACTGCCAAAGTCCAAATGAGGATTTCCTCCCAAATAATTATTTGGAGGCTGGTCGAACGAGGAGTTGTAAGAAGACATCGCTGGGTCGAAAGAAGACGACGAGGAAGAGGAGAAAGGATAGGAGGAAGAGGGGGTCGTCCGCGGAGAAGGCGAGCTGGCTATTTGGTACGCCTGGGTGGGGTACGAGCCTGACTGTGGCAGAGTTGCATATTGAGAAGGAGCAAGATTAGAAGGACCAGGAGCTACTCTGAATTTGGCGGCGCTCTGGTTGGTTTCTGGGAACACCGGCGCAAAATCGTTGGTGCTAAACGGAGAGAAAAATCCTAGAGGCTGCTCGTGTTGCTGTTGAATGGTGTTTGTGGAATACAGATACGACTGCGCATCAGAAAAGGTTGGAGCGAGCGTCTGTTGATGTCCTGTCACCGGATACGACTGTGTTGAAGTTGAAGCCGCTCCCGATTCATAGGAGAGGAATTGAAAGTTCGAAATATTCGAATGGAGGTCAAAAGAAGAGTCTCTGCTCTGCTCTTCCTCGTAATCCAAATCGCGGTCCTCGTACATTCCTCGAAATGGAAAAGACACATAGGAAGATCCCGTTGAATCTTGGTCGAAGGAAGAGACTGGAGCAGGCGGCGAACGTTCGCGAACACGAAATTTCGATTCAAACACTTTGTCAGACGAAGGATCAGCAGAAGACCTTGTCCCCTTAGTCCTAAGTTGCGCCTGACGACGCTGCATCCAAGCTGACGAAATGCTGTTACCAATCGACTGGGGCGCCTCCGTATCCCTTTGACCTAGGGACTCAGCGATTTCACTTCCTCTCCGACGTGCCTTGCCTTGCCTCTTCACATAGGCGTTAAATTCCGAGACAAGCTTCGCAAGAACACCATCGTTTTCCAGCTGCATGCGCATCGCCTTCCAAACAACTTGGTACTTGTGGAATTCGGGAGGAGTGGATGAGGACCAGATCGCGGCAAATAAGGTCATGCTGTTCAAAGGCGAAGAACTGCTATCAGACTGACGACGCGCTTGTTTGAGTCGACTTTGAATCGCGGGATGGTCCCAAGCTGTGTCGAAACTGGCGAAAAGCTCGTGAACGCGGGCTACCTCCTCAGGGCTGAGGATGCTCTCTCCCTGAGGATTGACATCGAAAACAAACAGCGAAGATTCAGCCATGTAGCTGAAATAAAGAAAGACCAAAAAAGGTGTAAATGGTGAGTGGATTGTATCATTAGTAACCGTTTAAAAGATCACTAACCAGGGGTGTCAACAAAAGAGACTAAAAATCGTAGAGAGCTGACCGATACGACTGAAACTTGATGAATTCCTTGGATTGGAGAATTGGAGAGGGGACTGGGAAAGTCGAAAGGACAGACGACAATCTTTATACCCCTGTGCGCCGAGGGTGACCTAACTTCCAGAAATAGTATTTGTGGCCTTCCCCATGAGTCCAATGACGATAGGTCGGGATTTCACATTGCCTGCATAGAGTATGATCGAGGAGCAGCGTGGATGGTTCGTTTGGTTGATTGAATAGGCTGGGCCATGATTACGACGGAACTTTCGTGATTTGCACCGCATTAATCGTTACTGAACTTGGTGAATGGGATAATCGGTACAAGCCTGATACTCCTGGAGTTGGGAAAACTCAGGGTTTTAGGTGCGTTTGAAGGCAGACGACGGGTCTAAATCAGCGAATTGTCGGCGAGTCTACGATATGAGGCTGCTGTTTGCGAACTGGAAAGAATGAACCAGTAATTAGTTCGCTCGTTTCGTTGCAATATTCGGCGGGTTCGGGAATAGCTGTCCTTGATCGTGTTCTGAAGCTAACGCGTTCTTCGGCCTGCCACATCGGCATTCAAGACCTCAGTTGTATTACCATGCGAACCAGCTGGTTCAATAGCCAGACCGTTCACTGAACAATTCGAGTGAGTAAGAATTTTGAGAACTGCAGGGAAAACTCAACGCGTACTATGGACGACGAAAAAGGCCCTAAGCCAGCGGAATGTTCTTCCAGTAATCGAACCGAGTTCTAATCCCTATTGTTGTCACAGAGCCCATGAAAGTCGACAGAGACAGTGCCTAGGAGCATTGCATGTCATAGAGGTCCCCGTCGTTAGAGTTGACGCGTGACGTCTGAATATCGGCCACAAACCTCGATAGTAATCCAAGACATGCCATAATGCGAACGAGCCGCATGTACGGAAAATACAAGGATGACTACAATAAAATTGCCGTATTGAGATGGTCCAAGCTCTTTGAGTTACGTGTGCACAGGCCACAAAAGCGACACTTGAGAAGCTAGGACCCATGTTCAATGATGCAGCTGTAAAAGCATTCATTTGCTGGTCAAAGCTCCTTGAGTTCAAATTGATAAATTCGGAAAGTTTGAAGCCTAGGAATGTCGACAGATTTAGCGGTGTATGGCTCTGGGGAGGACAATAAGAGACGTACGATGGCCATGGCCTATACAGTCACCGGGAGGCAGCGGCTTGACCAGGTTTGTTTACTATTCGAAAGCTGGAACTAGTTCACCTCATATGTAGGAGAGCCAGAAAATCAGATCGTGCTGGTTATCTTATTTACATCATTGTTGTGTCTTGTTTGGCATTAGCCTTAATTCGTAGGTACTAAACAAACCTACTCCCTCTACATTATCATACTGCTTCAAGCTTGCGAATCATGACATTAGGCCCGCAAAGGTCAGCCATTTCTCGCCAAAATCAGGCAAATACAAGGTGGTAGATTGCGGGAGGCAGAACACTGAGCTCAGAAAGACGGCAGTTCAACTTGAGTATTAACAAAGCTGTATATATCAATCGTGATACTTTATCAAGGGAAAGCTCTAATTACTGGCATTATGAGAGCGATTTTATATTCATATGCATTTACTGTAGCTCGGTGTATTTAGACTGATGTAAAAATTCGTTCATGAATTCAGTTTATCATACTAAGAAACGAGAACGGATTAGCATAAGAGTTGAGAGAAAAGGTAATCAACGTACACTAGCGAGGCTTGCTCCATGTCTCTCCAATATCTGGGCAAGGTCTGCAACTCCATGGTAGGAAAAGGACAGGAATAAAGACCGGTAAGTACTTGAGTCTATTTTTCCGTCAGAGTGAGCGGTCAGTTCATCCGTGACTTCAAGCAACCTTCGATCAAGAGAATCAATAGAATCATACCACTCTTTGAGTATAGGCTGGCAGCACTGCAAAAATAAGCCATATTCTTGCCGATGGGAAGATAAGTCTGGGTCGAGTCTATGCACAATGCGAGTTGCGAATTCTCGCGATGCCAGGGACCCAGCGATGCGATTGCGGAGCTCTTCGAGCATGTCCGATTGATGACTTGGGTTGAAAACCGCCGCCCATTGACCAACATAGTAGAAGGAAGCAAGATCATCCACCGTAGATTGAACGTATGTCATGGGCGAATACAGGCTTTCTCGTAGTGTGACTGACATAAACTCAGGCGTTCCCTGAGAAAGGGGTCAGACAATAGGCCATAGTAACCAACCAGATCTACTAACGGAACGAGTGCCATCGTGGTTCGCATCAAAATACGTCTTCCAGTCGACAGCCATATCCCCATCAATGATAAAACCCGAGCACCTGGTGTTTACCTTCAGCTCAGCAAGTGAACTTTTAAGACGTGTAATTTGGTCGGTCACAGTAAACGGCAAGGTTTCCGATAGGGATAGTGTGCCCATAAGATCCGCAATATCTGATTTGAATTTGAACGAGGGCATTTCGACCGGGTTTGACAATCTAAGAACATTCCCAATACTGACATCCCGATGTTGAAGCGCCTCCTGGCATATCGCGAGCCATCCTGCAATGTTAATCAGTGATAGCCCTACCTCAGAGCAAGCAGCCAAAGACCTAGCGTTGCGTGGAGGATGGCTGTAAACAACACGAGCGGGCTGGGAGAGGAAACCAGGGAGGTTCCAGTCAGCTTCCCAACGTGAATACAAAGGCTTCGATATTCAGGCAAGGGTGTACTATACTTAAAAAGATTCCAATGAAATTCTGCTACTCCTTTCTTTATCTCCATCTCGGTCGGAAGAACAATGTCGTTGGAGGTAGGGATTCCATGTGAGTGATTTGCTGGGAAAAAATAATGATGCTGCGAAGTTCGGAACTTGTCACCACACACATTGAGCATCCGCACTTCCGGGACTGAGGAACGACTTGAATCGAGATCGCATTTTGGCCATGCTTTCATGAATCCATTGGAAATTACATTCTCTGGAACGCTATACGATATCCGTGTAACCTGACTTGCTCTACGTCTACAGCAGTTACCACCATGAAGAATCTCCTCGACGTTGGCAGCGCGATCCAAAGGGAGCTGCCATGTCTGATTTCCGAGCTCTGTACGCATGACCTTTTTGAGATCGGCCTGGTGACTGATGGGGGGCGTATGTCCCTCATGCATGAAACAGCTGCTGTAGGTCCGGAGAGCAGTCCCAGATACTGTAGATAAGATGTTTGGTCGAGCAGGAGTTGCGGGAGGAGGAGATGATGTCGGGAGCTTCTGTTTCCTTTCTTCAGGTCCCTCCTTGGAAATGGTCTTTGTTCTTGTCATGAGTGGCGGGAAAAGAATCCAACAAGCGCCCGAGTCGTCCAGATGTGAAATAACAGGCGTTAACTCTCATTATTTAATATTCTCCTCTTCTACCTTAGTTCTCTTCTTAGATGAAAGGAAGGGATTATTCAGGATGTTCTCTCAGGTATTGCCTGAGGATTGGATTTTCCTTCACTTTCGTTTTACTTTGAACTTATGTTCTTTATTTCTTCGTGACGAATCTGTTTTCGAAGGGAACGTTCGCGTTGTCAAGCCCCTCCACAGGCCAGATGTGCGAACCGACCTTACTCGACTCGTTCAACATGTCCGATATTGACGTATTATCAGTTGAATCTGCTGGGGCGCTTATCTTACTCACATATCGGAATCACCCCTCGTGGCTTCAGAATGAAGAAGCTCTCACCAACCTGGCGTATCTCCGTAGAAAGCCTACGGACGACATAGAGCTTCTTCATGAATTGGCAGAAATTGAAGCCGCTATTGAGGAGGAGCGCGAGGCTAGGAAAGGTCTGGGTTGGAAAGAGGCATTCTTTGTCAAAGGAAATCGCCGCTCATTCGATTTGCATTCGCTATATTCCTGCTTCAGCAATGGTGTGGTCAAAATTCCGCCGGGTATACTTGGGCACTTGTTTCTCTATCGTCGGCGCTATCATCAAGACGCACTCGCCGCCAGCTACTAGCTCTACTAGTGTTGTCGCCGCTATTTCGCCCGCAAGTCAAGGAATGGCAGCGATGTTATCTATTTATGTCTGCTTCTACAGCATGGGATGGGATGGGGTAGGCTCATGATCGCTATTGCTGGGATTTACCCATTCTCACTTGTGTATAGGTCCTCTCCCATGGGTCTATGTTTCGGATATCTTCCCTACCAGGACAAGGCATTATCATTTAGCTGTTGCCAGTGCTTCGCAGTAGTTATGGAGTGCATCTCCTCGTTTCCCGCAAACACATCTAACGGCTCTCTGTCGTGAAGACTTCGTCGTCTCTCATCAGACGCTTTTAATCGAACAGCATCTTGGATTCAAAATTCTTCCAGATGTTCGCCACTGTCAACATAGGTGCTAAGGGCACCTTTTCGCTCATCATTCCCGACACTCAGGGCAGATTGCTAGAAGAAATGGATATCATCTTTGGATCTGTATCAGCCGAAAAACGCAGTGCCGATGTTGCGAAGTTCGAGCATGGTGAGTCTTTCACCCCCTCACACATCGACGACTGTACTGACTGATTCGCCCATCCTTTCAAAAGCTCTCGACATTGGCCCAGAGATTGGTTCAACGAGAAGCAATGACTACAGCGATACGAAGGCTTGATAACGATGCTCGAAAAATTTATGTCCTACGATCTGTTATAACTTCTATAGTCGGAACGTTATGATCTCGATGTCTTTGTTTTTGTGTACACTAGCATAGTACTATTGCGGTTTTTTTATGGAGTCGTATCCGGTTTGAAGAACGCAGGTTGTCAGCTCAAAAAACAAGGAAAAGCAAAGGGATAGGAGGAGGAGAAGCAAGAGTTCCAGAAATACGCCTGGGTGGTCACTAGTATATGAGCCTAGCTGTAGGATCATAGTCGCGTAATGAGAAAGAGTGAAGGTTGCACAAACTGAAAGCTGCCCAGATTACTGCTGAATAGTGTTTTAGGAGTAAGAGCACGATCTGGCATTGGAAAACGGCAGGAAAGCGCATCTATTGCAGTTTGATAAGTTCTTTGGCTGTGTTGACCAACTTGAATCAGACGAAACGAAGGTCTCAGAGTTAGGAAGATTGGAATAAAAGTCAACAGAAGAGAGACGGGGGGATTCCGGCGTGGTACTCGTAGGTTACTGGATTCGGGACGAGTTCCTGGTGAACTTTTGTTGAATATAAGAATCAAAGTAGGAGGTGCGGACGCTTATGGACAAAGATCTACAAGGATACAGTGTTTTGATTCCACTACTCGCTAGCAAACGAATAATTAGCAGACGCCCTTGATCCCTTCTCAGTTTCGAGCTGCACCTGACGGCGCTGCGCGTAACCACACGCATCCCATAAATCAAGATATTCCAGTTTTGAATTTGGCGAAAAGTCAATTGAGGGAACAAATCGTTCAAGCTCAGCCGGATATAACCCACATGCGAAGGACACAACACAATTGATTAATGTAGTACTCATTGTCATATTGCCCTATGTCGATCAATACTTTTCACGCATCGCGTCAACACTTTTAGTGAGGGATTGAGAGAAAAAGTTGACCGGAACTTTTCCAGTCCGTTCCTGATCTGTCCAATCGACTTGAACGACATTCTCCCCATTGTACCACACATGTCCTGTACAGGGACATTGTGGAGTCCAACCCCATTTCTCCCACTTCTTTTCAGTGGTAGAATCCACAAGAGCTGGAGCAGCAGGTACCGTGAACTCAAGACGGTTCTTGTCGGATGTCTTTCCACGATTTTCAGTACCGGTGAAGCTGTTGGTTGGATTGCCTAAAATCCCAAAAGTCCTATAAAGGGCTACATCAACAGCTTTTGCGGCAAACTTATTTCCCTTTTGGCTGATGACGCTACTGGCTGGCCCTCCTGTGGCAAAACTATATTCTATTAATGGTAGCAACGCAGAGGAACTTGAGGACTCTCCATTGTGTCGGGATTTGATTTTGGATGCCACAGGTATAACCTGCGTACGTAGATATGTGAGCATATCGAGGAAGAAATGATTTATCCAATGTTACAAAAGGATATAGGGGAACCTTGATTCTCGAATACCAATTGCAATCAAATGAAAAAAGAAGGTACTCACATTGGAGTTCGGCACTTTCATCACTGGGACGGCATAAACAGATGCCAGTCCAAGGAGTATGTAGGAGAGGTTGAAGTACATGACAGTGAACTGGAAGAATCTGGCGGCGCGTTGAATATTGGTACCTTACAATTAATCAGGTTGAAACTTGACTCACAAAGCGAGGAAAGAGAAACGGCACAGATCACAAAAAGGGACGGTGAACAACGAGAGAAAGAATCTATAGAGAACTCATTAGTTTCAAGTCAACATTCAAGTAAGTTGAATGTAAACTTACAAACAAGGGTGACGTTCAATGAGTACTTGGATAAACAGAAGCAATGCGCGAGAGAACAAGCAAAAACTCAGTGCAGTGAAGAGACGAATATGATAGTAAGCTCCTTGACTAAGGGAATGGTCTTTTTTGAGTGTGGATGTGAGCAACTGGCCAGCAGTAGTTGGGGAGCAGAAGCGGTTTTTCTCTGCTTTAATAAGACCTCTGAGATCAGCTTGAGGAAATTTCGCCAGATTTGCCGGGATTTTTCGCCGAAACAACTCGAGAAATGTACGAAGGGGTCCTGAGTCCGACGGATAGGATAGGATCGTAACGAGGAATGAATGCGTTACTTGACACGAATCTCCGCCACTTGATTCATGCACAGGCACCCTTATAGCACCTTATACTTAGCACACTTTAGCACATGTCATGACCGCATGAGACCGTGATGGCTGTAACAGTTGCGAATTGAGTTTGCTGAAGTCTCTGCGCGCACCCTTGGAATCCTTCTGGGGCCACGATAGCGACCATCTCCCTCAAATGGTTTTCCTTTCCTACGATTGAGGACTGAGAGGAAGTTAACATGCTCCACCAATCGACCGTATAGTCAGCTCACCTATGCCCCCAGGAAGCATCAGGGTAGAATTCAGTAATCGTTGCTGTAGGAGGTAGAGGCAGGGTAGAGGAGGGTAGAGGTAACAAGACAACTGGTGTCTGTCCTCATCGTGACGACCCTTAATCTACGGCTTGGCAAGGTTCCCTCTGGTTCCCTTGATTGTACTGGTGAAGGAGAAATTTCGAGGATTTTACAAAGAAGTTTTTCATGGAATGCTTCAGTCGAAATCTGGTCGAAATCATTCCGATATAATTTATACACATATATATTTCTATCACCAAGAGAATGTGTAAGCCCACAGTATACGAGTTGCAGCTAGTTGCAGTGAGAGCGGTCGTAAATATTACAATCCTGTACGTGTTCCCCAGCTAGTGAGTGAATTTTGACTTATCTAGAGACCAACATACAACCTACTAGAGACCAAAACACAACCGCCAGAAACCAACCAACAAGCGCCAGAGAACCGACGCTTGGGGGAACAGGGCACAATACATGGAATCTGGACAGACTCGAGCGACGAGGATGAGGATGTTGAGTATCAGAGAGCGAGGAGACTTTTTAGTATGTCTGGTGGGTTTAATTTTTCGGGTAAGAAGAAGAAGAAGGGGAAGAAGAGGGGGAGGGGGACAGGAGAGGGAAAGGCGGGGGTGGATGTGGAGCAGGTCAGATGATGAAGTGTTGATGATGAAGGAGAAAGCTTTGAAAGACTCGACACCGGTATCGTATCGTATCGTATGTAGTGTTCTGTTTTCTGCTTTCTTTTTTTTCTGTCTCTCCCTCAAGGTCTCGTTGGTAGCGCGTTCAACGTTATTCTCTGGGTGTTTCTGTTGGTTATTTTTTTTTCTCGCATTACTGTATATCGCAATTCCACCATCATAGTTCTGGATTTCTAATAGTACAATTCCTATATATCTTTATTTTTTATTCACCCATGTTATCTTCTTACCTACGAAGTTTTCATGGAAGTGTTAGGATATTTGAATCGTTTAGACACGGGAGCAGCGTATTGGAAAATTGCTTCAGGATGGTGGACTTGAAGCAGTCCAGTACATAAAGTATATGAAGTGTATTAAAGGATGGGGTGAATTGAGCTTAATTACGGGCAGGATATCCAAAGGTCTTTTTGGATCCGGAAAAACTAGCAAGATCACGCACCACACGCACCAACGCAAGAGCACGGAACACCGAACGAACAACAGCCTACAGACCAAACCGGCAGGATACATTACATCTAGAGTGCAAATATATCACTGAGAACATCACCTGATTATTGAAGAATCATGGCTAAATCATTAGAGGACTGACACTAGGTTCAATACACAAAGACGAACATCTGCCAGACTCAGACGAGTTTGTAAATATATTAAGAGTATCACATCGCTGTTGATCCTACAGGATCTTCGAAAACTTCCTCTGGGTGCCTTTTGCGCCATTCTGCGAGACCGCGCTCAAATGTCCGATCGTCCAAGCCTTTTTTTACGAGACAGAAAGTGACGCCTGAGCCAAAACAGTTTGAGAGAGCAGGAAGCGATGATAATGGAAGGCTCACCTAACTTTTCCACTTCTTTATTCCTGAGTTCATCATCGAAGAATAGCTAAACAGAGGATTAGAATGACTGAAAACGAGGATCTTGAGGGATTTGATTAACGACAAACCATTTCCGAGTAGGGCATTCCGGTCTTCTGATGCAATTTCTTGAAATGTGTAAGCTTAGATCCTGTGTAGTATGAGAACGGTTACATCAGGTTGTAGGATATACGCACCAGGATATATCTCTAATTGATCGAAAAAATCTATAGCCTTCATGGGTTCATCTTCGCTACCCTCCATTGGCGGTACAAGGAGTAGCGTGAGTGCCGAACGTGCACTGGAGATGGTGTAATGAGCATTGGAATGTATGTTATGATATGGCGCACAAAAGACGAACGATGTCGGTGCTGACGTTCTTGATGCAGCTGCAATCGTCACCTCGGCCGCCCGCAGTCGATGGAGAATTTGTGGAACATGGTTGTAGAACGAGACTGCTTCGTTGTATCTAAAAGTCAATGAGCGAAACTGTATTTGCGACAAAGATTACCACACACTTGTCTAATACCTCATTGAGAGTATCTTTATTTCGATGAAGGGGACCTGAAGGAGGAAACATGAGCATTGAGAAAAGATGAATGGAAGAGGAAAACAAACCCGTTACATGGGTATCTATCCACAGATCCCAAAGCGTGTAGCTTTTTGTATCTATGAGGATCTTCGAATAGAAATGGAGCACAGCGACATACTGACTCAAGGTCGAAAGCGACGAGCTTCGGGAGACGAGTCACTACTAACGGACCAAGTTTTCCCGGCCGAAAAATATAAAGGGAAATTTTGGAAGCAAACTGCTGATTTCCCCTCAGTCATTAATCCTCTTTCACGGGGAGGTATGATTAGATTTGACGCTTGATTTTCCGTTTGTTTCCCATTTGATCAATATACTATTTATCATAGAATAAAGATGAACTTTCGCTTTGGATAAAATATGAACTTTCGCTTTAGATAAAATATGACCTTTCGCTTTAGATAAAGCTAATCTTTCGCTCTAGATAAAGCTAATCTTTCACTCTAGATAAAGTTAATCTTTCCCATAAGATAAAAATTATCTTTCACGTGAGGCAAAGATTATCTTTCGCATTAGGCAAAGATTATCTTTCGCGCCAGATAACTTTCGCATTGCGCGCTTGTAAAATTTTGAATTTTACTTTCGCGAATCCAAATAAACCTAAGCGCCTGTGGATGTAAGTGGCAACATCTCCCGCAATAGCCCCTTTGGGTGAACAGTATCAATCAATATACTTTAAAGTACCCAATTCTACAAGTATTGCTCTGGTATTTTCTCGAGATCGTACAGAGGGAATATCCTTTTGGACAAACGCAACTTGTTTCGCTGATATTCCGGCAAAGACTCCAGATAACCGTCTGCGAAAAGAGACGCAGGCCACCCAGTTGGCGGCTTCCGGTCTGATTTCCTGCACCTAGAATCACCTCGAACCCTACGCTTGCTAGTCCTTCCGCTCTGCACAAAACGCTGCTTTTCGACCCGGGGAACTTTATCCACAACCGCAGCAATCGTTGTTAGATTCGGGTTGCGGAATGGCAGAAACATGGTGAGCTTCACAGCCTCTTCCAATTCCCGGTCATCAACAATTACCTTGTCCACGCCATCTTCATCCTCTGACATCCCTCCACTCCCTAGTTTCGTAAATACTCGCAGTGCGAATGAGAAGAACCTGACAAAGATGATGAATATCGCTCAGTTCCCGTTTATGGGCACTGATATTGACTAGAAGACTTAATGCTCGTTGGTGGCGAAGAAGGCGTAGATCATTTGGCAGGTGATCCCACTCTAGAACTGCAGTCAGGAGATCTTGTTCATCTGCATCTGTCTGCGTGATAGGGGCGGAGTTTATGACAGAAAGACGAGGAGGGGGCGTGAATTGGTAATAGTGTGCTATAGAGGATAATGGTGTGGTACTTTTGTTTTTGGGCTCCTTAGTGCTGGAAGGGTTGTCAAGACGCAACGCATCGCAGAAGAAGTTCCCAAAAATATTTTTGAGAGCGTGCATGGGATCAATGGACACTTGTCTTGAAGGGCTAAAATAAGGCAGTCGCCAAAACTCCGAGTACCGAACACCATATAGGTGTTCTATCTTTTCACGTTCAACCCGACTCTCCGCATTCCGCCATTTCTCTGCGCCTTCACGGAGGTACTCATCATCGATTGCCTCCCAGTCCTCATAATTGACAGAATTCAGATATGCTTTGTGCCATGTTTGACAAGTTGCACAGTAGGCATGCGAGCCGATGTCGACTAAGCCAGCGAAGGGATGTGATGCCTTAGCATCCATGGAGATATTGGCCACTACTACGCGATGCGTGCGTTCATACGGTGTTTGTTGGTCATCGGACAAGGCGCATTGGATACCTCGAGTATACGCAACTAAGAGTTCATCTATGATTGGTCGTAAGTAATGATTGTACGCGCCCGCTCTGGCATCAGGCTCTCGGGGACCCTGTATGACTCCAGGGATGTAGATATAAGCCTGATCCTCTCGTATCTCTAAGGGAAGGTTCAAACAACTCATTGACATTATCCCCGTTGAGTTGTGCTTGCCACCATGCAGATTCCCCTCGATGTTGAAGAAGTCGGCATGAAACTTGAAGAACCAACGACCTTCCTTCCCTCGCTCGCGCACAAAGAATTTTCCATCATCGCCCTTTAGCTCAAAGTAGAACCGTCCATCACAGGCACTTCCTTTATCCTCTGGAGGATGAGCGTCAGCAATCTGCTCGCAAAAAGCATCACCATATTGTGCAACTCCTGGAAGGGCAATGAAGCGACCAAACCAATTCAGAAATGAGTAGACCTCGAAACACTTCATAGGCTTCCCGTTGTCCAGTAATAAAGATTCATTACAGGGTTCTGCGAGGGCCATTGGCCGATAGGTGCATTCCGGGGGATAGGTTGGCTTGGGAGAGTTATCGGAAAAGATCGGTGGATATGTATAACTACATCGTGGACAGACTGCATATAGTTGTCTCGATGTCTAAATTAAATTTCCGCTCCAGCTGCCGGATATCCTCAGGTATATCAGAAAGTGTTTTGCTCTGTAGATCGGTAGTACCTCCCGGATGGAGCAGACCGTAACTCATTCCGAAAATTTTCATCCCTTTGAGCATAAAACTAGAGGCTGTGCGACCAACACCCTCCAACAGCCGCAGCGTCAGCGCCAGCGTGTAAGCAATGAGTGTGGCCGTTGTGTAGTCTGAGACAATATCGGAGGCCGCTCCAGCTGTGAGACAGGTCAATAAATTGACGTATCCAAGCAGAAATCATAACTTACTATTGTCGAGTCTCAGTGGACTATTATCGGCATATGTCTCGCGCCAGATTGCAACCAGGTTTTTGACATCTTCGAGAACCGCGTTCACCTCGGCCACTTCCTGATGAACCGCGTCGCGTTTAGCTTCCTGCCGCAAGTCTAACGACGTGGCTGATATGGCCCGCTCAACTCTGCGAAGTACTGTTTGAATGACGTCTGCTTCCGATTCCGACGACAGTCCCTGAAGAGCAGATAAATGATTCTGCATATCTTTTTGAAGGGAATGTACTCGTATTGAAGCATCAATGATTGAGCGGTGTTTCAGTCTGGGATCGCTGAAGAGCCCTGCAAGTGCACTATCCTGAGAAACGGAGTTCTCAATCTGATATAACAGAATGCTGAGAATGAAATGTGTAGGTAGATGAAGGAATCAGTACTTACTGTTGTCCGTGCGGCATCCACAACTACTTCTAGATCCGACATGTTCAATGGGCTAAATTCCAGAGAGTCTCTATCCAAAATGACTTGAGCCATGACCGACACGCCGTAGTCTAAGTCGTCATTTTGAGGGTTCGAATTGATTGAGGCCAGATTGATACTGGACACCGGAGCTGAATTATTCCCCGTGTCTGCAGTGGGACCTAGAGAACAATTGTTAGATACAATGCTTGAATTATTTTGCTAATCAACGCTACCGTCGGTTGTGGAAGGATCAGAGGCTGGAGGAGCAGCTTGAACAATTGTAGAGCTCGTGTGTACACCATAATCCGTTGAAGAACAGGCTAAGATCTCCGAGTTCTGTTGAAGGAAATTTCGGAATGCAAGTCGTTGGCCGTCGCGAGATCTCTGATGGTTGGTCGAAGCCGGCGAGTATGAAGGACGAGACGAGTCAAATGAAACTACAGGAGTGATAGGTCTAGAGGAAGAGGGAACCTGTATGTCCGATATTTCTGGTAGCCTAGGAGAATGCGCGGGACGTTTATCCTGACCAAATATATCTTCGAATGCTTTCCGTTTCCGTGCCATATGCGTTTCAAGATATGATGATAGGGAGCAGAGTACGCGTACACACACATGTACATGAGGCATTATATCGTGACATGATTTCTATCAGAACATGTATGAAAGCGCTATAGGCAGAATGATAGGGCGCACCAGTACAGACGTACTCACTTATTCGAGTTTTTTGAGAATGTTATCTGATGTTTAGCTTCGTGGCCACACATGCTACCAGGCGCTTAAAATTATTTGGATTCGCGAAGGTAAAATTCAAAATTTCACAAGCGCGCATTGTAAAAGTTATCTGGCGCGAAAGATAATCTTCACCTGATGCGAAAGATAATCTTTGCCTAATGCGAAAGATAATCTTTGCCTCACGTGAAAGATAATTTTTATCTTATGGGAAAGATTAACTTTATCTAGAGCGAAAGATTAACTGTATCTAGAGCGAAAAATTAACTTTATCTAAAGCGAAAGGTCATATTTTATCTAAGGCGAAAGGTCATCTTTATTCTATGATAAATAGCATATTGATCAAATGGGAAACAAACAGAAAATCAAGCGTCAAATCTAATCATACCTCCCCGTGAAAGAGGATTAATGACTGAGGGGAAATCGGCAGTTTGCTTCCAAAATTTCCCTCTATATTTTTCGGCCGGGAAAACTTGGTCCGTCAGTAGTGAGTGCTCATCGACGTTGATGATTTAGGCGTCAGCGGCATAAGTATGCCGGAATCACCGGCAAAGGTTCTCTCAAGAAAGTCACGAGTCAACCGATCTGCGAATTATGACCATGACATTATGAAGACGCATTCAAAGGCAATACTGCTCATTCATAACCCTCTGCAAGCTCAGTTCCCGTGTAACAATCCCCGAAACTCAATTTGCAAGTAATGGTCAGTTCTCCTAGTTCTTGTCAAGCTTCTTTGCTTCAACCTGCTCATAGGCTTCAACGAATTCAGTCCAAGATCCAATGACAGCGCCTGATCCTTCTGTTCTGCCTGCAGACACTATCGCGTTTGCAAATCGAATGTTTGATGCTGCTCGTGCTGGAGATCCAGATGCTTCTCTCCTTGCCGCCGTCGATGCTGGCTTACCGCCTAACATGACCAATCATCAAGGTGTGTAGCTACTTGAGCCTTGAAGCTTGGAGACTACGAGATAATACATTCGCTGACTGACTTTTTATCAGGCAACACGCTTCTCATGCTTTGCGCCTATAGTTCACCTCCAGAAAAGACTCTCGCCCTCTCTCGTGCTTTACTTGACCGTGGTGCAGATCCCAATCGGCTTAATGACTCTGGCCAATCAATCATCGCTGGCGTAGTCTTCAAGCGTATCGCTTCCCAAAGTCGAGATGAGTTGGTGCAGCTCCTTTTAGAACGTGGTGCGGACCCACGTTTGGGCAAACCAAACGCCATCGAAACTACGCTTATGTTCGTCAAGGACAAGGATGAAGATGGCGGACTTGGGAAGGATGGATTGTTGCAGCAGTTTGGGGCGACGGAAGAAGACAAGAAGCGTATGGAGAGCGAGGGTGTACGCGTACCGATTCCGGGTCACTGATATGTGTAACTATGTTTCCACACATACCACACAAAGAAGCAGAATGTACTAATTCAAATTGCTGACTCAAACAGTTTACACGTTCGAAAGTCAATGTATTGTTATCCAAGCCTTCCATATCTGTGTGCTTGAGCGCAGTGGATAGCGAGGCAAAGCGAGTACCAGAACCCGCGAATAAATCCGATTCCTTTCCGTCCGCTATTCTTTGTGTCAACTAAAAATATGTACAGTTCCTTAGTCATGTGAAGCTATAACTCAGTTTAAAAAATGGAGGAGAGGCACATCGTCTCCAAGTTATCGAAGGCAGGTATCAGAGCTAACTCGGGCACAGAGATGTATAAATCCATTCAATCTTAAAACCTATTAAGTTAACTGTTGGTCTCGGTTAGGACAATTCTGGTAAAAGATAACAGTGAAAATTGGATAGACCGGCAGATATCAGGCAAAATATACAATCTAGAATGATTTAGGCCTGGTCATCCTAGACTCGTGCAGAATGAATGACAATTCACCGAGTGTACGCCTGAGGCCGCGATCGACCACGAAACCTGTAGACTGTCTGGCTTTGAAGGGCTTTGTGTGATTAGTGTCACTGGCGCGGCTTGTTTTCGATCTGTTCTTTATGTAAATGGTCAGTGACATGGAACGCTTTAAAAACCTCGAGTCGTTATACTGATGAACCCAGTGAGTTTCCTGTGAACCTCGTCCTCAAATCGGTGACTCCTGATCTACGCAAAATCACCATGATGAAAAATTTGCGCTGCTTCTCCTCACTACTCTTTCTCGCCGGACATGCCATCGCTATCTGTCCCATGGCACTGAAAGCCCGTAGTACCGCCAACGATACTACTTTCGCAGAAGCCTACGCTCAGGCGCATTCTTCTGCCGGCAAACGCACCGTTGGCTTCAATCCTACCACACAATATGTTTCTACCACAGGGGCTCACGCATTCGTCGCCCCTGGTTCGGGTGATGCTCGTGGACCATGCCCCGGCCTGAATGCCTTGGCTAACCAGTAAGTGAAGGATATACGTTGTTTGAATATTTTCTAAGTGCAAAACGGACAGTGGCTACATTCCACACAATGGAATTGGGACTACTGCTCAATTCACTCAGGCTACCAATCAAGGTACGACCATGTCCGTTTCTTCCGAGTTGAATTTATTGATTGCGGTGATACCATTTCTACGTAGTTTATGGCATGGGCGTTGATGTGGCTACCTTTCTCTCGGCGTATGGTACTGCAGTCGATGGTGATATTGTCTCGCTATCGTTCTCCATTGGACAAGGACAAAGTACCATTCTTGGTCCCGAAGATGGACTCACAGGATCACACAACAACTACGAAACAGATGTCTCCCCAACTAGAGGTGATTTGTATGAATAGTAAGTGTATCTGTCGCACTGGCATCCTCTCATTATAATTCGTGCATCGCAGTGGTGACAATTATGATGTCCAACTGTCCCAATTTGTCCAGCTCTACGACCTCCAATCCAGCGTCTCAGACCCAACTCAAGTGAATTATGATATTCCTCTCCTTACCTCCTTCCGTGTTACCCGTTTACAACAATCTATCGATAACAATCCGTATTTCTTCAATGCTGCTTTCAGCGGTCTAGCTGTCCAGCCTGCTGCGTATCAATTCACTTTCCGTCTTATGGCGAATAAGAGCGAGGAATTCCCTGAAGGAAGGTTGGATCGAGATACACTCAAGTCGTTCTTTGCAATCTCAGGACCGGATGATAACTTGGTCTATGTGAGTTGACCTCCATTTCCTTGTACCACGCAGTCTTGATATGTATACTACCTTTGAAGACTCCTGGTCACGAACGTATCCCAGATAATTGGTACAAACGCGCCATCGGGGACGAATACAACCTTCCGTTCTTCTTAACCGAACTCGGTACTATCGCTGCCGCTAATCCTCAATTCGCGTCCATTGGGGGAAACACCGGTCAGGTTGATACTTTTACCGGAGTTAATGTGGCAGATCTCACTGGGGGAGTATACAATGCGCAGACGTTGCTTCAAGGGAATAACTTGGCATGTTTTATACTCCAGGTTGCGATGATGGAGCCTTCAGTTGCTGCTGCTACAATTTTGTTGCAACAGTTGACTGCGGTCGTGAGCCCGTTGCTGAGTCAGTTCGATTGTCCTGAATTGACAGAGATAGACGATAGCTTGTTCAATAATTTCCCTGGGTATACGAGATCGAGCTAATTCCGATTATCTTGTGGAGGGTTTGTCTTTATAGGTTAGTATATTGACTAAATAAATTATTGCATTGATTGAAGACGGTAAGTAGATCTTGCATGCTCCTGTGGCGCGACGATTCGACCAGAAGCCTGTTTTGAATGCACTGCGAGAGGCTCAACATCACTGTAGCATAAGGGAGCAAGTCGGACCATTGGACTTGCGCTACTAATTGAGGAAATAAGCATCCAACTAAACCTGTGGGACACGAAACCGTGATGGACATCTCGGGCACCAACCTGTCATGATCATACTGTATGCCACAGTGCAAATTCTCCAAAGGTTGCTCGAAGGGGCAATGTCAGTAAGCTTCTAGTCTAAGACCCTCTACCCTTTAGGTAGCAGGAAAAACAAGTCTTACTAGTAAAAAAGTAGATGGAAGGCATCCTGATATGTCATACTAAAATTGTACCAAACCGAGAATAATACGACTATTATAAAGGCATTTCCGAAGTGATTTTTTGAAGAATTTCCAAACTCCACTGGCATGATAGTATCTCTAATGGAAGATTGATCTGACAGGGCACATGTGCCTAGTCAAAGCTGTATATATCAATGTAAAAATTCGTTCATGAAACCAGTTTATCATACTAAGAAACGAAAACAGATTAGCATAAAAGTTGAGAGAGAGGGTAATCAACGTACACTAGCGAGGCTTGCTCCATTTCTCTCCAATATCTGGGCAAAGTCTGCAACTCCATGATAGGCAAAGGACAGGAATAAAGACCGGTGAGTATCTGGGTCTATTTTTCCATCAGAGCGAGCAATGAGTTCCTGCATGGCTTCTTGAAACCAGTCATCGAGGGAAGTGATAGAATTTTTCCACGCTGCGAGCGTAGGTATGCAGCACAGCAGAAATGAACCATAATCTTGCCGATCAGAAAATAACTTTGGGTTGAGATTGGTAGTGCGAGAAGATGCGGATTCTCGCGATGTGACAGACCCAGCGATATCATTGCGGAGCTCTTCGAGTAGGTTCGATTGATGGCTTGGGTTGAAAACTGCCGCCCATTGACCAACATAGTAGAAGGAGGCAAGATCATCCACCGTGGATTGAACGTATGCCCTAGGTAAACGAAGGCTTCTTCGTAGTCTGTCTGACATAAACTCAGGCGTTCCCTGCGAAAGGGTCAGACTGTAGGCCATAGTAATCAATTAAATATACTAACGGAACGAGTGCCATCGTGGTTTGCATCAAAATACGTCTTCCAGTCGATAGCCATGTCCCCATCAATGATAAAACCCGAGCACCTGGTGTTTACCTTCAGCTCAGCAAGTGAACTTTTAAGACGTGTAATTTGGTCGGTAACAGTAAACGGCAAGGTTTCCGATAGGGATAGTGTGCCCATAAGATCCGCAATATCTGATTTGAATTTGAACGAGGGCATTTCGACCGGGTTTTCCAATCTAAGAACATTCCCAACACTGACATCCCGATGTTGAAGCGCCTCCTGGCATATCGCGAGCCATCCTGTAATGGTAATCAGTGGTACCCTACTTCAGAGCAAACGGCCACAGACCTAGCATTGCGTGGAGGATGGCTGTAAACAACACGAGCGGGCTGGGAGAGGAAACCAGGGAGGTTCCAATCAGTTTCCCAACGTGAATCCAAAGGCTTCGATATTCAGGCGAGGGTGTACTATGCTTTTGGCGTGGATAAAAAAGGTTCCAATGAAATTCTGCCACTCCTTTCTTTAATTCCGTTTCGGTCGGAAGAAAAATGTGGTTGGAGGTAGGGATTCCATGTGAGTGATTTGCTGGAAAAGAATAATGATGCTGCGAAGTTCCAAACTTGTCACCACACACATTGAGCATCTGCGCTTCTGGGACTGAGGAACAACCTGACCCAAGATCAAGTTTTGGCCATGCAGCTTTAATAAATCCATGGGAAGTTTCGTCTCTACACGGATTCAAGGGTTTCACCAAGACCATTGGCTCCTGCTTCACATCTTCAAGAACTCGAGTAGGCCCATATACGGCAATCGGCGTGATAGCAAGAGTTGATGGGTCAGGGATATTTGATACCTTTGTCTCTGATCGAGTACGGGAATCAACCTGATTTCTGGAACTCTTTTTAGAGTTCACAGGTGCTTCTACCTTCTTAGCCTCAGCATTAGCGATGCGTGCTGAACGTCTCAGCTGGGTGACTGGAAATAGAGGAGTTGTCGCCACGGGGAGAGGTGAAGTAGAGACATCCTTGGGAACACCATACGATATCCCCATAACCCGATTTGCTCTACCTCTACAGCAGTTACCATCATGAAGAATCTCATCGACGTTGGCAACGACGTAATCAGGTTTATCAGAATTGTCGACGGGGAGCTTGAACTGCCGTTCATTGCACCACGCTGCAATACCTGCATCTCTCGCATGAGAACAACTAAGAAGAGAAAGGAAGACATGAAGGAGGGATTTGTGCGAATCTTCGTCATGCAGATCGAGGGGAAGAGAGGCAGATAGGCCTCCGCGATGGAAGATAAGAAACCTGAAGGTGCTCTCCTTGTGATTGTATCCAAGTACCAATGAATACTGCCGAAGCGGAGACGTACTGAAAAGGCATCGCGCGTAGGTCGCGGCCTGACAGACCAATTCTATCCAGTTGTCCTTCACTTCTACAGGCAGCAAGATGGGTGACGTATTCTTGTCGGGTGGATTCCAGTAAAGCCGAGCGGATTTGACCTTACAGTCATCACTGTCGGCGAAGGCCATAAACTTTTTCCCTCCCACTAGATCCGGTTTTACAGGAGACGCCCCATCCACACTATCCTGGGTCTCCTTATCGTAAACAATGAACTCGAGGTCATGAAATGGACCTTTGGTGTAGCGATCGTCGTCCCTAAGTTCTTCCTTGCAGACCGAGACACACGCGTTTAGGAACTGAGCCAGCGGGGTATAGAACGTACGTTCGTCAGGGCCGCTGGGCCATTGAATATCCTTTAGTCGTGGTCCGAGCTTCATTACAGCGTTTTTCAACTTTTTCATGAACCCAGGCGAATCAGAAACACAGGTGTAGTTGCCGAGATGGTCAATAACTTTGTCATCCAGGGGAGCGTTGCGTTTTTTAGGAGATAACATCCTCGCAATGCGATCCAAAGGGAACTGCCATGTCTGGTCTCCGAGCTCTGCACGCATAACCTTTTTGAGATCGGTCTGGTGACTGGTGGGGGGTGTATGTCCCTCGTGCATGAAAGAGCTGCTGTGGGTCCGGAGAGGAGTCCCAGATACTGGAGACGAGATGCTTGATCGAGCAGGAGTCGCGGGAGGAGGAGAGGATGTCGAGAACTTCTGTTTGCTTTCTGCAAGTCCCTCCTTGGAAGTGGTCTTTCTGTCATGAGTGGCGGTTGGAAAAGAATCCAACAAGCGCCCGAGTCCAGCGCATACATGTGACCTCGTTGATTGCTTGACAGGCGTTAATAATAACTCTCCTTATTTTCCCCTTCTACCTTAGATGGATGAAAGTGAATATCTTAGCGAACCCCTGCGGGGCACAATAAACCTTGCTTGCATTCTCATAAATTCCAACTCACATTCACAATTGAACCAAAGGTAGTATGGTAACAAAAGGTAAAATGAGTGCATGAACAAGGATTAGAAGAAATACATCGGAGCGAGCTAGAGTGAGTTTAGAGCGCCTAGTGTGTGAAAAAAATGCACGGGCGCTTGGTAAAGACAGGGTGGCAAAGGACCTAGCAAGCAAGGTGACTCTCCTTATTTTCCCCTTCTACCTTAGATGGATGAAAGTGAATATCTATCTATATATCATGTTCTCTCAGGTATTGCCTGAGGAAGTTTAAAGTTAAGTTCCCTCGGTGCCCTCGGTGACTCGCGCTCTAGACCGCATCTCTAGAAGCTGGCATTGACACTGACAGAAATCACACAAGAATTCATCACGTTCAACTTGTTCTCAGAGTGTTTCCTTCAGTGGGTAGTTCCGAGCAGGCTGCTCATCCCACTGGTCTGACCAGGAGAGCCTGCCCGTATCTTTGTTGGCGTCATCGAGGAATCACGTTGCTTGCAAGGTCTATTCAACCACTCGGTATTTGACCTCTTGATGTGCAGGCACATTTTTGCTATGTTTGGTTTCAGCCAAACCACTTCAAACACTATCCTATCCAGATCCTATCCTATCCTTACCTCGCGGCGCGCCCAATGCGCGCCGCATTTTTGATCTCAAGCAAGGTGTGCAGTCCACAACAGTGGGGCCTAGTTTTTTCAAGGGAACTATCAAGGTAATATGCTAGTATCTGTATATCTTGACATTTAGAAGTCACACGTCTCTCCATCAGTTTATACCTTTTCAACGCTGTCATCTCTGGTGTAGTCGTTGCTCCTGCTACCTATCCATTCACCTTTTGCTTTATGGCCAACAAGAGCGAGGAATGTCCCGAGGGAAGGTTGGATCACACAGTGTGTTTGAAGTCGTTTTTCGCTATCACGGGCCCGGGGGATAACTTAATTCACGTGAGTTCCTCCTTAACCTCTTCCCGGATGACTGCTGTAGCTTATGCATTGCCGCTGAAGACTTCTGGATACGAACGCATTCCAGACAACTGGTACATTGGAGATGAATAAGGATTGGAACCGTTGGTTCTCGATATCATCACCATAGCCATTGCTCATCCGCAGTTTCTCGCTATCGGTGGTAACACCGGTCAGGTTAATACCTTCACTAGAGTTGATGTAGCAGATCTCACCGGGGAAGTGTACAATGCGGCAATATTGCTCGAAGAGAACAATTTTCAATGTTTTTTTCTCACGATGATGGCTATAACGGCGGTGGGGGGACTGTGCTTATAAACGAGTTATTGTAACTGAGGTGTTCGATCCGCTGTTGGGCAGATGTCCTGAATTGGAAGGAATAGATGAGGGCATGTTGGATATACAAGATATCCTGGCAGTGGGAGGTGCTGGCTGGGTGCTGGGAGGTGATAGAAAGCCATAGCTTACTAATCCTATCCAATTCCGGGCCTTGAAGTTTGTGCCGCGTATAATCCTGAGTGTTTCTCTGCTTTCCTTTGTGAAGTGCACCCTCGCCCTGTCCTGCAAGTCTCTTAATGATTATAATTTTTTGCAGATATTAATGACGATCAAGATCATGAATCAATCTCTCTGCCTTCACTCATCCTGGCATCCACCATGATCGACTGAGGGGCTATTTTGCGATCGGTAGTATAAAAACGCCACACAACTCCAAGCGGTTGAACAGAACCACATTCCTTTGAATATTGTATACGGATTGAATAGTCTCCAGTTCCAGATACGCCGTGTTTCGTCTTTCTGCCATACTTTCCAAACATTTCCATAGCTCGCCCGGGCCATGATGAAAGCGCATCACTATTTCGTATCGCTCATATCTCTCGCCGGCCAAGCGCTTTCTATGACACACAAGATGCTGGAAACCTCCCGCACTATGAAACATACTTCCCTCGCCGAATCCTACGCGCACGCCCATCCTCCGACAGATAAGCGTACTATTGGTTTTGATCCAGCATTGCAGTACGTCTCTACAACGGGGCAACACGCTTTTGTTTCTCCTGGCCCCGGCGATTTTCGTGGTCCGTGTCCTGGTTTGAACGCCATGGCTAATCAGTTAAGACTACGCGTTGTTCCTCTACTAATTGCTACTAATCGTTTCATGCTCGGTAGTGGATACATTCCTCACAACGGAATCGCGACTATCGATCAATTGGTCAATGGCTCATACACCGGTGCATTATTTTCTATCCTTGACATTTATATTTATCCTAACGTTTGTACATAGTTTTTGGTATGGGCCGCGAGCTCGCCTTGTCTCTCGCTGTTTATGGTACTGTGATGGACGGTGACATTACCTTACTTTCTGTCTCAATCGGAGAAGGAAACAATTCCTTCCTTACTCAGAACGGACTGACCGGCTCGCACAACAATTTTGAGTCAGACGCCTCACCAATTAAAGGAGATCTCTTCCAATAGTGAGTATGCAGTTGTGTTTACTTACTGTAATTGTTTTACCTTCTTGTATCAGTGGTAATAACCACGACGTCCAAATGACCCAATTCTTTCAACTCTACAACCTCCAATCTAACGCCTCAGACCCATCTCAAGTCAATTACGATATTGATGTTCTTACGACCTTCCGCCTAGCCCGATTCCAACAATCCATCGACAATAACCCTTACTTTTTCAACGGTCCTATCACTGGTATACTCTTCCAGCCCGCTGCCTACCATTTCATCTATCGCTTGATGGCAAACAAGAGCGAGGAGTACCCCGAAGGAAGGTTAGATCGAGAGGTACTCAAGTCGTTTTATGGGATCACGGGCTCGGAGGAGGATGACTTTGTTTACGTGAGTCGCTGTGCGGAAGCCTATTAGTATAACAGGAGCTTATACATCCTTGTAGACTTCCGGGTACGAACGCATCCCGGACAACTGGTACAAGCGCGCCATAGGAGATGAATACGGAATAGTCTCACACTTCGATGAGTTATCCGGTATCGCCCTTGCTCATCCGAAATTTCTCTCTATTGGAGGCAATACAGGCCAGGTCGATTCCTTTACTGGTGTAGACTTGACGGATCTTACTGGAGGAGTGTATCATGCGAGCACGCTACTGGAAGGAAATAACTTGAAATGTTTTACGCTTCAGGCTATGATGATGCATTTTCCGATTGGTGCTACAGGGCCGCTGGAAGGTGTGTTGGACGAACTGGCTGATATGGCGGATCCATTGTTGCGTGCATGGGACTGCCCTGAACTGGAGAAGATAGACGAGAGTTTGCTGGAGAAGTTTCCAGGGTATTCGAGATACCCAGGGATGGAGATACGTGACTGAACGTCCTCCGAGACACAATGACTAGCTGTGCTATATATTCTTTTGTACCGATGTATCGTGTATTTCGTATTCAAACTTCTATGTTTTTCCTTGGAGTCTCTTTCACATCAGTTACTTGCGTCCTGTTATGATGGTCCGCAGACGATACTAAACGTTCTTTGCCCTCAGACCGTGCGATGCCAGCTGCCAGCTAGTCAGTGAGATACTAGGGTGTGTCCAGCAAGCGTTGCCCGATTCATCCACAAAAAGCAAAATGTACAGACTGATGTGTTCTCGTTCGTTGTTCGTTGGTGTTGGTTTTCTTTCATCAAACGTGTTTAGCGCTTAAAGTTGATCCACCTGCAACCCGGCGCCTAACGTCGTTTCCTTCTACTCAGAATGTCTGAGTGGACGCTCTCTCATTCATCCACAATTTTTCTCCGATTTTTATGACGTGCATTTCTCCATAAACGTTTGCAAGCAAGTTAGATCCAAATTGTCAATCGGTCTTGTGAATTCAGAATCATGAACTGGAATGAAATTATTTGCCTTCACTCGTCCCGGTGTCGACTCAAAATGCTAAAGTACTGAATACTGAGGCAGCACACTCTTGTGGCGCAAGGGACCAGCCAGAAGCCGAGGCACATCGTAGAAAGCCCAATATGACGAATGCAGCGCAAGGTATGGACGTCGGAAAAATGCAACTTGCGGTACTAGTACTACAGCATCCACTCCAACCGTCACCTTCGTTGCCGAACTAATCAGAACCCAAGCACATGAGTGCTATTCCTCAAAATTCTTGCGACACGGACATCTCGGGGGACGTGATCGACTGCAAATCTTCAGAGGCCCCATTTTGTGCTTCTAGTACAAGTCATTGTGAGTATAAAACTGCCGCACTGTAAGCTTGAAAAGAATCAATTGCTTCGAATATTGTATCTCGATTTGAAAATCCCCAATTTCCACTGTACAGTGTTTTTTTCCTGTCATACTTCCTCTGACGTTCTCACAGTGCGCCGCAATGAAAATACATTGCTGTTTCGTGTCGGTCGTGTTTTTCGCTGGGGAAGCACTATCCATCTGCCCAATGGCACACAAGATATTGGAAGCCAGGACTACGAACGATACTTCCCTCGCCGATGCCTACGCTATCGCCCATCCTCCAACTGATAAGCGTACTACTGTGAATTTTGATCCAACGTTGCAATACGTTTCCACAACGGGGCAACACGCGTTCATACCTCCTGGTCCAGGCGACTTTCGTGGTCCGTGTCCAGGCCTGAATGCTATGGCTAATCAGTCAGTCAAGCGACAGATTTTCCTCCAATTTCATGTTTGCTTATTATTATTTTACCTAATGCTCGGTAGTGGCTACATTCCTCGCAACGGAATCGCGACTATTGACCAATTCGTCGATGGAACCTACACAGGTACATGATTTGCTTATCCTTTCACCTTTATCCCAACGTTTTTGTCAGTTTTTGGCATGGGCCGCGACCTCGCCTTGATTCTCGCTACCTACGGTACTGTGTTCGATGGTGATATGTCCTCGCTCTCTTTCTCCATTGGGGAAGGAGATAATTCTATCCTTGGATCTCTTTTCCCTCAAAATGGGCTTACAGGCTCTCACAACAACTACGAGGCAGACGTGTCACCAATGAAAGGGGATTTATTCCAATAGTAAGTCTGCACTCAGAATCATCTCCGCATTTGTTTGATTTTCTTGTAGCAAGAATAATTATGACGTCCAGATGTCCCAATTTCGCCAACTCTATGATCTTCAGTCCAACGTCTCAGACCCATCTCAAGTTAACTATGATATCCCTCTCCTCACATCCTTCCGCGTATCGCGATTCCAGCAATCCATCGCAAATAATCCTTACTTTGTGAACGGTGTTTTCAGTGGCATAGCCGTCCAACCTGCTGCCTACCAATTCATTTATCGTTTCATGGCAAACAAGAGCGAGGAATACCCCGAAGGAAGGTTAGATCGTGAGGTGTTGAAGTCGTTTTATGCCATTTCAGGCTCAGAGGATCAATTTGTTTACGTGAGTCTATGCTGTCTCGACACCCTGTGTTTGGAACTTATATGCCATCGTTTGCAGACTTCCGGATATGAACGTATTCCGAACAACTGGTACAAACGCGCCATAGGAGATGAATATGGAATGGTTCCATTCGCCATTGAGCTGGGCCTCATCGCCCTCGCTCACCCGGAATTCCTGTCCATCGGAGGCAATACAGGTCAAGTCGATACTTTCACTGGTGTGAACTTGGCAGATCTTACCGGAGGAGTCTATGATGCGAGTACGCTGCTGGAAGGAAATAATTTGGGATGTTTTGTGCTTCAGGCTGCGGTCATGAATCTTCCGACCAGTGTTGCAGGGCTGTTGGAGGGTGTACTGAACGATCTGGCTGGAATAGTGAATCCTTTGTTGCAGGGATGGGATTGCCCCGAACTAGAGAACATAGACGAGAGCTTGCTTGAAAAATTTCCTGGGTATTCGAGGTCTTCAGGTGATGTAGGGGTATGATTAATACAGATGCTGTACCACTATTCCTTTGTGGCGAGTGTACCAAGGACAGTTGAAGCTTCTCCGTTTTTCCTTGGAGCTGAGTCTCACACATTAGCCGTATTAGTATTTTTTTGGGGTGATGGTCTGCAGAATACAATAAACATTTATTCACCTCCTGCGACGCCAGCTACCTACTAATCAGCGGTTTTTTAGGACCTTCGTAGATCCTTGTTTCATCATTGACTATGTAGTAGAAATGAAATCAGAAAGCGCGTTTAGCGCTTAATGACATAATTGGGGCTCGGAACGGTTCCCGATTCCTATGATGACAAAGCAGAACGATTTCATGTTCTCTCCTCCTCTCAACGTTGACAGATACTCTGCAAACGGTGAATGTGCATCTTAATACCTACGGAGCAGAAAATATTAGAGGCACATCGGCATCTTCTAATTGAATTCATCCTTCCGCAGTCGAAAGGATCTGATCAGCAAACTCTTTTACTCAGAAAGGATGTACTGTAATTGGCACGAATAAGATGTATTCAATGCTGCACCCAACACACACCGTAACATCTGTCTCCGGCACATTTACACGCGTTCTCCGTCAGAATCCCAGCCTTGGAGATATTTTCGAGTTAGAGCTAACGTGGGCATCTCGGGCACTAAATATTGCTAAATCTTCGAATGGGACTCCAGACGTGTCTGCGGTTTTTCGGTGGGCTTCTGCTTGTCATAACTTTCAAGTTGATTTTGAAAGGTTCAAAAGCTGGGACATAACTGGTTTCATTCGAACCCATTGTGTTTGAAGTCATTTCAAGTTTCTTGCTGGATAAACAACTCGCCGCGATGAAGACACTTCACTGTTCTGTGTCGCTAATTCTCCTCGCTGGCATGTGATCGCTATCTGTCCAATGGCGTCGAAAATTAGATCAGCGCGTTCCTCTCGAAATGATACCTACCACCAGGGATATCCACAATCGGCAGACAAACGTACTGCTAGTGTTGGTTTTGATGCTGCCTTGCAATATGTATCGACAACGGGCGTGCATGCTTTTGTCCCTCCTGGCTTAGGAGATTTTCGTGGTCCATGCCCTGGTTTGAATGCCATGGCTAACCAGTAAGCAAGGCTGATTGTCCGTTATATGATGCTTATACCTTGGCATCCTGCTAGCGGCTATATCCCTCACAACGGAATCGCGACTATTAATGAATTCATTCAGGGCACTTATGAAGGTATCGTTATATCATATCGTTGTTTTCTGAACATTCATCCCAACATCTTTGCACTTAGTTTTTGGCATGGGCAGAGATCTTGCGCTGTTCTTGGGCGTTTATGGTGTTGTAATGGACGGTGATGTTCTCTCGCTTTCTTTCTCTATTGGAAAGGGGGGAAACTCCATTCTTGGTCTCCTTCCTCAAAATGGACTCACAGGTTCGCACAACAATTACGAGGGAGATGTGTCCCCAACGAGAGGGGATTTATTTGAATAGTAAGTTGTGTACAATAATTTGCCCGTCCTTGTCTGATAATTCCCTGCAGTGATAATAATCACGAGGTTCAGATATCCCAGTTTCTCCAACTGTACAACCTACAGTCCAACGTCTCAGACCCGTCTCAAGTCAATTACGATATCGATCTGCTCACATCCTTCCGCCTATCCCGTTTCCAACAGTCCATCGATAAAAACCCATACTTTTTCAACGGACCTATCACTGGTGTACTCGTCCAGCCCGCCGCATATCAGTTCATTTTTCGCTTCATGGCGAACAAGAGTGACGAATATCCTGAAGGGAGGCTGAGTCGAGATGTACTCAAGTCGTTCTTCTCAATTACGGGAACGGAGCATGATTTCGTCTATGTAAGTGGCTTTTCGATGTGCAATTGGCTGGAGTGAGGATTATTCAATTGCCAAAGACTCCAGGGCAAGAACGCATTCCGGACAACTGGTACAAACGCGCCATCGGGGATGAATATGGATTACTTTCAGCTATCCTAGAGCTTACCACTATTGCCCTTGCTCATCCAGAATTCCTCTCCGTCGGTGGCAACACAGGCCAGGTCAATACTTTCGCTGGAGTCGATTTTGCGAATCTTACCGGAGGAGTATTCAGTACGAGTACCCTGTTGGAGGGAAACAATTTAGGATGCTTTGTGCTTCAGGCGGTAATGCTTCTCCCAATCGCAGGACTATTGGAGGGCGTACTCGACGAGCTGGTTGAGATGGTGAATCCATTGTTACAGGCATGGGACTGTCCCAAACTAACCCAGATGGATGTCAGCTTGTTGGAGAGGTTTCCAGGGTATTCGAGATATCCAGGGAATTGAATATTGGCGTCATTGAAACGGTATTCTATAATCGGCCGAAACTATTCCTTCATACGCGAACAAGCTTCCCTCTCTTGCTACATATTGCCGTACGCTCTTGTCAGATCCTAATATCGATTTTGAAAGCGCAGAAGAACGTGCTTCCTCTGCTCAGCTGATTTTCCAATGCTTCTACTCCGTGTGGAGCAGCCTAAGGGAAGGCAAAGTTTATTTTTACCGCTCTGTTACAAAAGGAGGTACATCTTTCCGTCACAGGATGGTCAAAGCAATGTTTCATAGTCAAAAGTTGATCAGAATATGGTATTCAAACTATGAATGACACTATAGGATATCGCTGACATAGTAGACAGGGTCCCATGAATCTTTTTGGAACAAATGAAGGCTGCTACTAACACAATAAGAGTGAAGAATATCCAAAGGGAGGCTAGATCGAAAGGTACTTCATTCCTTGTCACAGGCCCAGAGGATGCGTGCGTAGATTTTTCTTTATAGATAGATAGATACACCCGAAGGTGTGGTCCCAAAAACGGAACAGCCGGTCTTGAGGCTCTGGCGACAGACACCTCAACCCGTAAGGAGAAGGTCCAAGACCACGAGGCAGAGTATAGTAATATGATGCAAGGCCTTCGTCCTATTCAAGACTTCAGGATATGAACGAATTTTGGACAACTGGTACAAACGCGCCATCGGATTCAGCTATCTCAGAGCTTACCACTATTGCTCTTGCTCATCCAGAATTCCTCTTCATTGGAAGCAGGTGAATACTTTCACTGGAGTTGACTTCGCGGATCTATAATACTAGTACATTGCTGGAGGGAAACAACTTTTTTAGGGGGAGTGCTCAATGAGTTGGCTGGGATAGTGAATCTGTGTACATGGGACTGTGCCAACCTAGAGCAAATGAATGAGACCTTACTGAAAAAGTTTCCGGGGTATTTGAAAACAACATGATCCGCACTTTTTGGAGCCCTTTTTCCTACACTGGACGCTGACGACACACTAAGCCAATTGATTTTTGCCTTGTAAGAGTTTCTGCGTGAACTACCTAAGTTGTTGAACCTTCAAGTACACAAGTCAAGGGTGTAAACTGTACAGAGCGCAGAGTACTATCAAAAACCACCTCCGGTATGCCACTGCCGGTGAATAGTCGTGTAAAGGTGTGTCTGTCGTCATTCTAAAACTGAACATTTCAAATCCTGCAACTACAAGTATAAATGAAGAAGTAACTACAAAAGTCCGACTCAGATTAGCACAACTTCTTGGATCCCCCAACAATGGGAGAACGTCGAAGGTAAAGAGAATAAGAGATAGATCATATCATATCGCTCTTCTCGAGATTATCGCGGATAATCCCATCGTGCACTGGTATCATCGCGTCGGTCAGTGAGAACAACACCGGAAAGCAACAGAAAATACCTGTGACTACAAGGGCTGTTGTGGAATGAATATCCTGGGGATGCACACATATTAACGTTTATCACCAAGAAGATCTTTAAGACGACTCACTATGGCAGATGTTTCGTGGGAGATAAAGGACCGCGGCTTCGGGGAAAGCTTTTTCTGTATATGCTGAATCAGAGTACCGAAAACAGAAGCAACTGGGGAGAGATAACAAACATGGTATGTCTTGAACCGGTCTTTGAAATCTACCAGGAAGCAAAATCAGTAAATAACACTATGGATCATGATCAATTGAAGCCGAGATTTTGAGACTGACAAGGAAATAACGAAGATAGGAAAGAAACAATCACGATAATCAACTCACATTTCGTAACACTTTCCACTTCGTTAGGTGCATTGCCATAGCTTGGAACGAATTTCCGTACCTCGACTCCACTTTCTAATATTCGTCGCAAAATGTCCATCTTTCATTACCGGATATCAGCTTCGAAATGAAGAGCCAGCAAATGAGGACGCATGCATACCTTGTTGAAGAAGATGATTATATTGCAATTTGCGAGAAGGACATTTGAGCAGATCTCCTTCCATAATAATAATGAATCTTCCTGCGACGACAAACGGAATGGTTTTCATCTCGGCGGTATTCAAGGATTGCGCATATACGTACGAGCCGGTTAACACGAGGATCTTCTTCTAGCATCTGGTTAAACACCAAAGGCGCCAGAAACAGTATGGCATGTGCTGTCAGCAGACATGATGAGATGGATGACTATTACAAAACGTTAAGCTTACAATCATCGAAGAATGGAATCCAGGAATGACGCTGGGACCAGTGAGTATATTTCCTGAAGTGATTCGTAGCATAGGACAAAAAGGCTCACAGAGCTTCTTGCCCCGCTAACATCCGTGATGAAAAATTCATTTCCCTTCAGTCTAACTTGGTCAGATTCGGTGGCAGAGTCAGAGTCACATCTATCCGTAAAGAAAGAACAAACTTACTTGATTCGGCCACTAAGTGGTGCTCCTCCACTCCATCGGTCCTTACTCTGGCGCGGACGATATCAGCTACGTGATGATAACGTTGAAACAAAGAATGTTTACGCAAGTGTGAATATACACTTACAATCTGTGGGGCAATAAGAAGCTGATGCTATTCGTTCAACATCATCCAAGAAACTGAAAGGAGAATGGAACAGGTCAAGCAACGAGGCTGACGCAGCGAATTCTGTACAAATTACTCACAATCCAGGAGTATCCCGTAAATCCACTTCACGTTCCCCCAGAGCCCGCTGGACATCCGCATCTCTCCATAGAGAGTCGATATCGTCCTTCGATGCCTCTAGGAGTTGTATCAGGTTGCTTTTGATCGCGTTTTGAGCATTCGTTAGTTTTAAGTCTTGATGCACAGAGGCGGAGTCCCGAAATCCCAGTTTGGATTTCCAGCGGCTCCCTGCTGGAACACAGATTTCATGCGAAGGCCCGCCAGTAGCAAAAAACATCCTATTCAGATCGTTTTCCAGTGAAAGGAGGGGAGAAAGACCGAGGTGAATCCTCCGAAGCTTGTTACTATATGAAGAATTGGGGTGACTTCCGGGAGTTCGCGGGGGAGTAAGGAGAGATTGAACATTTGAATCAACGTCGTTGAGGATGTTCAAAAGCGTTCTGACTGAGCTGAATGAACTAAGTAAGTTGAAGAACAATCAGAGAGCCATCAGCAGACACACCTGATTAGGTTAAGTTGGATTATTGTTTTCCATAGATCTCTTTCCTTCTGAAACTGATGAGGCGTGAATGCCAGTTGGAAGTCTGTCACAAACGTAAGTAAATCCATGTGTATGGGACTGAGGCGCTCACTTTTGAGTACAGCGCTCTAGAAGAGAAGGGAGGAGGCTCAGGGTTCGCGTTGAAGGATTGGAGTGTATAATATTCCATACCTTGCCCGATTCAGCCTGGCCTACGCAAGGACAGTGTCGTGAGAGGAAAGACAAACCGACACAATCAACGACATACCCAAAAGCAGTATCCTGATCGCTCTTTTCCTTCTATCCAGATTCCTCTTTGTCTCCTGTAAATTTTCGTCGATTTGTCTGGAAACACGTTGCGCGTCTTGGAACGCTCGAGCTCGATGTACCCTTTCCTCCTCCGTTTCATTCGCTGGCACTTTGAACGCTACAATGAACGGGTTTTCGGATAATTCCATGCTGGCTCGTTGCTTTTGTTTGGATTTAAAGATAGCAACCATCCTCAGACGGCAGGAGAAAGTGAGAGCACAATGCTCTGAATGAAAGAGAGGTGGTCGTCATGTATGTCGGATTATAGCAAGCGATATGAATTGATTGATCCATCATCCCATGAGGCTTCTTCAGGGGCCGGATATTTGATGTATATCAATCCCCACATTCCCGGAACGCCCACCCAACGTAATCTGAACTTCGAAACCTTTCCAATTGTTCAGACCAATGAAGACTGTGGCGCCATGGGAGGCTATCGACCATGGCTGTTGAACGGATGAAATTTACATCATCTGGGAAGATTCAAAATACGGTCACCGGCGTATGCACTAGAACGGTAGATATAAGCCTAGAATGTCTGATTTCGGTAGGGACTGAGAACACAAGCAATACCTGGATTAGTTCTGCTCGATACTCATAGAGTAAAACAATTAAATGATACATGTGTACAAATCTTAGTTATGCTGCTGTGAAAATATTGAGCTAGGCATCATCATTCCCACCTGAATACAAGCTTCGGTGAAGTGCTTCTACCGGAAGAAGAAACAAGGCTCACAAGATAATTGGGCATGTCAACCTGTGAGACTACTGTTAGATTTTCCTATACAGATTCTCCCAGTCTATGTCCGAGAAATCACACACCACTTCATGCATCCTCAAATCTGCCGCCACGCTGCACAACATATAAGCTTCGACATGATCTAGTTTGTACTCTTGTTCAAGATACATGACCATATGGCGAACGGCTGAGCGTGCTGCTTCTCGAAGATCCGTTTCTACCCCTGTTGTACAATAGTACTTCTCATCGGATACGTTGATGGATGGCGTTCTGAAATGAGGAGTTTTGGTATATGGTCTGTCCTTCAAGACGCTAAAACGGAGTTCCGCAACAATGGGAGTTTCGATAGCCGTGCCTATCGGTTTGAAGCGCCGTCAATTGTAAAATATTGTATCGAAAATTGAAAATATACGTACCACAGACCTCTAAAAATGAGCAACAGTAAGCAAGATGACTCATATCATGATAGGGATTGAAGATGCACCTCCGTCTCCTTGAGCAGCATGACCGTCCTAAGCAAGGACTCAGTCACAAGCTACGGCTTGAGCTAATGAAGACCTACACCCATCGAAAATAGTGCACCTTCGACCTCTATTGGTAGATATAAGGTTGCACCAGCAGTGACATGTCTCGTATCGATGTTGCCGCCAGTGTTGTATGGTGGAATCGTGGAAAAAGGGCCCTTCTCCTTCCGCGCAACCCCCATTTCACCAGCAAAAGGGTTCAAAGGGATTTTGATACCCTTCGCCTCATCAAAATATGCAAACCCTTCTTTCTTGTTGAGCTTCCAAATCTTCAGAGCGGGCTCAAGAAATTCATCGTTTAGTAAACCGAAGCCAGGTATACAGGCAGTCCATCCCCAGTCGGCTGTTTCTATTGAGAGCACTTCTACTTTGAGTGTATCTCCTGGTTGAGCACCTTCGACGAAGATTGGTCCGTTAACTTGGTCAAGGTTAGAAAAAACGAGCGAAGCCACGCTGGTGACAGTAGTTTCTGGGTTAATTTGACCATTGGAGGCGTCCAAGCAGTCAAATTTGACTGTGTCGCCTGATTTGACTCGTAGTATCGGCTGAATGCTTTTCAATCTGGCAATTAGAAACAAAGTCGAGTCTAAAATTGCATGAATGAACTTTGCCTATTATCCCAAACGAGGTGAGATTGGTTTCTAGATACTGAATGTATAGACATATCCTGAGCTTGACTTTGCTTTGCTGGTGGAAGTCGATGGAAGGACTTTGACTTATTTAATCATGAGAAGAGAATAATATCAACTTGAACCGGATGCCGGGACGATGATAATCCGGCGTGATTAACTAACTTCCTCTGCTTTCTCAGACCTCTCTTTTCGCTCACCACTAAACTACATCTCTGAGTCTGGACTTGATTAATGCCGGGTTCCCTAATATCCTGATATCAAAGTTTAGATTCGGTGAAAAGTTCCCAATTAGTGCATTCGGAGCTCCGTATGTACAACGGGATTGAACAAGGATAATGCTTGAAGATGCACAGTGCTTCTGGACGAGATCTCTGGTTGAGGAAAGAACAATCCACAGCATTGGAGATTCACACCAACGTGAACATGGGTACGAAAGTTTTATGATATTATATTAGAGAACGTACAACAGCAAATGGGAAAGCGTTATAGTAACGACTACTCACCATAACATGCTCTCCAAACTCTTCAGCTTGGAATTTTGAGAGGATAATATCTCCTCTGCAAGTTGATTCAGATCAATCACAACTTTTCCGAGCATCTTGCCATCTGTCACCAATGTACGCTAATGTTTTCATTTTCGATCGGGCTGGAAGCACATTAGTTCAAGACAGTGACCAACAAGCGCAACAGGATCCAATGGAATAGATCTTGGGACGGTGAAGTAGGACATTACTGTAAGTTTGGGACATTCGTAGTAACTCAATGTCGCGATTCTCGACACCTTACTGCTTGCGGAGTAAACTTTTGACGCTTTCAAAAATCAATCACATTATCGGAAGAAATGCATACAGATCCTACGAAAGCTTTGCAGGATGCACCGTGTCTAGATCTTGCCTCCATTTCGCTGTACGTTCTTCGCTATCCCCATGGGCTGACACCACCAGTAGTACACGGAGATTCACGAGGCGCAAACATTCTTGTGGCATCAAATTGAGGACCTCAGCCAGTCGCCGGGTTGTTGCCTCTTGAATTTTAGCCTTGCGCTTGTTGCAGCAATGCAAACATTGACTAGTACCACGGAACTTCGAGGATCATCTCTGTAGATGGTCCCAGAGCTTAAAGATCACAGCTCATTTGCGGATCGCAGCTCAAGATACGACAGGCCAGCGAGATACTATGTAGTACATATGTCCATTTGCATGTACGGTGCTTCGCGCCACGCGTCGATCGTATGTTCCTCCTCCTAAGCTTGGAGAACTTTGTCACTATAGAACAGAGCTGATTGTGTTTGAAACAGATAATAACTGAACAACCTCCATTCTCCGCTCAACCTCTGACTGACGTGTCAATTATCATACACTACATCGTCCAGGCAGCGCTTGGGGTTTTCAAGAACTCTGGGACTTCTTTCAGCGATGTTGGGCACACGACCCGCGAGATAGAGTTTCGGCCAACTTAATTCGTTCTGGGCTGCAGTCAATTTGTGGTTCTCAAAGGAGCATCCTTCCATAGTGGTAAGCGGGTGATGAAATATTGACACCTGAATTCTTGTATTTGAGCCCGAGACGAGACGAGGCAGGCTAGCGAGCGTAGGTCGATATCGTAGTATAATGTAGACCATGATGGAGTGAATTCATTTTACTGTTACGAGAAGCGGTATTGAGTGAGACAGCAACGATGAGAAGATACTTGTGCACAATTGAACCCACTTTGACAGGTCCTCCTTCTTGATCAAATCTATCAGGTATGGACCATCCGCCGGTACCTGGAAACCAAGATAAAGTTTCTCCCGGAAGAGCAGGGATAGGAAGGGATTCAGGCGAAGGAACGCTTTCGACTGGCTTTCGAACCCCCCAAGTTCTCGTTCCCTAGAGGATAACGAAATGAATGCGGAGCCTCTGAGAAAGCCAGCTTCACCAGACGTGAGAAATCGATTGTGATAGATTCGACCGAAATGCCTCGTCAGCGTAGCAGAGTTTGAAGACGGTCAGGGTTTCCGGGACGTGGACGACTGGCTGCGGTTGATTTTTGTTTGATGTGGAAAGATGATGATCTGAGGCAAGACCTGGCAATGATTGGTACTCCAATAGTCGTCCGTTCTTGTTTCCAGAGTCGACAATCTTTGGAATGTCAGGCGCAACCATCATTGAGACAGCGAGGAATGTAGCTGTTGGAAGAATCAGGAGAGACGCAGGAGAACTCGTTGATATTTGAACGACGTTGGTTTCGGGAATGGAGAAGGGCGGAATCGGGGTAACGTTGATTGCCGAGATTGGTGCTTATCAGATAAAATTTCATCACCGGTGCAGTACTCAAGTTATTCGAACGCTACTTGCCCTTCAGATTTGTTCTGCTGGCGGGGTCAATCCGATGACTATTTATGAAATGAAGACGGTCGTCGTTCTCGGCGGTGCTTATGCTGGTACGTTCTTGTAACTCTCCGTAGAATCTGCTTTATTTAGGACACTTATCAGGCGCTCGGACTGTTCAAGTACTGTCAAAGGGACTCCCGGAAGGATGGAGAATTGTGTTGGTAGATAGAAACACGTACGCTATCTTTACTCTCTTCGACTCTTTTTCTTGCTCACCTACTTGTCTGGTAGACATATCAATCGTAAGCGACGTTCCCCGCCTGGATAGCGGTATACTTATCCGTTCATCCCAAGACGTATATGTATTCCCAAGACTCGCAATCCTGCCTGGACATGAGCATAAAGGATGTACGTTATCCATGACATCTACAGCTTTTACCCGACTCATCTTTTTCCAGTCATTCCCTTCTCCAGACTTTTAGATCCAACCCGGCACCAAGACTTATGTTTACACGCCTCAGTTAGATCGGTGCATTCTTCCTACGTCGTACTGGATAAATCTTTCCCCGAAAGAGGCGTACCCACTCCGGAATTACGGTTCGACTATCTCGTCTACGCTTTAGGTAGCAGACTTCCTGCTCCGTTGGATCTGTGGGGCTCGTCTCCAGAGTCAGGCATAGCATCCCACAAAGATGCAGTAGTTTTCAAGCCGTACGCTGGTACGAAACAGGAGGGAATTTCATGGCTGAAGACGCATCAAGAGGTGATCAAGAGCTCGGATAGCATATTGGTAGTTGGTGGTGGTGCATTGGGCATCCGTAAGTCTTTCGTGTACCCTGTCTCTCATTCCGTTAAATGACCTTATGTTGTTCCACCACATATATAGAATTTGCAACAGACATCTCGGCAATATATCCTAACAAGACGATAACTTTGCTTCACTCTCGCCATCGGTTACTTCCAAGGTTCGATGAGAAGATGCATACGGAAAGTACGCTAGCTTCCGAATGATATCATCCTGTTAGACAGACTCACTATTGTGGATAGTCATGGACACCCTTCTGGCCTCTAACATCCAAGTCATTCTTGGCGAACGGCTGGACATGCAGTCTATCTTATTTGATGACGCGATCAAGCTGAACAAACTAGGACAACGTGTGGCTAGAACGCTGCAAGGACGGGAGGTAGCTGCTGATCTCATTGTATGTTCACTCCGCCTTACTTTCTGTCCCATTGTACATGATCCTGAACCTTTCATAGCTTTTATGTACCGGCCAAAAACCCAATACCCATTTCCTATCCGCGATGGATCCTCGTTGTGTTAACCCCCATGACGGACTTGCGCATGTGATTCGGACAATGCAGCTTGGCGTCGTCCTGTCTACGTCTCCTCCTACCCTTTCGAATTTCACTTCGGAGTCCTCAACTCCATCACCTTCATGGTCTGCGTCCACTTCGACATTTAGTACTTCAAGCCTACTTTCCCCAGAACAGGAGCTTGAAAATGCTCTAGCCCAAGTCGCATTAGCTGAAAAGAATGTCGGGATCGAGGAACCGTTATCCGGACTTTCGATATCCGAAGAAGACGACGATGTACTCGACTCAAACCTGGATGGGGAAGATGGCGCGGAACTTTCGACCCCGTATCCGAATATATTCGTCGCTGGAGACGCTGCAAATGCGTTTGGTGCAATTCCCGCTGGACATACTGCCTATTATCAGGTAATTCTCGATCTCGCATTTCTTTAATTACTTAAACTTCGGTTATAGGGAGAAGTGGCCGCAAGGAACATCTTGCGGCTTATACAACGTTCAGAGTGTCCTTTGAAAATTCCGCAATATGAGGGCGTTCTCGTGACGGAGGAAGAAGAAGAGCGTTTAGAACATTACGCCCCAGGATTACCCGCTATCAAAATCTCATTGGGCTTGGTATGTTGATGTCGACGTCAAAATTTTCCTCACTCAGTCTTGTTCCCTCCTGTTTAGACAAAGTCCGCATATCAAGCTAATGGGGTAGTGCGGACTGCGGATGACGGGGTACCAGACTTGAATGCGGCCGCGATATGGGGGTACTTTGGGTATGAGGTGGAGAAGGAAGAAGATATGTATGCATAAGAAAAAGCGAGTTCAACCACGTCTATCTAAAGCACGGATAGGCTTACTTAGTATATCAAAGTAAATAACTAAAGCCACTGAATATTCTATAATCTCACTGACAACTATGTACAAGTTACCACTGAAGCATCGGTGTATTCTTCTTGACTTACATGTTCCAGAGGTTATTGATATCAAGGAATCGGTATAACTAGTGGCCCGCTTTTGATCATGTGTATGTACCAAGGGCCGAAATCGCCTTGTCCAAGCTATGTATATTAAGTCTGACTCTTGCTTTCCGTACCAACACTCAGATCAAATCATACGGGTGCACGAACAAGCATTTTCTACTGTAGTTAGTGGGCGTATTTAAGATTTCATAGGACCGTGTCGGTTTTCCCTTCCTTTCCTTCCTAGTCTACTCTTTTTTGTTGGTTTGTTTGTTTTGATCTCTCTTTGCATACAGCTCGTTGAAAGCATCTAGGCTCCCTTGCAGTAGATTCTCTTTTTGACTGAACTCCAACACATTCTTGACAAACGAAGCTTCGTCCTTCCCAACTTCGACACCCCAGAATTTTTCCAAGAAGGGCCCAGGATCTTTACCGTCTGTCCTCAAAAACAGGTTTGGGAGAGTTATTAAGTTTTCTGCGGGGTATCTGTCCTCGTAGTAGGGCGCCGAGTAACCCCTGAGTTTTTTATTGGCTTCGTCATCAGGTTTCCAGGCTTTGGAGACCCACTCCTTGTCAAAGACGAGTGCCCAGTCGTTGGAAGCTGGTTTCTTATCCTTAATGTAGACCGCGATTGGGAGAAGTTTCTTCCATCTCCGACGAGCTAAATTATGAACCGGATCAAAATTTCGGAACGATCGATATGATTAATGATGGCACTAACCGTTATTATATCGTTTAGCAATAGCTGCAGTGTTGTCATTGGAGCCGTTGGCATTCTCAATTGTGAGGGGTCGCACTGCAATGGTACCTGGAGACTCGCCGGGCTTGCTTATGGCTAAAGGAGAAGCAACCACCAAGGCGAGGAAAAAGCAGGCGACAAAGAGCCTGGAGAATGATGGGAGAGCGAGCATTTTCGTAAATAGGACCAAAACGCGATTTGCGTAAAGGAGAATGTGATAAGAATCGAGTCGGGAAAAAGCTTTTCAACAAGAATCTTGGTCAACGACGACGTTACGCATGACGAAGAAAATTCTATAACTCACTAGTTCGTAATCGTCAGGCTCCCCCAGAGAAATCCAACCAGCAGATTTCGAGGTGAATAGCCCTTCGTAAGGATTTAATGTCTCCTAAGATGAAAAGTTAACAGGTCAGACTCATGGATTGTTATAGAGGCGGATCAAGTATGGCAATACGATAGGTACAGTACAGTAAACAAGGAGGGAAGTGCAATAGGCAGACGAAGGATGAGAACAACTTCTGAGGAGGCCCAAAGAAAAAGGAAGGAGGGACCGACGCTTACAGAAAAAAAAAACTCCAACGACCAGCGTTGACAATGATGGTGGTGATTACAGTTCAAGAGCCGAAACTGATGAGTTTTTATAACTGGCTTTTGGACCGTCGGACAAATTTTCAAGCCAAAGACTTTGATGGAGACACGTTTTGATACGCAGTCACAGTGCCACAGAGTCCAGAAGACATGCGAGTCTGTATTCCTATTGCTAGTTATGACTCTGGAACATACTATCTACCTTCCTTAGTACTATCACGGTCAGGTCATGGTATCACCGGGTGCATGCAGCTATCCTAGTATCCGATGTAAAAAGCTGCGGGTCGTGGATTATAGAGGCGAAATTTGAAGCGAAGGACTGTGTCTGATCCTCATTGATATGGTCTGACTTGAGATGGAGGGGTAACCTTGTATGAGACCAGAGAGAGAGACTCGGATAAATTACATGCGTCTCGGACTGTATAAATCTGCGTTTACTTGGACTTGAAAGGATTCTTGTGACTAATGGCTGGTTTTTCAAGTTGGGACAGGTTGGGACTACTAGAATTGGTGTGAGCATAGTGTCTGATCCGCCATTCGAAATATTCCGGCGCACACAAAGTAGACCAACACCGGCGACTAGGGAGGAAACAGAATGAGCGTAAGAGAGCATTTGGGTGAAAAAGTCACAAATTATGATGAAGATACCTTGAACGTGGCCGGAGACGTAAATGTCCATATCTATGAAATCGTTTGAGTTTTTGAGATCTGTACCGACTCCGTAGTAGAAGCAATGTAGTATTCCAGTGAGCCTAGGAGATATATAGCTATATATAGCAATTTTGATTGCTTTCTGATGACAATTGCGCAACGGCAAGTTGAAGTAGGTTGAAGTGCTAAAGGGATGATTGGAGTCTGGACGCGTCGTTTCCAGAAACTGCCGGTAACTGTACCTTATGATGTAAATCCCCAAAGTGGCAACGGTGGCAATGCACGTCCGTGCGCAGCCATATCCTGAACTTACGATGGGCGGTGATTTCTGCTAAATTAACTTTCATTTCTATCCTTCATCTCTATCCCTAACCCAAGATTGTGCACACATAACAATAAAACTTTATGGCCTCGTTTCTGAAAAGAGTGATCCATGACGCTGAAGAAGGATTGAAGCACACTGAGGATCAAATTGCTGGTAAGATTCGGTATTCGTTTTTGGCTCCTTATCTTTCACTGAACAATTCCAGGTTTCCTCAATCCTAATCGCCGCCACGACGACCCAGAAGAGAAGGCAGCTGATGCTCTCAGAGCTGAAATCAACGCCAGCCATCGATTTGACTCTTTTGCTGAAGAACGTTCAGGAAACGTCGTTAAATGGCATGTTGATGGTCACGATTATATGTGGGCTGTATCCGAGATGCTGGACAATGCGAAGGAGTGTATATTCATTCTTGATTGGTGGTTGACCCCTGAGCTTTATCTGCGCCGACCTCCTGCGAAGCATCCTGAATGGAGGTTAGACAAAGTTCTTAAGCGGAAAGCCGAACAGGGTGTTAAGGTGTACGTCGTGGTTTACAAGGAAGTAACCCAAACCATGAGTATGAGTTCGAAGCATACCAAGGTGAATTTTCTTCGTATAGTCTTGTCGTGTGCTCACTTATAATCTTCTGTGTTCAGGCTGCGCTAGAACAATTAAACCCAGCGGGCACTCATTACATCCAGTGCATGCGGCACCCAGACCACATCGGAGCCAAGGACACCGTCGAATTTTGGAGTCATCACGAAAAAGTCGTCGTAGTCGACAACCATTACGCTTGTATCGGTGGTCTGGATTTGTGTTTCGGAAGGTGCGCTCATCATCATCTCCATCATGTAACATCATCTCACATTATCGGCGGTATTCTTTTCCCGCTTTTCTTTGCCCAGATGGGACACACATAATCATCCTCTCGCTGACGTTCATCCCACGCACTGGTACAAGACACTGTTCCCAGGTCAAGATTACAATAACGCACGGATCATGGATTTCCAGTCTGTCGGGGATTATGCTAGCAACCAACTGAACATTCTGGAAAGCGCAAGGATGCCATGGCATGATGTTAGTTCCAAGTTTGTGTTTGTCTTATTCATTTAGACTAATTCTCTACGAAGGTCCATATGTCTCTTTCTGGTCCCGTCGTTCTTGACATTGTCCAGCACTTTGTTGAGCGGTGGAATGAAATTAAGAAGAGGAAGTATCGTAACAATGAGTCAGCCTCCTTAAAATAACTCACATTTATGCTCTCCAAACGCTTACCTATCTGTGTTGTTAGTGCCTTTGACTGGCTCGCTTTCCCTCATAACGTCGAAAATGCGCCGAACGAGTCTGTTGCGCGTCACCCCCACCGCGAGGCTTGGCATGCAATGGGAAGAAAGTACAAGCAGCGATGGCACGATTGGCTGGGAGGTTAGTCAATACGCTATAATTTCGCATTCCTCTCGTGAACTTATTGCGTCAATTTACTTCTTGAAAAATATAAGATCAAGGCCAAGGACAGAATCAAGACCCGTCCAACGATGAAACGTATTACCAACGTCCGATACCTGCGACAATGCGTGTTCAAGCTGTACGGAGTGTGAGCGATTGGAGTCATGGAGTGTTAACGGAACATAGTATTCAGAATGCTTGTGAGTGTCGAAGTCTGCTCTCTTTAAGCCTATTGATAATTCATTATTTATCAGACATTCAACTAATCAACGAATCAAACCACTACATATACATCGAGAACCAGTTTTTGTAAGTGCGGTTTCCTGCGCCTCAAATTAATCCCCAATTTCTTCCAATTCTCAATGTATTCACTGACTTCCACCTCGAATCCACTAGCATCTCTGCAACGAAGAAGGGCGACGTTGTCACCAACCAGATTGCCGGTGCTCTTGCGAATAGAGTAATTAGAGCTGCGAGGGAGGGAAGGAACTTCAAGGCTAGTCTATCCGCTGCAATAAGCGCAAATCCGTTCTGATTCGCTATCATTCGTCACTAGATCGTTGTCGTTATTCCCGAAGTACCCGCATTCTCTGGCAACATCAAAGACGAATCATCTCTCAAAATCATTATGGCTGCTCAGTATCGTACAATAAACCGGGGCGGAGCGTCTATTTACGAGACCATCAGGAAGGCAGGGTATGAGCCCATGGATTATATCAGGTTCTACCATTTGAGGGCCTATGACCGAATTAATGCCCCCCAACGTAAGTTGTTGCTCATTGTTCTCCCTTGACCAGACATGTATAGTCATGCCATTTCTGTTACAGCATCCTACCTCGAGCGCATCGAACAAGACTCCGGCGTCTCCTTCCACCAAGCGCAAGTAGCTCTGGCCCGTCAATGGCTCGGTTCCCAAGCCACCTCCGCCACCGATACCGGTCCGGTCAAAGTAACCATCAAATCCCCTGAAGTAACCAAAGAAGGCGTGGTTATCACAGAGAAGACGCCTGTGAAGGAAGAAGCCGTCGCCGTCCCGGAGACGGAGGAGGAGGCGAAGCAGATCATTAGGAGGTTTGAGAGAGCTGCGGAAGCGGTTAGAGGAGATGAGGATGTTTCGGATAATGTTGTCCAGCATATGTTGAATGATAAAACGGGGCTGGAGCAGGAGAAGTGGCTGGGGAGTGAGCAGGAGGAGTTTGATGCGTGAGTTTGATTGGAATTGAATCCCGGTGCTGGTAGAATGTAAAGCTGACTGCCTTCTTTTGAAAAGATATGTGTCGGAACTGGTGTATATCCATTCCAAGCTGATGATTGTAGATGACAGAAGGGTGATTGTAAGTATCCCTTAATGATACCTTTATCGTCCTTTGTGTCAAAATTGGCTTCTCATTTTTAGATGGGTTCTGCAAATTTGAATGACCGAAGTCAAAAGGTGACTTCGCATCTGTGGAATTGACATATTGTTTACCCGAACCCATTTTTACAGGGGGATGGCGATTCCGAAATCGCTCTCGTCGTAGAAGACACTGACCTCGTGCAGTCGACGATGGACGGAGAACCGTACATGGCTTCGAGGTTTGCGGCGTCATTGAGAAGGCAAATGTACAAGGGTAAGTATGTTTCTCAAACAAGGATGTATCTCTAGCTTAATGACTTCCCTTACGCAGAGCACCTCGGCCTCATCCCTCCCCAGGACGCCGACATGGATGATGACCACCCCACACCCTACATGCGTCCCGCACCCTACCCGAATCCCGATCGACTCAATTCTCAAGAAGACCAGATGGTCGCTGATCCTCTTTCGACCGACACGATCAACCTGTGGACTGATACTGCGAGACAAAATAGGGAGATCTTCACAGAGGTGTTCAGACCAGTTCCGAGTAATTTGGTGAGGGACTGGGCGGGGTATGATGTGAGTCCAAATCACTTCCTTGGTACTGTAGCTCTCGTTTTGATTGTTTCGCTTCTTACTTTTAGCGATATGTACCGAAAACCAAGACTGGGCATCTCGTGCCAGATATTCCGCTCCAACGAGTGAAGGACCGATTGTCGAAAGTAAAAGGCGCGTTGGTGGAAGCTCCGATCGTAAGCCTTTTTCGTTCTTGCTACTTATCTGTCACGTTGAAATTTTCTATAACAACTATCAGGATTTCCTAATTGATGACAAGGGCTTCGTCGAAGGTCCTGATTGGGCGGGGCTAAACCCGACGCTGCCGATTTACATTTAGATGATATGTCAGAGATTGCTAGCGATTAGGATTTAGCGGAGTGTATCTATTACAGTGAGAGTAAAGTATGAGGAATCTATCTGGATCATCGATATGTACCATCTACACATGTAAGTTACATAAAGTGTACTGCAGTTCAAAATGTGAATCCTGTACATAAGGCTAGGTGATGGCTGCTGCTTCATAAACAAAGATGAGGTCTATTATAGAGTATGGCGATGATAACTCTAGTACCAAGCACTGAAGCAGCCTGAAGCACTTCGGAGAGCTTGTGACCTATTGTAGTCATGCTGGTTCGGTACGTCCGTGTTTTGTGTTTGGCGATGTCGATTACTAGAATACGCTTATCTGACAATCACCTTCTGGTACGTTCTCAGTCTGTTTCGGACAATATCCTCATATGCTTAAACTTGCCTTATCAGTCCTTGTTGTATCGTAACTCTTACATTGAAGAGAATGTTCTTCTTGTCGCACATGATTGTGATAATCATCGTCTTCGCTGCACTCCTCCTCTCTGGTGGCTTCTAAAGCTTCTTCTAGACAACGGTTAGTTGTTTCCACATTTTGCCTGCCACTCTGAGTCAGTTGCTAAATCTGCACCTAGGTCCTTTCTTTAAATCCCTGATACAACTCATGAGGTTAGTAAGCAGCGAGGGTAAATCGGTGCATGCCAGCCCCGTAGGTGCGCATGAAGACTGGGCCATCTTCATTGGAGATCCTGGAGTGGCTGGATCTCAGGCCGTATAAAACCAGACGGGCGTCTAGAAGCCGTACGAGTTCCACCACTCAGAGACAGACGCGGCAACTTGAGGGCCCTTACAGACCTTGGTATGGAAGTGAACTTCGACGATTCTAATCAGAGGGACAATGTCCTCCAAGCCCTACTCACCGAGGTCCCGGTGTTGCATGCTGTGGCATCGCATGAGGAAAGTGTGGTTCGACGAAGAAAGATGCAGTATATGATTGGGATATTTTCCTATTTGACTTCTGCCAAGGTGGTCTGGGTAGATCACCCACCGAATAAATAGCAGAGGTTGTATAACGAGGGGCTTGCTGCGCAGAGTTTGCAAGAATCTTGGACCGGGGAAAAACTACATTTAATGACCTGAGCGGCACACTTGTCATTCTCGGTAGATAACGTTGTGGAACAGAAATGAATGGTTCCCCCAGTGAAAACTTATATATTTTTCAACTCGTAAGCACACAAATGGATTCATTCACCCTCGTCCGCAATTGGATCCAATCTATTAGGAAACCATCCATATGATTTCAGATTGACCCTCAGCTCTCCAGTTCTTCCAACTGTGACTTCCACTTCTTCTTCTTCTAATGCTTGTCTCTGTCGTTCTGCTCCGGTTGTATTTGGGCCTCGAGACGATATTACACCCGAGGACGATATGACACGATGCCACGGCAAAGGAGGAGCAACTCCAAGTCCTGATAATTTTAGAGCTGGCAGATAAAGCCGAAGGATAATCCATAATGAATCAGCGAGAAGGCCTTGGACTTTATGTGCTTACCTTGACCCACATGACGAGAATAATTCGGCATTCCAATGAGGCGGGCGATATGGCCTTTCATTATCCAACATCGTCCATGTTATTGCTGTTTTCACAAAAGTTGGCGCCTCGGTCACACGCTTTACTTTTTGGCTTCAAAATGATACCGAACGAAAACATCGATATCTCACTCGTTCCTCGACCGATTACTGTAAAATTTAGTGCGTTGACAAGCTGTAGTATATGCTCAGAGCGCCCCATGATTATTTCTTCCAAAATATATAATTTTACAAATCTCAGCTATCAAATGGTGTCAAATGAAAACACACAGATATCTTGCTCAATCCTCCACCAATGACTGTAATTTTTAGTGCGTTGACAAGCTGTAAGGTATCCTCAGAGCGCCCCATAGTCGTATCTTGAATGGTGTGACCCAGGCAGTAGAAGTTGAGGAATGTCACATATGGCCGGAAAATGACCCTGAACTATCAGGCGACTCATTCCTTGCTGTTTCTTTTTTCATTGTCTCAATGGGCAATAAGAAGAATGCTAAAAGAAGGCAGTCTGGAAGCCGCAAGAACAAAAAATCAACTCAGGAAATAGAAGAGGATCAACTGAGCAGTGATGAATCACTCACTCCCGATGCTCCCCTTCGACCACCTCGCCCCACTCCAAAACCTTACCACAGAGGCATACCAGCTTACGATGCATGTCACAGCAATTTAGGTGCTGAGATTGATGATACCGCTGCCGCTAGATTGCTAATGTCTTTTCCCGGAGTCTCTCCATCCGAAAGTCAGGCAACACCAGCACGTACTCATCCGTATGGTGTCCATCTATCAAATGAGCTTTCATCCACAAAGACAAGTTGCGCAGCCTGATATAAATGTGAATATGTTAATTTGAACTGTGCTCGTTTGAATTCATCTTGTTCAATTGCAACACGAGTAAACTGTGATATACGGATAAATGACGAGAATGTCAGTCGAGGACAAGATATCGTACCTTCTTGAGCTTGTATCCAGTTTGCCTAAGTGTCCTCCATATTGTTGTAATGCTAACCTGTGTACCTCGTCGCTCCTCTAACTGTTGCTTCAATTCATCAAGGTACATGTCCGGTGTGTGTGCAAGTAACCCGTGAATAAGCTGGTCCTTCCATTAGTATTGCTTCCATACACAAGCAAAAGAACAACATACCTTCATATCCTCGATGCTAAATCTTCCATTTTCTCCTTCGAAGGTCAGTGGTAAGAAGTAGAGTGCCGCCTTGGATGTGTTTCCGGTGTTGAGACAGGATGCGTTGCAGTGTCCGACGTTTGCATGCTGATTTTGTAACAATCTCATCAAGAGACACACAATTGCGATGAAGGTTGATGATTGTGTGGCGAAGGTCTTCAGATAGAGGCTTTCCGCGAGTCATACTGCAGTGAGATGGGGTGTAACGTCAAGAAGGCAGCGCAAAGGATAGGACAAGCAGTAACAAACAGCTTCAAATTGATTTCGCTCTACCACATACTACAACTATGGGGCATTTTAAGGATGCCTTACAGCTTGTCAAGGCACTAAAAATTACAGTCATTGGTGGAAAATTGAGCAAGATATCTTTGTTTTCATTTGGCACCATTTGATAGCTGAGATTTGTAAAATTATATATTTTGGAAGAAATAACCATGGGGCGCTCTGAGCGTATACTACAGCTTGTCAACGCACTAAATTTTACAGTAATCGGTCGAGGAACGAGTGAGATATCGATGTTTTCGTTCGATATCATTTTGAAGCCAAAAAGTAAAGCGTGTGACCGAGGCGCCAACTTTTGTGAAAACAGCAATAAACGTTTGAGCTGTAGATTGAGGAACATACATGTGCAGCAAACTTACCATAACTTGTGACCTTGCCTAATGGAATGCGGCGAACTGTGTCGTATACCTGAGAATGCGTAGAGAGAGTTAGTACCGTTGCCAGTAATATTGAATCTCCAGAAGGTAGGGTCGTTTGGGGGTCGAAACTGGTCGAAAAGGGTCGAAAACTAGTACTATCGTTCTGAATTTGAGGGTGAATTGTTGAAATATACCTACAGCAGCATGAAATTCAGCTATGTCCATCAGCCCAATCGTTCGTTGAGTTTCAGCGATATAAAGGAATGGTTCAGGCTCGTCGGTCGACGGCGTGGACGGCCTGAACGGCCTGACTCATCCGATTCCTTACTCATCTCTTCAGTCCCGTCTTTTTCTCCTCGCCAACAAATGTAGTCGATTCTGAGTTTGTTGACCCCGACATTCTCAGTACCGTCGCACAATGTGTTAACATGGGACCCAAGTTTTGCCCTGAGTTAGATGAAGTTGCAAGTTCGGCTCAATTTCAAGGAGAAAAAGTATCAATGGCTAACAATGGCGATGTGGCCTTCTGCCTCGGCATCCGGATTCATTGGCTGTATCGAATCATGTCAATTATATGGATGAAAATTCGATCGTTGAGAAATGCCCAATCTACTTTTCATTATAGGATCTCTCGAGTTCGGTGCGTCTTTATCTTATAATCACAGCTGGAGCTTTTCTAACGCTACGACTATTAGTACTAGTCCTCGATGTATAGGCTAGGTCGAAAATTTCACCCAAGCCCCAATGTCTCTTCCAGCCTGTCTTCTGTCGTGTTTTCTTCAGATTATCCGAATCCGAGGCTTACTTACTGGACACTGGTTCCACAAGGAACCATCGTGATTTGTCGCTTCTCTTATTCTATTGCTCTTGCAGCAACCGCCCTATGTAGCTGAGGCCCTTTTGTTCTCCGCTGATTGGGAATTAGCTTCTTGACGTACTCCATGTATCAATACAGCCGTCAGTCAATTCGCGTTCAAGCTTTTGATTGGTGTGGTACTAAGATCCTTCTTGACATACATAGTTTTTCTTTCTCTCGAAAGTTCCATTCTCCCGTCTGCAATAGAGTCGTACGTCTCACGAATGCCAGGTCCAGATGCCTATCGATCATCGATGCATACAATGGCTCAAATTCCTACTGTTCTTCGAGAACCTGGAAATTAATTTTTTCTACATTACGCATGTTCCCGGAGGTTCTTGCCCGTCTCCTTAACGTGGTTCGCATGTTTTTTGGCCTCCATTGACAGTGAGACTGACTTGACGTTCCTCGTAATCAGGTATAAAAACTAACGTGAATACGAGGTTTCGAGTATCGAACCACCCTTCGAGATCTTCAAACAGACACACAGCTTGAGCAAAATGTTTTTCCGCATCTCCACCGTCGCGTTCTACGCCTTGTTCGCTTTTGCCATCCTTGCTGCCGCCACCCCAGGAGGTAAACCCACCACTACCGTTGCCCCGGTCACCACCACGATCACGGTCACTGCGGTACGAGAGCGGATTTTTATTTCATACGTCGCCTTCGCTCATTTCATTTGACTGTTACGTAGCCCGCTACGACCACGACTATCACTTCCGGTGATTGCACCACTGGTCCCATTCAGTGCTGCGAAAGCACCGAGAATGTAAGATTATTTCTTACAGCCATTGGCAATGACAATTCCCTTAACTATACTTCTTTAATGCAGGCTTCATCCACTGCGGCCGGTCTCCTTCTCGGTTTGCTCGGAATCGTCTTGGATGACCTTAACGTCTTGCTTGGTCTCAACTGCAGCCCCATCACGGTCATTGGTGCTAGTGGCAGCAGCTGCTCTTCTCAGGTGGTCTGCTGCGCGGACAATGCTGTGGTAAGTTCTGAATTTGTGCGGTCGAGGTCGGGCATGGGGTCTGATTCATTTTTTCAGGGTGGACTGATTTCTATCGGATGTATCCCTATATTTCTTTGAATCGTTGGGTGGTCTATACAAGTTTCTAACCGTCCTACGGACAACACATGAGTGTTTTGAAGCTCGCAACATTCTTCGTGTGTTTTTATTTCTTGGTCCTTCAGAATCTCGTTACTCTTGCCTGTCATGCGCTGTACGTAGATGTATCTACTGCTTACAATGAATTTGCGTGCTTCAGAGGCCTTGTTTCCAATCATAGCGTGACCTTGAACTTATTTCCCCTGGCATTGAGGCTGTCATGCATAGACTCCTGCGTCCTATTGGATATTGCACCATGTTTTACATGCGATTGCAGGCCACTGCACCACCGTGCATGGCAAAAACTCGGCTCCTTTTTTGGGGGCTATTAAATATTATGGAATCAAATAAACGGGGCACCTTACAGGCGCCGACATTGAATGTTTTTTAAGAATGAAATAAATACATGAATTACAGTATCTATAGAGTAACAGGGGGTAACTGAGTGAGATGCTGTGAGACGAGAAAAAATAATTGTGACAGAGTCACAGTCCCGTGATATCCCGTGCCGGTCACAAGAATTCAATACAATTCAACTCAGTGTTACATTTGGCCAAATAAGGCGAAACTACTGCCATAAAGGGAAATAATTTTTGTATGGAGTACCGTACATAAGGACGATACTTCCGTAAACTACAGCCTCGTAACATGCGATAGCAGGCCACTGCACCACCGTGCATGGCAAAAACTCGGCTCCTTTTTTGGGGGGTTATTGAATATTATGGAATCAAATAAACGGGGCGCCTTACAGGCGCCGACATTGAATGTTTTTTTAAGAATGAAATAAAAGCAAATTTACATGAATTACAGTATCTATAGAGCAACAGGGAGTAACTGAGTGAGATGCTGTGAGACGAGAAAAAATAATTGTGACAGAGTCACAGTCCCGTGATATCCCGTGCCGGTCACAAGAATTCAATACAATTCAACTCAGTGTTACATTTGGCCAAATAAGGCGAAACTACTGCCATAAAGGGAAATAATTTTTGTATGGAGTACCGTACATAAGGACGATACTTCCGTAAACTACAGCCTCGTAATGTACGGCTCCAGGGCCTCGGGGCCTCAGCCTTTTGGATAAACATTAACAAACTGACCCCGCATTTCTCTTCTTATATACGTCTGGTCACGACTCACGACTCTGGAAGTAAAAGCAAGCCTATTAGTATCAGATTAGAACTCACTTTTGCAGCACATTGGAAGCTACTGAAAGAGTCATCACAACCTCTGTCAGTCTTTTTTACCAATAAATTGACCGTATCATTCATTCGAAACAGTGTACACCTCCAATATGATCGCTCTCATTCACAACCTCCTTTATATCCTATCCTATCCTATCCAATGAAATTCTCTCCGAAATCTTTCTCTGTTATATCTGCATTAGCTGCTGGCTAACCCTGAAGCTCATCCACGTCTGTTCTGAAACATTTTTCGCTCAATCCGTGGGTACATGATATCTCTGTGATTGCCATGCACACATGAGTCCTTTCGTTGCTGGAGACGCTGATTCTAACTCATGCCCGTGTCCGAGAAAAAACAGCATTGTTACAACGATCTCACCGTTATACACTTTGCAAACTGTCCCTGCGTGACAGTGAATGGACCTCGATCGAGCTATTTGAACTCTTTCAAAACACATTATTGCTCCGAGTTGTCGATTTACTACTTCAGGACAATCATTTTTACAGCGAGAACACATTTGACGATTAGTTACTCCGCGAAATGACCTATCCTGAACCGGATGTCCGCAACTCAATCTCAATCGATACGCAGTTGCTTCCACGTCTCCAGTGTTTCCAGTACATGCCCCCAAAATCGTGTGATGTGAACGGAAATATTATGGTGGATATGATCGTATCTCGTTCGCGTGGTTCACTGCCAGTGACTGGTGCAGCTGCTTTAAGAGTGGGTATAGCTGCTCTTTGTCAGGCATATTTCGGAGCGCCGCGGCATGCTAAGAGGTTATCCGATCTTGAGTGATAACTCGATCAGGAAATTGGAGAAAGTACGGAGGGAGGGTATGAAGGTTTTCATGGAAGGGTTTAGAAGTAGCGAGGTTCCATGGCTCGGATGCTGCAGCCTCTCCGAGTCCAATCATCAATGAAATCTACACATGAGAATTTGCTCAATATGTGCTATTCTTCAACGTCGTAGTAATTGTTGAGTATGTTCTCAGTTGATAAGGGAAGCAACTGAGATATATATTTAAGTACCTGTTGAGTATGTTCTAAGGTACTTTAGTAAAACTAGAAAGAAGGAAAAATAAGTAATCTCACCTCAGTTGATAAGGGAAGCAACTGAGGGAGTGTAAACTAATATGTCAAGTATATATGGTGATCGAGAGTCTAATAGGAGTAAAAAAGAAACGGTGGCCGAGAAGAGAAAGTCGCACAGACCAAAGCTGAGCATACGAAGTATTAGTCCAACACCCCCCCTACTGCATATGCTGCAGGTTGAGCATTTTGATCATTTGTGTATGTGTATTCCCCGAAAGTGGTTTTGTGGTAATGTCTGCCACATTCTCCCCACTACGGATTCGTACTACCTTCACACTACCATCTTTAACCTTCTCCCTGATATAATGTTCTCGCATATTGATGTGTTTGATGAGCGAATGATTCCTTGGCTCCTCGGACAAAGACACTGACCCAAAGTTGTCGCCATAGATAAAAGTGGGACCTTCGAGTGGTAGGTCAATTTCTTGGATAAAGGAACGAATCCAGCACACCTGTTGACAAGCTTTCGAGAGACCGATATATTCTGCTTCCGCTGTAGATAGTGCGACGGAGGCTTGTCTCTTTGATGCCCAGGAGACAGGAGCACCCCCCATGAAAAATATATAACCAGCAGTAGATCGCCGAGTAACTAGGCATGAAGCCCAATCACTGTTGGAGTATCCCAGAGGTGCAAGGCCAAGGCCGAGGTGATCATCCCCAGGATTAGGCACACGATAGGTGATAGAGTAATCAATTGTTCCATGGATATAGCCTGCAAGCCATTCACAAGCATTCCAATGAGTGATACCTGGGTTCAGCTGGAAGCGAGCAAGGAAATTCGAAGCAAACGCGATATCAGGCCTTGTTGAGCAAGCACCCCATAGCACAGATCCAATGAATGAACGGTACGGTTTATTAGACATGAATTTTCAGTCAATTTCGGAGATTGGGTTCAGAGATTCAGTGATCTTTGCCTTAAGATCTAATGGAGTGCGACGGATATGGACGTTCTCCAACCCGAAGTGTTCCAGCATACGCTCGAAGTATGATTTTTGGGATATCGTGATGGATTTGGAGCTTGGGTCTTGAAAAATGGTCATTCCCAAGAGAACGCCTGAATTAACTTCGCCTGACTCCCATCTCTTTCCTAAGTCTGCAATAGCTCTTTTTCTACCAATTTCGGACAAGGAGGCACCGCTCACATCATCGCCATATGTAGTCGAAAGGGTGTACTCATCGCCAATCTGACGGTATCGTACACAAGGATCGGCTCTTGAAGCAATATACCCGTCCTCCTCATATCCTTTGCCTAGGGTGTCCTGCCAGTCGTGGCTGCCCTGCATTGTCCCATAAATCGACTTGTTGAGTTTACACACCTTGTGTTCTTGGCCTTCCTTGACAAAGCCTTCAGGCTGCTTCATATACACGTCGTGGTTGAAAGGAGAGTTCAAGAAAGCAGCCTTGAAGTCAACTTGGAACATAAACAGGCCGAGGACAGCAATAATCGCGAGGACTATGCGGACGGATTCCATACGTGCAACTGCACCATAGGTTTTGTCATAATCGACGCCTTCAATCTGAGTGAAACCTTGTGCAACGTATCGAGCTTTTCGTTTCGCAACCTCGCCATCTTTTGACCATTTAATTGCATAAACCCACCTCCCACCTGTGACGTTCGCATTCGGCGGCAGATCCACTAACGTCCAGCAATTTTTCTCAATCAGGGTGTCATATTCAGCTTGCATAGGGGCCCTCCAAAGTTCGGGACGGCGCATGGCCTGTTTGTACGTGTTCGGGACCCACTTATCGCTCGACTCAGCGGCAAAAGCAAATGGGCTATGTGTCGTCTATACCACCAGTGTCTTGAGCCCACGCAAGGTCCCGTTTCAAAGCAGACCGCTCCCTTTCAGCCGATTCCTCAAATTGGATTTGGCGAGTTGATGGTTGTCGTATACGAGTACTACGTCTCGGACCAGTGTCTGGATCTGGAGTTGGTATTGGTAAAGGTTGAGGGAGAGCTTGATTTGCGAAAAGTTCTGCCAGTCCTTTGTAATTGGGAGTAGAAGGTGTTGTAGATATTGAGGGAATGGATGCGGTGGAATGGTCAATTTGATTTTTGTTAGCCGGAGGACCAGGCATGGCATCTGGAGCCGAACCAACGTCGACATCAACAAACACTTCACCATCGACCTCATCTGGTACCGCGGGTGCAGATCTGCGAGGATCTCCTTCCTCAAATTTGATGCTGCGAGATTTGTGAAAAGATCTGGTCTGAGGCAGCCAGATCCTATACCCCCTTCTGCCGATATACCCAACAAATCGTCCCTCCACAGCTCTAACACTGAGTTTCCCATCTGTCTGGATTGCGTCGAGTGTTGCCCAGCATTTGCAACCGAAAGGTCGGAGATGGGACACGTCATGGCGCTTCTTCGTGTATATCTCAATAGGTATCTAATCTGGAAAACGAGACGAGGGAATAAACGTGTTTACGTAGCAAAAGGTGAGTGCTGCTTCAGCCCACATCGAAGGGGGAAATCCAGCATCAACTAGAAAGGTCCTGACCCCATCTAGCACAGTTCTATTGGCTCTTTCAGCTACTCCGTTGGCTGAGGAGGATCTCGGTGGAATCATCTCAATAACTATGCCATGTTCTCGACAGTAATCCCGGAACCACCCATTATTGAACTCTCCACCACCATCTATCCGGAATATCAAAACTTTGAGACCCGTTTGTCATTCTGCCATCGTACGCCAATCATGAATAGCTGTTAGAACTGTCTCTTTCTGCTTATTCGTTAGAAAAGTCGGAGCTTTGACGGAGGAACGCCCATCCGTCGTGAGAAACATCTACATAGCGTCACCAATACTCTGGGTTCGAGTTGGACCGAAAAGATCGAGATGGATACGTTCGAGAACTTTGGTTTCGTGTGTAAGTTTTTCATCAAATGGTCGGTGAGTTGATTTCCCTAAGATGCATGGTTCGCATTTACCAGCTACTTTCTTAGAAGTGATTTGCAAGCCGTCGACCAGGTTGTGCCTATGCATCAGGAGTATTCGATCAATAGCTGGATGTCCAAGTCTGCGATGCCATGTATGAATATCGACAGGCTTATTAAGTGATCTAGCAAAGTTTGCGAATGAGGGCGGGAAGTGAGCTTGTACTTCATACATTGTGCCCTTGCCTTCGCCCTGCATAACGATGCTTCCATTCGCGGTTCCTACGGTGAGCGACCCTCTACCCCACTCTCCTTTCATTCCTTTGGCATCCAACGTTCGCAACGAGATTAGGTTGTGATGAAAGGATGGAGTGTGATACACGTTGTTCAATCGGCATCTTCTCCTTATTCCGTCAACCGCTGTCTCGAATTCCACAGTACCTTTCCCATGGATCTCGAATTCTCCTGCTTTTCCGGCGATCACTGACTTCCCTGCCTTTCCGTACAGATTTTCATACTTAATGAAATCATCCCTTTGAACCCAGAAATGATCACTCGCAGCTGAGTCCAGGAAGGTTTGAGGTACTCGCGGTTTCAAGGCAGCATATAATAGAGTATTTTTATTGTGAGCTGAACAAGCAGTACATTCGTCAACGTCTGAAGATTGGTGGGGAACCGAAGAATTTAATACGTCTATGTTGTGTGTAACCTCTTCATTTGCCTCATACCCTCTTGATACTGACATACAGTTTCTGCAGGTATGAGCATTAGGGAGCTGGATAGACGAAATGGGTGTTGAGAGTGACGTACACAAGTCGAAGAGTTCCATGATGGTATGATTTCCACCGTTGCTAGCGTAGTTCGCAGTCTGGGTGACTGCGGTTTTGGCTTTCTTAGGTCCTCCCCCTTCATTACCACCACCGGGTGCCCAACATTTCTCAATCGTATGGGTGCGACGTCGACGAGGAGGGCAGTTAGGATTCGTACATGTAGGGTGATCCTTCTTGGGAGCAGACGCAGTATTTGCCGAGTGGAAAGAGGCCATCTCCTGAGCTATGAGAGCTCGAACCTGACTACGCTGTCGGGTGTCCTCCTCATCCTCCTTCTTATTGTCATATACTTGACGAAGGTGAATAAACGCATCATCGCTCGAGAATCCCTTGACATTAATTAGGAGATCTCTCCACGACTTAGGCATGGACGCGATTACGATAAGGCGAAATTGGGAGTCAAGACAGGAACTGCCTAAGTTTCGAAGTTCCTTTAGGTGGTTCTTCATTGTCTTTTCATGCTCCTCAATAGCCGTAACGCTGGGGTCAAATCGAGCAGACCGGAGTTTAGTATCGGCCTGATGTACGCGCATCTCATCCCGTCTCTCATATTTCTTCTTCAATTCAGCCCAGATGTGGTATGCAGGTTTTTCACGTTCGACGCCTAGCCCAACGGGATCGACAATGTTAAGATAAATTATACTGGCAGCCATCCTGTCACGTTGACGCCATTCGTGCGGGAAAGGAGTCGGACTATACGCAGGTGTCGATGTGGATGCAGGAGGGTACAGAGTAGATGTGGAGACATAGCCACTAATAGGAGGCCGGATAATAGAACCATCAAGATAACCTTCAAGTTCCCGAACTTCAATATGCGCGAGGACTTGGTCTTTAAAGACTTGCCATGTATTTTCGCCAGACAATTGGGATGATTCGGGGAAGCGCGGGATCGACAGCGAGCTAGCTGTGGAGGACATAGCTTCGAAGATAAGGATTCACTGTGATAGATATATTAGCTTTGTCTGTTAAGCTCGGTTGAGCTCGAGTCTCATAATCCGTTGAGTATGTTCTCAGTTGATAAGGGAAGCAACTGAGATATATATTTAAGTACCTGTTGAGTATGTTCTAAGGTACTTTAGTAAAACTAGAAAGAAGGAAAAATAAGTAATCTCACCTCAGTTGATAAGGGAAGCAACTGAGGGAGTGTAAACTAATATGTCAAGTATATATGGTGATCGAGAGTCTAATAGGAGTAAAAAAGAATCGGTGGCCGAGAAGAAAAGAAACGGTGGCCGAGAAGAGAAAGTCGCACAGACCAAAGCTGAGCATACGAAGCATTAGTCCAACAGTAATGACCCCCTACCAGTAAACTATTCTGTACGGCTAATCAAAGGCAATTGACCAATAGCTAAATCAAGATGATACTGTACTACTGTTGACGCGTCGCGCGACGCGTTTGAATCAGCACGTGGTTCTACGTCCTATTCAACAAAAAATTCCTACTTCATCACTGTCACCATTATATTGCTACTCTTTTTTGCGACACTGTAATAATATCACAGAGCAAGAACTGTATGTTCTAGCAAACTTCCTTGTTCTTGGTGGGTCACCTCTTTCTGAATCCCATTGGCCGCTGTTTGATACCATTTTATATAGTCAATCATATCTCTGACTCTTTGCTCCATCTTGAAGATTCTGCACATGGCCGCTCTCACTCTCATTCATGGCCTTCCAAACGAGACTCTCCGAAATCTTCCATCGCTATACCGAAATGCACTTCACCTTCACATCTGATCCCGACGACAAAAGTAGTGGCTGGACTTCACTTAAACTCGGTCATATCTGTTCTTGCTGGCGAAATGTTGCGATAGCCACTCAGGACGTCTGGTTTTACATCAGAATTCCTAATTATGTTCCAGAGGATGAATGGGAAAATTGGGACTGGGAAGACAAAGCTGAAGATATTTTGCCCCTAATCAAGCTCTCATAGAGCGCTTCAATGCAGCCCTGTTGAACATCTCTCTACAATACCCCTCGATTGGTATACTCTTGTTGCTTATGGCACACTCGCATCGCTGGCGCCTGGTGAACCTCGTCGTTAGCAACAAATTTTCCGGGAAAAGATATGATCCCAGATGCCTACTGTCTGCCGTTCTTGATCGGACCCCTGCTTTAGAACAACTTTCCTTATTCTATATGGGAGACGACACGCTGGCGAATTCATGGTCTGAGGACGCTGTCCTCAACTCTTTTGAACTCGCTTCGAAACTCACCTCGGTCTCCGTCTATCGCACAGGTTTTTCCCACTCGAAACGTTCAAATTCCCTTGGCAAAATCTCTCTTCTGTGTCAGTCAATAGATTGCGTCGCTCTCATTCACGTCAAACCTATCCTTTTTTTGTGTCCAAAACTTGAACAAGCCATTTTTAGTTGCACCGAAGACGACAGGGATGAAAGAGATGGAATAACACCGGCCCATTCTCAGGCGTACACTAACCACAAACTGAAAAATTTCACACTCAGTTACTCAGCTTTTGACGAAGACGACGACGTGTCCGTGATAGCCATACACAACTGGATTCTTCCCTCTCTGGAGAAACTCTCTGGATAACGTCTCGGCTCAGGATATAACAGCATTGTTGCAACAATCACATTGTCGGACACTTCGAACTTTGTCATTAAATCAGGGCTGGTGGACCTCCATTGAACTCTTCCGACTTTTCCGAAATATCCCGCTTCTCAACGAGCTGGTGCTTTGGGACTTGAAGAAAAACGACAATACGTTTGATAATTGGCTCCTTCGCAGGTTGACTTATGCTGAACCAGATGACCATAGTCCTAGGGAGCAGCTTGTACTATAGATGGAAGTGTCATGGCGGATATGATTGCCTCTCGTGCGCGGGGTTCGCCCTCCGGTGCTGCTGCTCTCAAAGCTGGTATGGCCGTCCTTCGTCAGGCCCGTTTTGGAAGGCGGCTCTTTGACAGCCATCCTGTGTTGGATCAAAAATCGATGAACAAGCTTCACAACGCGCAAAGCGAGGGTATGGATGTGAATGTGGAAGGATTCATAAGCAACGATGGGTACCAAGTATTAACGTGTGACAAACTAACATACTCATGTTGATTGTTTTGAAGACCTCTGGACGTTAATAGGAAGTGATTCTGGTTTCTGGTCTCTCCAACCTCTGCAAATAAGAAATTAGGGTATGTTCCTGGAATATATATTGTATGATGTATCGTACTAGTGTGAGCCGCCTCGCTGACACTGGTGTAGAATCCATATGGGTAATATCAAGTCATACAACTTTGCATTCACTGTCATCGGCGTTTCTGGGGAGACTGAGCCCCGAACGCTAAGGTGTCGCAACGCGGTTGATTGTTCCAACCCAGTAATCAACTTCCTTCCTCTGAGTCGATTCACATGCCACAACGCACGTGTCAGAACGACTTCGGTGCCAGTGTGTTCAGCTCGCCCAACCACATCAACCACATGCACCCAAACATGATTCTGCAAACCTTCTCAAGGGCTTATATAAACCAAATGGTTTTGACTACAATCTGTGCTTGCCCGTCATCTTCCCTTGTTGAAACAGCGAGATGCGTCTATCCGTCTTATTCACGCTGTCTACTATATACGTCGCATTAGGCGTGATTTTACCGACAAAGAGGTCAGTCGGATATTCTTGTTAATTTCGGTTGTGTTAATCCTGTGTTGATCCTATCTTCAACTGGTCAGGGCAACCATTTGTAACGGCCACGCAGAGCTTTGTACCAGACCATACGGAAATACTACGTTCCTTGGTTCTCACGACTCGTACGCGTTCAGCAGTGACCCTCTTGCTCGTGAGCTACTTCAGATTCTAGACATAATCCTTCGTACTCATCAACGTTCTTGTAGTGGCGAGGGATCAAGAAGTTGATATCCCAACCCAACTCGGTCTTGGAGTTCGTTTTCTTCAAGCGGAAGGACATTTGTATGAATCTTCCTTCTTTTCATCTGTACTTGCCGTTGTGATATTTTGCTAATGCCTAGGAACGATGGAGTGCTTCATTTCTGCCATACCAGTACGTGACAATGATGATTCAAATTGATTTTGATTACTCTTTTAAACTTTTCTTCAGGCTGCGTATGTGTGACTACTTGTGGGCTTCCCCAACTTCGTTTGATGTCTTCTTCACTTGTAGCTTCTTTTCGATGGAGGAACTGTTGTTGACTACCTCGCCACGGTCAAAACTTGGTTGGATGCAAACCCAAACGAGGTCTTGACCCTTCTGTTTACCAACTCTGATGGGTTATCGATTCCGGATGTGTGGGCTCCTACTTTTGTTGCTGCTGGTACGTCTCGACTGGTCGGGACCGATGTAGATTTAAACCTTTCGACTAGGGATCGACACCGTATCCTATGTACCGCCCACTAATCCGATGACTCGTTCTGACTGGCCTACCCTCGGCGAAATGATCGACAGCGGAAAACGAGTGATCACATTCATGGACGCTGGCGCGGACGGTACCGATGGTGCTCCCGTTGATTATATCCTCCCAGAATTCACGATGGTGCGTTAGTGGCCCGTGTACATCCACTTTCCTGTCATATTCTTATCAATCCTTCAGCTGTGGGAACCGCCCTTCGACTCTACTGAACCCAGTTTTCCCTGCTCTGTTGACCGAATTGCGGGACCACTATCAACCGTGGATCATTTGAACATGCTCAATCACAACCTTGATATCAATGTCTTCGATACTGGTGTTCTCGTCAGCGATCCTGAAGATGCCTCGACGACCAACGGGGTGGCTTCGTGCGTGTGATCAATTCTGCTTGGGTCCTTTGGTTGCTCACCGTGTTGACTTCAGAATTCTTGCGGACGCGAATGGTTGTGCGCCCTTGGCAGGCGGAGTTGCTCCGAACTTCGTTATGCTTGACTTTGTAAACATTGGAGCAGGGCTGCAAGCAGTGGATGAGCTGAATGGATTTTCTTCGTAAATTTAGCTCCGACCGGATTCCGATGTATGGTCCTGAGCACTCTATTGACTATTATCTCTTATCATTTGTCCAAGAGATCCAGCTTTACGAGAGGAAATGTTTTGGTGTCATTTTGTTGGTTTGAATCCAGTGAAACTCTTCGTTGTCTATCCTTAACTTTATGTAAGCACTAGCACATTTTGTTCAATTACGAATTAGATTTTTTGACGGCCAGCCTTCGTTATCCCACCTTTATTCGACCTCGAAGCTCCGAACCTTCCCGAATAAACAGGAACCTGAAAATCACGGGCAGGAAGCCTTGGTCGATCCCTATTTAGAAGCTGCGGGAGCCCAAGCTCTTGTTCCTGAAAGCTCAACAAATCGCGCCTTTTTAACCATTTGTCCACTAAGTCCTCGCGGTTTTGCAGTACAGTATGCATAACTCTTCACTTCCTTGTTTCTCGGTACACACGGCTGATCTCCTTTTCGGTGAACCACTGCCGCCTCGTATTCAATCGAGGTTGCGGTGCGCGCGCGCCCCCACACGCACTCGATGGATTTATTGCGCAATCAATATACTTGCTAGAGATCTGTTTTCCGATATTCCACCAAGGCCATTTGCCTCAAGCTCTGGTCTTGTGATTTATGACCTCGATGGTGGCTTACTCTCCTCGCACAGGAGGTGGAGCAGCTATGTGGCGCCTCCTCTGTTTATTTCATTGAACTTCCCAAGGATTTAGTCCCGTAACATGTAATTACCTATCGATTTCTCTATATAGGCCGAGGATTCATGAGCGCTCGAGCCTCGTAACAGCTATATCCTACTGACCGTGGTCATATAGCTACCATCGGAAATCTACATTACTACTATATCGTGAATCCAATCGACCAACATCTTTACTTCTCAACGGTGAGCCGCCGACAGGTTTCCATCCCCATGTGTCAGATACTGTCAGGTACCACATTTAATCTTCCAACTTTTTAAGCTCGCTGACTTTATATAAGTAACCAGAATCCATTTTTTGTCCCCCAGATTAGCGAGGATCAACGGGACTATTTGATCTAGCTTTTGCTCCTCTCCCTAACCCATCACTTAGCTTGTTTCTGTTCGTACCTTTATGGTTCGTGGTCGTAAGCGCGACATCAGTGCTCCCTTGACTCGTTCTTTGATTTTACAAAGAGATTACCGAGCGCGAAAGGCGAAGTATATCTCGGATTTGGAGACTCGATACCAGAAACTTGAAGCGGATAATCTGAGGCTTTCGAAGGAGGTCCAAGATCTCAAATATAAATTGCGTCAGAAAATAGATCGCAAAGAAACACTGTTCGCTTCTCCGACAACTGAAGCAGATACGGAAAAGGTGTGTCCATTCGTTTACCTCGCTACATGTACTCATAAGAATCTGGCCAGACTCGTGCCTTAAACAAAGTCATATTTTCTCTATCCTCCGCAGCAGCATCCATCAAATCCTTCCAGAATTTGACGAGGAGTGATGACTACGACGTCCAGGCTCCTGAAGAGCGTACTTTAATCGACTGGGAACGTGGGCGTCCTTCTCCTTCGACAATGCCCATATCAAATTTCTACGCATATAGTGACCATACTGGCTTGTCCACTAATGATATTCGACCTTTGCAACTCTACTCGCCCGTTTCAAATCCTTCTCCCCCTCCTTCCCTTCCAACTTCGAGCCCCCGCAATAATCTCTCCGAGAGCTGGAACCCAGAATTCATGGCACAAAATTATTCCAGTGACACTAATCCAGTGGACGGTTCTACTTCTCGGGCTCGTCACATGCGGCCTCAATCAGCAGCTGTATCTGACCAATACGAACAGTCTAATGTATATCTTTCTTCTCAGGGTCGTTCAGGCCCTTCGGTGGAACTCTCGTCGTCGACCCAACCCGGAACAATCACACATTCTCAAAGTTTCTTTGAGCATGAACTTTCTACAGCTTCATTCAGAAATGACCGATCCTCCAATCGTCCGGTATCCTCGTATGATCGCCTACATCACAACTCCACAGGCCAACTGATACCCTTCAAATTGAACGAACCCTCCCTCCCTCAGGACATTCGTTCAATGGCTCCCTATAGCTATGAACGAACACTTTCACAGAGTCTGCGAAACTTTGTATAATAACGAATCGGGTTTCTTGTTGGGTCATATTTAGCATTATCGTAATCTTTGGGTATTTTTCTTCTAGATATTTTTCAAGTTGTCAACTCGAATAATGAATGCGATATGCGAACTCATCCAAGAGAAATATGAAAATCATTCAGTTTTATTTGCTCGATTCGATCTGTGGGGATTATTGATCAATGATACATGATAATACAGAGGCTCGGCGAGAAAACATTTCAATTATAATATCGATATAAGCTTCGGTTGTGGGTAGGGAATATCTACTTGGAAGTGTGGATGAACCGGCATAAAAGGAAACATTCCTCTCATACAAACGTTCACTGGTGATGCAAGATTGTGAGTGGGTAGTATCGTGTCAACGTTGATATTCTTCCATTCACCCACATTCCTGTCCATCATCATAGACGAGCAGTGCGGAGGGACGGGGACAAGATTTCCGGTCGGCGAACCTATTCGTGGAGAGCACGCACCGCTTCAGCTATAGTCTTGGTGTCTTGTGAAAGCGCGCCTGCAATAGTCATTGCGATGCCCGCGTCGGCACGGAACTGGCGTACAGACTTTTTCACCGTGGCGTCTTCCTTTACCGATCGTTGCCCTTTTCGCAGGCTGTTTCAAAAGCCCTCGTACCGTCGTCGATTTGCTTGAATAAGCAAAGGGTGCCACTCATGAAGGCGAAGTCCGAGTCAAACGCTGTAGAATCGCGCTGATGATAGTGAGCTCAATAGAACACAGTGAACACTTCTCTGGGAAGAAACATTGTCTGATGAGGTGTGATGAGAAGTTATGAGTTTGGTGCTGCGAACCTGTTGCGAACTAGGTTGCGAACTGCGAGTAAGAAGAAGCTTCAACAAATGAACCGCTCGATAAAGCTAGCCCTGTCTTCCTTGTTCTGACTTTCTCTGCAATCAAATCATCAATTGTTTCAAAACCCTCGTATGGTACTTACTAGGCTCCACTGTCGTGGACCACACCTTGCTTGGTACATGGTAGATTCAAAACGCAGCGCGCACAGGGCGCGCCGCGAGTGGGTACGGGGCTGCCATATGCTGGGAGGAGTGAATTGCTGTGGAACCTTCAGAATAAAACAAGCTCAAAGTGTGCCTGCACATCAAAAATGTCCAATTCCGGGGTAGAATAGACCTTAAGCAAGGTGATGGAAGGACCCGTGGAGTCTATGTGGAGTCCTGTTTTATCGGACTTCCTTGATGTGGATATTCCGATTTACTAAGCAATCACCCCTTTAGTTCAGTCATTGCAGCCGTTTAGCAGGGGATTATCAGGGATTATCAAGTGGAAATCAGCATCAAAGTGGACCTATGGGATCGGTACATGTGGTCAGGAAACACAAATACTTACGAAAATCGTTCGCAAGATCCTGTGGTTACATTCCATCCTTCGGACACCATCCGTAGATAGATAGATTACAGTCAAGGCGTTTATCAAATGCCAAAGTATGCAAAAATGAATGATGAATCAGGGCTTAATTATCCATTGCACATAAAGAATACAATCGCAAAAAAGAAATAGAGGCTGATAGCATAGGTAGATACTTTAAGGTGAGAGAAGAGCGGCAGCATAGACCGCGGTAAATTAGAATCACTGAAAGACGGCAGATGAGGGTGGTAATACAAAGCAAGAAATCACTGGAAGAGCACTGAGGATCAAGAGAATGGGTATTCACTCAAAGGTGTGGAAGAATGAGGACAATGGATATAGGGCATCGGTAAGCTGATACTGAACTGAACAAGACAGAATCGGCGAAATGAAACGAGAGAAAATGAGTATGTACCGGGAGATAGAATTCCGAACTCAGACTAAGCCATTGCGATAGCCCTCCGCAAAAGCGGATGCTTGGTGACATTTCTCTCGCCTGCCAATTTGTTGATGGAGTTCAGCAGGTCTGCACGACGTAACGGCTCTACATGCAAGTGAGAAGTCAGTTCATTTACAACATAACCAACACGGCTCCGAAGGAGACAGAAAAAGTCCGACGTAAACAAGCAAGACCACTCACTCGTGATATGATCATCCATTCCTGCCTGCAGGCATCGTTCCCTGTCGCCAATCACTATGATACGGAGTCAACAACCAGCAAGAGAGAGAACATGAACAACAATAACTTACTTGCATGTGCAGTCAGTGCAATTATAGGTATCGGCGTTAACCCATGCTTCATCTCATGTTCCCGAATCAGCTCGGTTGCTTCCATACCACCCATAAACGGCATAGAGACATCCATCTGTAATGAAAGAGGACATCATCGTCAGTATTGTTAGTCTCAGACTATGCAGAAAGTAATGCACCAGAATTATATCAAAGGGCCTCCCCTGTGCCACCCTACCCTTGAATGCATCAACAGCTAAGCTCCCGTTTTCCGCTATCTCTACCGAATGCCCATACTTCTCCAAAATCTTCACCGCCAACTTTTGATTGACTAAATTATCCTCCGCCAAAAGGATATCGAAAGTTACATCATTCGCAGCGGCGACCGGGCTAACCGTGTTGCTCTCCAACGCACTGACAAGGGCACTAGCCAGATCTTGAGCTGATACGGGTGTGGTGACCTGGGCAGATATCGAATTGTCCAAACACCATTTCACTGATTGGTGCCGGTCATGGGAAAAGGGAGGGAAGTAGGACGTGGATGAGCGAATTTGGATAGCGGTATGCTGAGTAGACGACCCACAGTTGAGTCGGGGCATTGATGGTGCGAGAAGCACGATGGGGATGTATCGAAGATGCTCGATTTCACGTATGGTTTCAGCCTAGGAAGGGAGGGACTTGGATGAGCAAAGTTTGTAACGGGTGAAATAAAAGAGTGGGTACGAAGGAAGAAATTACGCACTGTGGACAACGAATCAACTACGATCGTATCGAAATGTGGGCAATTGTCTTTGTTAACCAGCTCGCTCACTGTGTGCCTGACATGCGGCGTTAAGCCCAGCTCCCGTATCCTATCATCCACTCCAGTCTTATCATACAATGTATCCACGAACAAGATTGCTCGCTTAGCGAAGGGCGACATCTTTGATAGCGTGGACTCGAGGGATGCTTGAGATATTTGAGAGGAGATCGTGAAGAAGAACCGTGATCCTTTCTGAACTTCGGATTCCACCCACATGTTTCCTTGCATTAGGGAGACAAGACGCTTGGATATTGAGAGACCGAGACCGGTGCCTCCGTATTCCTATAAAGTACAATCTTATCAGCGTCTTGCACAAAAGGACCCGTGAACCGCTCACTCGAGTCGTACTCCCATCGGCTTGACAAAATGTGTCGAATATAAGGTTCAACTTATCCTTTGCAATTCCAATTCCTGTATCACTGACACAGAATTCCAGCGTCACATTTTGGTCGTCCATCGCCAAAAGCCTACAACTGAGCGCTACATGCCCTTTCCTCGTCACCTTGCTCGGAGTGAACTTGATCGCGTTTCCGACGAGGTTGGTTATGACCTGACGTAAGCGGAGAGAGTCACCAATGAGTTGGTCTGGGATGTCGGGCTCGATATCGTACGTGAGGTCGAGGTTATTTTGCGAGGCTCGAACAACGAGAGTTTTAAGAATGCCGAAGACAGTTTGGCGAATAGAGTAGGAAACAGCTTCCATCGTCATGCGACCAGCCTCGACTGCAGTGAAGGCTCCGTGTGAATGAAGTAATTTACCCACAGAATAATGGCTTACTTTTTGAAATATCCAGTATATCATCGATAATCAACAACAGTGAACGGGCCAAACTGTGTACCAGGAGCAAGCTCTCTCTTTGGGATCGATTCAGATCACTGTCGAGTGTCAATTCGGTCATTCCGATGATACCATTCATGGGAGTCCTGAACCCACCATGAAGTGGAAAATCAATATCATCTAAATTGGCAAGAGCATGGACAACACCTACCTGATTTCATGACTCATGTTCGCCAAGAACTCGCTCTTGCTCCTGTTCGCTAGCTCTGCCGCCTCCCTCGCAGCCGTGTTCTTCTGAATACTATCTCGTAAGTTGAAGACCATATTATTGATCTGTGTCTTGAGGGAGTCCATTTCTCCAGAAGCCTCGACAGTGATAAATCGAGTGAAGTCGCCGTCCATAGCAGCAGCAGAAATTTGTGCGAACCCACGGACTTGTGTCGTCAGATTGCCGGCCATGGTGTTTACGGAGAGACTGAGGAAGAAATCGAGTTCCAAACGGCATTGTTTCAAAAAGAGGATACGTACGTGATCTCCTGCCAAATACCCTGTACATTTCCAACTTCGGCTTGCACGCCCAGTTTGCCCTCCGTGCCGACTTCACGAGCAACTTTCTTGACCTATATATAGCAAGGAGGAAAAGAAACAGATATTTAAAAAGAATACGACAGCGACGGTCAATGTCGGATGACGTTGGGTGTTAGGATAAAATAGAACCCACCTCAACTGCGAAGATACTCAACTGGTCAATCATGTCGTTGATAGTGTTCACCAAGTTGAGCATTTCTCCAGATACACTAACACCGACGATCTTTTGCGTCAAGTCTCCGCGAGCAACCGCAGTTGTTGCTACAGCAATGGTCCGGACCTACAAAAGGGGACAGGAAAAGTTCAAAGAGGAAGAAAAGAGGGGAGACACGAGAAGGTGAACAGGAAAAGCGAGGGTTTCAACACACCTGCAGTGTCAAATTTTTTGCCATAACGTTGACATTATCCGTTAACGCTTTCCACGTGCCAGCGACATTCGCGACCTTGGCTTGACCACCGAGTTTACCTTCAGTGCCCACTTCGCGGGCGACTCGAGTTACCTACAAGACACATAATGTTCAAAATTGTGTTTCATCACCACAAATTAGTCCCATCGGCCAGCGCGGAACGCACTCAGACCAGACGGAAAAATCTCCACGTACCTCATCAGCAAACACACTCAAACTCTCAGTCATTTCATTGACCGTCTCTTTCAAATCCAGAATTTCTCCCTTGACATCGACCTGAATCTTTTTCGAGAGATCACCTCCCGCCACGGCTTTAGTGACTTCTGCTATCGAGCGGACCTACATACTAGGTCAGCAATGCATTCCTAAAGAGTTACAGAACCACTAACCTGATTGGTCAGATTCATAGCCATGAGATTTACATTATCCGTCAATCCCTTCCACTCTCCTTGCACATCCGGCACAAATGCCTGACCACCCAGAATTCCTTCAGTGCCTACTTCGAGCGACACTCGAGTAACTTCATTGGCTAGTGTGGATAATTGAACTACCATAGAGTTTACCTATGAACAAATCCACCAGAAGTGATCAGCCAAATGACAGGAAAAGAAGGGATATATACGCTCACAGTCTCTTTCAAGTCTAACATCTCGCCTTGCACATCGACCTCTACAAACTTGCTCAAATTCCCCTGGGCGACGGCTTTGGTCACTTCAGAGATCGAACGGACTTGGTTTGTCAAATTCAACGCCATCTTGTTTACGTTTCGAGTCAAATCCGCCCAGGTGCCTTGGACGCCTTCGACACGTGCTTGACCTCCGAGAATACCTTGAGTGCCGACCTGGAGTGTTTGTGGGTAAAGAAGGGATACAACATGAAGGGATACAACATAAAATTCGCAAAAAGAAAACTTGACTTACTTCCAACGCAACCCTCGTCACCTCACTTGCGAATGCGCCCAATTGATCCACCATTGAGTTAACCGTTGATTTGAGTGTTGCCATCTCTCCTTCTACTTGTATCTCAATTTTCTGGGTGAGGTCACCCTTTGCGACGGCGGTTGTTACAATAGCGATTGACCGAACCTAAGTTAGATAAAGATTTCAATTTAAGAAAAGCAAAGTGAAGTGCGCGTGAACCGTTGGATGAGAGGAATGGTTTAGTAAGAACAAGGAGATGCATGAAGGTATGTGGAAGTAGAAGGAAGAAAATAATAAAAGGAGAATGAGAAGAGCGAAAGACACTGTACCTGATCTGTCAAACTAGCACACATCCTATTGACATTCCTCACCAACTCGAACCATACACCTTCGACATCTGGCACTGTTGCCTGACCACCAAGTTTTCCTTGCGAACCAACTTCCAATGTGACTCGAGTTACTTCGGCTGCCAGCGCTCGGAGTCGGACAACCATTCCGTTGACAGTGTTCTGCAATACAAAGAGTGAAGAAGTGAGGCATCAACAGCGACTCTTAATACGGCACAGAAAGAGCGAGGATATACACACCTTCAAATCTAGGATCTCCCCACTCGCATCCACCTCGATTTGTTTGCTTAGATCTCCGAGAGCGACGGCTTTGGTCACCTTGGCAATAGACCGGACCTATGAGAGAAAAACTAAATGTGTGTCTCTCTTCCTTAACTCAGCCAAAGGATTCTACCTGATTCGTCAAATTCGCAGCCAATTTATTCACGACTGCAGTCAGCTCCCTCCATGTCCCTTCAACGTCCAACACGAGCGCCTGACCACCAAGTTTACCTTCCATACCGACTTCTTGAGATACGCGAGTGACTTCGGACGCGAAGAGGCCTGATGGGGGATTAGCTCATGGAGAGAGGATATCAAAAGCCAACAGATGATATGGAGATGCGTGGTAACAAGAAGGAAACAAAAGAACAAAAGTCAGTATTATATGTGACAACTCACCCAGCTTATCAACCATGGTATTGATAACCTCCTTCAAAGTCACCATGACCATACCCTGCACTGGTACAGTAATCTTTTGCGAAAGATCACCATCGGCGACTGCTTTACACACCCTAGCCACATCTTGGACCTACATAAACCGAGTGGAGTCATCGATAAGCAGCTGTAATAGAACAAAGGATACGAATCTTACCTGTTGCTTCAACAACCTCAACTCCTCCACCGCACTCAAGCCACTCTCCAATGCGGCAGTCGCCAACGGACCACCCGACGCAACAACAGATGGGGACTCATCTGACGCGCTCAATCCATACCATTCGCGCCACTGAGGAATCGACGTAATTTGAGAAGAAGGTAGTTGTGAGGTAGATGAATGCCATTGTGCATGTGATTGCTGTTGCAGTGCAAACTGCTGCCGTGTGAAGCTCGACCAGACGGTCCACGGTGGGGGATACCATTGTTGATTCGCTGCCGGGAGGTACGGAGGACATTCCCAATACGCAGTGGTACTTAATCCACCGTACGTGCCGTACATGTGCGGATGAACATACGCACCCAACGCACCAACGAACCTACTGCCACATCTCCTGCAGTTATGCCAGCCACGATTATCTTCATCCTCGTATTCATGGTCATCCTTAAACCCAGTTGCGCCAGAGCGGGTGGTGTTATTGGTGTTCTTCATGCGTACAGTAAAAGCCAGACGAAGCCGAGAAAGACGGAAAAAATGAGCTTCGCGGTCGGAGAGCGTGAGGGATTTGAGAAATTCAAGCTCAGTTTGGGGAGGAGTAACTTCTTCCTTGTCTTCTGTCTCGTCGTCTGCGTATTCATCATCAGATCCTCGATGACCATCGAATCTTTCCTTCTTACTGTGTTGATCTCCACCAAATTGACCCTGGTAGTGCGTTGAAGAGTACCACTGCGCGTACTGCGCATAGTCCTCGAACTGTCCTGCTTCACCATATGGCGAGATGCCATTTAGGCCGTCGATGACAATGTGTGGCCCTTCTGCGTGTTCATTGTGAGAGCTGGGCCCATGGACTGTGGACGTGGAGGGATCAGACCATGAGGAGTCGCTGTCAGTAGGTCCAGTAAAGTGGACATTGTGAGCAGGCTGAACCGTATCATACGCTGTTTCGTAGGTGGCGTCCGATCCCTCTGTGTCGCTCGAATGAACGGAAGTTGAGCGGGAGACGGCTTTGGAAGAGACGGAGTTACCTGTGAGATTGACGAAATCAAAATCAGCAAAAACGATCAATGGAGAAAACAGTCGACTGCCTCATGAAATTTACAGGACAGAGGTATAAAAATGGAATGCGATTCCAAACGATAGAGAAAAAAAAGAGATGAGGAAAGAACCACACAAATAAACAAAGCCGCATACAACGAAGGTTGCAAAAACTTACCTGACTCTGGAGTAGGAGTCGAACTAGTTTGTGCAGAAGCGGGAAGCTGCTTCTCACCATGTTCACCCAGAATGATAGGGGAGAACGGAGAGGCGATAGTCTGCGGTGAACTTGTCCGACTTGCTGCTGTACTCGTTACACCATTAGCCCCAGCAGTCGGACTATTTATCTTACCAGCAGAAGCGGGCTGTCGTCCGATGTGACTAGTAGTCGATGATAATATGTTATGAGAAGAAGCAATAACGCTACTGGTAGACGAAATCGAGGACGAAGCAGTGTGTCGTCCAGGTGTGGCTAAACCCTGTGCTGCTCTTCGAGCTGACAACGATCCCGAACTCAACATGCCAGCAGCGCCGTTGGTTGCAGCCACAGATGTTCTGAAGTTGGCAATCGTAGATGGAGATGGAGATCGTCTCCCAAAAGTGTTGAGTGCCGGAGCTGAGGTTGCCGGAGTGACTTTCGGCGAATCGAGATCCAGTGTACCGTCCCCATGTTCATTGTTAAGCCGACTGGTACTCCTGACAGAATCGCTTACGCCGTTAACCATTGATGGAATTCCGGTTCCATTGGCGAATTTAGAGTGTAGCTTGGAACTGGCATTTTGCATCTCAGCTTGGTGCATCCGTCCAACGACGACGCTTAGGCTGCGCAGAATGGAGTCCGTGCGCCAGTCTGAGGGCCCAGTATATGATGGGAGAGGAATGGATGCAGTTGGGGGAAGTGGTTGAGTGACTTGGGGGGATGATAAGGGAATTGAGCCATTAGAGGTCGACAGGGCGCCTGTAGGAGATGCATTCGTAGGCAGAACTGTTATAGTTGAGGTTGCCGTCGTCTGAGGAACTATCTCCAATGACCAATTTGCGTCGAGCATAGGCGCGGTTGATTGTCCATCGCAATGTGGTGTTAAAGGTACAGAGTGTGGATTCGACGGAGATACATGGCCGGGTGTGCGTCTTTGGCGTTGCTTCGCCGGAATCGGCTTCTCGTAAATACTAAGTAGGACAACGAGATGAGTGAGGAACGGCGTATAGTCAACGAATGACGATGATTGAGCCGTCATTGTGAATTATGGGGACAAGGAGTTGAAACAGATCTGAGCATAAAAAGCTATTAGCAATCTGTGAAACGACAAAATTGAGAGATGTTTGATGGAAAGGGAAGCAAACTGGATGGATGGAATATGGAGGAAAGACCGCAAAGCAAGGTTCGAATGAGGTAAATACGTCAACACAAAGGTAAGCTCGAGCTCATTTCCGTCCCAATCTAATCCATTCCAGATGGTCGCACTTTAGCCTTCTGAGGCACCAGGATGCACCAAGATATCCCGAAAATAATGAGACGACAGGTCCCAACACCAGGCGGAAGGAAACAACAAAATAACGAGGCTCGAAAATGAAAACATGGCTCACCTGTTCAACAAGAGATTGTGGAAGAAAGCTTAAACAATCTCGCAGCGCAAGGATCAAATGTTATCTCGTCCTATCCAAGGTAATCTCTCTCCTGTGACTTTCTTGATATCCTAGTATACCAAACGTTCTGCGGAATCCACTCCGCAATGACTTGTCTCCGTCGAGAGCTTCGGATTAAATTCTATTTCAATCCTGGTCGTAACAGATTTGGAAGCGCCCAGTCGAAAAGGCGTAAAGGTTGTGTCGGGTGTACAAAGGTCGAAGTGAGAGTAAAAAAGCTAGAGAAAAGGACGAGAGAAACGTGGACCACTGTTGATGGTGCTATCTCCTGTTAAAGTTTCGTTATGTAGAGTGGAGCTTTTGGAGCAAAACTCGGTTATGGTAGACGGACAAGCTACGACGACTTGGCCGTTCAATAGATGGAACAGTCGATTTATGTTTGTAAGCCGATAATCATTACGTGTTTCGGACCGGAGCTGCACTAATTCAGCCCCTTCAAGTGCGCAACGCAAACCTCCTACCAGTACCTAAGCTTATTCTTACTGGAACGCCCATCGACAATATGTGAACTTTCACAGTATTCGATTTAAGGAAGTCGAAGTGCGAATGTCAATGTCGAACTCGAGTACGATCTGAGTATAGACTATCTACGTTCCAAAATCAACGAGAACACCAGTCATTCACCAACTATACGTCGTAATGACGGATAACAACAAAGCAGCCTAGAGAAGCCCCCGAAATCTCCTTGGTCAACCAATGGCTCGCTTGTACGCCAACTATAGGCCATAGTTTTGCTCATTTACCACTTACACATCGTAATTGAGAAGAGCCCCAAATTTAACCTTGTCGAATAATGGCTCGCTTGAAGGCCAATTATATGTATAGCGTTGTGACGTCTATGCTCATGAGGAAACAATGTGTCCCTTGGGACGATTTTGATTCGGTGGGTTCGATCTTAGTCCTTCCTGCATGGTTTGTCCTTTGATAAATACTAAAGGTGCCAGTGTTCTTCGTGCTAAAATTGTTACTGCATCTGGTAGTATACAATTAGGCTCCCTGGAACTCACTGGAAGAGGTATGGAGTTGATCGAACGCAAAAAACCGAGCTGTCAGATCACTACAGTCAAGTCGTAACTTTCTAAAAGGCTGACACTTCGACTTTCTCCGCCATGATATTCATCCTTTTTTGAATGTTTGTGGCCAGACTGGATAATTTCAATAACCTCAACTTCGATTTAATTTCCTGTGGAAGGAATGCAAGCGGGTGGTCGCGTAAATTAGAGGTAATAAAGTAACAGCTCGGGAGAGCGGGCGGTCAATTACAGTAACAACAGACACACCGAGAAGGGCGGCCTCAAATAAGACGACTGGAAGCAGAAGAAAGGATTGTGACAAGAAATGATCTACGAAACGAGAGTCACAAACGGCGAGAAGATACAAGGGAACATATAGTCTACTAGTACCTACCGAACGGGCAGCTTCACAAGTTTTGTCCAAATCTAATAGCACGCGCATGGAATACTATGTTCCATTCAAGGTTCACAGACGGATCAGATTCGCATCACCTTGCGGTCCAGCAAGTCCTGGAAGCCACTCTGTCTGTTTTGGGTCTGGCTTTTCTACTGAGTGTGCAGCATATAGTAGTAAATGCCAGTTTCCGCGGTGTGCCGAGAGCCTTCTGAAACTGGCCTACAACTATAGTTATCAAATCGATCGTGTAGATGTATCCATCGGATAAAAACCTTAACACTAAACAAACTGCTTACATTGACTGCTCGGTGGTATAAGAGCTGCTCGAACATGTTATGCATATGTATATCAGGAATCTAAGGAAATGTGAGTCTATGTTGGTTTATACGATATGAAGGATTGAGGAATATGCCAATGTCAAGATTTGTCCATTCATGAACGACGAAGGATTAGGATGCAAGAGATATGAATACAGTAGTGTATGATTGGGAAAAGATAAATCTATAGTCTATGGAATATGTCAAAAAATGTATAGCCAAGGATAAGAAAACGAAAGCACAAGAGAACCAAAAACTGAGTAAAATACACCTATGAACGATGAAAAAATCAAAGACTGAAAACGCCTCCAGCCCTTCTGCGACTGGGAATAGGATGCGATAGGAACAAGGCAATACCCAAACCGATAGTGAGTCCGATTGCGACTGATATCAGCTGTAATGATGTTTGGAAGCCAGATAGATACGCCTCGGAATCGGTTCCTGAGTCGTCCGTTTGCTGCGAAACGAAGACAAGCAGGCCATTATTTCCGAGACCGGAAGGTACTTGAAACAGAATACCGGTGAGCTTTGATGAAGAAATTAGATATTGATAACGAGTGAACATAGAATAACATACCATAATAGTGAATGCGTTACCATTTAGGAATCTCCCTGCCAGATTGGATATCATTCCGATTGCGAAGGCACTAGGCGGTTTAAATCAGAAGACTCAGTTACGACATAGGCTCCCAGTACATACCCTACAGCAGAGGCAAAATCGGCCTGATTTTGGAAGTGCTGACCAACAAAGAAGGTGACAACCCATCCTATGCATGATATTATCACACAAATGAGCTATAAACCAGCACAAGAGTCAATTGGTTGGATAAGTAATATTGCAAACATGACATCTACCATCTCTTTGCAAAGCAGCGGCTGATGATTTCTCATGCTCAGGACTAACGAGTACAGGGGGACTGTTAAAAAAGCTGCATGGAAATTGTGTCAGTATAAAGAGAATCAATATGCGGATGCTATACTGACCCCAGAATTTAGAAGGCGTTCGCTGCCACCACGGTCCTTCCGCATTATGCGTAAGGGCACACGTTGTATCACTCAAATTCGCGATTGGTGTTTGAACAATCGTTTGGTATGCCTCCGCTCCGATGGCAAGCCCGAAACCTAGAAAGAGACAATAAACGACCGCATAACATAACCGCACGCTCCCGGCTATAATGTTCCGTGATAAGATCTCTAATCCACCACACAGAACTATGAATCCAGGCAAGATAAGGACGATTGAAGAGGACGCAGTCGCACTGTAGCAAATCCTCTTTGTTGCGGCAAGACCACCGCAGATGAACGAGAACACAGTCGCGATGGTAATCTCGAACACGTTGCTGTAAAGCTCGTTACGCACGCTGAGTAGTTGGATGCCGACAAGGATAGCTCCAAGCGGAAAGACTGCAACAGAATCAATGAAGGAGCCGGCGAAGGAGACTGTACAGATTGCTGCGGAGCAGAAACCACCCGTAAGCATAAGATGCCACCACTTGTATTGAGGAGGTCGACGCATAAGTTTGTCAAGGGCGGCGGAGGCGTCGGAGACAGAAAGATCGTCATGTATGACCTACGTAGTAGAAATTAAAGACAATGTCGGGGAAATTAGGGATGGTTTACCTTCCAATAGATCATATACCCTTCGCCAAGCTTGCCTATGTTCAAGACGCTACCTTGCTTGATGAACTTGATTAAACTGGTCCCCGTGCTCGAATCTTCGAAGGAGATGAGCATAACGTCGGGAAGATACATGCATGAAAGTTCGATATCTAGGACTCGAGCAGTAGCCTGAATCTGAGATGTCAAGCGATGAGCCGGTCCGCCAAACATCATCATCGACCGTGCGAGCTTGCAAATGAATTCTTGTCGTTGTATAATCTGTGCAACATGACGAGTGATCTAGTGAAGGATTTAGAAAGTTTGTCAATATCAGCGTTAGATAACTAGACTCACGAACAACTCCGCCTTTTTCCTCTTTTTCCTCTCTTTCTTGTCTCGTTCCCTTTTTTCTCTCTTCTCCCGTTCCTCTCGATTCTCCTTCTCCGAATAAACACTATCATACCAATCTCTCTCGCTTGTGGTTATACTCCCTGGTGTGGCGGGTGTGCTTTTACCTGATCTGGTGTACGGCAGGTGTATTCCAGTCGTCCCAGGAAAGTCTTTCAATACACCTGTCCACTTCGCTCGTTTGGCGATGGATGAGATCGGCGTGCCTCCAGGTGTAGTTGGCTCCAGCCTAGTTGAGAGCAAAGGTTTCGGATGCATATCTCTCTCGCCTTGGAAGAGAGGCAACGGACCAGGAGTAAGCTCTGATGATCCGTGTTGAGGACTGAAATAATCGGTTGGAGCAGGAATATAAGCCGATACAGGTGTGCGGGCCATGAGGTGGGGATATTGATCAGCAAAAGCATTGGCAGATGCAGTACTGGGAGACGCAGATTCAGAGTGTGCATTTGAACTTGAAGTAAAGAAAGAATCGCTGACGGCCAGGCCAGGACCCGACTCTGCAGGAGCAGTTGAAATTCTCGCCAGTGTAGATCCGTCAAACGAGGGACCGTTATCTAGCTCGACATGGCCGAGTGACTTGGCTCCAGGATGATGTCCTCGGATTGAAGGCGAAGGATTCACAGCGGCTTTATTTTCCAGATGGTCGTCTTTGTACCCATACCTGGTAAGATTGAACCCAGGACGGTCAACGTTGGGAGCAAGAGTACTCGGCGTCGGGGCAGCTGCTCCAGTGATGTTTCCAGTACTGGCAATCAGCGAACCAAATACACCACCAGCATTTCTAGCCTGTGGGGGGCGTTGAGTGTGCATTCGAAGAAGTTTACGAGCAGTCGACGTAACGCCTCGTTTGGACATGGCGTTTGCTCGAAATTCATCAGTGGGCGAACTAGATAATGAAGGAAATGTGGGAGAGGATATGGTCTGGTCGAGATCATTGTTGTCGTCGAGTCGTTGCGTTTGAGGTATTGATCGAGCCTCATCAGTATCAATAACCTCCAGTCGAGAAGGGGAATATTTTAAATGGAGCAGTGGAGGTTCCAATTCTATTTTGGATGTCTCGTCAAAGACAGCTCTATTCGGCCTTGCGCGACGAGGCTCTTTGCGTTCTCTACCATTCGAGGTAGGTTCGTCTTGGATTGTCGGACTAGAGGCACCAGACGGCGGAATCGAATCTGATGCTGTATCGTTTTGAGCGTTGTACAAAGTCAGCAGAGCACCAAGGACGCCGCCTGAAGGTGGTGCCATAAACCTATGAATCGACAAACTTACGTGTCAGAACAAAATATCGGGGTGAGAGGGAAAAACGTACGAGGAATTTAAGCTCGAGTTATCTGCATCCTTTTCCACGTCTGATTCAGCAGTTACCCATCCCAGCTTGTCAATATCCGCGTTACCATAGTCCTTCGACTTGGTACCCTTATAACCCCACGACGGGAACGAAGGTCCCCTTCTCTTTTTTTGCTCTCCATCCTCATCTGTAAAATCACTATCTGTATCGGTAAGATCCCTAGTGCGCCGCACTCTCGGAAATTTCTTCTTTTTACTCGACCTGGTATGTGCTCGCACAATTTGTTTTGCCCGACTCTTCGCATATGCTTCAACATCCTCAGGGTGAACCTCTACTTCCCCCTTCCTAACAGCATCTTCTCCCTCAGCATCGTCTCCACCATTTCCCTCGATTGGTCTGCCTCGAGAGGGTAATCCGGCATTTTCTCCCGTATATATGAACGCACCCGGTACGTTGTTTGTGCGTCGCATTGAGGTCCTCTGTCGAATATTCGCCCAAAATCCTTTGATGCCAGTATTACTACCAGGCCCAGTCATGGACGGATGAAGATCTTCTCCAGGAACGATAGGAAGCATAGCGTGGCGCATGGCGGTATCAGGAGATGATTCGGCAGTGGTGCTAGCTGTAGCTGGAGTCTGTGAGCCGGAAATACCGGAAACAGGTCGATTTGGCGTAGGAAAGGAGGTGTCCGTGGGAGATGAATCGACTCCTCGTGTTGATTGAGAAAAGTCTTTCAAGGCATGGGTTTCGATGGGTGGAAGATGGACCGGAGTCATGCCTGCTCGAGGGCGTGGGGGCGGAAAGTAGTGTACCCGCGGTACGGGCAGAGGTGGTGGGTTTGGAACAGAGGGTGCAGGAGCAGTGGCTTTACTTTTCTCCGTCGTAGCCGAGTCCGACTGTGGGTAAGCAGATGGCGGCATTTGGGGAAGAGTTAATGAGAAATTACTGTCTCCAGCTCTTGGTAAACTCTGCGATTGATGTCGTTCCAGTGCTGTGGTGAGCTCGATGAAAGGATTAGGCTGAAGAAGAGGAAAACACGACAATTAGATTGTTATCATCGGATATAAACAATATACAGGAAAAAAAACTGACATCGATACCCTTCTCATCTAACGCATGCGGCGACCAAGACCTGTGACCGTTGTCCTCAAGGATTTTCTCCAACTGCGTTTCCCTGGTCTTCAAACCCTCCAATTCGGATTGTTGTTCCTTCAATCTTCTTTGCTCCTGATCCTTCAACTGTTTCAACTGGTCTGATGCTTGAGCAGATGTTTGATTATCTATAAGCGATCCATCCACGATAAGACCGAGACCAATAGTAACCGAAGCAGGAGGATCGTTTAAATCAATATCGTGGTGTTGAGCATGCGCCTGGGCCTGAGCTTGCGCAGCTTGAGAGTTCAGATGGTGATCCAGCCACTGAACGGCCTTGCCCTTCCGAGCTGGTTTTGCTCCATTTGTGGACGTCGAAGCGGAGATGGAGACTGCGCCTTGGCCCGCAGCTGTCGTATCGGCGGCCGATGGTGATATGGGAGATGGGTTCATGGAGGAACTGGGACCTCCTGAGCTCCCAGAGCTCCCAGAATCTCCAGCGGTAACTCTTTGTTGTTCTTCTACACCGTCGACCTCGAGGCCTGCCTTCCGCGATTTCAATCCCTCGTTCAAATTCCCATTCAGACTTCCAGATCCAGATCCATTTCCGTTGCTGTTATTCTTCTTCGACATAATACTAACCGGCCGAAATGCAGAGTTGTTCAAATTCGACCGGTAAGACGAATTGCGGGAGAGTTCTGAATGCGAAGGGGAGCGAGAAATCGGTGACCGGGACGATTTGCGTGAGACAGAGCGCGATAGAGTACGCGAGCCGTCGGGAGAGTATTGTGGAGAGCGATGAGAAGAATAGCCGTACGGCGAAGGGGATGGCGGACCAGAGCGCGTGGAGAAAGGTGAATAAACATTGGGGTACGGTCCGTAAGTCGCGAGTGGATAGGTAGGAGAACGAATAGGTTGTGGTTGAAATAAAGTGGAGGATGAGGATGGAGGAGTCGGTTTTGTAGTCGCATCGTCATTATGTGACATTCAGAGAAGAGTGAACAGAGTAGTGGCAGTCGACAGAAGAGAAAGAAAAAGGGGTATAAAGTTACAAGGAGGCCGGATGATAAAACAGCCCGAGGAACAAAGAGCGTCCGTCGATCACGAAAAGTCGGCGAGACGCGAGAGAGCAATTATAAAAATGTTAAATGATCGTATAAAGTAGATAAGTGGAAAATGAGACGTAGACAGATAACGATAGAAGCGACGGAAAATGGAAGTTCGGAGATTGGTAGTCCAAATTTTGTATGGACAAGTTGGGTGTAGAGTAGTCGTACGAAAACAGAAAAACCGTAGATTCAAAGGGATGGAGGAAGAAAGGGAAAGAGGGGAGATGAATGACGAAAGAAAGTCCGAAAATTGAATGCAAGGAAATTTTTTCGTGTCGTTGCAATAATGGGTTCGGTTAGATAAGGTCCGATAAGGTTGAAGGGTTGAAGTCAATTGAAGGTATATAGGTACCGCAGCGTTGAGAACCGTAACAGTGCAACAGGGCGAAACATGTTCATTGATTTAACAAATGGAAACGCGTGGAATGAGCGGACGTATAAGCAGGTTTGTGTAGAGGTAAAGATAAGACGAAGAAGGTCCCAGGAGGTAAGATCATTGACCAGGTCAGTAAAACGTATAAAATAATAAGCGAAATAGAATCAACGCACGAGAAGTATTTTATCCGAGCTTATGCGAACGTTATGCGACTACCGAGCACGGGGATCTCGAACGTTCTTGTCTCAGTCCGGAAACGAAGTCCTCTTAGAGACCTTCAGCGTGATGCTTACTGGATGAACGATGAAGCATTTTTACTCACTGTAGATGAAAGTAAGTAACGCGCACGCGTGTTAGTGGCGATTCCTGTCCTCGATGTACGATACGATAAGGGCGAAATGGAATTGAGCTGGTCGCAGCGTGTCTGTGGGGTTGTTAGCACAGATTTTGAGAAGATGACGAGCTCCATGACTGACTAATGGAAGATGCCAAAAATAACGGCTTCTCCAGTGAGTTACACGTTCGGCTTTGCGAGTTTCCTGGGACTTCAAGTGAATGAATTTTTACTGACGAGCCGAAAACTGCCTCAATGCTTCAACAATCCAATGTGCACGTCGATGATTATGTCGATAGAGCAGAATATGTTATGTGGTGCTAGATAGCGGTGACGGTGATGGTGGTAGGGAAGAGGGATCACAGGCCGCGTATGTCGTTCTATATGCAGAGAAACATTGTGGAGTTGGTTCAGCGTGGCCATCAATAAGATGACTTCAAAGGCTCAAAGATGCAAACAATGACTTTCTTTGCATCCCAGATCGTTGCGTATGGCTCCAAACCCTTAACATCGTCTACGGTTCCTCGCAGTTCTCGCTGGTCATCGACTCATCGCAGCCTTTTGACGTCGTTTGTTGCGCATCTTGCGGAGAGCGGACAAAACTCGGCACCCGGTGGAGTAAAAAGGAAAGCCGCGGTAAGCTAAATGAATCGGACCGGAATCCCGAACACGATGACCATTGACCACGACGACCTGACGACGACTAGAGAGAACTTCCTGTCTAAGAATCAATAGCAAACATCTGGATAGAAAATACTCAGCCCAAGGTTCCCAAATGAAAAAGTTTGGCTTTCCAGGTACGTCTTCAAAACTCATTTACTAGCTGAGGAACATGTACAGTATATAATTCATTCACGGCTTACGAATCATCTCCAGACTCCAGCCCTACCTCGAGACGAAACTCTCCCTTGAAAATATTCCCCGCAAATACGTGTTTGTAGCCATGCACGACGACTCCAAACGACGCTCTCAAACCCGGGTCACGTCACCTTATCAGCTCCTCAGAACACTTTACTATCATGGGACACCGTCGAAGGAACATACGAACGAGCCCAACTAACAGGAAGCTTTACAGGTGTCCACCCCCCTGGTCCCTCTTGCCTCACTCCCGCCGAACTAGCACCTACATGCCCAAATTTGCGGCGATTCGACTTCCACACGACGGTTCCCTAATTGGCATTTGGGCAAAGTTAATCATGCGGTTGATGTGGTTACGCCGGATTACGCCTACGGACAGTAACGGGAATCATTATATTTCTGTCAGGCTGCACTATTTTGATAATCCACGGACAGACGGCGTTGGTTATTTGGGGAAGAAGATTGTAGGTGGGGTCGATGGGGAGCGAGGCTGAACTGTGGATGAGCGGGTTAAACTTGGTATTGGCATGTCATTTGCGGATGTCGAGGCTCAGGGTCGAATGAGGAGGTGAGTACTAGTTCGCAGTTACAAGTGATGTTACGCGGATGGGAATACCAAAACTTGTGAAACTTTGAAACCGATGAAGGGCCAAATGTAGCTTACGGAATACCTGGGAGATGCGGGGTTATTCTTTAGTTCCTCTAGCTTCTGCAGCAGTCGCCCATTTCCTGCTAGCAGAAGCGGTCTTCTTAGACCTCTTGGATGACCTAGGTTGTGAAGTCAGAGGGAAAAGGGGAAACTCGTGTGGAGGGTAGTTGGAAGGAAGGGAAATCAAGTGAAGCGAGACGGCGGATATGGAAAGGAGCAGAGGATAACCTGGAATGTTCTCCCTGGAAGATTCTTTCTCCTTGTACTCGATTCCCTCATCCCCAATAAATATCCCATATCCTCCACCTCAATCGTACAGTTATTGGCCTCCTCCAGCGCGTATTCGAGACCGAAATGGTTGAATTTGACGTACCGCGTCTTCGAAGGGAAATGAGTAATAAGCGCTCAAGTGGATTCAACTAATGGTAAGCCAATATCGGACATGTTTAACGAGTCAAGTAAGGTCAGTTCGCGCATCTGGCCTGTGGAGGGGCTTGACAACGCGAACGTTCCTTTCAAGAATGGATTCGTCCGCGAAGAAATAAAAAACATAAATTCAAACTAAAACGAACGCGAAGGAAAATCCAATTAGGGAATACTTGAGAGAACATAATAATAGACAAACCTGAATAATCCCTTTCATTCATCTAAGTTGAAGAGAACCAAGGTAGAAGAGGGAGAAGAAGGAGAGTTAACGGTCACATGTATGTGCTGGACTCGGGCGCTTGTTAGATTCTTTTCCACCCGCCACTCATGACAAGAAGAAAGACCATTTCCAAGGAGGGACCTGAAGAAAGGAAACAGAAGTTCTCGACATCATCTCCTCCTCCCGCAACTCCTGCTCAATCAAGCGTCCCGTCTACAGTATCGGGGACTCCTCTCCGGACCCACAGAAGCTCTTTCATGCATGAGGGACATACGTCCCCCACCATTCATCAGGCCGATCTCAAAAAGGTTATGCGTGCAGAGCTCGGAGACCAGACATGGCAGTTCCCTTTTGACCGCGTTGCCAACGTCGAGGAGATTCTTCATGGTGGTAACTGCTGTAGAGGTAGAGCAAGTCAGGTTACACAGATATCATATAGCGTTCCAGAGAATGTCTCTCCCTCACCTCACCCCTTTCTGACGACAACTCCTCTATCTCCAGTTGCCCTGCCGAGATGTTCAGCATGCGTCGCTTAATGCTGAGGCTAAGAAGGGAGTAGAAGCGCCTGTGAACTCTAAAAAGAGTTCCAGAATTCAGGTTGATTCCCGTACTCGATCAGAGACAAAGGTATCAAATATCCCAGACCCATCAACTCTCGCTATCACGCCGATTGGTGTACATGGGCCAACTCGAGATCTTGAAGATGTGAAGCAGGAGCTAATGATCTTGGTGAAACCCTTGAATCCGTGTCGAGGCGAAACTTTCCATGGATTGATGAAAGCTGCATGGCCAAAACGCGATCTTGGTTCAGGTCGTTCCTCAGTGCCGGAAGCGCGGATGCTCAATGACAAGTTCGGAACTTTGCGACATCATTATTCTTTTCCAGCAAGTCACTCACATGGAATCCCTATCTCCAACGACATTTTTCTTCCGACCGAGATGGAATTAAAGAAAGGAGTAGCAGAATTTCATTGGAACCTTTTTTCTCCGCACCAAAAGCATAGTTCACCCTTGCTTGAATATCGAAGCCTTCGGATTCACGTTGGGAAACTGATTGGAACCTCCCTGGTTTCCTCTCCCACCCCGCTCGTGTTATTTATAGCCATCCTCCATGCAATGCTAGGTCTGTGGCCGTTTGCTCTGAAGTAGGGTACCACTGATTACCATTACAGGATGGCTCGCGATATGCCAGGAGGCGCTTCAACATCGGGATGTCAGTGTTGGGAATGTTCTTAGATTGGAAAACCCGGTCGAAATGCCCTCGTTCAAATTCAAATCAGATATTGCGGATCTTATGGGCACACTATCCCTATCGGAAACCTTGCCGTTTACTGTTACCGACCAAATTACACGTCTTAAAAGTTCACTTGCTGAGCTGAAGGTAAACACCAGGTGCTCGGGTTTTATCATTGATGGGGACATGGCTATCGACTGGAAGACGTATTTTGATGTAAACCACGATGGCACTCGTTCCGTTAGTATATTTAATTGATTACTATGGCCTACAGTCTGACCCTTTCGCAGGGAACGCCTGAGTTTATGTCAGACAGACTACGAAGAAGCCTTCGTTTACCTAGGGCATACGTTCAATCCACGGTGGATGATCTTGCCTCCTTTTACTATGTTGGTCAATGGGCGGCAGTTTTCAACCCAAGCCATCAATCGAACCTGCTCGAAGAGCTCCGCAATGATATCGCTGGGTCTGTCACATCGCGAGAATCCGCATCTTCTCGCACTACCTAACTATATTACACCCGGAAAGGGCATGCCCTTTCCCTTAGCGTTTTGGGCCTTTCATGCCCTTTTTCTCATGGAAAGGCAAACCAGCCGGAAACCCAGTCTTCCTAAATCACTCCAAAACCTCTGTTTATGTCTCGTTTTCACTGGTTTGGTCAATATTGATATCATTTTGAGCTCCCATCCATAGCAAAAACCTCTTTTCACACCTTTGGATCTATGGAAAGGCAGTCCTGGTGGAAAGGCAGGTCATGTTCTAAATTCTCATTTACCTCCCTTTCCGGCTGTATATTGCCTTGAAAGCCCTCATTCTCCATTTTGATATGCATTGTAACTCAATTTCATATCCAATCCTCCTTATTTTGTTAATTTATGTCAATTTTGGCAGGCTGTTCGCTTATAGAATAGCCACACGACAATGGGGTATTGTCGTGGGAAATCTGGGAAATTTTGTTGGTCAAAGATAACAGGAACCACTGCAGCGATTCATGAAATTTTTGCTGGACCATCTAGATATACTTCCAAATATACCATAACCAACCTCCGATGAACCATTAGTCATCCAAATCATGCGGGAAAGGACATTGGAAATCACCCGCTTTCAGTTGGTTGGTCCAGCACAAATCAGCTAGAATAACAGGATCCAGATATTGTATCAACTATCTGAGTCAGCCAAAATACTCGTAAATAGTCCTTTTACACCCACCTGACACCATTCATTCTCAAGTAGAGTTTCTTATAGAATAGCCACATGACAATGGGGTATTGTCGTGGGAAATCTGGGAAATTTTGTTGGTCAAAGATAACAGGAACCACTGCAGCGATTCATGAAATTTTTGCTGGACCATCTAGATATACTTCCAAATATACCATAACCAACCTCCGATGAACCATTAGTCATCCAAATCATGCGGGAAAGGACATTGGAAATCACCCGCTTTCAGTTGGTTGGTCCAGCACAAATCAGCTAGAATAACAGGATCCAGATATTGTATCAACTATCTGAGTCAGCCAAAATACTCGTAAATAGTCCTAACTATATTACACTCGGAAAGGGCATGCCCTTTCCCTTAGCGTTTTGGGCCTTTCATGCCCTTTTTCTCATGGAAAGGCAAACCAGCCGGAAACCCAGTCTTCCTAAATCACTCCAAAACCTCTGTTTATGTCTCGTTTTCACTGGTTTGGTCAATATTGATATCATTTTGAGCTCCCATCCATAGCAAAAACCTCTTTTCACACCTTTGGATCTATGGAAAGGCAGTCCTGGTGGAAAGGCAGGTCATGTTCTAAATTCTCATTTACCTCCCTTTCCGGCTGTATATTGCCTTGAAAGCCCTCATTCTCCATTTTGATATGCATTGTAACTCAATTTCATATCCAATCCTCCTTATTTTGTTCATTTATGTCAATTTTGGCAGGCTTTTGAGGATTTGAACCACAATATCACTGGAAAGGCAGGTCATGTTCAAAATTCCCTTTTACCTCCCTTTCCGGCTGTATCCTCTGTTCTAAATTCTCATTGACCTCCCTTTCCGACTGTATATTGCCTTGAAAGCCCTCATTCTCCATTTTGATATGCATTGTAACTCAATTTCATATCCAATCCTCCTTATTTTGTTAATTCAACTCAATTTTGGCAAGCTTTTGAGGATTTGAACCACAATATCACTGGAAAGGCAGGTCATGTTCAAAATTCCCATTTACCTCCCTTTCCGGTGGTCCAGTCTATTCTAAATTCTCAATGACCTCCCTTTCCGACTGTATATTGCCTTGAAAGCCCTACTACTATTCCAACAAAAATATTAGTGTTATCTTCCCGAAACTTATATGTCGTTTATAACCATGAATTTTCATCACATTCCAAAACCCTTTTGTATACATATTTCCACTCCAAATACCTTACTTTTTTTGTATTTGGCCGAGAGGATTCAACGACTTTTTTTTTTTAGGGGGGTCACCCTCAGCCTATGTTAGGGGGGGTCACTCATACCACTCAATAATTGCAACAGCCTTTCTACACCTCAATTGGGACTGTTTTTGTGACTCTGGCAGTTACTGCAAGCATCTTTTTCCACCCCAGCAACTTAAAATAGCCATGATCTGATTTCGGGGTTAGGCAGTGTTTTGTTATTTTTCTTTCAAAGATCCATACCCTGGGACATTCCAACCAACTTGGTACCACATGACTGCAATTGGCATGACATGAAGGGGGGGTGGAGCTCTGCTCCACCCCTCCTTCACTGCACTGTTCTGTCACCCACTGACGGCCTTCTGTGGCTGTGTTCTTGGCACTGCCACACGCTACCTGTGTTGTCTGGCCCTTCTGAGGTTGCTTGACCTCCAAATAATAAACTGGTCCAAATCTGGGTGGTTTCATTGTGCAGTAGTGTTGGTCAATACTCCACCTCACCTCTCCACTACTGCAATTCTGTGAAGCCCTGCATGCCAAGATAGTACCAGTGGCATGTGGCTGTGCTTTTGGCACTGCCACACGCTACCAGTAGCGTGTGGCTGTGTTCCTGGCACTGCCACACAGTACCAGTAGCGTGTGGCTGTGTTGTTTGGCACTTCTGAGGTTGCTTGACCTCCAAATAATAAACTGGTCCAAATCTGGGTGGTTTCATTGTGCATCAGTGTTGGTCAATACTCCACCCCACCTCTCCACTACTGCAATTCTGTGAAGCCCTGCATGCCAAGATAGTACCAGTGGCATGTGGCTGTGCTTTTGGCACTGCCACACGCTACCAGTAGCGTGTGGCTGTGTTCCTGGCACTGCCACGCAGTACCAGTGGCATGTGGCTGTGCTCTTGGCACTGCCACACGCTACCAGTAGCGTGTGGCTGTGTTGTTTGGCACTTCTGAGGTTGCTTGACCTCCAAATAATAAACTGGTCCAAATCTGGGTGGTTTCATTGTGCATCAGTGTTGGTCAATACTCCACCCCACCTCTCCACCACTGCAATTCTGTGAAGCCCTGCATGCCAAGATGTTGTGGCCCACCTAAGACAGTACCAGTGGCATGTGGCTGTGCTCTTGGCACTGCCACACGCTACCAGTAGCGTGTGGCTGTGTTCCTGGCACCAGAAGTTGCCTGACCTCCAACAATTGATTGGTCCAGGTTTGTTGCTTGAGTGAACTTTGACTTAGTTATGTCCCAGTGGTTCAGTGGTAGAGCATTTGATAAATGTGAATTGGATTCCGTACAGAATGTAAATCTTGTCAAAAGGTCAGGGTTCGAATCCCTGCTGGGACTATTTCGTCTCTGATTGCTTTTTTTTATTCCCATGACCGAATAGGAGTATTCTACCATCGACAAAGGTGGTAATTCCCATGACCAAACATGAGTATCATACCGTCGATGACGGACGAGATTAACACCCCACCCCACCTCTCCACTGCAATTCTGTGAAGCCCTGCATGCCAAGATGTTGTGGCCCACCTAAGACAGTACCAGTGGCATGTGGCTGTGTTGTCTACCAGAAGTTGCCTGACCTCCAACAATTGATTGGTCCAGGTTTGGGTCTGTATTGTGTAGCAGGGCTGGTCCATAGAACACCTTTTTCTTCAGTGCAATATTCTGAATCCCATTGTCTTCCTCTGTGTTGTCTGGCACCAGAACTTGCCTGACCTCCAATAGTTAACTGGTCCCTACTGGACCAGATTTTGCTCCAACTAGTAAACTGGTCCAGATTTGGGTGTTGGTACTATGTAACAGTGCTGGTCAATACTCCACCAATTTTCTGAATCCCTGCATGCCAACATCTTGTGGCTAACGCTACCCCACAGTACCAGTAGCATGTGGCTGTGCTTTCTGGCACTTCTGAGGTTGCTTGACCTCCAAATAGTAAACTGATCCTAATCTGGGTGTTTTCATTGTGCAGCAGTGTAGGTCAATACTCCACCCCACCTCTCCACTCCTGCAATTCTGTGAAGCCCTGCATGCCAAGATCTTGTGGCCCACCTAACACTATCACACAGTACCAGTGGCTGTGTTGTCTGGCACCAGAAGTTGCCTGACCTCCAATAGTTAACTGGTCCAGGTTTTGCTCCTTGAATCTTGGTGAATTCTTTGAACCTTCTGACTGTCTGAAGCATTAAATTTTGACCAGTAAATGTGACTCCACCTTCCACTGATGAAGCTAAACATTAAATCTGATGCACCCATTCCCACCTTGCCAGCAAACTGTCCCAAAATTTGGGTATTCTATACTTCCCTCGGTCGCCCCAATTCTAGGGGTTATATACCAATTGCTCAGTGAAAGCAACCAAAACCAATCCCCAGCTTGTAACACATAATATGGTGTGGAAAGTTCCCACTGCTATGATTTGTGCCTTAGGTGACAAAGGCCCCCTCGTACCCTCTACAACTAAGACCCCCACCTTTTTCAAGTAGTTTTGATACCAGAGGGGTAC